CCCCCCACACACACACATGTACCCCCTCCTTATTTTTTGCCATAACACTATATTGTACATTTTACATTATAATTCTTTAAAGCTTAATATTTTTTATACAGTTTCCAACAAGATTGGTATACTTCTATGCGTGTAACACTACATGCATAATAAATATAAGGAGTTACGAGACACTTACAAGCGTAAAACTGTACTTGTGGACTTTTTTTTTTTTTTTTTCATCCCTCTAACACATATTCATTCATTTTATGAAACAGTTTTGAAATAATTAAAAAAAAAAAAAAATGCGAATTGTTATGATTGGTAAAAATTTGGAAATAATTTCCCATCTCATCCACATTTATTGTTACATCGCCTTGACCACACAGTATTGACTTTTAACTGGGCCTATGTATATATAAATATATCTAAATGAATATACTCTATTGCTACAATAGTATCTGCTTCCACAATTCACGTGCGTCATATTGAATGATCGCTTATTCATTTTATATGTTCCCATGGATAAATGGTGTAACAATAGTTCTGGAAATGCAAAAATGGTGGACGTAAATGAAAAAAAGAACATAAACACATGTATAGGTACACACTTAAGTATGTATCTATGCATGTGTATATATATATATATATATGTATATATATACATCTATATGCAAATTATCTACGGATAATGGATAGAAAAAAAGAAAAAACTAGAAAAATAAGGAATCCAATTTTACTTGACACAACTTTATAGGGGACAATCTTTACCTCAACACCGAGAAAAAAAAAAAAAAAAAAATGCAGGACATGAGTTCTAAGATATATGTAATATTTACTTGGAACACCCGAGTTTTACTTAAGGATGTGAATATTACATATATGTATTCAATATATTAATTCAGACCCAAGCATTTCTCATCCATGCACCCATAACTGTGTGCTTGTGTTCTCCCAATTACTGGGCCTATCACTCCTCTACTCATAAGGTTAAATTTAAATTAGCAACAAAACATAAGTTGGTCAAGTATCTTTTCTTTTCTTTTCTTTTCTTTTCTTTTTTTTTTTTTTTTTTTAATTTCACGCCACTTTGGTTAAACCATTTTGGTGATATTTTTTTTTTTTTTTTTTTTTTTTGGTATATATAAGAAGTAACAAAATGGATAGCCTATATAGTGATTTACCTCCCCCAGTTTCAAACAACAGCAAAAAGATTGGAAAGAATGAAAATGAAAATAATTCAAATGAAAACAAAAAAAATAGTTATATAGAAATAAATAAATTTCTGATTACTCCAGCTATTATTCAAAAAAAAATTGCAAATATAAAAAATGCTAATAAAGAATTGGATGGAGACAAAATTAATAAGAATGATGAGATAAAAGGAAATCGGAAGCATAACAATATTAATGCGGGTTATGATAGCTGTGATAGTGACATTTACATCAATCGTGATGCAGGGAATAAGGAGGATGATGCTGCTTACAATTCTGGAGTCCCTAATGATATGTCAGACAAAAATGCAACGGATGAAGAGGAACATCGGGGGAAGAAGGGAGTAAATAATTCAAAGGATATAAGAAACGAGAATACAGATATTGAAAAGATTATAAACATAAACAAATCTGTACAAGATGACTTAAAAAAAATCAGTGACAGATTACATAAAATTCAACGAAGTAATAATAAGCTTGAGCCAAATACCAATGCAAATAACATGAACAATCAGGAAAAGTTTGCAAAAATGGAAAAAATCAAAAGTATTGATATAAACTTAAAAAAGGCAAAATTATATGACCATAATAATAGCAGTAACAGAAATAATACTTTTGCAGGAGAACAAACTAATTTATCGTCTGAATATTTTCAACCAGAACTGTACGAAAAATACTTCATAGGAAATGCTAACGAAGATTATGACCCGAATAAACCAAACGATTTGAACAAAATTATAAAAGAAAGGAAGAGAAAAAAAATAATCATGCTAGCTGCACAGAAGAAAAAGTTAGAAGAACAACAAATTATAGAAACAAACCAAATGGACAATAAAAAGGGGGTTAAAGAATATGATAGGAAAAAAAACTATTATGGTTATGACCAAAAGAATATCACTACTGTTACAAATAATTTCACATTCGATTCAGAACATGCAAATAAAAATTTTACAAACTCTGGAATATCATTACATGATGAGGAGCGAGAAAGGAACAACGGATTATATAACCAATACGATAGAAAAGGAAGGAAATTCGTAAATAGAAGGGAAAATAGCCAAACAAGAGAAGGCGAAAAGGAAACATATGGATATGATGATAAAGAATATGTAAAGGATATTAAAAATAATGAACAGTTTCACGAAAATAGTTATCAAAATAAACTTTCAGATACTAATAACAATGATGGTAAAAGGGTAAATAAAGAAACGTTAAATAACAACAATGACGGTGTATCTGCCATTCCTGCAAAAAAAGATTTTGCAACAAGAATGATGGAAAAAATGGGATGGAAAAAGGGAGAAGGTTTAGGAAAAGACAAGCAAGGAATCAAGGCTCCCCTAATTCTTCAGAAGGTTGACAAAAGAAGTGGTGTAATTGTGCAAGCACCAGATATTTTAAAAAAAAATAAATCCAGTGAAGGGAATGATGAGGGAAATTCAGTTACAAATTCGAATGTCGATTTATTATACTCAAATCATGCTCTAACTAATAATACATCAAGAATAATCCGTCTCTCCAACTTAGTCACAAAGGACGACGTTGATGATTCTTTGAAGGAAGAAATAGAAGAAGAGGCATCAAAATTTGGAAACTTACTTAACATAAATATCATTATTGATAAAAATTTAAGTGATGCCCAAGCTGTTAAAATATTTTGTGAGTATGAATCGAATGAACAGGCACAAAATGCTTTGAACACATTCAGGGGTAGAACCTTCGCTGGTAGGAAAGTCGAAGCCATCTTTGCTACGGAGGAGGAGTGTCAATCCTAAAGGGTGTAACCCAAATGAATCTTAAATATCGCATAGTAGATATGACACTTGAGGAACTAGAAGATCATAATTGATATTTTGGTAATTGCCTAATTGTTGGTCAAGGGTAGAAGAAAAAAAAAAAATTCCCCAAATTAGTTCACCTACACATGCATAAAATAATATCAGTTCCCTTTCCTTACATTTTGCTATGAAGCTAAGGTGGGCTTCATTGGTAATTCGTCCACGATAGCATGTTAATTCTTTTCTTTTCTTTTCGTTTCATTTCATTTCGTTTTTTTTTTTTTTTTTTTTTTTTTTTTTTTTTTTTTTTTTTTTTTTATTTTTATTTTAAGGGTTTTTTTTTTTTTTTTTTTTTTTTTTTTTTTTTTTTTTTTTTTTTTTTTTTTTTTTTTTTTTTTTTTTTTTTTTTTTTTTTAGTAATATCTAAGCATATCGTGAGGGGGTTCTCTTCTGCTAACCTTTCCTCACCCCCCTATATATGCACTTTTTAGCATTCCCGAATTTGTACACAACTTTTGTTTAACATAATGACATAGTTTATTCGCTCCTATTCCCATTAAAAAAAAAAAAAATATATTTTTTGTGTAACAGAAAAAAAAAAAAATTTTTATAGTTTCCAAACCTCTTGTTACTTCATCTTTATCAGATTGATTTTTTTTGAATCGTGTTTATTCTGAATGCTGTTTTTTTTTTTTTTTCTGAAGAGCTTTACAACACTTGGTTTTCTGCTACCAATTTTTATTTCCCACACTTTGCTCTTTTATGTATCCCCCCCAATGCTAACTGATAATGGCCAGCTTTACACAACTCAGTGCATAACATATGTTTTGCATGTTATATACTTGACATTACATAACAATTTATAGTATCTAAATTATTTTAAATTTTGGAAAGAAAGAAAAAAAAAAAAAAAAAAAGTAACAGAGCAAAACAGAGGTTGTTTCAGCTTTCGATGTCGAATAGAAGCGTTTTGAGAAATATCGTTTTGGCTGACTTAAGTAGGAATTTCAATATATCTGATGGGTTTAAATATGGTGCTGATTTTATAGTGTACAAAGGTAGTATTTTTTTTATTTTTTTTTTTTTTTGGCGTCCTCTCTCTTGCATCCTAAATGGAAACAGCATATCTGTATATTCCACTTTGTAGTAGCAAAAGTCCTTACATCACAACCCCACCCTTCTGGCTCAGTAGTATCTGAATGTGTTCATGTTAAATTTTTTTTGATCATTTATAGGGGATATCAACACAGAGCATGGATTTGCATTGGTTTTCATAAAAGCAGAAAACGCAAAATTAAGTGATAAAGAAAAAACGATAATTTGTAGGATATGCGAAGGTGTTAAAAAAAAGGTAGGTATCATTAGGAATATATTGTTATATGAGAAAAGTGAAAACTTACCATATGTCTCAATGTTAAGAAGTCAAATTTCACTAACGATGATTTCTTATTACATTATCCAACATAGTTCCCACTTTCCTGTTATTACACCTTTACTGAATTTTGGTAACTTCCCTCTCCACCCCCCCCCCCCCCATAACTTATGGTATTTTTTCTTAGGGAATAATTGCATATGTCAATGAAGAAGCCAAGAATATTAAATACGAAGAAATTTTTAGACAAATAGAATAATCATGTGATTTTCATATGAAAAAATATTTAAATTGTGAAGAGGTTCAGAAGGCAGAAAAGCAAAAAGGGGTGTATTTTATATTCTTTTACATTTTAGTAACCCAATTATAAAAAGAAAAATAAATTACTGGTCTACATAAATGAAAACTGAAAAGGACAAAAAAAACCTTTTTAAAGTATATATACACTGGCATACCAAGTATGGTGAACATTTTTGCAAACGAAATATCTTATTTATGTAGCACATGAGGGTGTAACAATAAACAATTCCATTTTTGCATTCATTAAAAGTGTTGTAAAAAAAAAAAAAAAAAAAAAAAAAAAAAATTTTATCACTTATAAAAACCTCTTATTAATAAAGAATACATAAAACATTAGCAGTTTTTACTATCAGAAAAAAGGAGCTACATGTTCGGTGCACTATATATATGATGAAATTAAAAAAAAATATATATAAATAAAGAGTGAAAAACAAATGATAAATGTGCATAAATAGAATTGATTTGCAGGATATATGATGCTCGTCCATGGAGTAATATCTGCATTCTTAAATGCACAATGCGCTTTTTTTTTTTTTTTTTTTTTTTTTTTTTTTTGTGTGTGTCTTGTGAGAACAGGCTTTGCAGATCAGGAAGGTGAATAGGAGTGTTAAGTAAAATTCTCACACGAAAATTTTGTCAGATCACTTCTCTTCGTATCTCCTCCCACGACACTCAGGTGCACCGGCTATGTTTCCAAATTGAATGTTAGCAAGGATTTGTCAACGATGGAAAAATTTAGCTTGCTTAGGAGAGAGGCTGTGTTCCTATTTATGAGTGTCAACTGCACGGGTAAGGCATTATCCATGAGGCATAACTGAATTAGTAATATGTAAATCATAAGCTTGCACTTGTGCTTATCCGATACGATAAAATTTTGTTCTTTCTTTAAAAGAAAAGATTCTAAAAATTTGTGAAGAAAATCTGTAGGAAAATAGTTCTTTCCCTCCGATTTTAATTTCATATATCGTTTTAATTCCTGTTTACTACTTTTATGAATCATAAAACTTCCAATTTTGTTTGCATTAAAGAATGTAGAATGTTCAGCCGTGGCAAAACAGAGATACGAGTTTAAGACAGCAAAAATAAGGGCCAAATGTGAATTGGTTAATTTTTTTCTAATAGGATAGAATTCATTTTTTGTAAAATGTGTTAAAGTTTTGAAGCAAATTGGATGCATTTCATCATTTACTGTTTCTATTTTCGTTAATCCGTTTAGTACATTTAAGAATAATGTTTTTTCAAATTTGTCTGTAAAATTAGTTAATAATATATTAGGCAAATCAAATGAACTTAGAATACTTACTTCATTTTTATTTTTTACATATCTAGGTAGATAAAAATCAATGGCGACTTCATTTTCTTCTTTCGTCACATCGATATGATTATTTTTTGCATTTCTTAGCATTTTTCTTTGGGAAGTAAAATCTTTTTGTGCATCCTGGACATGTTGATCATCCTTTTCCGGTAGCATATGTTTAATATATTCTTTGAAGTTTTTAATTTGAATTACATTTAATATGTATAAAAATTTTGGATAAATATATAACAAATAAAATAGAAATATGCTTCTATATTTACAAACCATATCGTCTAAATTATTTTTGCTTTCCCCTTGTAATGGATCATTTGCTTCATTTGCTTCATTTGCTTCATTATTCCTTGGACATTCAAACCAACGATAATTCATCAAATAATCACTTATTCTAAATTTTATAGCTTCACCTGTTATTCTGTTCGTTTCCATATATGAAGTATTATTCAGAATGTCACTTTGGATACACTTCATGACATTTTCGTACAGCTGATTTAAGTTATTATGAATATTTTTGAGTACATACTCCTTCGTTGGATCGTAATGCACATAGTACTTACTCAACTGTATGTTTAAAGAGATATCATATATATTTTTGTAGTATAAATTTATTATTAACCCATAGAGATATTCCTTGATCGATCTTAAGTGATTTTTTTTAAAATAACTATTAACATACATATTGCTGTAATTTTGAATCTTAAACTGAAGTTTATTTAGCCATTTATGGGAGTATATTTCATTCCTTATGAAATTCCAATAGAATTCTTTTTTCTTTTCTTTTTTTGAATTTACAATGTAAGCAGTTAATTCTGCATAATTGTATATGTCAATTTTGTATTCATCCTCTTGTATATTCTCCTCAATTACAACGATATATTCCTTCACAGTATTGCTCTTCTTAGAATCGATACTATCGATATTTCCACTATTTATGTAACATGTTCTGTTTTTCCATCCATCCTTATTGGTTAACAGATTGTTTACAGTATTCATCTTCATTTCTTTTTTTTTAATCTTATTTTTAACATTCAAAAATTCCATATAATTTTTCTTCATGTCAGGCGTTATCTGGTTTTTTAAGTAACTTACTGTATTTTTATACGCATTTACATATTCCCCATTGTTAATACAGTATATGTCCAAATTCCTATTCGCAATGTCATTCACATTTATTTTAAAACCTATACACTTAGAATTAATCAGTGGATGTACAATTACATTTTTTTTTATATCCTCAATTTTCTGTTTTTCCAATATTAAAACGTCATTACGTTTTCCAATTTCATTTGCGCTTCGATAGCTCTTCCCCTTCAAATAGTTCATTAACAATTTTTCCTTTCCATGATTACATAGAAGATCTTCATCACTGTCATCACTGTTTACAACAATGCCTATTTCATTGTTTACTTTAGATAAATATTTCTCGAACGTACTTAGACTGTTTTCTTGTTGCTTTTCATGAAATTCTCCTTCCATTTTCTGATCTTGGTTATTACGTTTACTACCTTGGTCATTTTCTCCCCTCGTGCGGACGCATCCCAAGTAGTGATAATTGAATAGATCATTATTCTGCCACACTCCATCCTCGATATATCGATCATCAATATCATTCATCTCTTTCACGTTCATGTATTTTTTCTGTACTTCCTTTATGGCACTTAATTGGACTTTTTTATACTTGACCTGCATCATAAAATTTGTGCCATTTTTATGATTAGGTTGCTTATCGAAACCATTGGCCGAATCTACCAAAAGATAATCGTCTGAATCTGAATTTTGTTCATCCATATTTAACAGTTCTACATCTTTTTTTTTGACTGGTCGAACACTACTCTTACTAATATTGATTCCACGTGTATAAAGTATATTATAAAAGGAATGAAACAATTTATCGAAAAAAATATTGGACTTATTTTCATCCTTAATAATGTTATTTTTTAATATATCATAGAAGGAATCCCTCAAGGATAGACAATCCCCTTTATATGTCATACTATTGGCAGTAACACTTCCAGTTCGACTTGAAGTATTACTATTACGTGCTTCCAAATATCTTTTAAATTTTTTTAAATTTAAGAAATTTTTATTTTTATATTTGTTAAAAATGACGTATAACAGATTATATCCCTTACTTCCATTTTTAATTCTCTGTAATAAATCATTAAGATTATTTTTTAAATAATTTTCATGTAATATGTAACAAAAAATATCATTTTTTGATAACATATAAATGTTCATATCTCCATGATAACAAATATCATATGTTACATTAATTGTTTTCCTTTTTTCTTTCTTAAGAACAAAAATGTGTGTTAGTAAATTTTTTTCCTTAAGCTCCTTAATATTCGGATTTTTCAAAATAGGAGAATAATTTAAATTATCATAAAATGTTATATAAAACAACATCTTCATTTTTTCTTTGCACACTTTGCACTCCTTGCTCGATTTAGCAGAAAAATCGTTACCACCACCACTACTATTACTACTACTTCTACAACTGTGGGAGAGAAATAATTTTTCCACATTTTCGATACTCAAATTATTGTACAGGTTTTTCTTTTTCATTAATTTTTCTAAAAATATTTCATGATTTTTATAAAAATGCTTTAGCATATTATGCCTAACAATTCTATATAACATCCTTTTCTTCTTTTTCTCTATATAATTTTTATTATTCATATAACACATGTATAGGTATAACTTATTAAATAATGTATTCATTTTATTTCTATCTATATCATCTCCATATTTGTTTAAAAAATTTATTTGTAAAATTTTCTTTTCTCGTTTTTTTGCCACTTTTACAATTCTTATCAGATCTCTTAAATATGCTGGGTATCTGTTAAGCAAGTTAATTCTTCTATTTTCACAACTTCGCGTAACTTTATCTCTTTTTTTCATTCTTCTGAAACCGGGACCCTCATTCCCGTTTTCAAATGTGTCGGATTCATTTACATTTTCCACACTGAGATTGCAAGTATCGACAAGAATGTTCTTGTCATTTCTATCATCATCCCTACGTGTTCCAGCATTTTTGCTTTTCTTTTTAAGGGGTCTCCCTTCAATAACAATTTCTTCCTCACTTGATGTATATATCTCGCTATCGTTATCATAATCAAATAAGAATTTATTCTTATAAATCAGTAAATTCTTATTTATTAAGTTGTACAGTAAATCATTATCATTTTCACAAATTTTCTCTTCTTCATTCTTCGATATGTTTTTATTTCTCTTATTATTCGTAGCATGAGAAGCACCCGAATTCGCAACGTTGATTGCCTTTCTTCTTTCATTTAATTTTTTCCCATACAGAATATCGTTTATTTCTTTATAAGCTATCAAATATCTATAAATAATATGCAAACATTTATCATAAAATATATCAAAATTACAACTTCTGTCCCCATTACTAATAAAGAAGAATTCAAGGAAATTTTTTATTAACTCCTTCGACTGGTTCCTATTTCTTATTATGTCTTCTTTCAACAATTTTAGATCTTTTAAATGATTTTTGAATATTTCAGTATCATACGTATTCTCATCGTCAACAAAGTTTATGTTGTGTTTGTTCAGGGCATTTCTCAGAGCAACTAGGACAAAGCGGTTTTGGGTCCCATTGAACGAACGATCCATTTCGAATGTCTAATTTTATACCCCTCCCCCCTTTCCCAAATAAGTGATTTTTTTCACAGTCAGGGGTAGCAAAAAGATTGGAAGTATTCCCAACTGGAGGTGAAAGTATTCCTTGGTTGGGCATAAATGTTCGATACAGTGTTTGCAAAGACTCACTGCAATTTTTTCCAAGAATTGCCAAACGTGTCAGAATTCGAAGTTTAAGTTCGAGCGTTCCTTTAATATACTATTTATACTCTTTTTATTTTCCCCTTCTGTTTCACTTCGCATTGATCATATTTTACAAATATTCCGACATGTTGATACTGCTTTCTCTAGTCGGTTGATGGGTTGACCTTTATTTTATTTCTCTTTATAGTGTCCCTTTTTGATTTGTATGGGGTTTAATTCTCATACTAATTTTTCTCTTATTTTATAAACTTCTTGCAAAAATATAAAGGGAAGTGAAATATTTCATTTTTTTTTTTTTTTTTTTTTTAAATGTCATACTTACAAGATGTATTCCTTTATAGAACTTTTATTTAACATGCCCTTTTGTTGTATTTAAGATTTGCTTTATATAAAATCTATAAAAAAAATTCCAAATAGGTATTGTTCCATTTCAAATTATTTATGACTTTTTTTTTTTTTTTTTTTCCTTTTGGTAGTCACGCCTTTTTGGTTACGTTAAAAATAAGTATATATATAATATGCGGCATGGGACAAATTTGTATGTATGTAATTACCTGCGCAATAAAATGAGAATCAGTAAAATTTGGGCACTACAAAACGCGGCAGCATTGATGTAGTAGTGACGCTGTATTAATGTAGCAATGATGGCACATTGATGTAATAGTAAAATATTCCTTTAGCTATTGTTCATGGCTTTTTTTTTTTTTTTTTTTTTTTAACTTTTATTTTTTTCCTTATCCCGTGTAGGGCAAATTATTATTTTATATAAAGAGATAAAAAAAAAAAAAAAAATTATGCGATTTTTTAAAATATAACAAAAAATTAGTTTACAAATCCTTTAACCTTTTTTCCCTCGTTTCCAACGGCATAAAACAAAAAGATCACATGGTTTAAAAGTAGTTGTCATGTACATATATATATATATATATTATACAAATATATATTATGACCGTTGTACATTGATTTGCAATGATGACATAGCTAAGATAGTAGCTAAGTTAACAGTACATTTTGTTCAGTCACTAAATTTTACGGTTGGTGGATACATTTTTCAATTCATGTAAAAAAATTATATTGAGAACTATTTTTATTGGTTCACTCACCAAAGGGGGTGGTGGAACCCTGAATAAATGTTCCCTAAATTTTAAAATTCTCAATTTTAAGTTCATAACATTTTTCATATATTCTTAAAATTTGAGCATATTATTATAACTTTTTTTTTTTTTTTTTTTTTTAAGCATAGACAAAATGTTAAAGGAGACGTGGCAAAAATTATATAACAAACATTGACCACATTTCGTAATGAGGAATATAATTTCTTTTTTTTTTTTTTAATATCATTTACATATAGAATAAAGCAAATTTTTTAAAAATAAGATTGACATAAAAATGAGTAAATGTTGCATAATTAGAAGTCTACATTAAAAAACAAAAAAAATTGAAAATTTTTTCCTCGTAAATTACGAGAACTGTCTTTTTTACTGAATGAATCATCGAAAAGGATATCAGAATTAAGAATATCCGAACACAATATATGCATTTTTATTCTTTCGTACAAAAGGCAAAAATTTATTTATCTGTGTATTAAAAAAAAAAAAAAAAGGTGAAAATATTCTTTACCACTCAGTTATCCTTACCAGTTCTTTTCTTGGGTTGTGTGCAACTTGTTAATGCATTTGGTTATAATCGTGTTATTCATCCGACCACCACCTAATTTTTTTTTTTCTTCCAGTAGCTATACATTCTTATATCACTATTTTATTCATACGTCATCTTTGAAATTTTTTATTTTATTTTTTCCAAAAGGTTAAAATTTGAAAAATTTTGGACAAATATAATTTTAAGGTTTTGCAAGTGTGCGTATATATAACAAAAACAATTTAATATTTTGGAATTTCTTAATTTAGCCATAGGTGGTGCAGGTCTATTCCCTTTTTTTCAAATTCCTCGCAAAATATTGAGATATTTTCAAGTGAATGTGCCATTCGATTTCTATTAAACCTTATTTGCATTCTCCATAACAATGCTCTAAAAGCAAAAGTTCCAAGAAAATTATAGGTCATAAGTGAGTATACACTTGTAAGGCTGTTCATGTGTTTATCCAAGTGGGAAAAGAGATTAGGAAAATAAAATAACAATTTGGAGAGAATAATAAGGCAAAATAGGAAATATTTAAAGAAATTACTTTTTTAAAAACGAATAAAAAAAAAAAAAAAAAAGTAACCATTTCGCTATATGACATAATACAACTTTTAATCGATGTACTTATTTAGGATATCTTTGCAAGCACAAGTATATTTTTATTTTTTTCTCTTTTTAAAAAGACTGTAAGCACCTTTCTTCTTCCTCCTGCTCTTCTCTTTTTTTTTTTTTTTTTTATAAACTACTAAACTATTCCTTTTTTGTTACATATATACGTTCTAAGTAATACATTAAAAAACGAAATCGTTTTACGCGTCCTACTTACACACACAATAATCATTTGAAAATATGACAAACAATGTCTATACAAATAAAAAGATATGTGTGTCTAACGGAGGGAAAAAAGCATGTTCCAATTATCCCCTTAGAAAAAAATAAACAAAATAGCAATTGCAATATGCAAGCTCAAACTAAACATGTAAATTATTTTCTAGAAATAAAGAAAAATAATAAAAAATTAGAACAACCTTGGTTACATAAAAAGGAGAAAAAAAAGAAGGAAACTATTTCACCTCTTAATAAAAATGCATGCACCCTAATTTGTAAAATAAATAAAGATGAATTCCAAGTTAATGGAAATAAAAAGGTAAAAGGAGCAAATCCTCTGCATGCATATAATAACACTCTTCACATGATGATTAAAAAGCAGGAAAGAAGTAGTACTTGCAAATTCACCCATATACATGAGGTGGACAATAATAAAATGTCTTTTAGGCAAGTTCTAAAATGTAAGGAAATAAGTGATAATCAAAGGGGTGTAGACTCTAAAGCAAACATTAGAAAAATCAAATGTTTGAAGTCTGTGCCAATTTGGAAAACAAATGAGACAATAAAAAAAGACCACTTCAATGAAGAACCTAAAAGTGGAATTAACACCAAACAAAAACACTCCTCTAACATGGAACGTAAGATTGTTCAGACACACATACACAAAACGGCAACTAATGGAGGAGGAGAAGAGAAATGTCAACATGGAAATAAATATTTACGCCAAGAGATTAGGGGAATTTTTTCACATAGGCCCAGTGCAGTTTTTAAAAATAAAATGAAAGAAAATTCAGCAAAAGGGAACCAAAATTTTCACTTTAAAGAAGAAATGAAAGAAAAAAACGAATTATATAACAAATGTCATAATGGAAATGGGGTGAAAGGTATATTATTTCGCAGTGATGGTAGACAAAAAAATAAAGATAGTAGTAAACGCATTGAGTGCAAAAATGAAGAAATAAATACCACAACATGTAGATACGTAAAAAAGAGTGAAGAATATCAAAAGTTATTTAACCTCAAATTGAACAATGGAAATACGTATACACATAAAAAAATAAGTCATGAATGTAGATTAAAAAAAGGTGCAGAAAAAAATAGGTTCATAAGAAAAATAGAAAATGTGACTTGTATTGAGAGTGAATTGGGAGATGTAAAAATAAATAGAGAAAGGTTTGAATCTATTAATGGATTAAGAAAATGCAAAGTAAATACAATCCTCTTGAGTAAAAGTTGGATGAAAAAACGGATTATTGAAAAATTGGCGTCGTTTAACTGGGGTGGGAAAAAAAGGGGTACATTGCATTCAGATGTAACAGGGAGGTTTTCCCCAAATGATGAAAACTGTAATGAGATGCTACCAAATAAAAAACAGATTTACGAAAAACAACTTTATGAGGACACGGAAACAGGCCAAAGTGCGATGAAAATGGATACTGGCGAAAGGGGGGTAGAAATGGGCCCCTTGAAGAGGTATAAAATTATAGCACTAAAACAAAAGAACAAAGGATTGAGGAACAATTACATAATAATAAAAAAAATTGGAAAAGGGACGTTTGGAAAGGTGTGTCTAGGAATTCATATACATACACAGGAAATGGTAGCAATAAAAATTTTAAACAAGAAAAGATTAAAACGTTTAATCAGTTATGATAAAATAATGAAAGAGATAGAAATACATCAACAAATGAATCATAATCACATATGTCAATTTTATGAAGTATATGAAAATAGGAAAAATATATATATGATATTAGAATACGTATCAAATGGTGATTTATTAACTTATATTTATAAAAATAAAAAAAGAATAAATGAAGACACTACGAGGAGAATTTTCTATCAGTTAATAAGTGCAGTAGATTATTTACACAAACTTAATGTAGTGCATCGAGACTTGAAACCAGAAAATATACTATTAGACGATAATGAAAATATAAAATTAATCGATTTTGGTCTTTCCACTGTTTATAAAAAGAATAATTTATTAACAACATCATGTGGATCCCCATTTTATACATCCCCAGAAATATTACTAGGAAATAAATATCACGGTGAATTAACGGATGTATGGTCTTTAGGTGTTATACTTTTTTTATTGCTTAATCGAAAATTACCATTTAATCATAGTAAATTGAATATATTATTTCAAAAAATTATAAAAGGCTTACTACATTTCGAACCTTATATTTCGGAGAGTGCTAAAAATTTAATTCGAAATATGCTCAATGTGAATTATCAAAAAAGGTATTCCCTGAGGGATATAAAAAGACATCCATGGTTTTTCACTTGTAATATGAAAAAAGGAAATCTGACAAATTTGTATCATGACAGTTGTAATTTAATTTGCTGTAATCTATGCTTGCACAAAATAAGCATTCAAAATAATCCCCATTTAATGCGCTTAATTTTAAATAAAATTTGCAAAATTTACACCATCGATGTTAAAAAAGTTTTCAGTGACATAAGGAAAAAAGAAAAAAATTTTGTTCAAACTGCTTTTTATCTTTTATTAAATAAAACTATTCGAATGCTATCCAGACATAATTATTTCTATTCTCACATTTTGCTAATTAGTCAACAGTATCCTCATCAAACACACGAGAAAAGTGAACTGCTACGCAACAGCTCTGGCTTCTCCATGTATTCCACCTCACCTGCCTTGACCCCCTCTACATATAACAGTAAAAATGATAATAATAATAATAATAATAATAATAATAATAGTAGTAACGTTTCTAAATATCCTACCATATTTAGAAACATTTCTTCGTTCAACTTTTTGGAAATATTACAAAAATGATATCACCCATTTTTCGATCCTTTTTTCTTCTCCCCACCAGTAGTACAAAAAATAATAAGTAAATATTACTGCTAGTCAACAGAATTCAATTGAAGCAGCTGTTAAATATTAACTATTTAAGAAATGTCATCTATATGGTTGTGTTAAGAATTGTAACTATTGGGGAACAAAATAGGGTGCAAAATAATGCCTTAACAACTTAAGTTGTCTAAAACGGAAGGAAAGAAAAAAAAAAAAAAAAAAAAAAAAAGAGTCACCTATCTATCATCACCTTCGAGATATAAAATTATGAATGTAATTAATGACATAGAGTTGATCAACACTAGTAGTAATATAATATCCCAAAAAAGTGGGAAAGAAAGAACAGTAGCAGCGGCACGTAGGAGCAGATATGGACAAACCATAAAATATGTACCCTCCTATTTGAGCATTTCGCGAAGGGGGGTATTTTATTACCTATGGAAAGGCGAAGAAATGAGCACACTTTTAATGAAGTGGAAAAGGGGGGGAGGGTGGAGGGGGTAAGTTGGAAGAGCTTTCAGTTTTTTCCTCTTCATAGCATGTAATAATCCGATTGTATCGTGGAGCATTAGTGATATCTAAATCCAATACACAAAACATTAATGATTTGATCAGTTTGATGAAGTGTTTATATATATATATATTCTCTGAGGAAAATAGTTTTCTTTTTTTTTTTTCTTTAATTTTTCTTTTTTTTTTTTTTTGTTCTTTTTTTTTTTTTATTCACATAAAGAGGTTTTGCATGACAATGTTATGTATATTATCTATGTGGCACAAGTAATATATTTACACGTATAAGTATGCGTAATATTTCAATATATAATTTGGGGGGTACAACCGAAACTACAAGATTTTGGACCCCTCTTGGTATAGAAGCAACGTTATTGGGAAGAAAGTTGTGGATACATGTTACAGGGAAGGGATTCTAATCAAAGAATTTATTTTTGCAAGTGCATCTGCATGAGGGATGATGGGGGGAGAAAAATGGAGGAAAAAAATAATTTTCTATCTTGCATGCCATTTTTTTTTGGGATTACATAAAATTGTCGTCAATTGTTTTGTTCCTTTTTTTTTTTTTTTTTTTTTTTTTTCAAGCCTCATTCATGCTCCGCGCAATGCTTATGTTAATGTTTGTTTATTCATTTATTGTTAAGGTACAGAAGAGATAAAATTAATAATGTTACTATGTTTTATTATGTATATTTTTATTTTTATATATCTATGTATTTTTTCGAATTTTTATTTAAATGATTTTTAAAACTACTTCAACAAAATTTTCAATGATTTTTTGAAGCTTGTTTTTTTTTTTTTTTTTTTTTTTTTATTTTTGTTGTTACTACAATTTTTTTTTAGACCACTTTTTGTACCTTTTTTAAGATTTTTTTTTTCTTTTCTATGTTGTTTCGTATTAGATTGTGCTTTGAATGGGATAAAACTATTATTTTGGTAGTAGATAGTGGATATTGGATAGAGGATAGTAAATAGTGGATAGCTTTTTTTTTTTATTTTCAAAAGCATGTTTACATATATATATATATATATATATATATATATATATATATATATATATATATATATATATATATATATACATTTATGTACGAATGCGCATAAAAATACATCTTTACATGCGTATGTTAAACATGAACCTATTTTAGTATATTTCTGAAGTTGCACTATTAAGTCAAAATTAATTTTACATGTACATAATATATTAACCTTTTATGCAATCCCGATAGTTTATTTTTCAGTATTACATATATTTAACTTTTGTTCCGAAAATTTATTTCAATGCGTATTATGTTAAATGCTGTGTTGTGAAGCGGCTAATCGATTAAGTTGTGAGACTGTTAATCGGTTAGTCTGCTGGTACCCTGCGACGTCAGGTGGCACAACTATCTACCACATAGAAACCTACATTTTACCCAACTAGCCATTTGCTAACAAAATCGAGGCACCAAGTAGTGCTCTGCGAATTTTACGCAATATAATAACCCCCCACCCCCTCCCCCTCATTCAAAAGCTTACTAATTTTCTTCTTTTTCATATTTTATACAACTACAGTCACCAAATATGCGTGTGAATTCCCTTGTGTATGCCCTCTCTTCATTAATGGTATTCCATTTAAACCTCTTTTACAAAGGAAAAAGGGTTAACTACGTTTCCGCTTATATTAGTTCCCTACATAACTACAGCAATCACAACAGTAGTGGAAGAAACGGAAGCAATAACGGTGATCAGAACAATAACAACCCTAATCAGAAAGGGAAAAACAAAATAGATACAAACGGAACCTCAAACAAAATTGGAAAATCGTACTTAAACAAAAAGTTCTTTCAGATTTATCAACAAAAAAACGTAAGAGGAAATAGCACTTCGGAAAACCATAACAAGGTAAACGAACAAGACACAGAAAAGGAGGATCAAAAGCAAAGTGATAGGAAGAAGGAAGAGGAAAAACATATAAGGAGTGAAAACATTGAGAATAAAAACGTTCAACAGAACAACCAAGTAAATAAAAACGAAAGAAACGAGGATATAAAAATGAAGGAGGATATCAAAGAGAGACTCCAAAAAGTTAAGAAAGTTATGGAAGAAAACAATATAGATGTGTATATACTAATAAATAGCGATGAACACAATTCAGAAATTATAAATGATAAAGATAAAAAAATATATTATTTAAGTAATTATAGTGGAGCAGATGGTATATTAATACTTACAAAAGATAAACAAATAATTTATGTCAATGCTTTATATGAATTACAAGCAAATAAGGAATTAAATCATGATATATTTACTCTTAATATTAGCAGAATCGATAACCCGAATGAAATATATGATACTATTGCATCCCTTGAATTTAACAACATTGCTTTGGATGGCAAAAATACCAGTGTTGCATTTTATGAAAAATTAAAAAATAAGATCGAATCTACTTACCAAAATAAAAAAGTTGAAGAAAAAGTAATTTACGAAAATAATATCAATGAAATTGTGAAAAATGAAAATATAAATTTTTTAATTTTAGAAAAATCTTTAGTAAATATAGATAATTATCCAGTAAATGATAAAAAGGTATTTATACACGATAGGTATTATAACGGTGCATGTGCAGGGGAAAAAATTGAAAAATTAAGACAAACTTACGCCTTCGATATTAAAAATGTAGATAAATTACTCCTTTCAGAATTAGATGAAATAGCATATATTTTAAATTTACGAGGTTATGATTATACTTTTTCGCCACTTTTTTATGCCTATCTGTACTTGGAATTTGATAGAGAAAACTATGATTTTAGTAAAATGATTTTATTCACCGTGTCCAAGAATTTATCCGAGAGTTCCATCAGACATCTCAATACTATTCATGTAGAAGTAAGGGAGTATGAAACGGTGGTTGAATATTTAAGAGATAACGTTTCATCCAAAACGATGGTAAACAAGAAAAATAATAAACAAGAAGATGCTCTTTTAACAAATTATTCTTCGAACCCTAAACAGCAGGGAATTTTAAAAGAATCAGATACACAGAAGAAATACGAAATATCAATGAGCCCATATATTAACTTAATCATATACATGTTATTCGATAAGGACAAAATATTATTACAGAAATCTCCAGTTCTTTATATGAAAGCTGAAAAAAATGATGTCGAAATTGATAATATGAAAGAAGCACATGTGTTAGATGCTTTGGCACTTTTACAATTCTTCCACTGGTGTGAAGAAAAGAAAAAAACGAAAGAGTTATTTAACGAAACAGAAATTTCTTTAAAAAATAAAATAGATTATTTTAGATCAACCAAACCTAAATTTATATTCCCATCTTTCGCAACCATATCAGCAAGTGGACCCAATGCTGCAGTTATTCACTACGAGTGCACAGAAGCTACGAATACGAAAATAGCACCAAGTATATATCTCCTTGATTCGGGGGGACAATACCTACATGGAACAACAGATGTAACTAGAACAACGCATTTTGGAGAACCCACAGCAGAAGAAAAAAAAATTTATACTCTAGTTTTAAAAGGGCATTTACATCTAAGAAAAGTTATTTTTGCTAGCTATACCAACTCCATGGCATTAGATTTTATAGCACGTGAAAATTTATTTAAACATTTTCTCGATTATAATCATGGAACTGGTCATGGTGTAGGTCTCTTTTTAAATGTTCATGAAGGTGGTTGTTCAATTTCACCAATCTCTGGCACGCCGTTGAAACCATTTATGGTACTTTCTAACGAACCTGGATATTATTTGAAAGATAAATTTGGTGTTAGAATTGAAAATATGCAGTATGTGATTGAAAAAAAAAAAACAGAAAATACGAAATTTTATTCATTCCAGGATCTAACTCTCTACCCATATGAAAAAAAATTAATGGATTTTTCTCTACTAACAGTTGATGATATTAAAGACATCAATGAATATCATGATACCATCAGAAAAACTCTTCTTCCAAGGTTAAAAGAAAACCCCTCAGAGTATGACGAAGGTATAGTGAACTACTTGATGGACATTACCGAGCCGATTGCATTCAATTAGGTTGTAGAGGCAAGTATCCTGTGATATGTACATATTATTATTTTTTTTCATAAATAGATGAACTTTTATATGATGTATAATATTTTTTTTTTTTTTTCCTTTTTTTTGTGTATCAAAAGAGCGATAGCATATATATATTTTAACAACTGTTACAAAGATGCATTCTCTAGGGTATACACACAGACACATATATATATATATATTTATATATCTACATATTTGCTTAAATAGTTCGCAGAAGTTGCACGCTTTTTCTATAAAAATTGTCACAAATGTATGGGAAAAATTAATAACATACGTGTATATACAACACCCATGAATTGACGCGGATGATATTGGTACCATTTAAATATGAATTATAGGAATTTTTTTTTTTTTTTACCTCTTTATTTACACATGTGCAATTTAGAATTGTTGATTCATCAAAGTTCCTGCAATAATACTAAACTAAGAAAAAACATAAGAAATAAATGCGCATATTTTTTATTCATAAAAAATTAATATATATGAACATATAACAGTTGCAGAATGTACAAAAAGAAAAAGGTACAGGGTCTCCCTTCTCTATACGTTTCTACCATTCAACTATTTAGGATGTGTGATTTCATACAGGGAAGGAATGGGATAGATAGAAATTTATGTATAACGCGATTGTTATAAGTTCCAATTTGATGGATGATAAGGTTAACCCTTTTCATATACAGCATTTTAAGAAAGAAAATATTAAATCATGCTTTATTTTCTTTTGGTCTATGAAAATAAGTTTTTTCCTTCCAATGAATATTATCCCCAACCTGTCTTTTTGTGCCTTATCACGCGGGTCAATGAAACACAAAAACGACAGTTTACCTAAACTTTATACTAACAACATAGTGACAATTGGTACAAAAAAAAAAAAAAAAAAAAAAAAAAAAAATACTTATGGAGATAAAGGGAGAATAACCATTTTTTCGTAAAAAGGGTTGCAATACTGTTATAACCATAGGTGAACTCAAAAAATAAAAGTGCAACAATTTTTTACAAATTTGCCAAGAAGATAAACAGTTAAATTGCAAATAAATGCATTCCATATGGAGAAAATTACAAAAGATAAAATTTTATAGTAGCAATTTGGTTCGTATATTTCTTACATTTCGAATTGTGTTTCCATTTACCAGGATTTTTGTTTAGGAGAAGAGATTCTTACGCATTTATTACATATACATATAAATATATATATGAGCACATGTAGTTACCAGGGGGCCATTTCATTTTTTCCCCTTTAAAAAAGGGTCAAAACAGTTTAAGACATGCAAAACGTAATAATATCCAATGTGCTTATTTTTCCATGCGTATGATGTAACCATTTCAGCTTAACATATTTGAAATATGATTAAAAAGAAAATTTTCTCTTTTGTGTTAGCTGTAACATATTCCTACAAATACTCCATTGGGGGGCTAATCACCGTGAAAATGACATTTAGCACTAAATATAGATTCGCTTAATTTGTTGGGTTAAGCAACTAATATGTCTTCACAGTTGTTCTACAGGTTTGCTTGTAGTTCGTCACTGTTTTTTCTTCCTTCGCTTTTTGGTACAAGGACGAAAAAAGTTATGTCATGTATATGTATGTATATGTACGCATATATATATATATATATATATATATATATATATATATATATATATATATATATATATATATATAATTATGTAAAACCTTCTATTTGTTTTCAATTTTTTTTTTACTTCCCCACCCCTTTACATGACTTGTACGATTTATGCTGCTTTAAATACATTGGACAGTTCATTAAATGTTTTCTTTTTGTTTTTGACATAATTTTCTTCTCTAACTTGATTTTAATATACAATTAATCCCATTACACTTCGATTTTTTTTTTTTTTTTCCGCAAAAATGATAATTATGGTACGAGTTTTAATAAAATGCACATATATTTTTTCCTGGTTTTACCCTTTTTTCCCTTAAATATTATACTATTTTTAACTGCATATGTTTAAAAAAAAAAAAAAAAACTCTTTGTTTAAACGTAATTTTATATTTTCTCAGTTTAACACTGTTTGGTTTATTTATACTTGTTTTTCTGCATCATAAATTTAAATGTTATAAATAAAATTATATTATGCCCCATCTTTTTCATTTCTACATTTGGATATATTTTTTTTTTTTTCTTTTCTTTGTGAAAAATTTTGTTCGTTTTTCATGAACTATACATTCGTATAAGTTAAATTAAAGAAAAAAAAAAAAAAAAAAAAAAACAGTTTGAATACTTCAAGAATTTTTGAAAATTTTATTTTGATAATGCTCAATAAAAACATTTAACTATTTCTTACTTTTTTTTTTTTTTTTTAGTGATCATAAATATATGCATTTAATATGTCAACATACAATATATAAATGCATAAAAAAGGAATGATGGTATGTTTTATCCCATCAACCAAATGAAAACTGAAATACCCTCTTTTTCCCCCCTTTGAACCTTTCAATACATTATATATATATATATATATATATATATATATATATATCTTGCTAACTCTTTAAAAAAAAAACAAAAACAAATGAGGGTTAACTTATTTTCGCGGTTTTATGAAGGAAAGGGGGTTGCAAGAGTACCCATATGTTTACTCCACGTAAATGGAAATATCTTGAATAATGGATTCTATTCATGTGTTGCTCGGCGGTACAGTGATAATGTAAAAGATCATTTTAACAAACCAAGAAATGTTGGTTCGTTTGACAAGAATGAAAAAAATATTGGAACATCTATTGTAGGAAAAGCGTCATGTGGTGATGTTATAAAATTGCAATTAAAAATTGAAGACAATGTAATTAAGGATGCCCGTTTCATGGCATTTGGATGTGGTTCAGCAATTGCTAGTAGTTCATATGCCACTGAATTGATCAAGGGAAAGACAATTGATGAAGCTCTGGAAATTAAAAACGATGATATAGCTTCGCACTTGAGTTTACCACCAGTCAAAATTCATTGTAGCTTATTAGCTGAAGATGCAATAAAACATGCCATTAAAAATTATAGGGAAAAAGTAATAAACTGATAAACCCATGGAGATATGAACCTTGCTCATTTAATCGGAAGCAAGCGTAATTACATCTAGATGATTTTTTTTTAAAAAAAAAGTGAGTTGGGAAAAGGAGCTTCCCTATTAAGTTTTTGTGCCTATATGTCCCAAATATTTCCAACCCAGATTATATGTGAAACACTTAGTAGAACAATTATTTCTTACTATTTACCATAAGATCAAGTGTTAACTACAACTGATATATTTTAATCAAGAAATGCGTAAAATAATATCCAAACAGAGAGATGAACCCTTTTTTTGTAATGTTGCATGTATGTATATTTATGAACATTACAATTAAATGTCGTAATTTTTTTTTTTTTTTTTTTTTTATTCATCTTTCCCATTTAATTCGGAATTCACTAATACGATAAACAAATTTTCTTAACCATTTTGCGATGCTTCTTTGGATCAATCATAGCAATCTCCCCACTCTTTAGTTGTATACTTCTTTGAAAGTTCATTATGGGGGGGGAATGATCTAATTTTCCACCCCTCAGAATATATATAAATGAACCTTTTTTATTTTTTTTCGTTTTTTTGTATCATGTTCTATTTTCTCAAAATTTGCAACTATAAATTTATATATGTATGTGCGTGTGTATGCGCATACATATATTGCATCAATTTATATCTTTTGCTTTTTCTCACCCTTTTAATTTTTTTAAAGCATTTTAAAATATCAAAACTTAGTAAAACAAGAATATAAAAATAAATAAATAAAATATAAGTTCAAAATAGATGACAACAAATTTAAATTTAACGTGAAGCGTCATTTGTTTATTTGTGATACGTGGTCTTATAGCCCACTCAAAGAAAACCTATTGATGGAATTCTCGATACCATCCAAAAAAAAAAAAGAAAACAAAACAAAAAAAAGAGAGAAAAAAAAAAAAAAAAAAATGGGCCAAATTAATTCTTACAAAAGAAACAAACCAATATCTTTTTATTGTAAGATGATTAAGGATTACTCCTCATATGGATATACTTATACTAAGCAGATTCGTTATTGAACAAAGGAAGCTAAAATAGAGTATATGAGTAATGATATTCATTCGTCTGCGTACAAGTTTAGTTATTCCAGATGAATACTCATTCTCTCATTGCCCTTTAGACACGCCTTCTCTTCCGCGGCTTGGATGCATTTAATCCACATTTCGGCAATCTAGGTTCATGAATAATTTGTGTAATATTCAAGTTATTGGCATACATGGCTTGTAAAACAGTTTCGACTCGCATAATTCTTCGAAATTTTATATCTATACTAAAAATACCAAGCCTTCTACATTTTTTAGCTATATTTTCTCCTATCCTATAAGCACATCTTTCACTTTGTTGTAATGTTTTTGTAAATCCGACATTTCCAGCAAAGGAACCAAAAACAGTTTTGTAGTTTTTACTTTTGTTAACAACCTGAACATGTACATTATTTTTAGAAGTTGTAATAACAGCACGGAATGAATCAGTAGGTTCTATTATCAGATTATTTTTATCTCTGTCAATATTATGAAATTCTTCTCTATCACCAAATAATTTAAATCGTCTTTTATGACCCTGACAATTTTTAAGAGTTTCTCTTGTAATATTTTTTTTTTTTTTATCAGGTTTTTTTACAACTTCTTTCAGATTTGTTATAGCCTTTACAGCTTCTTCTGATAGCGTTGTATAACATCTGGGTGCCTTCCTCGTCCCTTTTATTATAATTGTTTCCATATTATATGAAAGATGTCTATTTATATTACTACAGTATGGGAAGAAATATTCCGCTTGTTTTTTTAAAAAGGCTCTTTTGTGTAAAACAGAGATAACATTAAGCATTATTACATAATTTTATTTGTCAAGGAGAAATGGGGGAGAAAGAGTGAAGCCAAATATAACAGTTTTGAACCATCTGTTGTTTAGTTCGTTCTCTTCCAACAAGTGTTTGAAGTTCGTATAAATAGAAAACATGTGTGTGTGGAGGCATATATTCTCTTTTTTTTTTTTTTTTTTTTTTTTTTTTTTTTTTAGGTTGGTGAATTTCCAATTTTTTAATTTTTTTGAAAGGTTTTAATATTTTATTTTTTTTTTTTTTTTTTTTTTTTTTTTTGGTGTGGGTTATTATTTTTTTTTTTTTTTTTTTTTTTTTTTTTTTTTTTCTATAGGTTGGTGAATTTCCAATTTTTAAATTCTTTCGAAAGGTTTACATACTTTTCTATATATGAACCTACACTTTTCTTTTAATTATTAAGAAGTAAACATTTTCTTCATGGCAACTTATATTGTGCAACGATTTTGTTTTTTCTTCCCTTCTTTTCCTGTGTACTGTAAGTGAACGCATTTTGCACATATATACATGCATGCATTATTACAATATGCACAGCCGTAATTGTTCATGCAAAATGAATGAAAGGATAGGAGGTAAACACTATATGTAATTTGAAACCATAAAAGTAGATCCCTTTCGCTTCTTTGTATATAAGTTACGTAAAAGTAGCACTACGTATTTATACACTTTTCATGAAGGATAACTTTTTTTTTACTATGTACCTCATATGCACAATTTCCTGATTGTATGGTGCTGGGGCACATTTACACGTAAATAATATGCATAACAATAAAACGCAACTTAAAAAAGAGAAATGTGCACACTGAGGAGAGCAAAATTTTACACGATATACCAGGTTGTTCCATATGAAGAATACAATAGTAGTGGACTTCATAAGCCCCAATTTCAAGAGGGGAGAAAAAAAAAAAAAAATTTACGCAATCTGGCCATTTGGTTAGTTTTCATCAACATTTATTTTTGTTCTCCATCTTTTCTACAGTGTGCAATTTTAGAAAAGCCACGAATTATTTTACATCTATATGAAACGTACTCACCTTCCTACAAAAATTATTTCCAACACAAAAAATTTTTTTTTGAAAAAATGTGAAAAACATGCACAAAAAAGAGATTGCAAAAAATTGCACCCTGGTATTTTGTATTTTTGTACGATTGAAAGAAACCAAGACTGGGAAGTGAAAAATCATTGTGTTATGTTCATATTCAAAGAGTTATCGTAAAAATAATTGGCTGCTTACTATCGAGAATACGTTCATTTTGTTAACCTACACATCAGCCAAAAAAACCTCCTGTGCGGGAATACTAAATCGAAGCGGCAAAAAACAAATCCCCAAAAAAAAAAAAAAAAAAAAAAAAAAAAAAAAAAAAAATCACAAATAAATAAGTAAATAAATAAATGAACAAATAAACAAATAAACGAATAAACTAATAAGTTAACCAATAAATAAATTTTATGTTTATAAAAATTTCATTTAATGAGCAAATGAAAGAAGCAAAATTTTAAGTTAATAACGTCACCCGGCACGCCACACTAATGAAACTGGCATCGATAGAGAGAAAAATAAACTCATCTAAGAGCAAGTTAAAGAATAAAGAGAACAAGCATATATGTTCACATATATACAATCTTATAGATAAGTCAATACACAACATCGGTGCATAAAATATGCACGCAGGTGAAAGGGCATAGGGAATAAGCTACCCCACCTTGAGGTAGATATAAACAAGCAAAGTTTTATACGCACACATAATCTAAACTAGCCCATTTACAAGCATATCTCTTCTTCCCCTCACCCTGAGTGCAGTTAGGAAGACTATTAATAGTGGGTTCTATACGAAAGAATCATTCATTAGCATATATATACCAAGTAAGACTCTTCCAGACATCAAGAGTGTAAGCATTTTTGTGTATTCATCCATCCACATATAATTACTACCGTGTGATATCACTTGCACGAATTGGAATTTCTCTTAAAGAATAACCAATTTTATATACATATTTACAACCCCAAGTAACACATAAAATGGAAGGAGGAATATGTGATATAGGACTTATTGGATTAGCCGTAATGGGACAGAACCTGAGTCTGAATATAGCAAGTAAAGGATTTAGCATAGGAGTTTACAACAGAACTTACCAAAGAACGGAAGATACACTGAACAGGGCAAAAGAAAATAACGTAGTAATACATGGATATAAAACACTAGAAGAATTAATTAGCAATTTGAAAAAGCCAAGGAAAATTATTCTACTAATAAAAGCAGGACCAGCAGTAGATGAAAATATAAAGAATATTTTAAAACATTTTGAAAAAGGAGACATAATAATTGATGGAGGAAATGAGTGGTATTTAAATTCAGAAAGAAGAATCACAATGTGTGAAGAATACAAAGTAGAGTATTTATCTATGGGTGTTAGTGGTGGAGAAGCAGGTGCAAGATATGGATGTTCATTCATGCCAGGTGGATCTAGATATGCATATGACTGTGTTAAGGATATTTTAGAAAAATGCTCAGCTAAGGTAGGTACATCTCCATGTGTAACATATATAGGACCAAGGTCATCTGGGAATTATGTAAAAATGGTTCATAATGGGATTGAGTATGGTGATATGCAATTAATTTCTGAGAGTTACATGATAATGAAAAATATACTTAATTATGACAACATGAAAATATCAGAAGTTTTTGAAAAATGGAATAAAGGAATTTTAAACTCATACTTAATTGAAATAACATACAAAATTTTAAAAAAAAAAGATGACTTAACCGATAACCATTTGGTAGATGTCATATTAGACATTGCAGGAGCTAAAGGAACAGGAAAGTGGACTATGTTAGAAGCCATCGAAAGAGGAATCCCCTGCCCAACTATGTGTGCAGCTTTAGATGCAAGAAACATAAGTGCATTCAAAGAATTGAGAATAAAAGCTGATGATAAATTTTGTAACGAAATGAAAATACATAATGTAGATGATCTAGATATTGATAGTTTTGAAAACGATTTATTAAATGCCCTCTATTGTTGTAAAATTATTTCATACACACAAGGATTATTTCTGTTAAAAAAAGTATCTGAAGAAATGAAATGGAATTTAAATTTAGGTGAAATATCAAGAATATGGAGAGGTGGTTGCATTATAAGAGCTATTTTTTTAGATCGAATTACCAATGCTTATAAGAAAAACCCAAATCTAGATTTATTATTTTTAGATGAAGAATTTGCTCAAGAAATGAAAAACAAACTCTCATCCTTGAGGAAAGTTGTTCATGTAGCCACTAAATCATCAGTACCCATTCCTGCTTTTTCGGCTAGCTTAGCTTATTTCCAAATGGTTACATCTAAAAATCTACCTCTAAATTTGGTACAAGCCCAGAGAGATTACTTCGGTTCCCATACATATAAAAGAGTAGACCGCGAGGGCGATTTCCACACCTTATGGGAGTAATTTTTTTTTTCCCCTTCCTTTCCTGGCTCCTTTTATGTTTACAAAAGTTTTATAATTGATGTGCTCGTGTGGACAGATAGAATATATAAACATAAATTCGTAGAAAAATCCCCCTGTCTTTTTTACGTTCTCTTTTTACACTCATTTTTTACACCCATTTTTTATGCCCATTTTTTACACCCATTTTTTACATTCACCTTTTTATATATACCACTTGAACGCTTATTCCTTATTTCCTGCTCATTAAGATTTACTTTTAGAAAATGTCTCCGCACACGAACCCATATATGAATGCATTTACACCCTGTGCTTGTGTATATATTCACCATCCCGTACAACAAATGTAAGCATTGAATTACATCAACCAAGAACGCACTAATCGTAAAGCAATAAGATATAACAAATAATTGATGTGCATGTTTAATCTTAACACAGCATGTTTTTTTTTTTTTTTTTTTTTTCTTTATTTATATTTTTATTTCGCATTATCAATATATTATCATTTTTCCAAAGTGGATATTTACGCATTCTATGGTTACGTGTTATACACAATAGATGAAAAGAGTTTACTCAAAAAGAAAAAAACAAAAAATAAAAATGGAGTTATTAACACTTTACATTTTTCTATAATTTGATAAAGTTGGGAAAGCGTGGTAAGGCTTATGAAATGACAACTGTTTGATCCAATATAAATTAACGCCCTTTGTTCAGAATATAACTTAAGTTTACTCTTAACTCGAAGTTACACACACAAAGACACATGTGGAAATATTAAATCCAAACATGGCCAATAAAAATTGACACGACCTACAGCATCCACGAATTTCATCCCTTTTAATTTGTGATAAGTATGTTGTAGGTGACAAATCAGAGCTATACCTTTTTATTTTACATGCCTGAGAAAAAGAAATGTATATGATATACTACCTGCTCATTAGCACTTTGAAAAAGTGCCCAAATGGTAAATTGTTGTCACTGCTTGTTGTACATACACGCAGAGGACATAGGGATGCAGGCGTTACCAATCATAGCGAGTTTTCTTCATCGTACAAAAGTATTAATCAATGGGTATATATATATAAATAGTAGCAAACAAGGAGGAATAAATAAACAACAAATACATGAATAACGGCTGCAACTTGTCCATTTCCATTCACACACATTTGCAAATTCTTTTTAATCTGTGTGTGATTTTCGTGTCTCGAGTTACTTAAATTTATTGAATATTTTAACCATTTGAAGGAGACTTTCGCAAAAAAAAAAAAAAAAAAAATTCTGATCCTCTTTGCATTTGCAAGGTAGTATTGTTTTCATAAACATTTTTTTTTTTTTTTTTTTTTTTCCCACTTTGTTTCAAAATTACATTTCCACTTTACCTCATTCAATTTGTACTCCTATTGGTTTGTCTTGTGTCCTATTATACTGTCACATTTGAGGCATCGAGTCCTGTGGCATATCGAATACAAAGACCGTTTCCTTTTCTCTCACCTTGTCAAACAAAATGGATCATTTATTATACTACGTCATGGTTCATAATAATACCATACAGCCAATAATTGTCAGACAACCTTCAGCTGTTGTAATTCATACTCAGCCGAATCCACCAATAACCCTAGATTTGCCGCCCCAAAATATAATTCTAAAAAACGATGAACCACAGCCTATCATAGTTAGACAACAAAACCCAAATGTCATAATACAAAAGTCACAAAACGAGTTTTCTGATAATTTTAATTATACACTAGGTCTGAATAACCAGATGAAAGAACTCACTTCCATGGGGTACCCTAACACTGTAAATGCTCAGGAAACAAATGAACATGTCTTTGGAGTAACTAATACCGCAGCGAACCAACTTATGGATCCATCATACATGTATCATAATCAATATATAGTACCTCAAAATAAATCTCAACCTTTGAACAATATGTATTTTTCTAATGTCCCTCTAGCAAATGAAAACAGTTATTCCCCTTATAATGTGACGCTATATGCGAATAAAAGAGATGACTATACGAAAAATACCCCTTCAAAATGTTAGCAGTCCAAAATAGAGAGGAAAAAAAAAAGTATATTATGAACCCATGTAAAGAGGAAAACAACATCACCTACTCATAACCATTATACAAATAAGCAAAACTACATAAACGAAAATTAAAAACAAAAAAAAAAAAAAATAGTAAACATGAATTAAGCATCCAAGCTATTTTAACAAAATAAAGCACAAATCAAAGGGACCACTAAATCTATATTCACATGTCCAGTTTTCCCAAAGTTGCAGTCTTTCAGTGGTGTGTTTTTTATTCAGAAGAAATGTGTGCACCTATATATATATTTGTATCTCCACATGCGCATACACATATGTAGGCATCTTCTCACCCCGTAATGTAACACAGATGTGTGAAAATTCAGTTTTTATGATTACACATAATCGAAACGAGTGACACTAACCATTTAGTCTAATAACTAGGCAGACAACTGTGTCAACTCAATAAACCAATGTCTAAAGAAAGGAGTACATTTAGGGAAAGAAAAAAAATATTTCATAGTGGGTCAAAAAAAGAAAAAAATATGCACAAAAAATTTTGTTACATTTGTAGTGTAAATTTAACTACTTTAAATGCTCTTAATAAAGGATTTTTTTTTTTTCTTTATAACAATTTTAGTTATCCTGTTTATACCATTCTTTTGTTGTTTCACTCAATTTTATTGTTTATAAAAAAGGAAGAAAAAAAAAAAAAAACTTTTAAAATTGTTTTCATCATACCGAAGCATTCACATAAAAATGAACAACTTTATTTTTATATATTGAAACTTTTGTAAGAATATCCTCTCACAAATGGTACGTTCTAAATTTAGGAAAAATGAAAAAAAAAATGTGCTTTCAGTTATGTTTATATTCGTTTTCAGCTTTTAAACAGTTACATTTTTAGTACAACAAAATGAGAAGTTTTTCATATAAAAAAAAAAAAAAAAAAAAAAAAAAATGAAAATCCATACATAGTCGAACATACAACATACAAAGCTATAAATGTACATATTTATGCTTTTACAAGTTCACAAAAAGATATATCATAAACGAATAGGGAAATATATATTTACATCTTGGCCAAGTCATGAAAAACAAAAGTATATGTACAAATAAATTTATATAATGTTTTTCTATGATAAATTAATTTTTTCATGTCTTCCATATCTTGGTACCTTTCTTCCATTTTGAAAATATGTACACACTCTCGCCTTCTTCATCAAACTCTTCGTACACGAGGAAGAAAAGGGAAACTATGTACAATGTATGTATTTATATATGTATGTACGTTTGTACGTACACATGTCTGTACATGTATATATAACTTTCCCCGTCCTATTCACAGGAGGTAACACGTTTTTGTGCTTATTCATCTCATTTCATTTTGGCAGATGTGTATAATTTATCCCCTTTGTGTCATTCTGCACCTTCTCAAATCTTCTTCATCGAGCTTTCATTTAAATTAGCCTTACTTGACGACACCAACATATATTTTGTAACTCCCTCCTCATATTTCACACCTTGCTGCATTTATAAAATATTTTTATTCAAGGCTGTCATCAATGGACGGCTCATATCTGTCACTACTGCATCTTGACATGCTTCGATATTTTGCACGTAATTTGGTGGCGCTTCATTCTTTACAACAACATTAGGATTAGATTGTTTAACAAAAACAGATGTTGGTGGATTATTTTTTACTACAATATTTGAGGGTGGTTGACTAAGAACCATTGCTGGTTGGGACTCATTCTGAACAACTACAGTTGTGGGCATTTGCACAAGAATTGGAGATGGTATTAAATGATTTTTCACATAAATTGGTGGTAACGGTTCGAAAAAGATTGGTTGATTATATTGTTGTATGTTATCTGGAAATGTTTGAGGAACAACTACATTATGGTTGGGGGAAGCATACATTTGAAAAGGCTGCATTGAAACAACATTTACTTTGTTATCCATTTGAGGCACGAAATGGAAGGGTTGCATTGTTGAAGTAGTGTACTGTGGGAAAATGTTCACTTTAATGTATCTACGTACGAACGAACTTGTCTATTTAAATATGTGTGTATATTTATGCTTGTATGTATGCATTTATTTGTGTAAAGGAAATACACGGAAATGGATAAACAAACGATGGAAAAATTGACAAGGAGAAGCTGTGTCTTTTTACCTTATATATCCTCAATTAGTAAAAATGTTTTAAATTGAACATAAGTAAATTGAAGTAGTAAACAAAAAATATAAATTTAAATCGAAATAGTTTTAAAATATATGCAAAATAAAAAAAAAAAAAAAAAAAATACTTAATGGAAAAAAAGAAGAAAGTATTATATTAATCTTATTAATTCGCGACATTGCCATAGGAAGTAGCTAGCTCTTTTTGTGCAAAAAAAAAAAAAAAAAAAAAAAAAATGTTCATAAAAGAGTTCATAAAAAAATTAACAAAAAACATATATTAAGAATATACAAAAAGTATGTGCAAAAACGTGTGCGAACAAATGTGTACATGCTCAAGTGATGTGTAAAAGCAACACACTCTTAAGGAAAACTCTGCCAAACTATGAAGTTCATAGGAACTACATGGCTATGTTCTTCGCGCAGCAAATACACACAAATATCGTTTACCAGCTGTTCGTTGTTGATAAACGTTATGTAAATTATAAATATGTCAGCTTCATTTGTGTGAGCGTGTGTTTATATTTTTTTTTTTTTTTTTTTCTAGGTAGCTATTCAGATTTTGACAATTTTCTCTAAATTTGTAATTTCGTATATGGCTAGCTGCTCAGTAGTTATCACATTTTTTAAAGAAAAAAATAATTCAGATATAGTTGTAAAATATCATATAAAATGAAGCAAACAACAGAAAAGACAACATAAACAAATAGAAAAAAAAAAATAAAATAAAATAAACAAAACAAAATAGATTAAAATAAAACGTATCCATTTCGTCACACAGGTGTCCCTATTTATTCCCCAATATCAGCGATACGTGTAAAAAAAATAAATAAATATAATAAAATAAGCCTTTTCTTATTTTTTTTTTAAATGAAACATTCAATTTTGATATTATCTATAATCACGTATTTTCCTTCTCATAACTAAATGTAAACATGATGCATAAGTGCATAATGTTCACTAAGTGCTCAGGTTGAAGACTATGTTTGAAAAATATATCACAACATATAATTAATAAAATGTTGCAATATATGTATAAAAAAAATATAAAACGCTATAAGTGGCAAAAATAAGTATATATGTATGAATAAGAATGTAGATCTCTATTTATAATATTAAAAAATGAAACGTTACAAATTCGCTCATAAATGCCTCACTTATTCGTTGTTTTATGTGTCTTGAAGAAGTAAAAATTATTGCACAAATTGACGTATCGTTTCGGTAAGATTTTTAGTGACAAATTTCTACTTACAAATTATTACATATATATTTTGAAAATTTTTTCGAAAACATTTTGTTCATACTGTAGTATACAACCTTGTTTCACCTCCGTAAATACATTTTCTCATGGGTGTGTATATGTGTGTGGGTCTATATATGTAGCTCATCATTTGAGAAAAATTGAAAAGTCATTTTTGGTATTATTATTCATGCATTTAAACTCATTTTTCATTTTCTTTTTCTTAACCATTGAGAATTTTTATTTTTTTGTCATATTCTCTAAAGAATTCTCTCATGTTATTGAAATCGTCTTCATCCATCGCATTAAAGGCGTTATTAGTTTTCAGATCTTCTTGCAAAATTGGTAAAGTTAAATGTTTGAATTTATTTTTATTTCTCCTATTTAATATGATATGCGTGTTTTTATTTTCTCGAATTCTTTTTAAAAATGGTTCAATGGAACACCCCTTTTCCTTTACTTCTGTGCAATATTCCATTAAGATGTTAATAATATTCCTATCATTTATGTGGTATTTATTTAAAAACTTCCCATAGAATTCATACTTCGTTACCTTTTCGTCACGTATATAAATGCTTGGTACTAACTTTTCACGAAAATAGGAATTCTCTGTTTGTTCATTAAAAAATTTAACTATTTGGACTGTTATGTTGTCTCTAGAACCAGATAACAATGCATAATCTAATATATTAATAACCGCATCACTTAGAGTGTATCTATTGACACATTCATAACTGAATTTTGCTACATCACTCCATGAAAGCATTTCGAATATTCCATCACATCCCAATACTAAAATGTCATCACAATTTGCGTAAAATATTTTAATATCCGGTACACAAGTTATCATCGTCTCGTGCGGATTATAAGGCGCATTACTCTTCCCTTTATAGCTCTGTAGAAATAAATGTAAATGAAGGAAAAGTAATTTCATCATTATTAACACTTGCTGCGTGCAGATCGTGTCTTTTTTGGAAATTTAAAAAGGAAAAAAAGAAGAAGAAGAAAAGGAAACAATATTATAATTAAAACATGGTGACTAAATCTCAATTTTGTTTTATTTTTAAAATGGTTTATGAAATACAAAACATTTTACTTTATCCCCAAACGATCTCGATACGCCAATGTAGCCAAGTATCCTTCCATTCTCCACAAATCCGCCTAATTTATCAATCCTCTCCTTTTCCGTTTTGTTGTTAGGTTTATGATCTTCACTTAATGAGATAAATGACCCGTCGTTTTTTATTAGCATTGCCCTAGAATCTCCTTAAACATTTTTATCAAAAGTGAAGCGTAACAATTAACATTTTATTATTTTTGCGAGAATACAGGGGATGGGGGGAGGAAGTAGCAGTATATATAATATGAAAGAACATAGCCATGGAGTCCAATGTATACATTGCACATTTGTATATACCTAGGTAAGTATTTATAAAATTTTGTACATTGTTAAATGAAACGTTATCTGATTGACATAAAAAATGATATACACGAAACAGGGAACACAATTTGTAATTTCATATTTTGGTGGATTCTACCTAAGTTGCAAATATAAAGTTTGAAAACATCTTTGTTTACAACCTTTTCAATTATAGCAATGATTGCTGAAAAAAGTGATGAGTTTAATTGTAAAAAGATTTTAACGAATTACAATTTTGTGTTTATTTGTTATATTTCACATCTCAATTATGTAAGCATAAGGAATGAATTTTATGTTTTGCTCCTTCGATGATAAGTTCTACGATGTAGAAAAAAGCTCTTTTTATATTCTTTACCTGTAGACCCACTATTGGCAAAATTGCTTTCTAAAAAAATGAGTGGTGGGAGGTTCAAATTCGAATGATTTATGAAAAGGTGTATTAAAATGAATTTTTTTTTTTTTTTTTTTTTTTTTGTTGTTGCACAAGTAGGGTGTAATAATGATTCATGGAGGGCTACATAATCCAGTGTGCAGACAAATTTAGATAAATCAATAATACAGTGTTTTTTACATAATCAGAACAAAAACGTAATTTTGTCGGATGAAAAAGAACACAATTCAAATTTGTGCTTATTTGTAGGCCAATTTTGTTAATATTCATTTCGCAAGTTAACAGAAATTTTACGCACTTAAAATTTCATTGTCCATTTGGATACAGGCATCTGTTATGTTTTGGGCATCCAACGTTTCACAGTTTCCTAATGTACAAAAAAAAAAAAAAAAAAAAAAAAAAAAAAAAAAAAAAAAAAAAAAAAAAAAATGGATATTCCTTTTAAATGAAAAGTTTTCAAAATTTTAGCTCATGACAATGCGCCATAGAAGAATTTTTTTTTTTCTAAATTTTTATTCCTTTCAAAAGTACCTATAAAATCAGCTATATTTCGAGCACAGTACAAGGCTGTCTCTTTTCCTATATGGCTAAAGCATAAACAAATTGAAAATGTAAATTTTTTTTTTCTACCCCTCGAAACATAAGAAAGTAAAAATATAAGATCTTGTGATGAACATATAATTATCATGCTTTATATGTACTGTTGTCTCGCTTGTATAATGAGCTAAGTCCCTATAGCCCTTGTTGTGTAGCTTACCCATCGAATATAGTACAAAGCCTTCATTTAGTAGAAAAAAAAAAAAAAAAAAAAAAAAAGTTAAACAGGCAAATATTCAAATGTTCATATATGCAAATAAACTTTTTCCGACTTTGACGCTTCTCAGATGAGACATTTTTTTATTCGTCCATTTGAACACATTTCTGGAAGTAGGAAAATGCCTATTCATCCTTTGCAGTCCAGGTGTGTAGAATTTTACCTGCAGGTTGGGAAGTTTTTCAGAGACGCCAAAATGACCGACGCCTGGGGTAAAAGAGAGATATTGAAAGTTGTACTCATGTATAGAAGCTGTCGTAGCGCCATGTATACACATGTACATTTGCATGCATATCTACGCTTTAATGTGTTTCTGTGTTTTTATTTCCCCCTCGATGATTAAAATATAAACATTTATTCATCACAAATTGAGAAAATCATAAACAAATTATTATATCTCCCTTGACTAAAAAATCGGATGTTCATAAAAAATATTTATTTGTGAGAACATGAGCACTTTCTTTGGTTCTCAATGAAGTGAAAGACAAAATAGCAACAAGCAAATAAATGAATAAATGCGTGAATAATTAAATGAATGTACAAATGAACAATTAAATGAATGTACAAATGAACAATTAAATGAATGTACAAATGAACAATTAAATGAATGTACAAATGAATAAATAAATGAATGAATAAATGAAATTGTACATTGAAGCAACACCACAAGAACATAACACTTTTATCAAGGTGATAAACACCTGAAGGTTGTGTCATTGTTCCCAAAGGGAGCAACCTTACATCTTCTTCCGTTGCTCGGTATCCTTGCATGGTTCCAGCACAGACATGGGTGTACCAGCTTACAATTTCTGACACCTCTTTTGTACTTATCAAATTTAATCTATGCATTATTACAATCAACTTTATTAGATGAACATGTTTCTTTGTTTATACATTTTGCAAATATTTGCACATTTGTATATATATATATATATATTAGACAAAGCAAAAAAAAAAAAAAAAATGAAAAAAAATAGTCTTCTAAAATGATAATATCTCATTGAAGTATCATATTAAAAATATATGGCTCAATTCTTTTTTTTTTTTTTTTTGCTAAATGTTAAAAGTTCTATTCCTAAAATTGTCTCACCACTTTAGGTTAGTACAAAAGAGGGGAAATAAAAATTTCTGCATGTGCATTTATTTACGCATAATTATAATACATCGAAACGAGTGAAGAAACCAAAAAAAAAAAAAAAAAAAAAGCACGAAAAAAGCGGAAAAAAAAAAAAAAAAATAACATTTCCCACTCGTACTTACTATTTTAAGGCTCAGTAGTAAAGCACTTTTGTGAAAACACCTTTAATTTTTTAATTGGACGATTCCTGTCTAGAGACATGTAAAATTTATATATGTGCGTATGGGTGTGTACACATGCTATGTCCATAATACTCGTACAACCTCAATATAGAATAGGCATTTTAGATTTAATGTAACCCTTGAAAACACTTCAATTTTACAATTGTGTTAACATGAAAAAAACGTGAAATTACTTTCACAATTAACTGAACTGCTCTTTTATTTTATTTTTTTTAAATGTAAAAATGGATGTAGTGAATTTATACTAGGTTACAATAATGAGGTGCGTGAAAAGACTTATGCCCATTTTGTAAAGCTCTTCTGTTAAGGTAGGAAAAAAAAAAACATACGTGAATGTGCGCTTATATAGATGGTAGGATCTGTTCACACTTTGTAATACAACTTGAATATGGGATCCATTAAATATTTTTTTTTTTTTTTTTTTTCCTTTTTTTGTCATTATCTGTAAACACACTTTTTTCTCTCTTCATTTGCATCCACGCGTGATATAAGTGCCAAGAAGAGCAAAAACTCGTTACTCAAACGTTTGTTTTTTTTGAACTGCAAGTACACACTTCTTGTAATGTGAAAAAAAATCAAAAAGAATTAAAGACTCCTTTTACTGTGTAGAATTTCCTTATTGGTGTGTACATAATTCCACAGTACATATTAGTATTAGAGCGGCAAAAAAAAAAAAAAGGAGAATTTCTTAACGGATGTATCATTTAACATCTTGATATCATAATGCAGTTTAAAAAATAATCCATTAATAAGTGTAAAGATGTGAAAACTGATGCTGATATAGCGAATATATATACCTCATTTGCTCAGTTTTTTTTTTTTGTTTTTTGTTTTTTCTATTAGTCCAAATCGTGTACTCAGGAAAAAGGGAATGAAACTTTTTACTCCTATCAAACAAGCAAAGTGGCAATACGAAATAAGAACAAAAATTGACAAAACTTTTATATTCATTTGGAAAATGCTGTAAGTATTTGAACGGATAGAAAAAACAGGATGATGTTGGTGGTGTAGCTATTCCCTAGGAGGTACAAAAAAAAAAAAGGAAAAAAAAAAATTAACATTTTGTAGTAGGAATAATGCTTGTTTTGGATTTTCTGAACTTTTTTTTTTTTTTTTTTTTTCCGAATGTAAGAAGAAAAATACAGACATGTATTTCAAAACAAACAAATAAAAAATATGACGGAATAGCATTTATTCCTATTTTAAAAAATATATTCTTGTTAAGCGAATTCGCACATAAGTTATATAGACTTATGTACATGTGAAAAAATGGTTACTAAACACCAGGAAGAGTGTCCAAATGTTGAAAAAAACTAAGAGGAATATATCAAAATTTATGAAAATGTCTAATAAGTGTTGTACTTAGACAGGTGCATTTTTTCTTCAGAAAAAGGAGCATTGTACGCATCACAATAAATTTTAGAATACGATTTAGTCTTCCCCTTCGGCGATTCCACTTTTTGATTATAAAAAAAAAGGTCCCTTTTTAAATTGTCTAAATTGATACTCCTGTTCAGTTTAATTCTATAATGGTTTTCTACAGGTAAATTTTTCATTTCACTCTTTATAAAAATGTTTTTTTTTTCTAACTGTATAAAATTATCCTGAGTTTTAAAATACCAGTTCAAGGTACACCTATCCTCGCAGTGTTTATCCCAGCTATGTCTGATCCTACTACATTCGCTGTTTCCTTCACTTGCATCATCAGCAAGAACTCCAATGGGTAGCGCTATGGACTCCCTCAGAGGTCCCTCGAAGAAGTTCTCATCATTCTCACCATCATTGAACATGTCATCAAATAAATCAGTAGTTAAGTCGGAATTCTTATGCGTACGAATTAATGCACTTCTATTTATGAGTCCGCTTCTGAACGAAAAGGATATATTGTTGATAGTTGAAGGATCTTTTCTGTATTTCTCTTTTCTTATGACTGGTTTCAAATTTAAACTTATTAGGAACATAATGAAGGAAAAGAAAAAGATAAAAATGGAAGTGCTGGCATATGCAGATATATACGAAAAGAATGATATAAATAATGCACTAACAGAAAAAGAAATTACTTGAAGAATAGAAGTACATAAATTGGAATTGATGGGATAAACTCTTATGGAAGCCATTTCAACACATATTGGCTGTAGTGGACCAGACCAAAAACCAATTAAACTGATAGTAAGAATAATAAAAATGGGATGATTGGTCATATATAATAATATACAAATAAACATAATCATCCCGATACATATAATGATTAATTTTTTAAAATGGTTACTATTAGCGTTAAAACAAAGTAATGCACTACCTACTATAGTGCTACATATAAATAATGATCCCGATAAGGAGTAATAATTTTTGCTAATCAATTTTTCGTTTAATACTGTAGACATGTCCGCGGAAAAACTACTAATTAAGCATTCTGAATAACAAAATATTATTAGTATTTTTATAATTTCTTCTTTTTTTAGTATGTTCTCAATTTCGACTTTTAGATCTATTAAAAATCGTCTCAATTCTTTTGCAAATTTGGTAATTATATTTTCATTTTTCCCATATATCGGATTGCCCATGCTTAAGTAGCATATGTCACCACTTTGACATTCCTCAACTAAGCACATATTAGGATGAAATTCCATGTTGAGTAATGATTCTGTGTTTGATACCACACAACTACAAGATGGGGGAGGGGGAGAATTTTCAAAACCCAGTGTTACCATCATACAACCAATAAAACTCACAAAACACGTGTGACTTAATAATACTTGTAGATCCTTCTCATTTATTACTATCAAAGGCGCATATAAATAAATTATTGCTGTCCCTAGTACATTTGAAATAATAGATATACTTGTTGATATGATTCTTTCTTTTTCTGGAAACCATACCAATGAAACTTCTGGAGGAGCATTCACAAAAATTATTTGACCAATTGATGATATAAATTGTCCAAGCATAACAATTATTAGGTTCTCCCAATATATATACCGCAATAAACACCCAATAAATTGTAATAGTGAACTACATACCACATTACTTCTTAAAGAAAATTTACTTAATAAAAATGATAAAGGTATTGAAAATATAGAATATATAATAAAATAAACTTGTGGAAATATATTATTTGAAATTCCATATAATTTGTACGTAACCTTGTTTATTGGTGCGAATGTGAAGCATATCATATTGTCTACCATGCAACAGTAGGAAAAAAAAAATAACATCAACCATCTTCGTTTATACAATCTGGGTGGGTAAAGAAGTGTGTCTGTTGGGGGTTATAGGTGTTTGCAGTTAAAAAAAAAAAAAAAAAAAAAGAAAAGTTAAAAAACACATGAATAATGACACTTCTTTTGTAAGAAAATAGGAGACTTCATTTATTATCGTAAGAAGAAATTCTCTTTAAAAGAATGGCGTCCATTTTTAGAGTAGCATTTTTTTTTTTTTCTTTTTTTTACCTACTGTGTAATGTCCTTTCATCGTATTGAAAATTGTTGGGAACATCTACGTATGCAGTGTGGGCAGATCAGATTTACTTTATTTTCATTTTTCCATTTGACACTTATTTTATTTTTTTATTTGGTTTATTTGACATTTAAATGATTATTTGGAGTATGTACATTTGATTCTACATTTGTTTCTGCATTTGTTTCTACATTTTTTTTTGTATTTGTTTCTTTATTTCTTATTTTACGGTTCATTTTATTTTATGTTTCTGTTGTAAAATCATTATTTTTCTATATATGCGGTGGTATATCCTACATGTGGTGACAAATTTACAGTCCAAGAAGTTATCCCGTCCTTCCATTTAGCATAATTTACCCTTTTGATATTTCCCATTCCTCCTTTAATTTCAAGTGACTTATTCGATTACTCAATATGCTACTTGCTTTAATCTAACGTGGGAATTTGGAACTATTTAAAATGTATGCGTAATTAGCCCATTTTGCTATGGCTATCCATCTCATATGTTTTTTTTTTTTTTTTTTTTTTTTTTTTTCCATTTTGGCTGTTTATAAAGGAAATTAAAATAGGGTGTAAGGAAAAAGTAATTAGAGAGAGATAGCCTCAAATAGGTGTATGTACATGTATAAGTACATTTACGCATATCTTCATAAACACACAAACAGATACACATACTTATGTTCCTCTATTTTTACGAAGATCAAGGAAATGAAACATAATAAGATTAAATCAGTATTCAGTAACAAAAGCTTTATAAAGCAAAGACATATTAAAACTCAACACATTTAAAGGAATCATCGAACTATTTTCAGGCCCATCTGAATAGACAAGTTCACACAACGGCAGCAACAGAAAAAAAAAAAAAAAAAAAAAAAAAAAAAAAAAAAAAAAAAAAAATAAAAAAAAAAAAAAAAAAAAAAAAAAAAAAAAAAAAAATTTTAAAAAAAAAAAAAAAATTTAATAAAAAAAAAAATAAATATTTAAAAAAAAAAAAAAATAAAAAAAAAAAAAAAATAAATCGTTATTTAATAAAAAAAAATTAAAAAAGAAAAAAACTTAAAAGCAAAAAAAATTGTATAAATTTTTGAAAATAAAAATTTAAAAAAAATAAAAAAAAAAAAAAAACAAAAAGGAAAAAAAAAAAAAAAAAAAAAAAAAAAAAAAAAAAAAAAAAAAACCTATATAATTCTCAGCTCGTGATTACTTTAATAAAAACAAAATGAAATTTTTTAAACTAGGCAAAACGTTTTATGCACCATGAAATGACATTTTAATTAATGAAAAATATTAATGATAAACAAAAGATCATAATTTCTTAGTTTTAATAATCGAACATGTGTGCATTCGAATTAAAGTGATGTATAAATTTCCAAAAAAAAAGAAAAAAAAAAAAAGAGAAGCGAAGCGAAGGTAGAAATAAAAACTAGTGATGAACCTTCCACATATATATATGTATTGTGCTGCTCCATAAGTTAATTTTAATAGAGCAACAAGAAGAATTCAAAAAGTATAAACGTACACTATATTTAGATTTAAAAAAAAAAAAAAAAAAAGGGAGATATTATTAAATGAATCAAAAAATGGAAGTCATCTTCTCACGTTCACTGGAACAAATTGATAAATTGATGTATATGTATTCAGACAAACAAATGCATAAATAAGCTACCGTGATGTTACTTGCTAAAAGTTGAAATTTCGGTGCTACATATGTAAGAGGGGTACACATGCTTATATAAATATTATGTACATTTACATGCACAAATAGATGACATCCCATTCATTCGAACAAAGCAAAAGGGATTAAATATTTTATCTTCCTGCACAAGAATTAATCCATTAATAGGAACCACTTGAAATATGCGCAGAACGAAAACCTACATAGTGTTCTCTTTACATTCTACACTGAAATCTGTCACTACGTTGTTCTCACACATCCCTGAGGTAAACCAGTTTATGTACTTTTTAGATGAAAAGGTAACTTTGTTTTTTAAAGCTTTTTCATATTCACACAATTGTTCTATGAATCCTATGTTTGGGCAAATATTTTTCTTCTTCATTATAAAATTGAATGCTTCAATAAGAGAAAAATTCTACATGGTAAAAGACACATATATATGATGAGGGGGGGGGGGGGGAAAAAAAATTAGTGTACTGTGATATGCACACTGATGGTTTGGAATTTTCTATATTTTCAAAATTTCGCCAACATAAAACGGAACACACATGGAAAGATATTTCGAAAAAAAAAAAAAAATTTTATAATTAATATATATATATATATATTATTACCTGCTTTTCCATCAAATATGCTATGGATATCGTGGACGATCTGCTTATTCCTTGGCTGCAAAAACGAAAGTAGTGCTTGTGTCTATTCAGGAATTTGTTCATAAGAAACGTAAAGCAATTTAATAAACTGCAATGTTCGGGAACAGCAAAACGGGGGTCATACATATATACATTTTTATAGCAATCTGAGGTGGAAAAAAAAAAAAAAAATGGTACCAGCATGAAATGAGAACCCCTTGTTCCTTCTTAACATACGAATGAATAAAATTGTTAGATTTCTGAAAATGGGAAGATATTTGTTCCAGTCCTATGTCTTCCAAATCAATTCGTAAGGTGGTAAACCCATTTGGGACTTTATGTTCAGGGTACTCGAAATACGTGCAACATATTACCAATGCTAGAATGTTATTCTTTTTAAGATTTTCAACATGATCTATATCATTCCTATTTCCCAAATATAGAAATGGTAATATTGGAATCATTTAATTTTTAGAAAGTGGGGTAAATGCCTGTATAACAAAATCTATGTACAGGTACTACTACAGGCATATATACACTCAAGGTACACTTCTTTGAAGTTTGCATAGAGGTAATGAAGTAATTTTGTAAGTGTCCATGCATGTATACTACACGTACATATCTGTGTGTATGCACAAATGCTATTTATGTTACGCTGTAGTACAGTCTTATGTAAAAAAAAAAAACAGCACTATCCCTCATCAGTGAGATGAGGGCGTTAGAGCGAAAAATAAACAAATATCTACATATAGGTGAAATGCATTCACTTATACACAGACATATGATAACTTTTTAGAGATATCAAAATGTAGTAGATATATTCAAAATAAAACTTTCAAATGTATAAACGTACAAAGGAAGGAAATTTAGGTGAGGTTATATTAACATGGGGGACTAAAAGGGAATTAGGGTATCGGGAAAAAATGAAAAAAAAAAAAAAAAAAAGGCAATCAAATTTCATAAATCCATTGTTTGTCTTTTGAAAGAAATTTTTTTTTTTTTTTTTTTTTTTTTTTTTGTAGATAGATAATTATTCAAGACTTTGATGAAAAATTAATATAAAAAGATTAAAAAAGAAATAAAAAAGATAAAATGAAACCATAAACCAATAAGTTTTGATAGTCAAATTTTCCTTTCCTCCTAATCCCAATAGGTTCTTTACTCGTCCTCCGTTGCTACTGTTTTTTAGCAATTTTTTTTTTTTTTTTTTCATATTTAGTTTCTTTAACCCTCTTATGTTTTTATCTTAAACGTGACGCATTTGCAAATGTGCGCCAAAACATAGCATGCACGGATTTGAAAATTCAAATCAAGTTTAGCAATACCAAATGTGATTAGTTTGTGGGATTAAATAAATAAACTATTAACTAAGGTGTGTTTTATTGCGATTTAAAAAAAAAAAAAAAAAAAAAGGGGAAGAAAAAGGAAGAAAAAACAATAAAACAAAATAGAAACCTGCGAAGAACGTAAAAAAATAGAAAAGTAGAAAATACGAATTAAAAACACAAAAAAACTGAGAAAAAAAAAAAAAAAAATTTAATATAATATAAATGAGAAAAAATATATAAATCTATTTTACCCAGCAAACCTTCAAGACCTTACATTTTACGAGGGGTATCTCCAACTACTTTTTGCATCTCACAAACACAAAGGAAGAAAAAAAATGTAAAGGATGCAACGCGCCAATTACAAATAAAATATTGTTAAAATTTTTTTTCCCCATTTACACACAAAAACCAAAAAATCATATCTTTGTCAAACACTGCACTGGAATTTTTCTGACAGGCTGCTTTGCTACAAGAAGATAGTAAGAAAAGGCAGAAATATAAACATTCGCGTGGGTTGCTATAGTTTCATAAGATGCAATTACTTGTAGTGTAAACACTTCTAGCTCAACATAACACACTTAATACAACATTGTGTGCATATTTAGTTCTCACCGAACTATATTTGAAACGTTAAATGAAAGAAAAAAAACGTAAAAAACATGAATACTTTATTTTTTGTAAGGGCCCTTTTTTCTTTTTCGTAACTTATTTTGTGCGAAAGCGACGACTCCTTTTTTATGAACAAAATGATTAAAGAGAAACTACTTGACGGAAATGAGAGAAGGGAAAAAATAAAAATTCACTTCAAAGAAGTAATCATTCATTAAAGGGACTTATGTATACATAAAATATAACTCCTCATCATTCCAACTGAAATGTGTGACGTCCTACAAAAGCATTTTCTTATTACTATTACGTTATTTATATTCTGAACCTTTTAAATAGCGATAGTAATCGATTGTATCACTTGGAGTTTTCAAACCCATGTGTGCGTTGCTGTTGCAAATAGACAGAAAAAATAAAATAAACAGTTTTCAACTGAGGAAACTATTCATAAATACTACTACTAATAATAATAAATAGTCTTTTTAAGACCGCGTACTACGCTCAGAAAGAGACATCGATTTCTTTTTTCATCACGCTTATAAAGCATGTTTTTTTATTTTCTCCACAAACAGATAAAAGAGTGCTTAAAGAAAATAGATAAAACACAAAATAAAATCCTGAATTTATTATGTGATAACGCAAAGTTATTATAAAAGGAAGTGCCTACGTTAGAACTAAATTTAGTGAAGGGTTAAACAAATGAATGAATGTATGTATGAATGAACCATCGAACGAATAAGAAAATAAAAAAAAACGTGCATATTAAACACGCACACACATCTACGTAAAATATGTATAAAAAAAAAATTTAATAGATAAATAAATAAAAAATTATGTCTTGTGGAGGGTACTTTTATGACAAAATATATACTGCTTTGCTAAGGTAAAAATGAAAAAGGAAAGCAAAAAAAACAAGTGTTATTTAAAGTTTTGAGAAAGAGATACTCGAAAGATGTCCATCGCAATTGTGCGAAATAGAAATAATGAAAATTTCCCCAATAATAACGTAATGCAAGGGTGCATGCATGTGTTTATATACATAGGCGTGCTGTGTATATATATGTAAAAGCTTCATTTTAATGTGCTTAAAAAGTGCGAAAAATAAAAAAAATTACTATATAAATATGCTTCGTAAGCATGTGTGTTTTACTTTTTCTTCAAGTTCAAGTAATATTTTTCAGTTTAAAGTAAGACCCCAAATGGGGGATTAATAAAAAAAAAAAAAAAAAAAAAGAAGAAAAAAGAAAAAGGAAAAAAGTAAAAAGAAGAAAAAAGCAGGTAAGTTTAGTGTATGAAAATAAAATAATTCTTATAGGAAATATATCCTAATATCAATAAGTAGCAATTACAATTTATCGAACAGACACAACTTTTAAAACAAAGCAGGTGTGCGCGTGCGTCAAAATTACGAACAAATTTCTCCTTTTCCATTTAGGACAAAACAAACTCATAAGCCCTGAAAATCAAACGTACTGATAAAATTTTTTGGTTCATGTACTCGTATAACACAACGCTGGCTCTTCTTTCACCATGGCAGTGGTACTTAAAACAAAGAGAAAAAAATTTAAATTGAGATTAAGTATGACACTAAAATTGATGTCAATGCTAAGATTAAAAAAGAATACGTAAGAATATACTCAGAGTATCTTTTAAACGAATTCGAAGTTACCATTAATAAAATAAAAAGAAAACAGTTAACACATCATATCCTATTATGCATTGTAAATTGCTAAAATATTCCCGTTTTTTTTTTTTTTTTTTTTTTTTTTTTTTATCAATGTAGTACGGCAATATATCTTACTGGGATGAACGATACACAAAGTAATTTTCGGATGATTTCACCAGTTACATAAGCAAATCATATGACTTTATTCAATTTCATTTAAATTTAACACATTATGTTATTTCACGTTTGTCTATATATTTCTTTAAAGCGAAGAAGAGCAATTTGATTGGCATCAAAAATGGTGTAGTGTAAAGCACATTTTCTCAGAACTGAACTTAAAAAATGACGCAAAAATATTAAATATCGGCTGTGGAACATCAAGTAAGAAGAAGCCAACACGAACACACTTTCATGTGTACTTGATTTCTTTTCAATATCCAATAATTGATAATACTCATACGATAACTATTGTGCATGCACATGTACATAAATGTATCAACATGCGTGTATATATATACATAAAATATATGCATACATTTATTCCTTACCCCAAGAATTCAGCGAAGAAATGCTTGACAATGGTTATACAGATATAACTAACATAGACGCTTCTTCTGTATGCATAAAGAAAATGCAAGAAATTTACAAAGATAAACCTAATTTAAAATGTAAAAAATATTTTATTATGGAACTACAATTATGTACCATTTAATAAAACTAATTTGTTTAAATAAAAAAGAAACACACACACAAATGCAAACGTATGCATGGCTATGTAAACGTGCAACATCATATGAAAACACATTCACATGTTTACTACGATCACCACAATACCTCGTAGATATGTTAATGAATGTATGCGATATGAAAGGATTTAAAAACGCAGAGTTCGACCTAATTGTGGACAAGGCCTGTCTAGATTCTGTAGTTTGTTCGGAAGATTCCCTTAGGAATGTCGAAGAAATGCTGTCTGAAGTATCACGTGTGTTAAAGTAATTAAATATTTTTCTCTTTTTCTTATTTTTACAATGTCTTATATTGGGCACTTTTTTTTCGTTCCCACGCTTTTTTATCTGTTCTTTTCACATTCTGGATATTCTGATTGAAAATGTTTTGCCTTTTAAATTAAATCAAAACGAACAAATGTCATTTTCTATTAGACCTGAAGGTATCTTTGTTGTTATATCGCATGCGCAACCAACTTATCGATTAGGATATTTGCAAAAACAGGATTACAAGTGGAATATCACTGTAAAAACAGTTAAGCGTCCTATATTAGGGATAGTAGGTAAGTTTGTTCTACTTAAATGTCTTTTTAAAGATCCGAATTAAATAATTTCTTACTCTTGTTTGTTTTTTTTTTTTTTTGTTTTTTTTTTTTTGATTCCCGCATATTCCATTTTACCTCGTCTCCCTCATTTTGAATACAATATTTTCAATGATTGCAGCCCCCCCTGTGGATGACAGCTTACACTATATTTACATTTGCAATAAGGGAAACACAGATACACAAAAATAGTTTTCTTTTTTAATAGGCTTGTTAGTGTTGTTAAGTTATGGTGTACACATGCTTATATGCATGTGTTTACATGAACATTATTATACATACGTCTTTACATGCGCTTGGTTAGATACACATGTTTACATACATATGTTTATATATGTTTATATATATATATATATATATTTTTCATTATAACCTTGTTGCATTAAGCTATTACTCTTTTTTAATAGCACTTATTCTTCATTTGGGCTTTCTTTTTTCGCCCTTTCTTTTATATTGCACATTGTTTAGTTTTAATAATTTTCTAGGTTAAAATCATTTACGAGTCTCCATTTTTAATGATGTTCACATTTTACATTGTACTTATACGTCTACGCATATTTGCACATATTTACTTATATATGTATGCGAACAAAAGTGGACTTTTATTTTCATAACAGCACGTGGTTATGCGTAGTCGGGCTTTTTAGAATGAGCTTTTTTGTATCAAACGAAGGAAACTTTTTTTTTTTTTTTTGCCAAATAATTTTTCTGGATAGTGTTTTTAAATTGCAAAAAAAAAAAAAAAAAAAGAAGAAGAAGGAGCTATTTAACTGTAAGCGTTAACATCGTCAATAATTTTTCTATTTTTTTTCTGAATGGTTAGGTATTTTTTCTTTAAGTTATTTTCTGTTGCTAGGGTTAAATGTTATATATACGTATTTTTTATTTTTTTTAATTAAAAGAATAATTCTACAACTAATTGTAAAAGTGAAACATAGACAGAATTAATTTTCCTTTTTGTTTTTTTGTTTTTTTTTTTTGTCAAACTTTATGCATTGTTATGAACGTGCATTTAAGTTGTCTAAAATGGCTTACACACCCATATGCATAAATTGCTGAACGGAGTGAAAATTATTTGAATTCCAAAGAAACAAAAGGAAATAACATAAAATAATGTAGACTAAGGAAAAATAAAGCAATGCAGAGTAAGGAAAAATGAAGTAACGCAGAATGAGGGAAAAAAGAATAAGATGATAGGATAAAAAAAAAAAAAAAAAAAAAAAAAAAAAAAACACCAGTTGTTAAACATTTACAAATGGAGAAAATAAAATTTCTAAACTTCCGCAAAACCTAAAATGGTTGCTATATTATGATTTGTAATTTACACGTATACGGAAAAATACCACGGGAATGTGAATAACTCTGACTTTAATATGTATACATATGTGCATATCCGCGACAAACTAATCTGACCAGACATGTGTTTTTCACATTGTGCAAAAAAAAAAAAAAAAAAAAAAAAAATGCACACACACACGCACACGCATGTGAAAAGGAAAGGGTAATTCATTACTATAACATAATATTTATATACAGTTACGCGCTATAAAAAATTCTATAAAAATCGTTAACTCTCTGCGCTTACACTGTTATATATTAGTGAAACCTTTTAACTGCAATTAATTTAATAGCTACATAAATTAATTTTTTTTATTTTTGAAAATTCTGAGTTGCAACTGTTTTAACCTTTTTTTTTTTTACCATAATTAAGACTATTATTTAAGTTGTTAATAATTCATACCTACGCCTATGCATGTGTATATATAGGCATGTTTACGCATGCATGGAAATATATATATATACCTACATACATATATTGCAACTTCACCTAACTTGTTAGGTCAAATAACGAAGGCCACAAGTTTCTAGTAAGCTTTCTTTGCTAGCGCAGTTACGCCTTTATTCCATACGCATGTTGTGGATGTTTGTTGACTCAACTTTTTTTGACAATTAATTAAAGAAAAAAAGAAAATCTTGGCTATCAATTAATTCTAGTTGCAAAATGTACACTTTTGAAATTTAATAGATTTTTTAAAAAATAAAAAAAAAATTGTTTTTCTGTTTTTTTGTTTTTCTGTTTTTTTGTTTTTCTGTTTTTTCGTTTTTTCGTTTTTTCGTTTTTTCGTTTTTTCGTTTTTTCGTTTTTTGTTTTTTTTGTTTTTCTGTTTTTCATATTTTGTCACAAAATTTCATTGATAATTTTCATTTTTTTAATTGTTAATATTGACGCTTTGTTTTTGTTGTCAATTAGAACCGTTGTGTATAGAAAAATTCGCGAAATTGTTTCCTATGCTTAGTGTATTAATGAGCGTCCCTTTTTTTTTTTTTTTTTATTTTTTTTTTTTTGTGAGCAAATTATGTATTTGTTCGTTCATTGAAAATGTTTGACTAGTTTATTTTTATATGGCTTTTTCCATATACATTTTTAGCTAGCTCGTTTAATATTTATTTTTTTTGATGACTTTTTTTATGATTACTTGTTGGTCATTCTATTTATTTGCTTATTTTATCTAGTATTTCCTAAACATATAAATTCTACAACTAAATTAGCAGCTAAGGAAAATTTAATTTGTTCTGCAACTCATTTTTCCTTTAAATTATTTTTTTAAGAGTATTTTTATTAAATTTAAAAAAAAAAAAATTTAATCGTTTTTTTTTTTTTTTTTTTTTTTTTTTTTTTAATGCCCAATTAGATATATTTTTATTAATATATAAATATTTATGTCTCGAACAAGCAGCAACTGAAGTAATAGAACAAGTCTAGTTCTTTAAGCTACACACCATCGTTGCAGTGTTGCATATGGTTATCTGTAATTCTAAGAGACAAGCTACACATGATGAGAAGTACTCTATATTGTAGAATAATATGTACATTTCTAACTCCATGCTCCACTTTCATATAAATTGGTGCACAATATACAATAATAAAAGCTACCCCCAAAATACCAATAATTCATGAACTGAACACAATGCAGAGAGGTTCATGTTAAAATGGGAAACTTGTGTATATATATCATTTTTTTTTTTTTTCTATAGACAATTAATTCTGCCTCCATATCGGAAAAATAATCTTGAAGATACGCCAAAAAATTAAATGCATTTTAGAATATTCCCCCATCTATCTTAGTGTTCAATATATATATATATATATGTATATTTCTTTTTTCCATTTTCTCTCATTTTGTAAACAAAAAACGAATGTACCTTGAAACCTACCACAAAGGAAAAAATAACAAGTGAGAAAATTTTATATATTATGTTCAATGCTCCTCAGAGAAAATACAGGCACGTGCACATTGACATATACATAGGAATAATATAATATAAGGAATCACGCGTGTACATAGTTATGCATAAGTATATACGCTTGTGTATACAAAAATATATACATGTACAATCAGTAAAAATATGGAGGTCGAAAAAATCAGAAGAGACTCAGTTAGGAGACACAGACTTTCTAGTGCAGATGCTACGTACTACAAGCCTACTATGAAGGGATCCATAAACGATGAGACTTGTAGCGATGAGGGTGAAATTGAATTCGAAGGATGGGTGGAATTTATAACAAAAAATGACAAGGATGATAATGATGATAATGATGATGATACTTTGTGTGAAGAAAAGATTAACAAGTCAAATGGAAAAAGAAAAAGCTCATTGTATATATCAAGCACACCTGGAATATATACAAGCACGAGTAAAATGAAAAAGGGAGAAAAAAGTGGTAAAATTGAAGAGAACACTAAAGCAAATAAGAACATCAGTTTTAAGAATGAAGGGAAATCAGATTATACATATACGCCTACAAATTATTTGCACAAAGAACCTGTGATGGCATTAAATAACGGAATGGTTTATGCTAATGGTAACAATGTTACTACACACCCTTTAATTATGAACACACAAGAAAAAACGGACAACACAATGAATATTTTACAACCAAATTATGTCGATCCACCTACTCCTGTTGTTTTAAAGAATCAACAAGTACTTCCACAGTTGTATATCAGACAACCACCGACTGTGATAGTAACAAATGAGTCTAGACCCCCTTTGGTTATAAACCCTCCACCTGCTAATATTGTTTTTAAGAATAAAGCACCTCAGCCTATATATGTAAATAGTGCAAGACCAAATATAATTATTAAAAATGACCCTCCAGTGATACAGAACCCAGTTGATATGGATTCTACACCTATTCATCTAGATGTCCCTATGGAAAACACATCTACTACAATGACAGAATCGATAAAATATCCTTACTTTGTTAATCTTAAAAACGAATCTATCATTGATAACAAAAGTTGTTTTTTTAAGGGAAATATAAATAATACATCAACCGGTTTAATACAACCAAGTAATATTATACAGTTAGATAATTCATTAGGAACTATTTCACACCAAATGATACCAAATGTATATATGATGAATGAGAATGGCCAATGTCAAGGGGGGGGAGGATATCAAACACAGACTCCCATCTATGCAATAAATCCAATGGGAAACACAATTCAAACACAAGCACCTGTTCCTATCTCTACGATAAATTCATATGAGTCCAATATTTTCCAGTACACACATCCTAGTTATGCACAAGCTATATCTGCCCAACCTGAACAATGCACTATTGGTGGTGGTATCTTACTGAATCAGCCTGTACAGATGGTTCCACAACAAGCTCCACAACAAGTTCCACAACAGGTTCCGCATCAGGTTCCGCATCTGGTTCCACATCAGGTCCATACCACCACCACCCCACAGCAAGTTCACCTAACTGGTACACCGCATAATTACCAAGCATATTCCAGTACACATCCCAACGTGACGTATGGAAAAATGAGCGCACAGCAAGTTGGTCAACATGCATGTGGAACAGCAGCACCGCAATATTTTCAACAGAACTATGTGTCAACAAATCCGATCATACAAGAACAGATGTTACCTAATGTTACACAAAGAAGATCAACATATATTCCTAATAACAACATAAGCCAAGGTGTACCAACAGTTATGAAATATAATAATAATTATTTCCCTCAACATGTTAATACAAACAAAATTCCTTTAAAACATCAGCCAGCATCAGCTTCTAGTGAATTTCTGCCTACGTGTGGACCTGTAGGTTGTGCATCCACGAATCAAAAATCTGTTCATACAACTAACATGAGAAGAAACAGTTATGTGAATCCACAAACTCATTCAACAATGCAACAACCCCTTCCTAAAAAGGTCCAAATAATGGCACGTCCTATGTACGATCAGAACTTCAGGGGGTATAACTAAATTCGTTTTTGTTTGGCGACGTTTGACTGTCGCGGTAAACTTGCATATAATATATGTGTGAATATATTTATGCACGTGTGCATGCATATGACTATGTGTATATTCATGTATACATATGCATATGTACATGTTTTCATCTATGCGTTTAAGCTATGTATGCATTTGTTCTGAGAACTATTTCGAAAGTCTATTTATATTTCTCTATACTTTTCCCATATGTACATTTCCAACATTTTTTTTTTTTTTTTTTTTTCTTTTTTTTTAAATTGCATTCTTATCACTTTGGTTATTTCCCCCTTCCCTTTCTCTCCGTTTGTTAATTTTTTATACCCTTGGAGAAGTACACGTTAAGGCAACTTTTTCTAACTGCCATATTTTAATAAAAGATCTTTTAAATATGACACATGCCTTCAGATAATGCATTGTTGAATTATGTGCCGTAATTTCAAGCGGGAATAACAAATGCGGTAAGCTGTGAGGTATAACAAGAACATAATAAAATGGAAAAAACTCTTGCAAATAGAACCTTTTGGCTAGGTTATTTCACACTGACAGATGGTTCTATATGAGGAAAAAAGGATACAACAGAAGAATGCGTGTGCTCAAGTGGTGTTTCAAAATACGTGTGTGCAAAATATTACCACCTACAGATAAAGTGTTTCTCGAAATGAGAATCGAATGCTGTTAAAGTGTTGAGTTTGGCACAAGTTCTCAACATTGCTGTTATGTCACTGCAAATTTGTAAAATAATGCAAAATTAAAAAATGAAAGAAAAATAATAAAACGCATACAATTCACATTTTCTGCACAAATGTGTAAAGCTTCACATCATGCATAACAGATTGTTGAAAATTTTCTCATTTGATTTGTAGTTATTTAAAAGCTCCATATATAACTTAAAATATGATAACGAATGCGGCGAAGAAAATGTTGACGAAAAAAACAAAATAGAAAAAAAAAAAAAATAAATAAAATTTGCTACTTTTGTATATATTGGATGCAGCATATTTTGTGAGGTGTTAATATTAGTGAATACTTTTTTCCCTTTATTATTATCAATCAAAAAGAAAAAAAAAAAAAAAGGGAAAAAATGAGTATCACTTAAACATTCAAATTAACGAAAAAAAACGTTAAAAGGTTCTCATGTATATCGCTGTTTATAATGAAAAAAATAAAATAGGGATTAAGCAAGAAAGGGTGAACTACGATTAAGTAAAAATGAGCATTGAGGTATAAGCAAAAACTTGTATTATGTTGCGGGGAGCAAGATTCTGTTGGTATAATTTTATACATCGTGTACAAACATATGTATCCACCTTCTTTTATTCAAGTCTTTCTTTTTATAACACTACAATTTAAGGCTATTGTAAATAAAACACTTCCTAAACAAAAAATATGAAAAACATCATGGAACTCGAGAATGCCTATAAAGTTGTTGAATATGAATGTAAGTGTGAGGGGAAAAATCATGATCGGGCATTGGTATGTTATAGTAATTCATCTTAATTATATTTATAGACACAAAGAGGGAATGGAGAAGTTTAACTGCACCCTTGACGTGGGTGTAAATTAAGCGCACATGTGATTTATATATATGTACATACGAGTACACCTGGTGTCATTACGAACCTTTAATGATGTTAGGCTTCTTCGTGGAATATACAACTGCACCTATGCAGTATAGAGTAGATAATATAATAAAAAAGGTGATCTCCTGTGTTGTTAATCCAATAAAATAATCCTTCAAGAATAGGGTGTGCATAAATCCAGCTATGACATATGTGCATGACCGTGTGGTTCTGTTTCCAATACTAAAACACGTGCAGCAGATACATAAACACCCAAGGAGGGATGATAAACCTTGAAGGATTAAATAAAAGCAAAATTTCATATTATTCAATGTTAATGCTGAAACTGGTAGACATGATCCACTTATCATTAAAAAAATTCCAATATGATCTATTTTTTCAATTATAAAATATATATGTGGTTTCCATTCAAAATTATGAAGTAGGAAGGAAGCAAAAAAATTAAAAAACATACATAAGACTGCAATAGAAGTATATATTTTTGCTGATAAAGTATTACATATATGTAACATATAAAAAATCCAAATAGGTGACGTAAATACTAACAATAAATGTATTTTTCCGCGAAGTAATGTTTTTTCTTTTCTTTCCATATAGTTAATTAACATAGCTTTACTTATTTTTTTCGCATTATACATTTGTACAATTTTTTTGTCGTTTTCTGATAACTTTTGGAATTTTAAAAATGATTTTATTGCCTCGTCATTTATGTCCGTTGTTTCCTTCACATCAAAGATGTCTATATTATTCCAACGTTCTTTCAAAAACGCCATGGTCATTTAAGCTGAATTAACATTCATGCAGTTTCCTATAATACCCATTATATATATATATATTTTTTTTTTTTTTTTTTTTTTGTTGCTCATCACCATGTATTTTGTTGGCGTTTGGACTATACGTATTGACTATTTTGTATATTTGTTTTTTACTATTATTATATGCTTGCTCTTGTTTTTTTTGCATGTAGGCCTCATATTTTGCCGTTGTTATGTATTTAAGTCAAAATAACTCGATTTATATTCATGTATAAAAGTTACTTCAATTTTTTACATTTTTAGTTTTTTTTTTTTTTTTTTTATTTCAGTAATTTAATTTCATTAAACCAATTTTTTTCTTCTTTTTTTTTCTTTTATTTTTATTACCGTCCTGCACGAAGTAATTTTATTTCGGGTCCTTGTTTTAATTTTTAGCGCGTGCGTGCTTGTGCCAACTTTTTACGGTTACGCGGTTAGGTAAATTCGTGGTTTTGTATTTTCACAGTTTTGCTGTTTCACAGTTTTGTTGTTTCAAAGTTTTGTAATTTCGCCTTTTGAAAAATTCAGTAACTTCGAAGTGACATGGCAATATGATAACTTCTTATATTCGTACCTGTGCCTCCTCGTATCAGGACATTTTTCATTTAAGGTAACCTCCCTTTTCTCTGTCCCTTATAGGAAAAACATTTTTAAAAAATGTTGCCTCAAATTTATATTTAAACTTGCGTGTAAAATATTAAAAGAAACATCTTGTGAGTTTTTTTTTTTTTTTTTTTTTCCGCATTTGTGCAAGGGGATATGCGCTATTATTGTGCCTTTTTAAGTGTACACCAAAAAAAAAAAAAAAAAAAAAAAAAAAAAAAAAAAAACACACAAAATTCGTAAACAAACACAGCATAGACGTTTGCACTCATTGTATTGTTTCTTTTTAAAATGTTGTTTGAAATGGATGTCTATGGAGGAGCATAAATATCCACAGACCACTAATCCATCATACGTCGTTAGCAGCATAGTATTTTATTTTTTCCTTTCTATATGTTCTATGAATACAATAGGGTGAAAAACGTCCAGAAAAGGTGAACCAAAAAAAAAAAAAAAAAAAAAAATGTTCAAAAGAAGGAAGAAATAAGAATGGTTACTTTATGAGCTTATTTCTATTATGTGATGGAAATTCTGTTAGAAGTGAACTTATCGTCTTTCCTTACCATTCATCATGATCACAACCATCTGTGCTCCTGTGTATTTGTGTACCCCTTTAAATGTGGCACAGAATAAAGAAGTTCGTTCAAATGGCCTTTTAAATACTCAGTCGTATTCATAGGCAATTAGGGATGCTATTATATATATATATATATATATATATATATATATGTATGCGTTTATCTGCTTATGTTCTTATGTCAACTGATGGCGAACAGGACTTCATGCCTGGTTTATCACCTCCTATATATAGCGTCAACCCTGGGTTAGAGCCTCCAACAGGAACGAAAATAGCAATCCTAAAATAAATAGAAAAAGAGGGAGCTTATATCAATATGTTCGTTAGGTATACATCTAGTTGACATGTTTTATATAAGTTGTATTTTCCTCTAGCTCTATTCTGCAAAGATATGATTATTTTTTGCACGATTAAATTGGGTTTACCTATAAGATTTCATTTTTTCACATCATATCATTAAAAACACATTTTCTTCTTACTATATCATGGTTATCCTATTTTACATAAACAGAAATATATGGTATATTTTAACCAATACATTGTTTGAAAATGAGCAATTTGAGATGTACACACACAGCCATTCCCGTTGTTGATTTATATGTACATTTTTTAACCCTTTCAGTTCATTTTTCTGGATGAAATGATTAAACACTATACACTTTTGTACGGTGTCTATTTTGACTACTCTTCCTTTTGTATGCATTATTAAGTTCTGCATACATATAATTATAACTTATTTCTCATTTTTAAAATTTGCAAAAGGAATATAATCACAGGTAAGGGAATTTATCTGAAAGCATAACATTATATTACCTTTAACAAATTATTTGTCACCTTACAAAAGAGTAACATGAATATAACAATATGACGCACATAATCTTCTGGCTATCCCCTTCCAATTTGCCAAAATTCCCGTTTTATACAAGACATTTACAATTATCCTAAAATAAAAAGGCTCATTTTTTTTTTTTTTTTTTTTTTTTTTTTTCTCCATTCATGCTGCACATTTCTATATACCTTTAGGTGGGGATCATTGTTGCCTGATGGATGTAAAATTATGAGAAAATGTGCACTGCTCTAGGTTACTTCTCATCTCCAATATTCATTTATAAAATTTCACCAAATGGGTAAGCAATCAATATGCCTTTTTTAGTAGTTTTATATTTTTGTTTTTCCCTATAAATTTAAGTCACTTTTCTTCGACAGAGGTGGAAGAAAATGTGTAAGGCTAGTTGGAAAAAAAAAAAAAATTGGATTGGGTTGGATTTGGTTGCATTGCACAAATGTGTAGCATGTTTTAACATGGTTCAAAAATAAATATATATATGTATTTTTTTTTAATGAGTAACAAACCCTTTTGATATGAACGAAAAATTTGAACATACATATATGGTCAGGGAATAGTTGGCAACATTTCCTAAGCGTCCCTTCTTTATGGGTTTGGAAGGGAGAAGTATAATTGTTCTCCCTATGCTGTTCCACATGTGCTGTATATAAAATGATTATATTGTGGATTTTCTTACACAATTGCATAATGGAATTGTACTCCTTCACACATGTTCAAAAGAGTATCATGTGAAATACCTTTCAAAAAAAACCCAAGGTGGAAGGGGAAAAAAAAAAATATGAAATATATTGCTACATACCAAAAGAAAAAAAAAATAATAATAATTCGAGAATTATATTTTTTTTTTTTTTTTTTTTTTTTCCTTTTTTGGCTTGGAAAAGTGATATATTTATTTCACAATATTACATTTTTCCCTTTTGTTCTTAAAGCCACTGCATTTGCCTACAAATTCATACACTATCGTACGCGAGAATTTTTGATAGCTTCATTTTTCTCATTTTTTTTATTTTTTTTATTTCCCTTTTTTTTGGGATTCTTCCATACATTTGAATACATTACCCACAAGCCCCAGCTAACAAAGGAAAAGGTTTTTAGAAAAACAAAATTAGAAGAAAAAAATATATACCAAATGTAATGTTATAAAAGTATATATTGTACATAATTATGACACACTATAATATAATATACTTCTCAGGGGCATCATAAACACATGGGTACACGTAATTATTTATAAACCCAATTCATCACAAGAAAATTAATTTCTACAATTTACCTACACACTACCACCACCCCCGTTTCTCTATTTTTCCATCTAGAAATGATTTGCTAGAAAGGGCAAGAAGATATACTACGCATTGATTGCAGTAGTTCATTTTAATGATAATTTGTAAAAAGCGTAGGTTTGTATGCAATGTGTACAACATATTGTGTATACACAAGTTTGTTCACGTGATGAAAAATAAAGAGATAATGCATATATAAAAAGTGTTATGTTAGCATACTAGGCCATTTTGATTCATATGTTTTATGTCGTTTCCTCGTCTATCTTGGTCTTCTTTCTTTTTTTTTTTTTTTTTTTTTTTGTTTGAAATATAAATTTGAGATAATTCAGCCCATAGGGGGCAAGGGATGTGTCATTTCCAATCTGATTCCATTTCTGCCTCATCTTCATATACAAATCCTAATGTGCAGTGAAAGAGCACAATAAATAAGTAAACAGATAAGAAAACAAATTAGTAAACAGATAAGCAAACAGATAAGCAAACAGATAAGCAAACAGATAAGCAAACAGATAAGCAAACAGATAAGCAAACAGATAAGCAAACAGATAAGCAAACAGAAAAGCAAACAAATAAGCAAACAAATAAGGGCGTTTTTCTATTAAAAAAGCCAAAAAATAGTGGGGAAAAAGTTGTCCAAGTAATCCTACCCCCTCTACCCCCACAAGTTTCCCACACAAAGCTAGTATAGTATTGTATACCATAACAATGTCAATAAAATTAAGAGAACTAATCCGAAACATACGAAATTGCAAAACAGCAGCAGAAGAAAGATCGGTAGTTGCCAAGGAATGTGCATTGATTAGAACAGCCTTTAAGGAAGAAGACAATATTTATAGGCATAGAAATGTTGCGAAATTATTATTCATGAATATGTTGGGATATCCAACACACTTTGGTCAAATTGAATGTTTAAAATTAATTGCATCAAATAAATTTTCCTTCAAAAGAATTGGATATCTAGGGTTAACCATACTACTGGATGAAAACACAGATATCCTAATGTTAGTTACAAATTCTATAAAAAATGATTTAAAAAATAGCAATCAATATATTAACGGATTAGCCTTGTGTGCATTAGGGAACATTGCAAATTCAGAAATGTGTTCCTCATTAAGATATGAAATTTTAGATTTGATGAATATAAATAATCCATACATCAAAAAAAAAGCAGCCATGTGTGCAATTCGTATTTTAAAAAAAACAAACGACATGGAAGATATGTTTGTTGATAATATTAATAATCTATTAGAGGATAGAAATCATGGTGTTCTAAGTGCAGGTATTAGTTTAATGATATCCTTAGTAGAAAAAAATTCACAATATAAAAAGCTCCTCAGAGGGCACACAAATAAAATTGTTAAAATTTTGAAAAGTTGTGTCATGTCCAGTTATTCCCATGGTGTAGAATATGACGTATACGGCATCAATGATCCATTTCTACAAGTTAAAATTTTGAAGCTTCTGAAATATTTGAATACAGAGGTGTTGTCTGGTGGCAATACAATTGATGCGCACGGATCAGGTAGATCTGATAAAACGTTTGAAAATGATACAGAAAACTGCTCAACCATGAATCATGCAAGAAATCCAATTGGAATGGAAGCAGATAATAAACAACTTGGTTATGATATGGAAGAAGTGAATTCAGTGTTAGCTCAAGTAGCAACAAACACGGATTCTACTAAGAATGTAGGGAACGCAATTTTATACGAATGTGTGAAGACAATTACATATATATCATCAGATCCAGGTCTATTAGTTCTAGCTGTGAATGTGTTAGGGAAATTTTTACAAAATACAGATAACAACATTAGATATGTTGGATTGTGTACCTTACAAAAATTGCTAAAGAAGGATCCGAAAACTTTGCATATTTATAGAAACACAATCATAGAATGTTTAAAAGATCAAGATATAAGTATAAGGAAAAAAGCATTAGATGTATCATTTGCCCTTATAACAAAAGATTCATTAAAAGTTATGGTTAAAGAATTATTAAATTATTTACTTGTAGCTGATATAGAAATAAAAAGTGATATTGTATCAAATATATGTGTAGCTGTAAATAAATATGCACAAAATGTACAATATTTGTTAGACACATATATAAAATTACTATGTTTAGCCGGAAATTTTATACAAGATCATATTAAAAATGACTTTATTTACCACGTTTTGCAAAATCCAGAATTTCACTCTTATGTTGTGTATAAAATATTTTTCTGTATAAAAGAAAATATAAATCAATATGCTTTGGTACAAGTTGGAATTTGGTGCATAGGCGAGCTAGGAGATTTGTTAGTACAGGAAAATAAAAATGTCGGGCCAGATGGAGAAATGATAAAAGTTACACATGATGATGTTTTTGATTTGTTAGAAAAAATTGTAAAAACGTATGAAAAAAATGCTATTAAAGAATTACATAATATTAATATTAAAGATCCTATACACAACATTTTGTATAATAAATCATCAAATATATTTGAAGATATTCATTTAAATACATCTAATTATGGTCATATTAGCTACCATAACAATGCAAATGTATGTTGCAATGTTGCTGGAGAAAATGCACACACTTATGATAATAATGTTATCCTGCAGTATATACTTATGTGTCTTAATAAACTCACAGCACGTTTTCCAACGCAGAAATTAAAAATTGAAAAAATTATTCAGAAATACAAAAAAAATAAATGTATTGAAATACAACAAAGAGCTTGTGAATTTCACGAATTAATGAGTACCAAATGGGATGATATAAGGGATTCCATATTGCTACGAATACCTCCATGTACGAATCAAAAAATGAACAAAAAAAAACAAGCACACAAAGAATATGATTACGATGATGATGATGATAATATCAGAGCAATAGATGACAACATTACTCGTAACCAAATAATTAACAACTCAACCAATATGATGATAAATTCATCAAGAGAACAATACACAGATCATCAAACCAGTACTGCATGTGTGGATCTGTTAGACCTAGAAGATGTGCTAGGTATACAAAATGGGGAAGTGAAGAATGTAAGCAACACAATGAACAATCTTAATACTGTCCCAGGTATGAATAATAAATTCAACGAAATAGTTGATAACAAATTAGATATGTTTGACATTACGGATGATCTAAATATAACCAGTGCTGATCTCTTGAAGAGTCATGAATCTCATGACAACTCCTTGAGGAATGAAAAAGAAATAGAAATTGTAAAGAAAAAAAATGAAGATATTCTGGTGGATCTTTTTGGAAGCATCTCCATTAATAAGCCGAAGAATAATACGCAAGGTGTGTGACTCACAGTACGACCTTTTCCTTTCATCCCTAGTGAACTATTTTTAGTTTTATGTTCAATGGCTCGTTTTTCTTTCAATTCTTAGCGTGGCATGTATCATTTTTTCCACATTTTTTTTTTTTTTTTTTTTTTTTTATCCCTACACAGAAGGAAACAATTCATTAAATCTCCTTTTGGACGACATGGCAGAAGAGAAATACAACGACATTCAAAGTGTAAGTGATCAGCTAGTGAGGCATGTCTACTTAAACGTGTATGTCTGTACATAGGCTCAAATGTTCATATGCATTTGTGCGTCTTTGCATTCACAGACACCAAAAATAATTACTTCATATTACTCCAAACGATTTTCAGCTAAACCTAATGGACGCCAAGGTACAAATAGAACCATTGAAGGTATACGACAAAAACAACATCGAAATTTATTTTGAATTTGAAAAAGAAAATATAAATTCAGAATCAGCAACTATAAGAGCCTTCTACTCCAACAAATCAAATGATTTGATATCTTCCTTCGTTTTCGAGGTATGGATGAAAAATTACCTAAATTGGTGCAAACATAAATGTGCATGAAAGATCATTTCCCACTTTTACCATCCCCGTTCGACTATTCGATGAAATCTATAAATGCTTAGTCCAATGTATTTTTATACTTTGTAGACATTTTTTTTTTTTTTTTTCACTTGCACTCAGGCTGTTGTTCCCAATTACGTGAATCTCGAAATACTCTCAGCCTCATCTAGTGATCTTCCACCCGGTGAAGAAAAGAAAGTACATCAGGATCTAAAAATTGTCAATAAAATGCTCAAGAAAAAACCACTTCTTATGAAAGTGAGGATATCCTATTTAAAGAATGGAGAAAAATTTCAAGATTTCATTAACATAGGAAAATTTCCTTCTGTTTTGTGAAAATACGTGGCGAAGAAAAATATGCTTTCATAAATCTATATCATCAGTGCTTTTTTTTTTTTTTTACAAAATATACGTAGAAACATGTTTTTTTCATATGCATACAGTGTGTTTACTTGGTCATAATAATTTTTTTTTTTTTTTTTTTTTTTTGGTATCGTATTCTCCTTTTTCATACGCTCGTTCGTTCGTTCGTATGCTCTCTTTTCTATTTTTTTTTTATTAAAAACCAGTCGCATACTAAAAATATCCATTTGAATAGAACAAATTTCTGTCTTTAAAATGTGATTAAATTTGGGATATACTCCAACTATAAAGTCTATTTTATTATGCTTCTCCATTCACTTCATTTTAAGCGTTAGCAAAAAAATGGTAATCCTTCTCCACACACACCTTACTCATATTGAACATTTTTTTACAGCCTTGCGTAGAAATCACATTTTTACAAGACATACTCAAAGGGGTATGCAAAACATATATGGGTACAAAAAAGAAAAAAAAAACATATAGTATGAATACATTCTTTAGTAATTAGTTGTTTTTTTTTTTGGTTTTTTTTTTTTTATTTTCTGACATTTACAAATAAGACATGGACCATTTCGAAATTTTTATTTAAATATTTATCTGTCCAAAAATCAGGAAAGAATATATTTTATATGTAAAAAAAAGGGGAAGTTGTTAATAAATTTTTGTTAGTAGGATGGAGAGAAAAAAAGACAAAAAAAAAAAAAAAAAAAATGGGTAATAATGTAACCCATATGCGGGAGATTAACAAAAAAAATAAAATAAAATCGGTAAATAAAATGACCCAGGTGAAAGAAAAAAAAATTAGGCATAACAAATGGGAAAATTTTAGAATTGTCGACGTGTAATACGCACGAAACAAATAAGAGATCCATTTAATATACAAAAAAAAAAAAAGGAAGAAAAAAAAAAAAAACTTGGAGATGAACATTATAGGATGTACATAATGTGCTAACATGAATTAAACTTGTTAATTGGCTATGTACGAACTGTGGGGATGTGCATATATATACATACATATGCACACGCAGAAATGAGTCATTAGTGAAATGATCCAGATATGAACAGACGTGACTTATATGAGGAGGGAAGGGTAAACAAATGACATGATGAAGACCCAGATGAGCAAAACACAAATGAAAAACATCTTTAGCCATCCCCAGAAAGGTTTGTAAATATCGTTGAAGCTTATGGAATAAACAAAATCATTCCAATCCCGACCAGAGTCAGGGGTCCTGAGATAGGGATTTCTATTTGGCTCCTGCCTTCCGAGACCAACTGGTTTTATATTTGCCTTGATTTGTGGAATAAACTGCACAGTGACTTGTAAGTAGCCATTATAATTATTGTCAGAATCCATTCCATTTTTTTTCCTTAACTTGAGTTCAGCATCTAATTCTAATTTATTTACAATTTCCGATGCCTTATTGATATATTTTGATAATTCTAAATTTACTTCCCCTAAGAATTCACTAACTCCAACATTGTTATTATTATATGCAGCCAGTTGTAAGAAGCATGTATTTAACGGATGAGATATACGAGGATATACAATTCTCCAATTAAAAACAGCATTTCCATTTTTACAGTTATAATGAACATCGGTTGTTTGTATGGCAGGATTTGTTCCATTGTAATTTACACAATCTAATTCAGATGTTACAGTTAGATCGAACGTTTTGTTTATATTTTCATCCACGGATAGCATAGTGCATCTCCAAATAATGATTCTTATTTCGATGTCTGTTTTTTTAGGAGTTTCCATTTTATGTATAGGTGTTTTTTTGGATTGTTCATAGTCCATTATTTCTACCCACATTTCTAGAATACCATTATTTTGTCTTTCTTGATTCGCCAAAAAGGGTTCTTCATTTCTGTAATTTCTTCTTCCTCCAACTCCAACTCCTCCCCATAAATGGAAATAACTGGGTGTAATCAGATATGTGAAGATATCAAAAAATGAAAAAATACTATTCCAGTTGCTTAGTTTGTCGTATACACTAGTGGTAGTAGTTGTATTATTATAATAAACAGGACTGTGCTCACTGTCAATGTTTGCTCCTGCCATTTCTCCCTTTCGAGATTTTAAATGATTAATATATAAAGGCCTGTACTCAATAGGGATTTTATTTCTTTTCATCATGCGTCTCCATTCTTTACTTGTCCATCTATCAAATAAATTAATTTCAGTTGAACCTATGTATAAATCACTTATCCTTTTGTCATAATTATCTTCTGCACTGTAAAGGCTAACGGTTAGAATTTCGTCTTCAGGAAATATGGCTTCACTTTCCCACATACATCGAAATTCTGGGTTCAAAGTGTGCTCCTTATAAGAATTTCTTAAATTGGAAGTTTTTTCTCCTAATGAAAAAATTAAATATGGATTAGCCATGTAGTTACTATTTATTCCGCATATTCCTATTCCTCTCAATACATAAACTCTAATTTTTAGGTAAAGTGGAATTTTTTTGGATCCTCTGAATTTATTTCGAAAAATATTTTGGTTAGTTATATCTTTTAAACTCAATGGAATATTTTCAGATTCTAAATTTTGATAACGTATTTTAGTAAAACACTTAATTTGTCCACCTAGTATTTCCATAAATGGAAATTTTTTATAGCATGCAAAATTCATTCCTTCTTTTGTTATTTTATTTTCATTTACATTTCCAAACTGCCAACTGTCTGCAATACAGTTCAATTTCTTCTTTAATGGAAGAGATGGAATCAATATATCATCCAGATAACTTTCTAGCACCCCGTCAACAGAAACACGGTGAAAGTTCTTCATACGTTTTCCTACATTAATTTTATCACCTTCTACGTATAAAATAAATCTAGGTGGAATATATACATTCAGTATAAATTTACTCGTTAAAATTTTTATGTATGGATAATTTTTAACATTATAGCTTGCCTTAATAATTTCCGGAACTCCATCATCATGCAATTTGTATATACCATTTTCGTATTTTACTTTAAATGTATTTTTATTCCTTTTCATTTGGGTGTAGTATTGTCTTCTCGCAAATGGGCTATTCAATTTATCATTCATAATGTTATATTCATGCGAAGTATTCATTTGGATTCCATTCTTAGGAAATATTTCCATGTTGCTTCCCCTGCCGTAGTTGATCATGCCATACATCCCAGGGTTCTGTATGTTGTTTTTGTACATGTTCATTACCACTTCATTGTTTTGATTTGCATTTGGTTGGAACGTTTGGTGACCATACCCCAGGGCTTCATTTTGCACAGTCTGGAAGTTTACATTTGGATCTCCATATATGTCTTTTTTCGGATCCCTCAATAGAGCACCATTCCCATAAGCACCATTCCCATATGCACCATTCCCATAAGCACCACTCCCATATGCACCATTCCCATAAGCACCACTCCCATATGCATCATTCCCATATGTATCATTCCCATAAGCACCATTCCCATAAGCACCATTCCCATATGCACCATTCCCATAAGCACCACTCCCATATGTATCATTCCCATATGCATCATTCCCATAAGCACCATTCCCATAAGCACCATTCCCATAAGCACCATTCCCATATGCACCATTCCCATAAGCATCATTCCCATATGCACCATTCCCATATGCATCACTCCCATATGCACCACTTTGATGATCCTGACTAAAAATTGGCAAATTCTTCCACTCTTCATCATCATCTGCAAGTTCATGTCGTTTTACTTCTTCCTTCAAACTGATAGCATGGTCAAAGTCAGCCATAGAAATAGCAGTGATAACTAGAGCGGCATGTTTATTCTTGTACAGATTAAAAGCAGTGTCCACATTTTCTATGTCGATTGTTTCAGAATAATCATCGTGCGCTTTTAAGTAATAGAGGACTTTATCTATGTCTTTGATCCATGGTAAGTAAGGGACTAAAGATATACTTGTTTCTCCAATGAAATATTTTTCTTTAATTTTTTTATTGTATACTTTAATGTTCAGTATTGGATCAAAAATTGGATCAAGTGGTAGATCAAGAGATAAATTTTTGACACAAAACATTTCAAAGCTTTGTTGATCGAAGGAATTTTTCCAATTCTTTAATTGTATTCTCGCATTAGATTTTAACGATTTTTCATATTTAATTACAAGTTCATTATTTTTTTTCCCGTATGACGAATAAGATGTTATGGATAGTAAAATAATTGGGTGTGTGATAACAATTCTGGTTGATTCATTTTTTAGCAATTCAATCTGTTTTTTTCTTTTCATTAGCATTAAATTTTCTAGAGACATACAAAAAAATGATAAAGTGCATTTTTTTATTTCTGTTATCATAGGATAAGTGGGGAACTTAATTGCGTCTTTTTCTTGCACCAGCTCAAAGTAAAGTAGTATATCTCCTACTCTTTCATTACATAGTAGATCATTATGAGGATATGTATATTCAGAGTTATTTCTTCTTTTCCCTTGTACACTATTACTTCTAAGTTCTCTCTGTTTTTCATACATGTATTCCTGTACCACTCTTTTGTCATTTCCATGATGTTGCCACAAATTCTTGGGATACATTGCCTTAACATGTTTATTCCCTTTTAATTTAATCCATCTAGGTTTTACTTGATCAACTACATTGTATTTTGAACCTCTATCTGGAAAGTTATATTTCTTTTGGTTATCACGCAAGTATATATCATAATTACAAAAACATCTTCCAATAAAATAAAAAGTGTTATTATAAAATTCGTACAAAGTTACAACAATAAGGGGTATTGTAGGTAAGCCCACAGAATAATCTGTTAAAATTTTTACATTCAATTTTAGACATTGTAAAAAAACTGGATTTGAATTGCTTAACACAAGTGAAGTAATTTTCATTTTCCCTGAACATGAAATATGTACAAAAGTGTTAGGAGATTCATTAAAATGGGATATAACATTTCGACATGCATAAATGTAACACCTCAATTCGTAGTTAACTGGAATGAGATTTTTTCTTCTATTTATTCCTAAATGCACATCATACGATTTCTCTAAATTAATTAATATCGATCCATTTTGAAAAATGTTATACATACAATTAAATTCTCCATTCACATTCTGAGGAATATTCTTTAGTGGTATCCAAATGGGACACCTAGACAATTTTTCATTGTACAAAAGGACGTTTTTTAGGGGAATTCTATAGTACGCGATTCGTCTGTCATTGTTGTAAACATTATCCTTTTCTTCTTCCTTTCTTCCTCCTCTTGATGCTTCTTTTTGTGCATATTTTCCTCTTTTCCCTTTTTTCATTTTCCGTTTATTCATTATATACTTCTGCCTATCGGTCAGTCTTTTTGTTTCTTCCTCTGTACCACCTTCGCCATTATGCTCATCCAGGTATTCATTATTATTACAGTTATAATAGTTAGAACCCCTCTCGAATACATTTATTAGAACATCCCATTGTTGCATCTCATCTTTAACTACACAGAATTTCATATTTTCTATTTTTCCATTTCTGGATGTAAAATAAAATTCAGTGTTTTCATACATTTCGATAATTTTTTGCTTTTCTGTAACTTTTGTGAAGAAGTTATCCAAATTTAGTATATCATCAAAATTGAACAAATTAGCAAAGTTCGTTTGTTTATTTTTCACATTTTCATAGTTCTCACTGTTTAGTTCATACTTTTTATAATCTCCATTTGTAATGGATGTAAAATTTCTCACATTTCTCATTCCCTTTTTATATGCACCTCTACTCTCTATTGTATACATTTCTCCCTCGTTTACATAAACACAATCTGTCTGTTTCCTAAAGGGACCACAAGATATTTGGACATAAATATTATTAGCTAAAATACCAGTAACTAGATATATATCACACAATAAAGTTACGGGAATATATAATGGATCATCGAAAGATAAGCAACTTTGAGTCATTGCAATATTTAGATTATCAAAATTGTTTATTCTTTCTACATATGAACTTATACATATTCTCCCAAGATAAAAATTTCCCTCTAGAGACAAACTAAAATCAGGATTGTTAAAATGATTGGTATCATTTTCAAAATTCATTTCGTTTTTGTGAAACCCATATAAATTTATCCAGGTAGGGTTTAATGATTCGTTTTTTATCTGATTAAAGGATAGAACACCAACAGCTAATAATTCATCATTTGATAAAAAGTTCCAATCCCATATTTTTATAACTATAGAATCTTCTAAAATTGGAGTAGCAATAGGAATTTTAAAGCATTCATTGAAAGTATAATTTACACAATTTCTTCCTTGACTTGATTTCAGATGGCATCCATTAAATTCACATGTTACATACAAATCTCTCAGTTTTTTTTTATTCACATCTATATATATATCTTCTATTTTGTGTATATTCACATATAGGTAGTAATACCTACAATGTGCGTCTCTTACCATTATGGGATTTTCTTCCACTACTGCTTTAGTCAAATTTGTGTAAAAGTTATCTTCATCCTCATCTTCATAACCACCTAAACCTGTATAAGAAATGGATCTATTATTTCTTTCAGATAAATTGTTAAGTATATCATTATTGGCAGTATAATCCTTTTCGTCACAGACAATTACCTTTAATCTCAGCTGGCCCCTTATTTCTGTCCCATTTTTATATAATATAGGATAGGTTCCATAGATCTCATGATTTTGTTTATTTTTAATTAATTTCAATTCGAATGAAATTACTCCTATTATATCATTTCTCCAGAAGGTATTTGCGCTCTGAACCTCGAATTCTATTTTAGCCACATTCCATTCTATTTCTGATAAACTAATTCTATCCCATATGTGACTTTCTTCCCAGTTCACTGCATTGTATTTTTTTTTCTTTTTTTTCGTTATATATTCCTGGTTACAACAGCGCACAACTACTAGTGGATCCAGCAAAGTCTTATCTTCGGCCTCTAAGTTTTGTGCCTCGTAAATAGTGAACCCAACGGATATGGTTCTCATCTCTTCATTTGATATTTACTAATCGGTTAAAAATATTACGGGACACACTTTTTGTGTACTTTTCTATTTCAATCTTTTTTCTTTTTTTTACTTTCCAAATTTTTCATTTTTAAAAGTACACTACAATGTTATATTTCAGGGCATGATAAGTTTCTTATCCTGTTTTACAAAATTGTTTGAGTAAAGGTAGTCACACTGTGCATTAACCAGAAAAAGATAGACATGTTTTTTTTTTTTTTTTTTTTTCTCTTAATACAAATTTGTTTTTGTTGTATTATATAGATAACTCTAATTAAAGAACATATATGTGGATGAATATTCCTTTCTTTATCATAACACACAGATGTATATAAAAAATAATCATTTAAATAACATTTTATTTTTCGTAAAATGGGATTGAATAATTTTTTGAATAGTCTTACCATTTCTAGTATCTAAAACATGTTAATTTAAGAATGTCTAACAAAATTATGGTTTCTACTTTTACAAACATACAGAGATATGGTTAAATAAATTTTTTTGAAAATGGAAAAAATAGAATCTTAATACATATGGTAAAGGATAATGTATTATATTTTCTTTGATTACTTGATTATAAACAAATTAAGCAAAACACTTATGAACAAATATTCATTAAAAAAAACGTGCATTTAATTAATTACCATTTTGGTGGTACCCCCTCTTCGCCCCAAATAATATTACACTTCACATGCTTATTAAAAAAATATTTTTTGGTGGAGGGGATGATGAGAAAAAAAAAAAAAAAATTATCTTTTTGTTATTATTCTAGTACTGTAATTTCGTAAACCTTAAAAGGATATTAACAAAAAATGTGTTAATTTGAGATGGTAATACGGGGGAGAAAAAAAAAAAAAAAAAATTTATTGTGTGACTAAAAATGAAAATAAAACTTAAAAACGTTTAAAAAAAAAAAAAAAAAAAAAAAAAAAAAAAAAAAAAAGGGGAAACTCATAAAAGTTCATATAATCAGTGTGTGCTTGTAATCATATACAAATGTATCAACGTATAAAAAAAAAAAAAAAAACAAGCATTAATACATACGCAACTCTTTTTCTAGAAATAATCTGAGAACAAATCATCTTATTTTGTATATACATTCCTATGGGACAAACAATCCAAGTAAAAATGAATTCACTATGGATAAAAAAAAAAAAATAAATAAATAAATAAAAATATGCACACAACTGGATGTACTACAATTCCATTATATAAAAATATGCTTTCACATAGTATTTCCAAAGGGCACAATGCATCAAGAAAAACCTTTGTGAAATGGTACATATATACACATGAATACATATTTCCCTTTCAGAGTCTGTTAAAATTAATAACACAATATTCATGTTTAAAAATGTATATATATGCATATATTCGAAAAAAAATGAAGACATGCATCTTTCAAGGTAGGGAAAAATTTTCGCATGTAATAAAACAACTAAGGTGTGACTCAAATACTCCATCAGTTTTCCCTGAAAGGAAAATGTATATGCATATATATGAGGACACAATAAACTGCTGTGCTTCGATATCCATACATACACGTACGTATAAACGTGCTTATGCATCGACACAATTTCCCGTGCTTGTACAAAGTTAGCACTGGCTTATATATATATAGCTATACACATAAAAGAACATGTGCAGTTTTGTCCAAATATGTGACATAGAATAAGGTATGAAATACTTATAGTAGCACAATTCCATTTCATGCATCATTAAAAGGGATGAAAACTATATTTCCTTCTTTTTTTCCTTTTATAAATGAAATGTGTAGGAGTGGAGGAATGTAAATATTTTGTTGTTTAATGTGCTGCAAAAGTCTAATTCTTTTTTTTAAGAATTTTCTTTTGCATATGGGGTAAAATCAGTAAAATTTACTATCAAATTTGACATGGACATATTCATAAACATAAACCACCAATCATGCATCTGATTCGAATATGTAACATAATATGTAGGAAAAAGCAGATATATCAACAAATGCAAACTCCAACCCCTCTCCTCCCCATTCATATGTGCACATCTTCGTGGTAAATAGAAAAATATAAAAATACATAAATGAACAATAAAAATGCAAACATCATCATTTTTTGTACATCATTTAATCAATAGTAACCATTTAGAATACATGTTACCTCTTTGCGATTTTTATGGATTCAAATAGAGATACTATCCTGTTCATTCCCATTTTTTTGTAAAAACATCTCAGTTTTCAATAATGTATCAACTGTGAATTTCGCCCCATTTTCATGTTTAATAAGTAATGACATATGCCACTTCCTTTCTTATGAGAAAAAAAAAAAAAAAAATGTCTTAACATTGTTATTTAATCATACAAACGCTTTATATATATTCATAAGATTTTTTTGAAACGATAGGCAGTGTATCTTATTCTATTTTTATATAATTATAGTACATCTATTCCCTGGACATTTTAACTTTCTTCTTTTATATTTTTCCTTTTTTTTTTTTTTTTTTTTCTTGGTCTTTCTACCCCATAACAATGTGTCTAAATCCTTGAAATGTTTTTTCCCATTAGCATTACTCAATTTTATTATTATTATTTTATTTTTTTTTTTTTATTATTCTTTACAATTACATTTATTTTCCCGCGAATAAACATTTTTCTTCTATCCAATTCGTTTATCTTCCAAAAACGTCTGTATGCTCTTTTCATCATAATTATTTTTTTGTTTTCGCTAATTCGTGTTCGTTTTTAAGTTATCAATTGTCTTTAATTCTGTATCGTTCTTTTATTCCATTTGTATCCCCTGTTCTTTGATCGACCTTTTGTCCTCTTTATGATTAATGTCGATGTCCATACCTGTATCTATACCTGTATCCATACCAGATTCTATACCAACGTCTATGCCTGTGTTCACGTCCTCGGTGTATGTTTATGCACATCGGGGTCTTTGTTGTCATTCTTCATTCTTCATTCACCTTTCACAGTTTCCCCTTCATCGGATTCTTCCTCTACATTATTTCTTTTTTCACATTTTCCTTTCTCTTTCATATTAGGAATATTCACTTGTACATCTTCAATTATATCATCACATGCAATGTTTTCATTATTCAAATTTTCGTTTTGTATATTCGTTATTACTCCTTTTTTTTCGATAATACTGTTATATGCATTAATAATATTCTCATTTTCCATTTCTTCATTATATGAATTACATTCCTGCATATGTGTCTTTTGGCACCATTCATTTTTATTTTCCTGATCCTCTATGTTGTCTCTAGTTTTGTCGTAAATATTTGCCTCTATTTTGTGTCCCATAGAGGGGTTATTTTTTCCATAAGATTTTTCCATGATGAATATTTCGTCCCCTGGGCAAGTTGGTATTTTCACTTCATTGTCTTCACTCTTTCTTACTTTCAGATTCTCATGATTCAAATCAATTTTGTTCATTGTCGTCTTATCCATAAGTTTCATCTTTTTAATATCCTTTTCTTCATTATTTATCATCGTCTGTTTCCTCTTAACAGTAAGAATTTCTTTTGAGGTAAACTCAGCATTTAATTTATGCTTCTGTTCCTGCACATTCGTTACCGAAAATTCTTGTATATTTCTGATATTATTAACATCATTATTGTTGTGTAATTCGTTGTCAATACAGGATTTCTCTGTCGTGCTGGATCGGTTCAAATTGTTGAGAATGTTTGTTTTTTTGCTTTTTTTTTTCTTAGCATTACTATTACTGTCTTTGCCGTAGTTGATTCCACTTTCTTTGCCATTGTTTAAACTGCTGTTATTACCATTACTGTTATCCTTGCTGTTAGCATTATTATTGTCGTTGTTATTTTTGGTGGCCACCGAATGCATAGAGGGGAATTTGGACGAATTAAAAAATAATTCTTCTGTTCCTAAAAAGGAGGAGGATTCTTCACTATTCAAAGAAAACGAATGACAATTTGAAAAATGAGAATTATTTTCCTTTGTAGTGTTAAAACTATTTAAACTATTTACTAAGTAATTATCGATAATTTTTCTTTTGGCTAGGTTGTTAATAAATGTATCTTCTTCAGATTCTATGGATATGGATTTGTTCATTAATTTTTTGTTCGATAAAAAATATTGAGGAGATGAATTAAAAGGTGCACCTAATCCATTCAGCATAATTTTAATTAAATTATTTGCAATGCTTTCCAAAGATTCAGTTTTTGTTTCAAAAGCAGGAATCCAGATACTTAATTGCCCTAAAGTTCTACATGAAGTTATATAATTAAATATATCATAATAATAATCCCCTAAATGTGGTTGTAATTCTTGCAGTTTCAACACACATTTACATTTATAATCTATAAAAGCTTTTTGCATATATAATCCTTCCTTGTTTTGATTTATTAAGGAATTAATTTCTTGAATTAATTTATTTATCTCTTGTTCTAGTGTTAAACTTTTATTTTTTAAATTTTCATATTCGCATTCTTTAAATATGACCCTGTTAATAAGGTAATGAATGTTCGTTGTTTGCATACTGTAAGCTACTTTTATATTTTGTAACTCCTTTTCCTTTTGATAATTTTTTATTTTTAATGATGACAAATCTTCATTATCCATTTCTATCGATGATGATATATATTCTAAAAGGTCCTTTTGGTTTATAGCAATGTATTTATCTCCGTATTCATGAATATTCACTGGAAAAATAATTAATGATTTATTTGCATCCAATTTAATTACTTTTGCTTTTTTGGAAAATAATATATTTTTATTAAATTCATCACTTTTTTTTAGCATATCACAAAAATCTTTATACTCAATTTCCGTTGAATTTTCACTAGTGGAATTTTGCACATTTACATCTTTGCTCCCATTACTTTTGTTGTTATTCTCTTCAGGACTTTGTATGTTGTTAATATTAGTACATTCGTTTATTCTTCCATCGTTTTTTTCACTATTCTCACTTTTTTCTTCAGTGAATTGGATATGGTTTTGTGTATTTTCCATTTTTCTTTCTCCTGCTTAGAATTATTGTAATGAGAATAAATGGACAGATGGACAATGGAATTTCTTTTTTTTTTTTTTTTTAGCTTCACAGGTAAAAATAGAAAAAATTAGCGATACTTTTTGAGAAAATTTGTGCTAATTTTGAATTTCCCCAAGCATTTATTACACTTATCCACGGTGTAGAAAACAGTAAAAAAAAAAAAAATGATGCACATGGTAATGTGAACACAGAAATAATAAAACATATTTCTCAAACATAAAAATGCATAAATTCATATCCATAAACAAATGATGTAAATGGGGAAATATATATATCTCTGCTCAAAAAAAAAAAAAAAAAAAACACGATGGTTGTTTAATTCCCCATTCATATGGTATAATTTCTGTAGTTTTCAAATGGAAGAGAAGCAAAAACGGATAAACGTAACGCAATTAATGAATTACTACTGAAATGATACGTGCGAAAATACATCTTAAATGTAAAAATAGTCATAAATGGGGATAATAAGTTTAACCCGAAAGTGCATTTTTATCTCATTTTCTCATATTCTCATTGTCTTTTTTTTTTTTTTCCCCTTCATTTTTACCTGGGATAGGAAGGTTTTTCGAGTTGTGTATTAACTGATTTATTTCATTTTCTTTGTCCTTGTTTGGAAGAGAATCTTTTTTAAAATTGCCACCTTTTTTTTTGTTGATATAATTTTCATGCTTCGAGGGAAGTGTGTTTACATTATACCTATAAACGATATTCTCGTTATTATCTTCACATGATTTGTCATTAAATGAGGTGCTAAAATTGTACATTGACACATCTGCATTATTTCTAATAACATCGTAATTATTATTACTACTAATGCTGTTAATGTTATTGCTACTATTATTATTATCTTTATTATTAAGGCTACAGCTATTCATTTTTGTTGAAAATTTCATGTCTGATAAACATTCATTATTGCAATGTATTAATTCAATAATGTTTTTTTTACATAATGCCTTTCCTTCATTTGTCTCGTACTTGTAATGATTTTCATCGATTTCGCTATTCAATGTTTCAATATAGTTACTACGTTCATCTTTTGTCAAATCATTATCATAGACAAACAATGTGTTATTATGATTGAAGCTATCCATGATGTTTTTACTTACATCCTTTTCATCAAATAAGTTTTGTTTATGGATATGTTCTCCTGGATCATTATGTGTGAACGAATTTGTCTCACTTTCTTTCATATTGCTTCCATTGAATTTTATTGAATTTTCCTCATCAATAGTTTTATTTTGCAAATTAATAATATTTTCGATGTTTGAACTTCCGTTTTCATTAGAAGAACTAGACTTTTTCATCATAGTGTTTGTGTTTCCACAGTTAATATTTGTAGAACTATTGGATATGTTTTTTGTGTAATCACTTAAATTAGGTTTAAAATGGAAAAAAGTATCTGTCTTTTTCCCTTTATTATTACGTATAGAACTTTCAAGACGATTATTATAATCCTCAAAATTATCCATCAACTTAAAATCATCAGCTTCACATGGTAATTGATCTATTATAGTAGCAAATTGGCGTATCTGGGATGACGCCATTATTACATATTACTACAAACTCAGTAAATTCTATGCCTCAACAGTGAAACTGAAGTTAAATGGGCATATATTTTTGGAGAGTTTTTTCCGTTTGTGTATAGACCTACGTGGATTAACCGACGTAGATATACCCTGATTTACATACGTGTGCATTAGCAATTGTATTTTTGTATATACCTACAACATATGCATTAATTTAGTCAGACATATGCCTATCTCCACGTTTAATACACATCAAAAGCGTGGATGATGTAAAAATGAACTCAGAAATTTTGAAAAAAAAAAAAAAAAAAAAAAAAGTTAAATACAAAAAGTGAAAAAGTTAAACTAAAAAAGTTAAACGAAAAAAGTTTAGCGAAAAATGTTAAGAGAAAAATGTTACGCAAAAAATGTTGGATGAAAAAAATTTAATGCTATGCTACACTAAAAAAAAAAAAATTTAAATCATAATGGTTCCATAAAATATTGTAATATATATTCTATAGTTTTATTCTTTTTTGCATTTTTTTTTTTTTTTTTTTTTTTTTTTTTCATTTTACAAAGTTATCCAAAACTCTATCACTTAAATTTCCCAAAAACAAAAAAAAATGTATATATATATATATGCATTACACACGTATGTATTTTGTATTCCATTCCTTATATTTTTCATTGAATAATATACACTATTTGTAATACATTTTTCCAAAATGTGTTTTTTTTTTTTTTTTTTTTTTTTTTTTTTTTTTTTAATGCTTCTTTTTTTTTTTTTTTTTTTTTTTTTTTTTTTTTAAAAAAAAAAAAAAAAGAAAAAAAAAAAAATTTAATGAAAAAAAAAAAAAAAAAAAAAAAAAAAAACAGCTAATTTCTGCTTCTTTAAAAAATGGAAAATTATGACTAAACGGTTATGTGAAAAATGGGCTATTCGTTTAAATTATTTTATTTTTATTTTAAACAAAAAGATGTGAAAATTTATAAATGCAACAGGAAAATATATCTAAAACGCATTATCAAAATGATTAAATGTGGAAAAAAAAAAAAATTTAAAAGCTTGAACAAAGTGGACCAGGTGAAATATTGGCTGTTATCACACACTTGTGATACGCTTTCTGAAAGTGAAAAAAATAAAAAGAAAAGAAAGTTTATAATACGAGTATGTTATTATGCCATTATTCCAATGTGTTAGCTTGTGCGTGTGTTCATTTAAAAAACTCGAATGGATCCACATTCCAAAAATCATGATTCCGTTTAAAACACACAGCTAGGTGCACGTTTGATGAACATGAACATATTCAGAAAAATCGCTTGAATCACTTTTCAGTTATCGCGACATTTTGGAGCATAAAATTATGCAGCACGTCAGAATGAAATGTAGAAAAAAAAAAAAAAAAATGATTTAATGTATCATTACATGATTTTTCTACATTTGAACTTTATTTTTCCTTATATTTATTTTTTTACCACAAGTTTTGTGTGTTGTAGTACACTTTACTGTTAACCGCTCCTGTGCAAGGGTCTCCTGCCTATGAATTGTAAAACCAAGAGAATTAAATAGATTTATCAAAACAGAGAAATCACACTTAATAAATGCACTTATAGCTATAGACGAAAGAAATAAATAAAAAAAAACAAGTAAGAAAATGAATGAATCATAATGTGGGAGAAAAGCGTACTACATAAATTTCATGAGATCCTAAGAGACAATCAACTTCCAATTTTACCCACGTACACGTAAAAGTCCATGCCCATTTTGAAGTATAATTACCTTTTTGTGTATCTTATTTTTTGCCATTGTTTACATAATATTTCTACAAACATATTAAATTGACTTCTTTTTATATTAACTCATAAAAAGGATGTGTCTACTCAAAATGTTTTAAGCTCGTACACTTTTTTGTGCTTTTTAAAATTTTTGATTCTACAAATGAATTTTCTATATATTCATATGCTAATTTTTGTCAATTCATAATAATTCTTTTTCCTCCCTCCACTTCATTAGTGTAATAAGGAAAATGAAAAAATGGGCTTTACTTAACTGAATATCAAAATGGGTACTTAATTAGGTTCAAAAAGTTAAACCCGTTTGTACACAAAAGTACATAATTATCCCTAACAAACCGCTTTCGTAGAAACGGAAGGCGTGTAGCAAATTTGTTGAACGAATAATTAGTAAAAACACTTATTTTAACATTTATTAACTGTTTTATTTAAATTATTTGAAGGGATGTTGAACAGTAATTTGAACATGTGGAAATAATTTTATTATTATTATTATTTTTTTTTTTTCATATATTAAAATTACACTTCAAAAATTTACACTTAAGTGTGTTGTGTACAAAGGATTTTCTTGTCTATAAAACAGTGGTACAAATATAGAAAATACATATGTTTAAAAATAGAAAAAAAAGTGCAAATGACTAAATGAGGTTTCCTGGATATTCTAATTTTTCATTAAAAATAAGGTATCAAAAAATAAAAATGGGAATGTAGAGTTAGCACACACACAAAATGATGTGAAAAAAAAAAAAAAAAAAAAAAAGATAGAAGCAAAAAACAATTTTTATTTCAATGGAAAAATGTATATAAAGGTGTTTTCAAATTGTGACCAGATATCCACTTACGAGGATTTTTTCGTTGTATCCTTTTTCTTTCCTCTATATTATCATTTTTTTTTTTTTTTTTTTTTTTTTTTTTTTTTTTTACTTATTCATATATTCATTATATGATTGTCTTGTCTGCATAGAGAAGGTACGTCGTTTATTCATTGGTAATCTATAACAATTATCCCAAGTGGAGGTTGAACATACAGACCTAAACATGTGCATGAACATTTGTATTAAGGTGCATATATGTGTATTTTTTTTTTTCTTTTTTTTTAGATCATACACACAAAAAAAAAAAAAATAATAATAATAAATTACATGCATGCGTGCACACATACACATGTATACTTGTACACCCATGTGAAAATCACAAAAAAAAAATGAAATTAAGGAAGATTTAACAAGAATGACGGATGTATATTAAAAGACATACAAATATGTAGCTTCAAAGCAATAGACGTAATAATTGTTATTATTCCAACGAAATGCTTGGATGCATGTATATCTACACAAATGAACACATGAACATGCAAATGCATTGATTCGTGCGATTTGTTAAGCAATTCACACTTCACTACGGACAATTTTGACTACATCTTTGTTTGTCTTTGTTTTTCTTTTTTTGTCTTTGTTTTTCTTTTTTTGTCTTTGTTTTTCTTTTTTTGTCTTTGTTTTCCTTTTTTTGTCTTTGTTTTCCTTTTTTTGTCTTTGTTTTCCTTTTTTTGTTTTTGTTTGTTTCTGCTCGTTTTTGTTCGTTTTTGTTCGTTTTTGTTCATTTTTGCTCGCTTCTGTTCGTTCTAGTGTTTTGTCTCTTTTGTACATATCGAGGAATAACGTTTCACATTTTAAAAGACCACAACATAAGTTGTTTCATCCTACAGACAAACTTATGACCATACAAATGTTTCAATTAAATATATGAAAGGTGTATCCTTTATAAGTTTCAAACTTGTTCGTTTTTTTTTTTTTATTAAATTAATATATACCAATTTTTTCTTTCACACCTGTGTACAAGTGTGTAATTTTTTTTATTTTTTTTTGTTATTTATTTCTTCCTTTTTTTTGACTGCACTGTTTAGTGTGTTAATTATAATAATATAATTATGACGAAATTGTTTTTTATTTATGCATTCGTGCTGCCTTTGCTATCCTTTCTTTTTGTGAAGGGTGAAAATGACATCAGCAACACCTTTTTTAAATTTGAGAATTGCAATTCTACATCTACATTTCCAAGTATAGGGGAAAACGGGATACCTCAGTATGGTGCAGAGAATGCCTTGACAAGAGGTTCAGGCTATTGGTGTTCAGAAGGGAAACACAATTCTAATGAAATTGTTTCATGGATAGGGCATTTAAAAAATGTCAGATCATTAAATGGAATTATAATCCATTGGGCTTATTCTCCAGGAGAAATTTCTGTCTTAGCTAGCTACGATGGAAATGATCCATATGAAGAGGTAGTTCCCTATCAGGTCATCGATTCCCGAGGAGGTAAGCTATCGTAAAGATAGAGGAGATAGTGAGAGATGTAAGAATTGGGTACAGACAAAACTGGCTGAACATGGAATCATGTGAATGTAGATCCTTGAGTAGGTGTCTATTCTTTTTTGATTGGATGTCTGCTAACATACACACTGCTGACACTCTCCTACGTTTCCCCTTCCCTCTGCAGGAAATGTCGTACAGAACATCATTTTCAACCATGTGGTAATGGCAAAATCGATAAAATTAAACATGAGACACCCGATTCACGAATATTTTGGAATTAATTTTGTTAATGTACTGGGATCACGGGACCCAACTCTTAGGATACAGAGTGGGATGAGCAGCGTGGTTCAAGACTTATGTTTACAAATAGATGATACGAACGAGGTAGTACTGGACGGATGTATCACATCCATGTCTTACATGGATGGAAGAGACCTTTGGAAATTGAATGCAAAAAATCAGATATACAACCCGATTACTAATTTATGTATAAGTTTAAAAGATAACATGACTGCTAATGGAGGAAGAATAATAATGGAAGACTGTAACGCAAGTATAGAACATAACGATGGTCGTAGTAGTTGGCAGTTATTACCAAATAATCAATTAAAAATGTTAAGAGATGGTAATTTCTGTTTATCACAAGATGGGTCTAAATCAGGTAGTATAGATGTAGCATTAAATAAACATACAACATCTACATTATCAAAAGAAGATAAGAAATATTCTACTGATAAAGCTGTTGATGGAAACTTAGATACATTTTGGTTATCTCAGCCTTTCACTATTGACACTGCACCAGATTCTGTTTATTTTAACATCAATTTAGGTAGTATATATAAATTACAAAAATGTGTTATTGATTGGAGATTTCCAGCTACTAAATATTCCATAATGATTAGTAACGATGGAAAAAACTTTAAAGAAATTAGTATTAATTTAGCAAATTTTTTATCAAGTACAATAAATAATTTACATAATTTAGAAGGGCAATATGTCAAGTTGAAATTTATGGCTCCAAATCCAGAATTTGCTCAAGATCAAAATTTATTTTATGGTATTAAAAAACTTTCCATATATACCAACAGGATAAAATCAGTTGTAGATGATTGTGACACGGTTAAAAATTCTGAAGATGCCAGAGATAAATACTTCTTTGAATTTGTTTCGGAAATAAATATGCAAGAAGGGAAAGAATTGAAACGCCTAGATGGAGAATTACAGCAATACGCAGAGAAAATTCAAAATGAAGCTTTAAAAATACAGAAATTAAATCCTCAATTAAAAAAATGTAAAAGTGGAAAAGAAAAAAGACACAATGATATAATAAATATAAAAAATATTGTTCTTAAAAATATATACGATGTAATTAATGAGTCACAAAAAATTATAAAAATAAACTCGTTGAACTCTAATTATTCTACTTCTACAAAAGAAATCGGACAAACATCTGAAAATCCAGCAGATGATTGTTTTCATTTAAAGAAAACTTTACCCAACTCTCCTTCCGGGTTTTACTATGTTCTACCTTCATGTTCTCAAAATGTGTTAAGGGTATACTGTGATATGAAAATTGGTGCTACTTATTACATTCCATCGGTAGATACAAATTTAATTAGCAAAATAAAGCATGTAGAAAATGTGTGTGCTAGTTATGGTTTGAACCCTATTCATTTACATAACGAGAGTCAAATATATGAATTAAAAAAACTGTTTCAAATTATGGAAATAAACATAGAAAATCCAGTTCCTTTAGCAGTCAGAGGAAAAGGCACTAAAGAAGAAGAATATGATGATGATGAATTATTTTTTTTTTCCTTAGATTTTCAAGAAAATGTTACTAATATTGTTTCAAAATTTGGAACCCCAACAGGTAATACATTCGGCATAGATAATCAAGGAGTAGTTTTTTTCGATTCTTCAAATTCAGAAATGTCAGCTTTTGTCTGTTCGAATAATGTAAATTCTATCAATTTATCTGAACCATTTTTGAACTTCAATTGTCAAACGAGTTTAAAGGAAAGTAGTGAAATTAAAAAACTTGTAGGAAATGAATACTTAATTAAATGCCCACATGATTGTTTAGAAAGAGAAATAGAAGCATCTGTTGTCGGGGGTGAAGGAAATATATATTCGGATGAGAGTTCAATTTGTTTATCTGCTATCCATGCAGGTGTATATGATAAACATTATTTGATACACCTTAGAGTAGTAAATGCATTGGGACAATATGAAGGAGTTTTTCAAAATGGAATAATTTCAGAAAGTTACATAAATGAAAATCAAGAAGTAGCATTCAAATTGTTTAACATACCACCTAAATGCCCTGGGAATAATTCAGATATGGAAAATTTTGTTTTTCTCGAATCAGATAAATTTACAGAAGATTTAGATGATAAAGAAAATGTATATGTAGATCCATCTACTGCAGATGCAATAAATGATTTGGTAACAATTGTTAATAAACAAGTTGGAAGTACAGATCCTTCCTTTCTAGCTTTAATAAATAAACAAGCTATTCAAATAATTTCAAATGCCAGAAGATATCTAAAACCTACTGAACTTTTTGAAAAAAATATGGAACTTTTGTCTGATGAAACTTTAAAAGATGTACAAAAAGTGTCTCACACAATTAAATTGTTAACATCTAAAATTACATCTGAAGTGGAAAAAAGAAAGTACAAATTAGAAGCATTAATAGATGAAAGACTTAGGCAAAAAGAATTCGAATCGTGGAAATTAAATAGTGCAATAACGAAAGAGGATCTATACAACGTTTTCGAAGTAATAAATTCTTTGCAATTGCAACAAGGTGGGAAATGGGATATATTGGATAATCCATTAAATGAAGGTATGACTGGAAATACACTAACACAAAATGCACGTGTTGTTAATATGAGTGGTCCTCATGATAGTAATAGGAATGACAATGAAATGGCTAGATCACCTTTGATGGATAACCAATTTATTGGTAGTTACTCATTTTTAAGATATAAGTCCTTTTATGATTTCATATTTTCAACTTATGTGCACGTGAAGGGTACAGGTTCTGTTGGGATAATTTTCAGAGCATATGATAAGTACAATTATTACATGCTAGAATTGAACAACAGTTTTAATGGGTTTAAACGTTTACTGAAATTTGAAAATAATGAAGCAACAGAATTAGCCATTATTAATGAAACTGGATTTGATGAAAATAGTTGGTTTGCCCTTAAAATAGAATGTATTGGAGCCAAGATAAAAATAAGTACTATTAGAAGTAACGGACCTATATATGAATTACCTACCCCTGATATTGTAGTAAATGATGATTTTAATTCAGCTGGTACTGTGGGGTTCTATACTTACGGAGTTGATTCTGTCGAGTTTACAAAGCCTACTGTTGAATCGGTGGAGTGCTTATCAAGAGGAAGAACACATAAAAACGTTTCTCCATTGACTTGTAATGTGTATGAAGAATTTTTCCTAGGTAAATTTAACAAATCCTATGCTGTTTTTGATCCAGAAAATGCAGTAGATGGACCATCCAAATGGAACTATGCCACTAATGTAGCAAATGAGAAACAAGTAATTTTACAGAATTCGAATATGAAAGGAGATAAAGAAAATGAAATTCCATCTCTAACCATTTTACAAGAAAAAATATGTCAATCTGGAATATTCAATTTTTCGATATATCCTAAATGTACTGACGGAATTGTAGGTGCAGTATTTAAATTTTTAGATTCCAAAAATTATACATTATTAGAAATTGGGCCTAATTTTACCCGTTTAAGACAAAATTTAAATGGAACATTTCATGTACTAGCCAAATCAATTGTATCAGGATATAAACAAAATACATGGAATAGAGTAACTATATCATTTAGTTCATCCAATATTAATGTTAATATGGGTAGCGGTCTAATGACATATCCTATATTTAGTTTAATTGGCTTAGATTTACAAGAAGGACAACAAATCGGGTTCACTTCACACAATTGTAATCATATTGCCTTTAGCCATATTTTCCTACACCCTTTTGACTTTAAGCCTTATAGTCCTACTCCTTCTATTGGTACTGAAAGTATGTTGCCAATTTTTTCAACAATGAAAAAAGATACACTTGAAGGATACACAAAAACACAAAACGATGCTAGTTATGAAAACGAGGATGATACCACAGCTAGCCAAATTAACAATGCAGAAATTGAAAAACATAAATTTGAAGATAAAGTAGATAATGATGTAAAAAAGAATATCCACTTTTGTGCTACTCATAAAGATATTATTGACCGAATGGCATTTTGTGATCAATATGAAAAGGAAAATAATTCTAACTGTACAAATAATTTTTGTAATTTTTGCTGTGAAAATATTGATTCATCAGATCATGAAGATACAGAATCATGTATCGAGTTGTGCCAAGAGTTAGATGATAAAGTTATTCAGACATCGGAAATTCTAAACCATCTTAAAAAGTCTTGCGTTGAGTTTCCTAGTGATAAATTAAAACAGGAGTGTGAAAAGGATGTCAATCAAGAAGAGTGCCTTACAGACATGTGTCAAATGTGTTGTCAATCAGTTCCTGTGCCGGAGAAACTCCTTACTAATAATGTTGATATGGGTTCCTTAATCGACCAGTGCATATCCTTATGTTGATAGGTTTATCAATTTTGTTAACAATCCGTTTGTTTATTTGCCTTTGCATCTGCATTCTATGCATGCACTCTTCCACACTTGTATATAGCTATTTTATTACTCCAAAAATAAAATAAAACACCACTGTTAGTATTTTACCATTTTATGTATCCTTCGTAATGGTCAGTCGATCCTGTTTCACGTTAAAATTAACGATAAAATAGAGATTTATATAACCCACACGAGTATACGAACTCAAGTGTGCTTGTATGCATAAGTGCACGCAATTAAATGTAACCATTTCATTTATTTTTTTTGTCGAAGGGGTGCTTTGGTGTGTTTCATAGGACATGAAACTTTATCGCAATTTTGAGTATAACTGATTTGCAAAAAGGAAGAAGTTCAATTTGAATTTTCTTTTTTCTTTTTTTTTTTTTTTTTTTTTTTTTTTGCTTACACAGGAACATTTGTGAAACTCTCAAAAAAAAAAAAAAAAAAAAAAAATCGTATTCAGCCAAGTTGTCTATACACAACATAGTTGTGCAGTTAAAACATGGGAGTAAAATAAAAAAAAAATAGTTCAACTAGAAAAAATGGTAAAGCTAAGCTTTTCTTGGGAAAAAAAAAATCTATGATTTCTTCTTATTCTGATATTATTTGTAGTTATGTATGCACCCACACAGAGATTCTTTTTTTATATATTGTTCCCTCTTAAATAAATCATTTAACTACTAAAGAGACCTCTATAACATAAGCATAGAAAATTATGAACTATCATGTAAAAGATATGGGAAGAGAAAAGTTACTTTCAGAAACCAATATGTATTTGTAAGAAAAAATTTGTTCATCTATGATAATTTGATTAATCATTAAAGTAGATGTAATTATGATTAAGGTCAAGGTTAAAAGTTAAATTTTTATCTGACATATAAATTGGGAAAAGTCATAGATGTGGAAAAAATACATAATATATTTTTTAAAAAAAAAAAAAAAAAAGTATCCTCGTTGCAAGAACTTTCTCTCTGTCACAAAAAAAAAATATTATCACTGGTAAGATAATCTTACGTGCGAAATGATTCATTTTGTTCTTCTCATAAGATATATGGGAAAATCACCCTCCTTTGTCTGAAAGGAAATAAATTTTTTTTTTTTTTTTTTTTTTTTTTGATATAATATATTAAAATATATTTATCATTTTTTTAGTTTGTCTCACTTTGGATATTCCTTTCGGGCTGTTTCAAGATACCAATTATGTGTTTGTATGCCTAATTCGGTAAGATGTATGTGGACTTATGTGCGAGTAAGCATACGTTCGTCTAGGAGAATGTTTGCACACATGAGCATGAAGTTATATGTACCAGTTTTTTCCAAATTAAAATATTAGTTTCAGACAATATTGTAAATGAAAATTACCATTTTTAATTAACATCAATAAAACGAAGGTATAATTCAGTAGGCTATATTAAGTGGAGATAAGAGAAATTTTGTTTCATGTTTTTATTTTATTACCTTAGAGTTTTGTAATTTTATCACTCAGTAATTGTAATGTTATGCTATTTTATCACTTTGTCATTTCTATTTTTTGCATTTCCTTTATAATGCACAATTTCTTACTTTATTAAATTCGGGTTTAACAATAAAAAAGAAAGGTATATTAAAATTTCTGCGAAATAATGTGGGCAACTAACTAAATAAAAGAAACCACCATTTGGGACTTTGTATGGGGAATATATTTTTTTTTCTTCTAAAAGGAATGGGAAAAAATGGGGAGTAGTGGTGATGGGTGGAGAATAAAAAAATAGTGAGTTTTTTTTTTTTTTTTTTTTTTTTCAATATTCTCATTGGAATACACATGTTCATATTTTTATAATATTATTTTACACAACCTTTGGGACGAAGTTTAGCCAAGCGAAGATGAGTGTCGTGCTGAAAAAGCATAGTAAAAGAAGACATAAGTATATACATATACACATGTATACATTGCTATATTCAAATTTCCATTCATATATGTGAACACATTTAGAAATAAATGGAAAAAAAAGAATAATGCAAAAAAAAAAAAAAAAAATTGAATTGCTCTTTATAAAGGATATTATATACCTGAATTAAAGTTCCCAACAGGAATAGAGTAACAGGATATAATTCTACCAATGTATATTTCTTTCTGTCATTATTGTAGATGGAAAATGGTGCCACAACGTAGAAGCTAAAACAGGATAAAATTAAGGTGTTCAATGTTTTTTTTTTTTTTTTTTTATTTCATCTATTTGGTTTAGCGAAAGTAAGTTATGTTATAGAAATGTGTTATATATTTTATTTTTTTTCAAATGTTTTTCTGTATTTATTATGTTTTTCTCATTTTTAGCTTTCATTACGTTACTCCTAAGATGTACGAAAAAATATGCATGGCAGATTTTGGTGTTGTCCTAACGATAAATAGCTGTTCAAATAGCCTTCTGACCAATTGGATTTGAAGTAAGACGTTCGTCACAGAGGTGCAATCAAGGGCTATAAAAAAAAAAAATAAATATATATATACGTATACACACTAATGCATATATTTTTGTAACAACACAATTCCCGTAATGAAGTTCTGAGTATCCATATATCTGATCGACCTCCCTTCTTTATTTCGTGACAAAAAATATATATACCCATGGTGTTTTTATAACTTTCTGAGCTTTAAGAAAAAAAAAAAAAAAAAAAGGCTCATTCAATGTGTCTTACCGTTCTTTTCGATCTTAGAACATTGACTAAGGTCCTTTACAAAAGAAATGAGTATGGGCATGTGTCAATATTGTAGCGTGTGTGTATGAACGTGCACTTTTATTCATTCTTGTAGATAAGTATGTAGTGAAAAAAGGGGAAAAAACAATATAAAAAAATAAAATAAATTAATTTCTGTTTACGTGAACTAAGAGTAAGGAATTGACAACCAAACCGACCACATAAAAATGTTTAAAATATTTTTTCGAAATTATTGTATCGTCTATCTTTTTTTTGAATTTAGAAAATGCAGATTTTGTTTTTGTTTCATCCTTTTGAGCTCTCATGTATAAGTTTTTCCCATGTAGAGCCCACGTATTTATTGATTTGAAGTAGAAGGAAAGAATCAGGATCAAAATTCCAATAGCATAATAAACAAGGAAGATAATTCTGTGATTTCCTTTTTCGCCAATGGCATATAACAATGATATGACGCTACACCATATATTCATTTTTTCGAACTATCATGAAATTTGTTTACTCCTCTTCTTGTCACCTTTTCGATTTTACCCACTTAATAAACCTTTAACACTTTTTGTTGTAAGCATGTAATTGCAAATTTGCCTTTTCAAATTCCAACTGACAATATGAAATGGCCGAAAAGTATTTCGCAACGATTTGTTTGTCACATTTTTCTCTCATGGTGTTTGATGCACATAACTGATCATTCTCAACAGAATATATATGCCGTGCATATATTTTATGAAATAAATCCTAATAAGGTTGAAAAAAAAAATAAAAATAAAAATACATGAATGAATGAGTGAATGAATGAAAAGAACTATTATATATTTTTTTCAGCCTTTGCGGAAAGTTCAGACGAGCCCATTAACAAACTAATTACATCACCATATGCTATTTCATATTGTGGTCCGACATGCTGCATTCTTTAACGTTATATGCACACATAAATATGTACATATTTTTTTCTTCTTTGCGTTGTAAATATGTGTTGTAGCTGTGCTCTCCTTGCTTAAGTATTTATACGCATATATATAACCCCTATGAATATGTGTGCAAATATTCGCCACTTCTTTTAAAAATTATATACGCTCGCGATAAATACTAAATGAGACTATAATATAATTTTAAAGAGTAAAAATTAAAATCCTTCATAATTTTGTATCCTTTTTTTTTTTTTTTTTTTTTCTTGTAATGCTACATTGTAAGGCCACATGAGTATAGGCTTGTTGACATGGTTCCTCACCATTCTGTTTAATTGCACTGGAGCAGTTCAACTTACACAATTTTCGACACTTATAAATGCTGAACGATTTTTCCACCATTTAAGAAAAAGAAAAATGTTTTTCCATTGTTCTCTTTTTATGAAAACATATATCTGAACATGCGTCATTGGGAAAATGGGTGAGGTTTCTTTTATTTTGCTCAAATATTTTATTTGTCTATTACAGAATCACAAATATGTTAATGTGAACCATGGCTACATTTTGCTGAACTGTGTAACGTCGAGTCAATTTTTTTTTTAACAAAGAAAAAACAGGGACTTAATTAGTAGAGTATAATTTATGTATCGGTTCGTTCATTCGTACTTTTTTTTTTTTTTTTTTTTTTTTTTTTTTTTTTTTTTAAATTTTTTTTTTTTTTTTTTTTTTTTTTTTTTTTTTTTTTTTTTTTTTTTTTTTTTTTTTTTTTTTTTTTTCATATACAGGGAAAGAGAGCACCGTTATATACAATGAAATATATATGCACGATTGAATAAGGAGCCATGGAGTACTTTATACATATATTTATTTTATGACCAGTGATTTAAAAAAAATTATTTACTCTTATTAATACAAACATGCATCACAGCCTTTCCATCGCTCCCCGATTGAGTCGCTTTCTTATAGAGATGAATCCTAGCTAAGTGTCCCAAGAGATTACCTTCTTTTTCGATGAACTTTCTTACCATTATGAAAATTAAGAAAAGACAAGTAGGAAAACAAAAAATGGAAAAAAAAAAAAAAAAAAAAAAGCTGAATGGTTAACATCATATAAACATTTCCCTCTAAGCAGGTAAATGTATTGTATGTATGAATGAATAACATGCCAATGAGACTCTATGAATTTAAAATTTTTTATTTTTGTGGAAATTATTTCACAACTGTCGGTTTGGTAAAATTATTCCTACTTTAATATATGTATATAGGCCTATATATGAAACCCCTTCAAACCACTATAGACATACACACACATAAGCATATTCAAAAGTAAGAGAATAATAATCTTCTATCGAGACTTTTTTACTTTCCTTTGGGTATCTCTAAAACGATCGTTTCCCTTTTTTGGAATTTTTGTAAAAACGGAAAAACTTCAGATTAGGGAAATATGGGTAAGTAAATATCTATAATGTCTCATAGAAATAGCTGCAAAAGGCAATTAAGGAGCTATAACATCTCATAGAAATAGCTGCAAAGAATAATTAACTAGCCATAAGGAATATGGAAATAGCTACATTCCCCTAAGCTGTGCATAAAATTGCTCCTTTGTGACTAACTTCACCCTTCCTTTTCAGAAAAGGATGATATGCTGCTTGTGCTTTTATTTCGAAACATAGAAGTAAAGTTTAATGTTTGTAACATTTTTCATCATAAATAATGTTTTAATCACATAAAGGCGTAATAAGGAAAAAAAAAAAAAAAAAAAAAAAAAAATTGAACATCTCAAGGTACACATCATAATGTGCTTTTGTGTGTATGTTATTTTATTTTTTTTTTTTTTTCTTTTATTAATAATTCCGTTATACACTGTATCTAAATAGCAATAAAAAAAAAAATAAGAAAATAAAATTTAAAAGGGGAAGTCGATTTTTCGAAATGAGCTTAGCTGAAAAAGTGCAAGATATTACACATATTTATTCACTCGTTTGTTAACTCCTTTGCTAACTCCTTTGTTAACTCATTTGCTAACTCCTTTTTTAACTCATTTGTTAACTTGTTTGTTAATTCGTGTGTTTGTTTTTTCATGGGTCCATTCATTCTTTTTATTTTTTTCCATTAACTCATTCATTTTATACCATTTAGATCACTCGCTTGCTTACTTATTCACATCCTGGCCCTGCACCGCAGTTGTTTTCCCCACTGTAAAATTCACTACACATTTGCAACAGACTGAAAGAATAGTTAGTTTTTTTTTTTAAGTTATTTGGTAGTATTTTTTTTTTTTTTTTGTAATATTTCCTACATTTACTTGACCACTGACATATATATATACATATGTGTAGTATTCAATTTTTCTAAAAATAAATATTAAAAAAAAAAAAAATAAACAAATGGCAAAGTTTTACAAATTAATCCTTAACCAGACAAATTAAGAAAAAAAAACACAGGCAACATAAAATTTTTTGATTAAATGAAGTACACTTTAACATAAAAGGTGGTAACTACTTTTTACAAGGAATATTTTATATATTATATAGGGTAAAATTTACACATACGGTTTATTTTTTTTTTTTTTGAAAATGGTTTTGTACTTATTTAAATACATGGCAATCATGCCACAAAGAGTGTAACCCTAACGCTCTATCGCTACCACTACTATAGTTGCAATTGTTATTGTTGCTAATGTTACTCGTTAGTGTTGTTGCATATTTAGAGGGATTTTTAAACGTACATTACACAAACGAATAATTTTTAATGTGTAATTTCAAGTAATCCAGAAAGGTGGGGACAAAAAAAAAAAAAATAAAATAAAATAAAATAATAAAATAAAAAAATCGACATTACTAAAACATCACAGATGCTTTTATGTTAATTTGTTTTCATTTCATTACGTTTTATTTCTTTTGATTTGATTTATTATTACCTTATTATCGATTTATTTGTTACACCACCCTCTCCTCACACACATACATACATACATACATACACACACACACACACATACCTTTACGGATACCTACATATATATGCACACACACACAAGTCAAATTTGTTGTGAATACGTAAAAATGAAGTGATGATTTTATTTCTTTAATAATTTACACATGTAAAATGATGTGCTAATGTTCGAACAGTTCAGTTTTAATCTGCACAACTTCATATGATGAACCATAGTGTACACAATTTTTGCATTAAAGACATTTTTTCTGTATTCATTATTTCTTTTTATTCTACTCATTTTTCTTTTTTCTTTTTTCTTCTTTTTTTTTTAACCTCATATTTTTTACATGAAATTTAAATACCATGAAGTAAAATTTTTGTCACTTCTTTTTAAGATTTTCGAAATTCCTAAGATTATTCGGCTTTAATGCATTTAGTCTTTCAACGTGTGTGAGATGTGTAGCCTTATATTGGCGAATGTATAGGCACATGACAGTATGCACATGTGTCTGTTCGATTGTTTAATCATAAAGGTTAAGCAAACACTAGTATAATGTAGGAAATTCGCACGATCATATATTCGAAATATTCTGAATTAAACAAAAAGTGATATACCTCTTCCCGTTTCGTTTTCTTTATCACTTCCATACATATATGCACATGTGCATATGGATGAAGAGAGCTGTCAAAAAGGTACAGTTTTATTCACAAATAACAGACAGACACAGACACACATAAGAACAAAACGAATGAACAACCAAAATTAACAGAAAGTGATGTTTAAAGAAATAGAACACATTTTATATCTAAAAGTTTCGATAAGCTGGTTAACGGGGAAGATACAATTTTAAATATTATCCCATCCATATCCCCCAAAAAAAAAAAAAAAATAAAAAAAAAAATAAAAATAAAAATAAATAAATAAATAAAAAGGAAAAGACGCCAACATAGTTGTATCATATATGCAAATAAATTGCAAGAGAAATAAATTAGGAAAGGTGGCAAAATGTCAAGTGGGGATTCTTTATCGGAAGATATCCATAATGAGATGAGTAACAACAGAAAGGAGTATGGAAAGATAAATATTCAGACAAATAATGCTTCTAGTTATAATGGAAATGTCAACCAAGACAAAATTAGTAAAGAAGGTCTCATCAGTAGCGATAGTGAAATTGGAAATCCTTGTGAATATAATGAAGATAATGGAATTAGTAGCGGTGATGATATTGGTAATTGTGGGGAATGTTATATGGATAATGAACAGAGTGATGTCCCTCAGATGCAACAGAAAAATGAAAAATGCAAAAAAAGTAAGTCAAATCATAAATACAAAGCTGACAAAAAGAATTTTGATGAAAACGAAAATAGATACATTGTTCCGTGCAAAAGTGCAATGAATGAATATATGAATTATGAAACATCAATAATACTAGACGAACAAACAAATAATACACATAGCCTGGGTAACACAATGACACTTGATGACGGAGACTATTTGAAAGAAACAAATGTTAATAAGATAATCAATACAGAAAATGAAACAAAAAATAAAAATTATAAAGTTAAGACTGTCATGACAGAGAGTATACATGATGCTGATAATCCTAATAACTTACCTAATGACAATGGTCTCACCACCATACATGTTTCCAATAATTATCATTATCCAAATATCCATGAAAATATTATAAATCAAAATATAAGGGAAGAAAAATCTAGATTCTCTAACACTGATGATGAAAATGAGGGCGAAGAATTTTCCGAAAAGAATAAAGAAAATAAGGGAAAAGATAAAAATATTTTTGCGTGTAAAAATTTGGTGGGCACTAATAAGGAAGTAGTGTATGATGAAGACATGTCAAAGGACAAGAGTATACTTAGAAGAAGAAGTTCAATGCCAAGTTTATGCAGAAGTAAAAGTGAGGAAATCCTAAGGGTGGTGGATTCTACATATCTGAAAAGCGAAAAAGAAGATTCAACAGAAAAATATTCGGAAGGAAATGCCAACGTGGAAACTGAATTTGAAAGAAAACAGCATATGCTGAACGAAGAAGAAAATGAAGATAACTGTTGTTCAGAAAACATTGATAAAATTTACGAAGAGGATTTAAGAAGATGCTTAGAATTAAATAACCTTACAAGAAAAAAAGTACATATGGAATTATTTTTACATCATCAAATTAATTGTTATGATCTGCTACTAGAAATTAGGAAAAAAATACCCATCTGGGGAGAATATGAAGCTAATTTTTATTTTCATTGGAAAAAAATTATGACAATATGTATTGAAGAATTAAAAATATACATATTAATATTTCGTTCTTTAAGTATTGGAACTGTTAAGCATTTAGATTTTTTCATGTTGAAAATTATTATAGAAGAATTAGATGAATTAAGAAAAGTACATGAACCTAACTATAAACCTTTTACATTTACGCAGGAGTGTTTAAATTATTCTGATTATGCAAATTCATATGAACAAAATCCAGATATATACGTTAACATGAATAAATGCATACAACCATGGTATGTGAAAAATTTTAACAAATCCATGGATATTAAAAAATTTTTAAATTCTTTGGATATTCTAGAAAATCAGAAACACAAGTCTTATATAATTCAGGCTATGGAGATACCTAACTACATATTTGATTTATGCGACATGGAGGAGGGAGCTGAGTCAGGTGCTCCAAATGGTGCAGGATCTTCCAAAGAGGAACCTGCAAAAAATAAAATGCATTCAATAAATAGAAATATTGCAACAAATGATGCTCAGAAAAAGGTAAAAAAAACATGCAAAAAGAAAAAGGAAAATCAAAAAATGAAAAGTTTAAACACATCCATAAACTCCAAGCCAAAAAAAAGAACAGGGCATTACGATCTCGAGATAGATGGAGTTGTTGCTTCCTTTGAGGCACGAAAGGGAGTGTATTATGACAAGTCAAGAAAACTCTGGAGAGCTAATTGGAAGGAGAATGGGAAGATACAAACTAAGGGATTTTCAGTGAACGGTAAAAAAAAAAAAAAAAAAAAAAAAGAGGAAAAACTAGAACAGGCGTAGGTGGATGTAGGAGGGAGAGGGACGATGAAACTAAACAGGGACACACTTGTATATATATGTATATGTATACATCTGTATCTCTTTTTTTAGAACTCCTCAAATTTCCATCTTCACACTTTATGATTTTTGCTTCTTTGTTTCACTCAAAACATGTTCTTTAACCATTGGCGTTTTTCTCTGTGCCCATAGGTATATGCATGTATATATATACATATATGCACATGTGTGCGCACTTTTTTCCCCTCTTTCAGAATATAAATCTGTCCAATTAGCTAGACAAAAGGCAATAGAGTGGAGAGAAAAAAAAGAAGCTGAACTCCTGCTTTGACATATTACTCAATATATGCTTCATATTTAATAAATAATTTGTCCCAATTTTTAAAAAATTATATGGCATTCTATTTTTTTCTTTTTTTTTGGGGGCTGAAGAATGGTTCTACTGGGAATTGGATACAAAGGCATCTTTTTTTAAATTTACAGCTAACACCATTCGAAAGTCAAAAAAAAATTCTTTTTTTTTTTTTTTTTAAAGTGACAAAAGAGCTTCTTTTTTAGTTATGGCTATTTCGATTTCTTTTAAGTGAGTATTATGTCATCACAGCGATATGCATATGTACCAATTTACATATGCGTGAGCTACCTCTTTTTTCTTTAAGCAAACAACACCAACACGTGTTTTACAAGTTTGCAAATTTTACCAAATGAAGCAATATCGAAAAGTTGGTCTTTCCTATGGTAATACCTTTTGGTATTCACGAGGAAAGTGCCAATGTGTGTCTTCGCATATTTCTATGAAAACTCCTACACAAACCTTTATATACACACCTGTAGATACAAGTCTACTTATGCATGTTGGTACACCCATTTGTTGACCAAGACAGACAATGACATGCATGTTATGTAATTCTACTTTGTCATATCAAAATGTTTTAAAAAAAGATTGAAGCAATTTTTTTTTTTTTTTTTTTTTTTTTAGAAAAAATATCCGATAATGAACAAAGTTTATTTTATATTATTTTATTATTTTTTTTCATGTAATTTACATCTTTTAAATTTTTGCATGTCCCCTCAAATGGGAACCTATTTTTATGTTTTATTTTTTCTTATTAGGGAATTTTACCATTTGGTATGTTTTTATTTTATGTGCCTTTTAGAATTTTTTTTTTTTTTTTTTTTTTTTTTTTTTTTTTTTTGTAAATATGAAACAGTTGTGAAAAGCAACAAATCAATGCAGAATTGAGATTGAGTATGGTCTCATCGTGTACACATCGTAACAAATAATCATTTACCAGTATGTACAATCCTATAAGTGGTATACAAATGCACATCTATGTGGGACCCTTTTTATAACACACACGAACACAGGGGAGTAACACAGCGTATGGTTTAAAAAATTTCTTATCACAGATAAAATGAGGAAGACAGAATTACACAAAAGAGTAAGCATATAAAGCACGCAAACTATTTAACTCTACATTGAAGGAAAAGATGTAATGAAACAATAAATGTCGTTTGAAAGAGATAACATATCGGGAAACTCTGAATTATTGCATTTTAAATATTGAGAAAATTCAATACTTGAGCATTTGATCTGTCGTTTTATGGAAAAATATAAGTAGTGAGTCCTATTAATAAACTCCGCCACGGTCTTCATATCATTCTGTAGCAGACCAATACTTGTCAAATAATTTGTCCCAATATTAAAAGACGTCTGAGCGTACTTATTTGGGTTAAGAATATCAAAAAAGATATTTAATTCTTTGCATAATTCATGAAACTCATATACATTAAAAATACAGTTTCTACAATTTAAATTTAAAAAGTTGCTATTTTTCGAATAACGTATACTAAAAAAGTTTTTATTTACGTGAGTGAAAAGAGCAAATGTGTTTTCTTGGGACTGACTTAAATATTCTTTAAATTCACAATTTTTCATTAATTTAAATGATGTGAGTAGAGAAAAAATAGTGTTATTTACACAATTGGGAAAAAAGGAATTTTTTAACTTTTTTTCATATTCATATTGAATTAATTTCCCTCCTTTGTCCACATGCTTATATCCTTTTTTATAAAAAATAATATAACAATTATGTGCTCTCATATTTTCGTTATAATATGTGTATACCATATCTGAGTAATTAAAAGGAGAAGGTATCAAATTTTGTGAGATTAAACTTGCCTTATTGCTCATATTTGTTATAACAATACATTTATTTATACCTCTCAAATTGTTAACAAATTCGTAATTAAAATTGTACGGGTTATTTGTTTCGTCAATGTGCATCAATTGTGGCTTAAAGGCTTCATATTTTTTCCTTATTTCTTCATAATCTATTCTGTCCTTAATTCTTACATGAATAATGTCATAAAAATTTTCTATAATATTACATGCATTCGGATCGCTTTCAGTATTTTTTCCTCCCTCCTCTGATAATGCAAAACTTATGTTCATTATTTTAGCTTTGTAATTTATAAAATTTCGAAATAATTTCAAAAGAAAGTAATCATCTATCTCGCTAGATCTACAATCATCAGTGGTATTCACGCTGAACACCCCCCCCCAATATTTTGGCTCCAAATTGAATGTACTTAATGCCGTATTTTCAATCATTTTTAAATGTTTTCTATCAAAGTACAGATTTTTATTTAGGTCATACATAAAATATTCTTGCAAATATTTTGGTATCATGTTATTACTTACAGATAAGTTTAGACAATTTTTATTTTTATAATTCGATAATAGCAAATTAAAAGTCTCATCATCCACACTTTTTAAACTTCCTTGATTTTGTAAGGAGTAATAACTGATATATCTTTTCAACTTTACGTTCCCATTTTTACATCCTTCACGTATGCATTTTGTCCCCTTAACAGCAGAGAACGTGTGAAAATGTGCGATGAAGCACATCACTCCCGAGGGAAAAAGGTGTGTCATTCTTCTTCTCCTTCTTCTTTTTCTACTATTTCTCATATTTTGTAAGACCACATTGCTTAGGTGAGGAAGAGATGGATTTTCTTTGGTCACAAGGACAACGGTAGAACTGGGTAAGGACGCATAAATGCTCAAATGTGTATGTGCTAATCACTACATGTGCCTTATTCAGCTTATACTTCCTAACTATGTCTATGTGTCCTTAGTTGCCCCTTCCTCCTATGCCAGTTTGAAACCACTTCATGAGACATATTTACCCTTCTGTACTATGCACAAATAAATTAGAAAGGGGAAACAAAAAAACTCAATCTCTACATTTGCGAAATGCTTTAGGTTGAAAAGTTGCATAACAATAAGAAATGAGTAAGGGATTAAAATTAGTAGGCCGAGTCGCTTTCGTTTGGGCTCATTAAAATGTTATAAATAATTGTTGCATATTGTGATTGAAGGGCGGGAAGAGTCATAAAACAGGTGAATTAAAAAAGGGGCAATAAAATAGGTGACTTTTATAGGTTCAAAAAGATGGGTGACTTTTATAGGTTCAAAAAGATGGGTGACTTTTATAGGTTCAAAAAGATGGGTGACTTTTATAGATTCAAAAAAATGGATGATTTTTATAGGTTCAAAAAAATGGATGATTTTTATAGATTCAAAAAAATGGATGATTTTTATAGATTCAAAAAAATGGATGATTTTTATAGGTTCAAAAAAATGGGTGATTTGTATAGGGTCAAAAAAACCAGTAATTTCAAAAGGGACAACAAAATAGGTGAATGTAAAAGGCAATCTATCATCTGCTTTTTAATTTCTGACGCACATCAGGTTCTTATTCAATCTATCCGGCCGAATCTTACACGTATAGTCGTCACACATCCATTGCAAAAACACACGCAATTTAACCTGTTCATTTATCTGCGATGCGTACACAGGTAGAAAGGCTCCTTTTTTTTCTTTTTTTTTTTTTTTTTTTTACTTTTAATTTTTGTATACCAATATAATATTTTTCCAAAAAATACATTTAAGAAATTACTCAACATTTCCTTGAAATAAATGAGGCTCAATTAAATTGTTGCATCATCTGTCACAGTTGATCAGTAGGATATGTAATGCTTTTCACACAACACGAAATTACATGTAAAAAGTATATGACAGTGGAAAAATTACTCATTTTACCCTCTTGTATCAATTTTTTTTTTTTTTTTTCTAACCCTTTGTCCGTATTTGTAAAAAAAAAAAAAAAGGGATGTCCATTTCTGATGAATAGAATTGCATAACTGTATGAAAAGACTGGAAAAACATTTGAGGTGATACAATTATGCAGCTTATCCTAGGTTATATATGGATACAACACATATATGAACGCGCATTTAAATGTGCAGATATGAACTTTTACTAATTCGTGTTATCTGATTAAGAAGTACTCAAATAAGAAGAAATGGATGCAGAAATAATCTTTTTAACTATGTCTGTTAGTTTAACATTAAAAAATTAAAAAGATAAAAAAGTTTTTTTTTTTTTTTTTTTTTTTTTTAAATGTTCAATAAATTGCTATACAAGTTACTAAAATGTAGGGAGAGAAAGTTCTTTGCCATATATTGGAAAAAAAGGAGTCTTGTGCATGTCAGAAAGAATAAGAATGCCATCTGTTCTTATGATACATGTCAAAGAACAAAAAGAATTCACTACCTTGTGACATTAATAAGTCATGGAAACAGGAGTAAAGGAAAGAATGATATGTTAGACCGGGTTGGTAAGAATAGAAATAATACCAGAAAATGTAGTAGAACCATTGCAACTGCAGGTAGGAGTATGATCCAAGAAGGACTAACACAATTTACTTCCCCAAACAATGACAAGCAGAGCCGATTTGAGGATACCACTTCAAATAGCACAGGTGAAATGAATTCAATTGAAAAAATTTTAGATGAAACAAATTCTATGATATATGTAAATGAAATATGCTTACAAATGGATAAAAGTATATTAAAATGTCAAACATATGAAGATATTTTATCAATACTGATAACTCACAGGGGAGCTTTATTTTTACAAAACTTAATAACAGTTATACGTATGTTAGCAGGTTTAGTAATTGAGGAAAGAAAGAAAAGGAAAAATATGAACGGAATGCATATAACATTTAGTAAATATACGAATAGATATGTGAATGCAGAAGGAGGTAACAACAATTTAGATGGAGGAAGACACAATGAAAAGGGTGACATTTTAAATAATAACATAGAACATTTATCAAACGAAAGTAATACTACCGAATTGTTTAAAAATAAAAACATAACTGGATTTGACAAGATAGAAAAAAGTCTAATAGAAAAATATCAACACATATTCGATGTATTAAATAACAAAGATTTGCTAGAAAGTGAAAATAATTTCCAAAATAACAGAATGTTGGAGGGAATTATTGTACGCGATGAACGATTTAATTTACTAATAGACGATATATATAAAAATAGAAAACATTTTGATGTAGTGTCCATATGTCACATTTTGATATCACTTAAAGAATTAAATTACAAACACTTCCTTCTTTTTAATTCATTTATTAATCCTTTGAAAAATTTTGACAAGTACATTAAGGAACAATTTGAAAGGAGCAATCAAAAAATTGCTCATATCCATTCGGTTATTCAATTATTATTACAGTGTTTTAATACCTATATTTGGGCTGGATATTACAATCTAGACATCTATAACAGATTAATAAATTCGATTTTGTTAAATAATTTTATCCTTATAAAAAAGGAATTTATATACGAACAGCATTATGAACAATTTGAAAATTACAACTACATGAATTACAAATATGATGTAAATTATCCTCTATCTAGTAATGAAATATTCACATTACTTAACTTGAATGAAAATTATTTTTCAAAAAAAAATTTTTTAATGGCTCCTTTGAGTATTATGATGGATGAAGACAAATCGAACATCAACGAAGAAGAGACCTACCATAAGGATTGCAAAACGGAAATTCAGTTAAATGACAAATTGTCTCATAGGAAAAGTAGCCAATTGGATGAGAATAAAATAAGCTTTATACAAAATCCAAATCTTAGTACTAGGGAAAGTTTTACCAATGAAGTTAAATGTGTATTTCCAAATGAATCTGAGTCTATTATTGCAAGGGGTGAAGAGAGGAAAAAAAAAGAGATACCTTGTTACTGCTGTCCCATTTTCCTAAACCTTGAGTTATTTCTCAGAAGTGTAGAAATATATAAAAATATTTATGTATATAATCCTGAATTTTTCAAAATTTCTGAAAAAGTTGTTTATTACTATACGCAGTATTTATCACCATTCAATCTGAGTATACTAGCTGATGCTTTTTCCAAACATCGAATTTTTGCAATAGAACATGATCGATTTTTTTATCACATTTCAAAATTAATGGAGAACAATTTTGATAAATTTTCCTATGAAAATATTTTTCTTATTCTAAATTCATTCAAAAGGATGAATTTATTTTTCGAAAAATGTATTATTCTAAGTGCAAACAAATTTGAGCCATATTTTCATGAATTGTATATAAACAGAAAGGAGGGGGTCTTAACCTTAAAACAGGTTTCTGTTTTGATTGAATCTTTGTCCTTTTTTGATTTTCATCACAAATCAATTGATCAATGTATCATAGCATCTGTGAACTATTTGGAAGATTATATTGATGAGATTGATGAAGAAACATCAATTAATATTTCCTACGCATTAATTTTATCAAATCTATATCATATCAATACATACTTCTTTTCATTTATTTGGAGAAAAATTGCAAAAACAACTTATTGGGAAAAAAAGAAAAATCAAGTCTGTTTGTTATGGTTATCTCACATGATACAGTTCAAATGGATGGAATATGATTTACCAAAATTCTGTGTCTTGGAATGTTTGAAAATTTTCTATTTAAAAAGAAAGGAAAATATGTTCTCCTACTCCAAAATTATATCATCTGTTTCGCAAATATTAGATGAACTACAGATTAGACACGACGTTTCAGTTGATATTTATGGCCCATATATATTGGACATTTTGATAACGGGGGATAAAAGACATGTTATAATGTTAACACAAGATACTACAAGAAATGAAATAAATAGACAGCTAGGAGATTCCAAAATTGTTTCCTTCCATTTGACTTTGTATGGTTATAATGTAAGACCACTCAATACGAAGTACTTCGACGTCTTAAGTCACTCCGGCAGGCTCGCATATGTGCGCGATATTGTATCGTCCTTTTGACCTCCCTTTTAGTTGCGAGAAAATGGGAGAAAATATGATCAAAGAAGGAATAAATAACAGTAATGATAATATATAGTAAATCGAGTAAATAATGATAAAAATAGTAACGCGAATGAATAGTGATAAAAATAGTAACGTGAATAAGTAAACAGTGGTAATAATTCTCGCGCGGGGAACAGGGGTGTGCAATCCATTGCAGAGGTTTCTACACATGGCTCTCCCTTTTATAAATATATATTTTTTAAATATAGAGTTTTTAAATTTATATATTTTAAGTATATATTTTTTAAATTTATATTTTTTAAATAAAAAGTACATGCCTCCACCATATTTTTTCAACTGCGGATAATCAGCACACCGCTGCGTAATTTAATTCGTTCAGAAGGTTGCAAAATAAGTTCATTTTGTTGAAGCAATTGACTTAAATAAAATGCTTCATACAGTTGTGCCATGTAAACAAATTGCACGAGAGTGAGTCCAATATAATATATATAAAAAAATATGCACACTGTATATAATTATGTGAATGTAGGTAGACCCCTCCAGGTAGTCAACCTTTTTTCACGTATTTTTTGTAATATGTATTCATATCAACAACTCGTTCAGCTAAGAGACGAAAAAAGTACTGAATTATTTTCATTTTTTTATGAAACACAAACATTTTTCTCAAAATTGTTAAATAATAAAAATGTGGTTTGTAAAATTGCTTTAAAGAATTATAACCTATACCCTTTAATAAGTTATATTCACATAAATGAATGTACTTTTCCTTGTTTTCAAAAAAGGCATAATTATTGCGCAGAAAGGTAGAGTCATTTCTATTATCATAATTTAAAAGCAAAATATCATTTTCTTCATTGGCTTCATTCGTAAGTATAGCAAGGTTAAAATCATAGATTTCGGTATAACCAGTTGTGTCTATTGTGCTATTTAAAATGAAGAGGAAAAAATGATTTTTGTTTCTTTCAACTTGATTCATAATCATATTAATATTCCCATCTAGGAGTATTTTTCTACTTAACATTTTAAAAATGTTATTGTCACTATTATAGCCATTTCTACTTTCACAATTCCATGGGTAAAAATAAATAGGTATATTTAAAAATGTGTAAAAATACACATAAAAAATAACATATTCGATTCGTTCGTAATTCTTCTCCATATGAGCAAACAAATTCAACAACTTAATAAATTTATTTAATATTGTTTCAAATGATACATTTTTGTATTTCTTCGATATGTAGTTGTTCATATGTTTCAATTTTATAAAACCTTTTATAAAATTGTAGTTTTTATTTATAAAAAATTTGCGCGTATAATTTTTATAACATTTATTATGCAGATATAAAAAGTATTCATATATTTGGCCAAACTCATTTAGAATGTGAAATAAGTACAGGTCTAATGTACTGTTGTTCAGTATCTTGACTAATGAGCTCGTGCCAGTTGATTCTTCGTCACTAGTCTTCTCCCTTGCACCAGTTTCCAGTTCAATTTTACCCCTCATAGCATGCATTAGGAGTATTGTTTCATATACACTCCTTTCTTCACCATTAAAATAACAGTGTGTCTTTACTATTTCAAAGGGACAGCTGCGGGAAACACATTCTACATTATCTTTCAAATTGTACAGTTCACTTAACGCTCTAATTATTAACACTAATGGGTTTGGGAACCTTACAATTTTGTCATAGTGATTTCTCTGCTTTTTTTCCTTCAAATGGATATTATAAATTTCATCATATACTACATATATTTTGCCATTTTCGAAATTCTTTTTTTCTTTAGACTTTGATTCACTTTTCATTTTAAAAAAAAAAATTTCCTCAAAAAATTCCCTACGGGAGTTGATAATGCTTAGAGTTTCATATCAGATTTCCTTTTTTTTTTTTTTTTTTTTCTTTTGTTAAATCCCTTTTCATTGTTCTTGATGTTACTTCAGAAAGGGTAATGTAGTGTTAATGAGTTTGTTTGGTAAAAGGGGAGGCTAGCATGGAGGGGTACATATGCATACGTGAATGTATACATATTCATGTATGTATAAACCTTTTCCACGAAAGTGTAAAATCTCTTTTTAAGCTTGACGCAGATAGCGCTAAAAAGAAAGTTCAAATTTTGGATGATTAGTTTTAGGGTCAATAGCATAAATTTGTAGATATTTTAAAATATTTTCAATATACACAATCAAAGCCGCATACGTAACGATATTTTCCATAAAAAGAGGAAAAAATCGTTAAGCACAGCAGAATGCACAATTCTAGGTTTCAGGGGGTTGTGGAAGGAAGAAAATGCTGCTTGAATTTATTTGCAACAAATAAAATTCTATCTAATAACGCCAGGTGCAGTCGTGAAGTGACACAGGAAAAAGGTGCATTCTGGATATACTCAAAAATATGTGTGTTTATGAACAGTTCTGTGGAGACAATGCATCCGTTTTTAATTCTTGTAATGTGCAAATTTTATTATTTTACTATTTCGTTATTTTACTATCTCATTATTTTGTTATTTTGTTATTTTGTTATTTTACTATTTCATTATTTTTTTATTTTGCTATTTCATTATTTTTTTATTTTGCTATTTCATTATTTTTTTATTTTGCTATTTCATTATTTTTTTATTTTGCTATTTTGTTATTTTTTTATTTTGCTATTTTGTTATTTTATTTTCCATGACTTGGGCAGACGAGAAAGCGGAAAATAGCAACTACGCAAAAAAGTGGATATATGCTTTTCGATGCATACAATATACGTGCGCATATGGCACATCAAGTAAAAATATATACCTACATACATAAATACATACATGTGAATGAAGCTAAAAGCGAGTACGCAAGAATGAACAAAATTTCACTGAAATGATGAACTTAATAGAAAACACGTGTAACGTTTTTCCAAAATGAGGTATAATAAGTAAATTATTAAAGAAATAAAAAAAAAAAAAAAAAAAAAAAAAAAAAAGATAATAATAGTAACACATACATACGTACACGTCACACCCACGCACGAACACAAAAAGGAATATTTTAAAAATACGAAGAATATAGAGATGTAGAATTGAAACGTTCTACTATGTATGTAGAAAAATATGATTTTCTTTTTCTTTTTTGCTTTTGTAAAAAGCTGTGCATATTTAGGAGTAAAAAAATGCGATACTTATGTATATGTTATACTTTTTAATGCATATTATAAAACTTTGAAAGTGATCTGTGTCTTTTCTCCTTTTTCTGCGTATTTTGTTTGTTGTCGGTAACATTATGTATAAAGGGATGTCCTTTTATTTTGATGTTCAAATTTGTTTCGTACCCCAACAAATTATTATCATTCAAGTAATTCAATTTTTCTATATAATTTTTTTGACAATGCTCACTAAGTTTTCGAAACCCACCTCCTGTCCTTAAAATGAGCTTAATGTCCGATGGTGAACAGTTATCATTGTTACTTTCGATTATCTCCCGTTTGTTGTACTTCCCCTTATGGCTGTCATGGGTAGTGTCTATTCTGGTACCAAGTTCGGTATCACGCCCGACATTTCCTTTGTACTCACCTTTGGAGTCACCTTTGTAATATCTTTTGTAATCACCTTTGTAGTCTCCTTTGGAGTCTCCTTTGAATACCTCCTTGCTGGTATAGGCTGCACTATATTTACTTCCCCCATCGTAACGGGTACCATCATTCTTGACACGTGAACCACTGCGTGTGTTATTTTTGGAGAGCCTTTGGTAGAGGTAATTCTCGTCGATGCGTGGCACATCCATAGAATTATTTTTGGAATATTTATCATTATTTAAGTTCCATTTTTCCATATTATCATAAGTCTCTTTGTGTGCAATGCTATCATATTTTTTTGGGCGATTATCATAGTCACTATTCATTTTTTGAAAATCTTCACTTTTCTTCTTCAATCCTTTTGACCTATTTACTTCACTAGTACTTATGTTTCTTGACTTGTTTTTATTTAATAAGTACCCACTTAGAGCTCTTTCTGTGGGAATGCTTAAGGAATTGTTTTCTATGGAATTGTTATAATCCGTATCCGAATATTTTTTATTTGATCCATTTTTATGATTTAAAGAAAATATCTCAGATGTTGTATTTTTGAAGAATTCCTCATTTCTTATCATTTTGTTTTTCTTCTCCAATGTATCCCGTATATCATTAATTTTATTGTTCATTTTTTTTATTGTTTGGTGTATCATATCTACACTTTTTTTGTCTGCCTTTTCTTCCATCTGACGAGAGAAATTGTTGTACATCTTTTCGATATGATAAGTAGACTCTCTATCGTAACACTCATCAGTACCTTTCATTTCGTCACATGCATTGCTTTGGTTGTATGTGCTCTTTTTGTTACATGAGCTGTTTCTTTTATAGGACATGTTTCTTTTATATGAGCTGTTTTTATCACAGCAGCTATTTGTGCTATTATTATTACCGCTACCACTGTGGTGGCTTCCCTTGTGATGATTGTTGTTCTTTCTTCCATCCTCACTGCCACTACCAAACTGTTGTGTGTCTCTTTTTGCAGACGTGAAATCCTCTAGTGAATCATACATATGTGTTGTTATATCGCTTTTTCGTGTGGCAGAACTGTTTTCTTTTTCGTAATTAATAATTGATTCGTTATGTTTCCTGGACCTGCTATGAACACGGTCATAATTGATGGGAGATGCATGATCACTATTTTTGTTTTTATAACTGTTGACTAAAATGGGGAAGACGCTGCTTTTGTTCCTATCCTTCGGGCTGTTGCGTATACTATTATGATTCTTGTAATAATTGTTATTACTACTTTCATTGTTATTACTGCTTCCATTGTTATTACTGTTTCCATTGTTATTACTATTTCCATTGTTATTACTGCTTTCATTGATATTACTATTGTTGCTTCGATCATTGCTTCGATCCTTGTCCAGATCGATATTGTGGTCGTTATTATAGCTAGAATTGTGACTGTAATATGTTTTCCTAGGGGTTCCTTTTTCTGCATAGGTGTTGCCACGTAACGGGAAATCGACCATACTAATAATTTTATCGATTAAATATTTTTCAAAAGAATTGTTCTTTAACTTTGTGAAACAAGAGTATAATAAATACTGTTGCTTTTTAGCAATACAAGATATTATGTTGTTCATTGTGTCCTTTTTATTTCTGATTATGTTTAACCAAAAAAGGAAAAAAAATTTCTGTGTTTTATATTTTTTATCTCTTAATATAAACTTTAAAATGACGTACAAAAATTTTTGTTCCATATTTTGTATGTCATTTCTATACATATTTCTGTCTTCTTTAATTTTTATTTTCAAATCTTGTTGCTCTTTTAATGAACTCATATTATATACCATTTCTTTTTTCAATTCTTCACTTGTTAAGGTTAGTTTCCTTTCTAGTTTTAGAAACTCATCTTTACTACCTATATATTTTTTTAATTCCTCAATTTTTTCATTCCATTCAATGGAATTTTTATTGCAGTATCCAACTTCTTCCCAAAGGTAGGATACTATTTTTCCTATCACGTCTATATTGTTCTTATCTTTAAGTAATTCTCCTTCTAAAAAAAAAAAAAAAAAAAAAAAAAAAAAGGGAAAAAATGATATATATATTTTCTATATCGAGATGTGCATGAGTTCAATATTATATAAAATAATTTATTTTTCGAGATTATCGCTTGAAGAGAACATATATAAGCGATAGAACATGTGTAAATATAATACCTATGTAATAAGTGTTCAACTCTTTGCTGAGTTGTCAAGATGCATATTTGATAATAGACAGCCTTTTTTTTTTTTTTTTTTTTTGAAGATGTGTATTGTAAGTACTACTGCATGTTGGTACGAGTTGCCTAGATTTTTATTCTGTTGTCACCAATTTGATTAACTTCTTTTGTGCAACTCTTTTTTGTAGTTGGTTGATTTTCTAATTTGTCATATTCATTTCTATTCAATTTTTCTTTAGTTTTACCTAAGTTTTCAAATTCCTTGTAAGAAGCGTCACTTAGCTTCTCTTTTATTTTTTTAACGCATTCTTTTGTATCGATGATAATGCCATTATATTCATTATTTTTATTTAGCAAATATTTAATTTCCTTTCCGAATTTTTTAATTAAGGAAAATAATTGTTCATACTTCTTGCTTATATCCTTTTGGTTGTTTGTAATACTAGTGAAAAATTCAAAAACCTCATTTGTGTTGTTAATAGAATTTTGCTTTCCATAATTATCTTTGCTATAAGTACTTAGGTCTAAGTAAGATTTATTGAAACTCGGAATTTCCTTAAATGTGGAAGATGTTCCACTTCGTTTTTTTTTTTCCATTTTTGTCAACTAAAAATATGGAGTAAACTCGATGTTAGAGACAACAAGACTTATATGTGGGCATATGCGCGAAAGGGTACATGTTCATATATTTACACACTTACACATTCACACGTTTACACATTTACATAATTAAACGTTCATGTGCATGTGTATCAAAACAAAAACAAATGTGAAAGGCCAAACTGTGTTTTTTTTCGTAATATCTTTTATTTATTTTATAAACGGTTTAGTATTTGGATATTATTTCTTTGTATAATTTTTTTTATTTTTTTCTCCCCCCAACCCTTTATATAGTCAAATACTAATAAGGACACTTAATAGACATATCTGAAAGCCACTTACGCAATTTGTAAACATTTTTGGAATACTTTCATCATACTAATTGTTAGAATTTTTTAAATAAAGTAGTATGATGGATGAGTCATTTCGACTTTATGTCATTTTTCTCAGTGGACAAGCAAAAAAAAAAAAAAAAAAAAAAATTGGATCTTTTAAAATGATACATTATTTTTAAGGGATAAAATAATTTTTTTTTTTTTTTTCTTTTTTTTGAGTAGACGAGAAGAAGTGAATTATCTTCTTCATATAAATTCAAATTTTTTTTTTTTTTTTTTTTTTGGGAATGTCTTTTTTTTTTTTTATTTTTATTATTATTACGAAACAAAGGTTAGCATTTACTTATGGATTTCAAATGTACACTCATACGTTTACTTGACATGTGTATTAAGCTTTGTATGCACATGTTCACGCATATATAATTTCCTCCTTACACATCTCTTAGACATTATTTCAGTTCTGAAAAGGTCCTTGGGCACGTGTTTTCATATTTTCATATCTACGGCTAATGACAATTTGTCTGAAATATTTTATGATCAATTACATCCTAACGTGTATGTTATACGGAAGATTAATTTTGCAAAAAGGTGTTCCTTCGCAAATTTCAATTGTGCCCGTGAAGTGTTTCCATGTAGGACCTTTGAACGTGCAAATGTGTATGAAAACTTATAATGAATTAAAAAAAAAAAAAAAAAGAAAAAAAAAAAAAAATTTAACTTTTGACGTAATGTATATACACAAATAAATAACAGTGTGATATGTTCGAGTGTGTTGTGCGTCACAATGTTTTAATTGAAAAAATTGAGCATATATACATATATGTGCACACCTATATGCATTATGTAATAGGATCTAAATCAATTTGTTAAGTAGCAAAAAAGTGCTACATTGCATTTAGTCATATATGTTATGACAAGGTACTCCCTCCAAAAAAAAAAGAAAAAATTGGAAAAAAAAGAGGGAAAATTAAATATGCATATGAAAAATAAAATAGGGACAACAGAAATGTCCAGTTTATTTTATATTACCCGATTAATTAGGAGTTATTATTTTTCACTTCAATTTTTTGCCTTTTTTTGGAAAAAACCTCACAGCATTCTCTTGTTGTTACCATTTTAAACACATGTTAAAATTAAGTACTCAATAACTCTACTACTTCCGTCGATGCTATATTATATGATAATAACAGTGAAAAAAAAAAAAAATACATATAAATATATGCTTACATATGTGTATATACATATATGTCACCACTTTTTAACACATTTTAATGCCAGTTATGATCAACACGTATTTATTATTTCTTTACCTTGTGTAATCCAGTTATACATACCATTCCGAGAAATTTCACACCCAACCTTTTACACAATTTTTTCCTTATGCATAAAATTATAAGGTAGGATTTTATTTATTTTATGATGTTTTTTTTTTTTTTTTTCATTTTTAAAGGAGAAATACACGAAGTGTTGAAGGGATGAAACAATTTCTCACTTTCTCGTTGCATTGTGTATAGGTATACATTCATTAAATACTCGCTCACCTCGTTTTATTATATTATTATTTTCCCCCTTATAATACATGATCGTTTCCTATAAGCAAAAGTTAAAATAAAAATTATACAAAAAAATAAAGATATCAATAAGGATAATACAAAATAAAGAAAACCATAAGGGAAATGCCATTAGGGCAAGTTATTGGGGTAGTAAAGTCACAGTGAAAAGCACAAGATGCTTCTGTGAAAGCAATATTAATTAGCACTTGTTAAATGATACTAATGGAAGAGGGGAGGTGTAGATCTATTTTCTGCATACTGAACTTCTTTTTTTTGTAAAAAAGAAAAAAAAAAAAAAAAAGAACAAGCAAGTACGTGTAGGAGAACACATAAGTACTTATACAGAGACATATATTATATGCACATCCAGATATACCCAATATGAACGGCAAGATGGTTTTACGTAGATCATCCAGACTAATCCAAAATACGGAACAAGGAAAAAGTGTGAATTATTCCCTGGCTGAAAAAACAGATGAGGATGATGACGATTCAAGCAGCAAAAAAAGGGATAGAGGAAAGAAAAAGTATATAAAAAATTCGAGTGCAGTGATAACCAGTACTGATGATGACAACACTACTGAGGATAGTGATTATGATGCAAATGAAGATGAGAATGGCAGTTCGTCTGAAGAGGAGGAAAAAGGTACAGATGATGAAGATGCTGATACAAGTGAAGATCCCCGCGGGAAAAAAGCAAGAAATTCTAAGAGCACTCGAAAAAATGGAGGATATCTAAACAATCGTAAGAACAGGAATAACAATGGAGACAGTGACGAATCATCGATGAAAGAGAAAAGGGGAAAAAACAGAGGAGGAAGCAAAAAAAACCATCGGAATAATAACGAGAAAAGTATTATTCCATTCCAAGAAAACTCAGATGATAAGGAGAAACACACCCTGGATGAAGGTTCCAATAATTTGGACAAAAGTAATAAACAGAATAAACAGAATAAACGGAAAAACAAAAGTTACATTGACAGACTACACGAAGACATTGATGATGACGATTTTGACATTTTCAAAAAGAATAGCAAGTTTGATAGAAATAAAAGAATATCCACCTCGAAGAGGGCGAGTAGTGCATTAGACATAAATTTGAAAAAGAGAAAAAGCATTTATGTTGAATCGAGCAACAGTGAAGATTCAAGTGAAAGTGATGATGAATACACGAATGAAAAAACAAGACCTTCTAAAAAATTAAAAAAAAACAATAATAACAAAATGAATGACAATGAACAAATTTATAAAAGCAATATAAGTGCGAGTATACATAAAAATTTTGAAGATTTTAATTTATACGAAAAAATTAAAAAAGGCCCCCCCAATTTACATGAAATTATTGAAGAAATTTACTACAATTTGTTTAATAGAGAAAATAATGAAAAGGTTAAAATATCCACTTTTTTTTTAAATTTTTTAGCTGAATGTTCAGGTAATGAAACTCTTACCTGGACTATTGACATAATTGATTATATAGACAAACAAGTATACTTGTATGAAGAGATAACGAATGACAAAAATGAACACCGATTGATTCCCTCGAACAATACCACAGTAAGATCTACATCCATAAACGAAATAATAACACCTTCTACGGCTCAGTCGGGTAGCAAAATTATTAACATAGATGAAATAATAAAAGATGAAAATAGTTTTGAAAAGGTATGCACATTTAAGTGTGAAAAATTGGAACAATATTTGCCCCCTGATTTGGAAAATGATGTGTTGATAAAAAGTAAAAATGAAAATAATAAATCTTATAAAGCTTTTACGAAATTCTTTTCTGATTTTTCCTATCATTTTGATGAAAATTATATATACGAAGTATTGTATATATGTACATGGATATTTTCCCTTAGTGTAAGTAAATACAGAAAATTACGATTTACAGCTTCCCTAGCTAGCCATTCCATATTACTAGGATTGTGCAAAAAAATTAATTACATTAACAATCATGAAAAACAGGTGAGAAAGCAGCTACTATCAGAATATATTAGAGAAATGGCAAAAAATAACAACAACTTGATAAACAAAAGGGGGAATAACCAGCGGAGGGATAGTACCAGTAGTAGAGATAACAAAAATGGTAACAATATTGCAAATGGAGAAAAAACAAAACAGGACATAGACATTGAAGAACTCATTCAGTATAATAAAAAGAGAGATAATGATGAAATTCGTTCTATAATTGAAAGAAATTTAATTATTAGTCAGTTAATTGACAATATATGTGAAGATAGAAAAAGTTTAACAGTTTTGAATAACTTTCTACTTTGTACATATAATATACTATATAGGAACAAAATAAAAGACGTGTTTTTAGATATACGTGTAATAACTCTGGAGTATTTCCATCATTATTTACAAGTACTAAATACATATTTTACGAACAGGAAATTCACCAAACTGTTGATTTGGATATTGTATGATAAGGATAACAAGGTAAAAATTTGTTCACTAAATATTTTAACATATTTCTGCACTCTCTACAATGCGAATAAAAATTTCAAAATTGTCGAGTTGCTCTACATGTGTAAAAAAAAATTATTAAATCTTATTTTCGACAATGATTACAATGTTAGAATGAAGACTTTTGAATTAATATTGCAAATGAGCAAAATGAGAATTAGAAAAATTGATTTAATAGCATTTAAAAAAAGGAACAAACGTGCCAGTATGGATAGTAACAACAGAAGAGATTTAACCAAGTCTAGTTCATCTTCACAATACGACAGTAACGAAGACGAAGAAAATGATACTTTTACCAGAGAAGGGATATCTGGAAATAACCAGCTAGCCATAATAGAGGAGGAGAATCACAAGAAGGATGAAACATCAAGCGATATTGTTAACATTTTGTCAAAAAGGGAAAAGAAAATTGTAAGCAACTTAATATGGTTTAATAATAATAATAAAATTTCTAAAATTATTACTTCACTTATTTACGAATCGCAAATAAAAAATAAAATAAAACAATGTGATAAGAAGAGGAACAACTATTTTGATGTAGAACAAAATGATGCAAATTGTGAAATTGTAAAATATAATATAATTTATTTAACTAAATATTTGAATAAAAATATACCAACTGTTAAAAATTTTGTCCATTATTTTGATTATCTCACCAATTATAATGAAAATATGAAATTATACACTGTGATTGATAAATTTGTTACGGGTATTAGAGAAAAATTAGATGCTGTAAACTGCATTGACGTCATAATTGAGTTGTTATGTAAGGATGATATTTCACCATTTGATTATTGGGAAAAGTGTACAGAGACTACCATGAATAATAATGAATTGGGTAGAACTTGTAGCAAGGGCGGTGTGGAAGCTGATGCTGGTACGAAGAAGAAAAAGCAAAATGGAAGAAACACATTGAAGGAAAAGGACAAGAAGACTGAAACTTGCATTAGTAGCAGAAGTGATGGAAATGATGGAAGTGGTGGGATAGAAGCTAGCGAAAAGGAACAAAACGATGGTGGCGATGTAGATAAACCCATCGAGGATCGTGACTTGAGGAAATGTTTGCTATACATCTGCGAATCATCGTATAGAAATTTTCAAAATGATATAAACGAACTTGAAAAAAATAAAAACAGAAAATCCGCTCTCGCAACGAATAGCACGAATGTTGCAGATAGAAACAGTATGCACACCATGAAACTGAGCCAAGATACAAATAAAATTAAAAAGATGATCATTTACACATTTGGAATAATTAAAAACAGCAAGTTATTGATAAAATTGCATCAAACAAATCAAGAACATTTATTGTTAGTTTTTAAAATTTTAAAAATAGCTATACAAGAATGTAAACATATTTACAAAAATGATGAAAAAAATAATATTTACAATTTCTCTTCCACCATAATGGAATATTTTAAAAATGACATTGATAGTAATATTAATTTCTTCCAGAACAACGTTTTTCTGCATATAAAAGATACATACGAGTATCTATATTATTTGCTCAAAAATTTTAATTTGCCGTATTATTCATCCAAATATACAATGAATATGATATCTATGTTTTTGTCCCTAAACGAGTTTTTCAAAAGAAAAGATGAAAGTACATATCATAGAAACACAGCTACTACGAGTGGCAATTATAAATTATCAACAGATTTATTCTTCGATCTTTACTATACCTACTTTACCAACTTCCTAGAGGCTTTTTCATACTATCGCAAAAATTATAACGCAGAAATTGAATGTGAAGAGGATGAAGAAGAATACATAAAAAATGGAAAGAACAAAGTTGTCATCGTTAATGAAAGTTTAGTGCATAAAGATAGAAATATTGTAGACTCGATTGAAAATGATTTAACTGTCAACCTAACAAAATTAATTCACATGTATACCCTGTGTTTTAATTATATAAATAATAATTTGTCTAGCTATGTAGAAAAAAAAAATGATATTAAAAAAATTAATAAAAGTATTAAAAAAGTAATGGAACATGATTATTTTCAATTTATTGTAAATGAAAAATGCCAATCATATTATAAAGAGAATACCTTTTTTACAGAATTTTTGGATGAAACTATTTTGTTACAAGAAAATGATCACTTTTTTTACGATGTTAATCGGGGTTCTAGGGAAAAAAACCATGAGTGCGAAGATGATGAAAATGTAGATGAAGCAGATGATGCAGATAAAGTAGATAAGACAGATAAGGCAGATGAGACAGATGAGGAAGAGGATGAAGAAGAAAAGGGAGAAAACTATGAGACTGATGACAAAAACGTAAATAGCGAGACACATAGTGATCAACGGGACGAGGAATACACAACTAGAAAGGCTAATAGTAGAAAGGAAAATAAAAAGTCCAAGAAAAATAAAAATAGAAAACCAAATGGGGACAAAACTATGTACATAAATCGAAACAGTGGTAAGAACAATACAAAGTTCAATGACAAAGTAATATTTGACAAAAATGAAGATATTCAACATAGACAACATTTTAGCAACCTATACTACAGCCCAGATGCTTGTATGCATGCAAATGTAGTAATTCAATTGTGCTTGTACATAATAAGGGCAAAAATAAATTCCGTGTACTACTATGAAGAGGAAAAGAATATTCCCATCACCCCATCTTCTAGACTACTCCTGCTGTGTATAGATCTCATATACGTTGTTTATGAAAATTATATATACTACTTATGCAAAAAAAGGTACTTTTTTAATTATATATACAATAACTTTTTTTTAAAAAATGATACTACGGTTGTAGTGGACGACATGGAACAAAATAAAAATGGAAAAATGGAAATGCAAAATAAGAGCAGTTCAACTAATTTGAGCACTACGAATGAGAAGAATAACAAAAACAAAGAATTAGTGGATGAGGAAAAAGGATTGACAGAAAAGAATAAAAATGAAGATCATAATTACAGTGTAAATATAGACCATTTAAAAAATTTACCTAATCTTAGTGAGAGAAAAAAAAAGTTTTTAAAAAACATATTCATAGAACTAAATTATATATATAACAACATAGTATCCTTGAGAGACGATTTGAATGATGCACTTATATATCTCATCAAGGCATCAAATAATACTATACTAAAGTATGGAACATTTTTAAATCTTATGAATGTAGCACAGATGGAAAATGTTTTCCTATACTCGATTGAAGATATGAAGAAGTATAAAACTGTGGAAGTATATATAAATCTGTGCAGTAGTGGAAGAGGGGGTGGAGACCATGGTGATATGTCTGATATGGATTATATGGGAGACGAAAGTGGATTAGTTAATTTACAGTATTTGCTAAAACTGGAAAGTAGCCACCATGGGGAAAAAAACAACGAGAAGGATGCGAACAGTTCCAATGGGAAGAAGGTGGAAGAACTAGTACAAAGTCACCAAGACATAAATGATGAAATCAATAAATACAAAAGCGTATCCAGATATGTGTACAAAGAAGACAATGTCTTGTTTAATTTCGTGACAGAATTGTTTAAAAATGTAGAAAACATAAACAATGATAATTATAACTTTGTTAATTCCTTTTTGTCAATCGATATAGGGATATTTTTCCCCATAAATACATATACATACATTGCGGACATGTGCAAAATATACAATAAGGACGAACTGAGTATGGATGAGAAAATTCTGGAAATGCAATATATGCACATGAGCTTAATAATAGCTCAATTTATTTTACATTGTAATAATATAAATATATTTAACAGCTGCTTAGGTGTATTACTATTAATCCACTTGAATGTTAAAAACAAAGGATTATCATCAATTGCTTTAAATTTTCATAATAAATTAAAAAAGTACAATATAGAAATTTTTTATGAAGTATTATTATGTGCATTAATTGGATTATACACAGCTTATATTAACAACGCATTAGAAGAAAAAGATTTATTACTATTTAGCACATCGATAGCTAGCCGTTTAGGAGTTAAAATTTTAGAGAAACAGAAATTACCATTATGCAAATTTATCCACTCTTGTGTAAATTGTGCTCTGAATCTAAAAAACCAAAATTCTTTTCTAAAATATATTTTGCCATATGCTCAGAAATTAAACCTTTCAGATTATCAACTTAACTATTTAAAGAAACAAATGCTAAATCTAATAGAGTCATATAATACGTCTAATAATACACAAATCAAATTTGAAAATAGTATTTTTGAACATATGATTCTTATCATTTGTAAAAAAAGAAAGCTCAATGAAGAATTTAAGGATTCTAATTATGAACAATCCTACATGAGCCTAAACGAAAGTATACATTTGAATATAAGTAAAAATATCACCAGAAGAGTAAGTAGACCCTCAGATGAACCTTCCATTAAAACTAGAAGAAGCTTTAAGGACGTTAATACTCACCTTGCACAAAAATCAAAAGAAAAATCAAATAATGTTGACAAAAACCAAAATGGTCTTAATACCGATTCAGACGACTCTCAGAATGATGCAAACACAATTACTGAAAAATATGATCATAACGATATAGATGTTGAAAGAAATCAAAGTAAACATGTATTCAACATTAAGGAAGAACTTATAGATGATAAAGATGATCCAGAGATGATTGCAAAAAGTAAGAAGAACAACAAGAGCCAAAACAAGAAGATAGACGAAAATGACGTAAATAATCAAGAAAACGCTTTACTAACTAGGAATAAAACAGATTCATCAGATTATGAAAAGACTCAATCAAACTCCACTCTTAGCAACTTCATCAGCCCAAAGGAAGATGACGATAATATATACCACATTGAAGGTATGAATTATGGCAATAATGGAACACTTAGTAATGATAAAAGATCTATTTATGAAATTGAGTCTAGTCCCAAACCGATAAGGGGAAAAAAAATTACAAGGTTAAATTTGATTGATAAAAAGGATTTTGATTCTAATATTTATAATGAACATGTCGATAAATCTCCAAATGCATTACGTAAAAATTCCGAAGATCAATCTCTTAATAGCTCACTAAATGATATTAGTGATAAGGATAACGACGATATATCCATTATATCTGAAAGAAAAGATAAAATGAATTATTTCGAAGAAAATGATGATGATTCCAATTCGGATATCATACCAGGAATGTCACCAATGAAGACCAGAAAAAAAAGAAGAAGTGATGCATCGACTCCCATTTCGTATGCCGATGATTTGATGAATTTCTAAGGAATTTCTAAGAATTGTGTGTTTTCTTCATTTTGACCAATTCATACCACACGTACTCCTTGTACTGCATATCCCTTTCGCATGTATCAGAAGCATGCTTATCTCATTACTTTTACATCATAATTTGCTTGCCTTATTTTTTTTTCGAATTATATACACCTTTGGTGGTAGGTCATATCATGCCATATCGTGAATTATATTTCTTTATTATTCCCGTACATATATATATATATATATATATATATATATATATATATATACATATCATACCAAGAAGGTACATTCCAATTTTCAAATTGTTGTAAGCTTAATTCGGTGAACAAATATGCATAAACTGGTTCAATTTATAGATACACACGTACGCACACAAAAAAAAAAAAATACATTTAGCTAGCCATTTTGGTAACTCAAATGGAGTATAACCTATTCTATCCCCCTCCAGGATGTATTTATGTTTGGCACGTCCATTTATTTTACAGTGCATAAAATGTGCATTATCCTTCAAATGGGGTATGTTCAAGCGGGGGAAAAAAAAAAAAAAAAAAAACTTCAGCACATATGAGCGCATATAAACTTACTGAGATCCATGCAATCATAGGCACAGGAATACACATATAAGCAAACACATATCTCTCGGCTAATAAGGTCTTATTTCAAAATACTTATACGTCTTAGATCTTTTTCTAGGGGTACATCCATGTTTTCCCCCTCCACCTCGCCCCCTACCAGTTCTATAGCTGTCTAAAAAGTGATGATCCGTATAGGCCTTGTCAAAAGATTTGGCTTGCTTCAACTTTTCGATAAAAGCCTTTTTTAGTAATTTGTTTTTATTATACCATAAATTCAGATTACTAAGTTCTGTATTAAGGGGAAATGGCTGTCTTTGTGGATGCAAACATTTGTCATTTGGTAAATAGTATGGGGAGAATTGTGCAGATTTCTTATTTTTGTAAAGTTCATATAATCTTTTTTTTTTTAAATGTTGATATATAGCATAATAATAATCACTTTGTTGAAATTTGTTCATAAAAATTTTCCAAGGTAAAGATAAAGATCTAACATTTGGATGGGACATATAAAAATACATAACACTTTTTAATTTTTCTCCAAAATTTGATCGAAGTTCCTCTGGAGATGTTCTTAAAATATAATTATCAAATCCTCCTGCATCATCTATAGCATGTAATGCACTAGTTGTAATTTTGACATTTGGTATTATGGTATTTAATATATTACTAACTATATGCTTTTTAAAAACATTTGGTTTTAACTTAATTCTTGTCTTTTTTAATGAATACGATACTTTTGTATAGTAGTTATAATCCTCATCGTGATATAAACCTGTTTGTGATGCTGCTGATGGAACTCTTCCATATGCCTTCACCGGGACAGGATGAATTATCTGTTTTTTTTTAAAACCTTTCTTATGACTTTTCCCAAGTCTTCTTAAATATTTTCCGAATAAATTTAAATTTTTCGGCATACTTTTGTGGAATGAAAATTGTTCGGCATTAGTTACCGCCTCGTCTCGGTTTCGTTCCCTGGTGTGTTTGATCCTTTGATTAATTTAACGCTTAACTTTGTTTCACTCTATTTTCTTTTCCTTTATTGTCTTAACATCCTAAGAATATGTAACTTTTTCTTCTGTTGTTTTATTTTATTTTATTTTTTTTTTTCACCCTTTCGTATTATCATAAAATTGAGGATTTCCGAAAATGTGTCTCTTTTTTCTTTTTTCTTTTTTCTGTTTTATTTTATTTTTTCCCTTTTAAAAACTTTTACGTATATATATATTCTTTTTCATCGAGGAAACGGACCTATCCCCCATGTGAAGGTCACCTTGTGTTTTTAAGGCCTCCTTTTGATTAGCCTTTTGCAAAGTGGCTTCTTACATCCATAAGCGGTTTGCTTCGTGTGTGTGCTTTTTATTATATTATATTATACTATATTATATTACATTATTTTATTTTATTTATTTATTTTTTTTTTTTCCTTTTTTGCCTCATCAAGTTAAATGCTTTTGTAGCATTTGTAGAGAATTTTTTTTGTGAAGTCCTCCCCCAAGGGCTTAACGCTATGAGGCTGTAGGGTTACACATATATTTATATATATATATATATATATATATATATATATAAATGTATAAATAAGTGTATATGCGCTTGCGTGTAGTTGTGTATCTCCTCTAACTGTTCTTGAAAATAGAGAGACAAAAACCCCATGTGCGTAATGAGGCTCTGCCTATGTTATCATGGCGAATAAAAAATTTCATAAAATTCGTAGGGGTCAAAAGGGGAAAAATTTAAAAAAAGAACAAAGGATTTTAACTGTTACGAGGTGCGTAAATGAGAAAAAAAAATTTACGTGGGACAGGATGATTTAGTGTGACACGATGCATGAGAACGCTCTTTTAACTAGGGAATGTTACGGATAAACAAAATAAAATAAACGTACATGGTAAAGTAAAGAAAATGCTAAAATAATGGAAAAAATTTTGTTATTCAATTCCATGCTTTAATAGTCCATGAGGCCCACAAAAGGCTGAGAAGAACTATTTTTTAAGAGAGATTTACTTAGTAAAAATGTAAGTTCCCTCGTATAAAAGCCTTAGTGTTGCAGACGTGATATACTCTGATCAAATCACTGCACAAAATGCAAGGGGTTCGCAAAGGGACATTTTAAGTTTCACTTTAGCATGCACACTTTTCTATCAACTTTTTATGGATCCACTTCTGTAAGAAAGGATATAAAAACATTACCCCGCATTTGAAACAATACTTTTAGGAGTTATATATATATACGCATTCTTCTTGCTTTTTTTTTTTTTTTTTTTTCTGCCACACCATTTTGCTTACAAAGAAAATGTTCCTGTATGTTTATCCGAAATAATAATTCACAAATTGGAGAAAATATATATCTCTGGGAGAGAGTAAGGGTATAAGAATAAAGATATTTCAAAAAGGCACTATATACATACATACACATTTGCATATATGTATGCTTTAATACATGTGTGTATATAGTTATATATGCCTATTTGAGCAAAAGTTTGTGCATATAATAATATGCCAATACACGAGAAAGCAGATAAATTCTTACCTGCACAGGAACGTTTCTAATTTGAATAATGCTTCCCTTTAACTGCAACTCAATTACATCCTGTAACAAATGTATACACAATGGTAATTATGACAAAAACGATTATTCGTTATTGCCGCATAAATTTTGATATGTGAAGTTTAACATAAGCAAACAGGAAAATAAATAAATGGGTGATACAGGACGAGTAGTGCACAGTAAAAAAAAAGAAAAAAAAAAAGAAGGAAAAAAAAAAAAAAAAAACATAAACGCACGCATAGGCGTGAACTTAATAGTAATGCGACGAAATGAAAAAGACCGTATGGTAATTATCGCGGACAGGATTGAGCTCGCGCAAGGTGCACAGCACTGAATGCAAATAAAATCTCGAAATAACACAAAAAAACCTATTTTGCATCATTTTCTGTTGTTCCACGTAGAGGTCAAAGAGAAATACTTGGCCAGAATATCGTAAGTCTTTGTAACAACGTAATATTCTGGAAAGAACTGCATCTGAAAGAGCTTAATATCACCCTGTACCTCCTTAAACATGAAAACATATGGATTTTCCCATAGGGACAGATCACGTGTTTCATCATCGCCTTTATCTAAGATGTTTTCAAGTCCCCTTAATATACTTTTACATAATTTGACACTTCCATTATTCATAGGATCAGACTCACTAACTAATTCTAACATATCTGCAATAAGTTGCATGCAAATATTTTGTCCCAACCTGTTGGTTGTAGCTGTACAGGAAATAATATAGCCAACTTGTTTCTGATTGGCTTTAGATAAACAAGCACAAACAGCATAAGCTGCTTCAATTTTTGTGTTAAAGTCGTTATCTGTTTGAAAAATATCTACCAATAATGGAAAAACGTCATTTTTGATTAACAATTCTACCTCTGATGCAGTTTCACATCCTATATTTCCTAAGGCATTGCATGCACGTGCTCTTGCGCCAGGTTTAATCTTCATATTATTTAAAATTTTTTTCAAAGCTTTAATAACATTACATGATATAAGTATACAGATTTGCTGATGATTGGCAGCATACGCTATTTTCGAAATAATGGACAATGCTTCAAAAGCTAAATCTGGATATGCAGATTCACATAATATCACTGCATTGTGAAGTATATCTGTCTTGAGTAAAACTTCTATCCCTATTTGATTTTCACATATGGTTATGCATGTAGAACTTGTAAGGAACAGAACTCTTTCATCATTCATTTTGATACATGTAGATAAATAATTTATTATTATTTCAAGTTCTCTTAAAAATGATTTTTCATATATTTGACAAGTCGAAACATAAAACATTTTCAATCCATAAACAACTAAAGTGTAACAAACACGAACTCCATTCAAATTTGGAATATTTTCTACTGCTTTTAACAATATTTCGACTATTCCTTTATTATCTATTAAATCATTTTTTAATTTCATTATATCATATATTAATATGGTCCTTATGAGGGCTATAATTAATTGGACAATTAATGGAGTATAGACTTTTTCACAAGATTTTTGACAAATGTTTTTTAACATATAAGCAGAACATGTGTACAGCTCATCTACTATATCTTGTTTTATTTTTTCACCTGATCCACAACAACCAAAAATGATAATCAATAGGGTTAATGCCTCCACTATAATTTCATCATTATGAAATATGTAATTGTATAGAAGAGATTTTATTATACTGATAATATTCATTTCAAATATGTCACTCAAATTAATGTCGACAACATTTTCTCTTGTCAAGCATTTGTCTAGCAAATCGAAATATTCATCTACATTATTTATGCTCTTATAATTGGCAAATATCATAGAATTTAGTACCTTTAGATTTATTTGATCATTTCCTGAAAAATTGTTTAGAATATTATTGCTATGATTTGAGTGTGTCGGATCGTTATCATTTGGCTTATTACTTCCAACACTACTGCCATTACCACTTATCCCACCCCGGGGATCATTCTTATTTGAAAAGAATCCCACACTTTCTCTATTATAATTATTTCCTAAAAAGTTATTATAGCTATTCTGATGTTCATTGGTATTATTCGTCCCTTCCACTGAATCCAAATTATCCACTTCATTTTTTTCCTGCATATTTAACATGACACAACCCCTATTCAACAAATTTTTTTTATAATCGGCATTATTCTTATATTTATAATGCAATGAGGCGTAAACCAATCGAATTCCTTTTATTTTCTCATCTACTTTTGTACTTTCAAGTAAATTACTAACATTCTTTATAATGTCAGTGCTTATAGAAAAGGAATTTTCCATTTGGTTAACTAATATATCAATAGATTCATCATTTTTATTTAAATGATTAAAGCTATCATTGTTTGGGCCTTGTCCATCATTCATAAAACTTCTATTACAATTATTACTGTTATTATTCGCCTTGCTAATCATATTCACATTGTTCACATTATTATTTAAAAAGAATGACATGTTTGCAGAAGAAGAAGGGTTGTTGAAATTAGAGTTATCCATTTTTAGGACATTTTAGTTTATGCACATTTTGCAGCAAAGCGATGGAAATCGTTCGCAAATTTGTCACTGCAGTGGATGTACAAATAAATACATGCACATGTACACATAAACACGTACAAGCATATATATATATATATAAGTGTGTACACACATGTATATTTACTTAAAAACATGTATGCATATATATATGCATTTACATATGTATTACTCTAATTCAAATGTTTCGAAAAAAAAAAAAAAAATTGAGTGAAATAAGATCAAATATGGTGAAGCCTGGTGTGGGGAATAAAAAAAGGGAATATTTTTCGGGGGTGGAAAGCAAAAAAAAAAAAAAAAAAAAAAACAGGGAGATGGAGGGGAGGCACATTGCGCGTAACACAAAAGTGATAGATAGAATGATGGATAGATAAACAAATAAACAAATAAAAAAAAAACTCAAAGGCGAATAAATTCAGTCTCAAATTTATATTGATGAAAATTCAGGAAATGAAATATGAATTACCACATATGTGCGTGCGTTCGTTCACATATGTATGCATATCATATGTGTAATAATGTGTTGGTGGCTCAGGTGTCGAACGTCTGATTGTGCTGTGTGCATTTTGCACCATATGCTTAAAATCATACATAAGCAAAAGTAAACAAGTGAAAATATGTGTATAACGTACGATCGCAAATAAAAACTAACACGTGTAAACGCATGTATGTGCATACGCGTATATAAATGTATATATATACATATGTATATAAATTAAATTTTCGTTAAAATTTAATGTTCCTCTTTACCTATTCTCTTTATTTTTACACTTGATAATTTTGCTTCTTCAAAATGGGTACGCACATGGTAATATGTATAAATATACATGAAATATATATACAGTACAGAGCTATTTTTGTATTTCTTTTTTCTTTGTCACATTTTGGACGCATATAAAAAGATACACAAATAACATAACCTAAAATAGCTTTTGTGGATGTATATTATAAAGCATTTATTAATTTTCCATGTGAAATAATAAAAAAAAAAAAAAAAAAAATTCCAAAAAGTCATAAATGAGGAAAGTCAAATGTTTGAGTTTAATTTAACTCAGATTCTTGTAAATATGTATAATATTTTTGATGTACATAAATGTTATATATATATATATATTACATACATCTGTTTATTTCCTTAAAAATTGTTAATAATGGCAATATATATCAAATGTAAAAAGGGAATCCTCAGTGAAATATATTGTTAATACGACAAACTCTAATCAGTAAAATGAGGACGAGTCAAAATTCAAAAATAAAATGGTAACACAAAGCACAATGTGCTATGACAAAGGGAAATTATTCTTATGATGTACGCAGGTACAAAAAGGCGAGAATGCAAAGCACGAAAAAGAAAAAAATGGGAAAAGTTTCATAAAAGAACACCATAAGTTGAAAAAAAAAAAAAAATTAGTGAACGTTTCGTAAGCATGCACATTCGTAATGTTAAACGAACATGCGTAATGATAAATTCCAGAGCGAAAATTATATATGCCAGTGAAATGCTAACAAAGGCATATAAAAATTATAATGAATATAAAATTGATATACTTCTTGCGATAATACTTACGTCGTATTTGTAATAGTTAAGCAAAGTTTTTATACACTATCCAATAATGTTATATACAAGTTTATATGCATGAATAAAACATGTATAAGCATTATAAATAATGTACATGTTTGTGCATTATAAATAAAACATGTATACTTATCTACATAACAACACACATAACCATGTGCTACATAGTATTTATTTTATTTGATATAGCACAACAATTTTATAATTATTTGAAGGAGAAATGATAAAAAAAAAAAATAAATAAATGTTAATAAACAAAAGAATAAAACGCATATTATCAGAATGAAAGAAATTTTTTTTTAATATAAAGGAAAACGACAATCTGTGAAAATTGTTCAAATATGAAAAATTGAAGAAAGAGTTATAAAAAAAAAAAAAAAAAAAACCACATGTTTATTTACGTACGTGTGTATATATACACATGTGCATGTATATATGACTACATTTATGCATAAATGCATATACATATACGTACACATATATATATATATATATATATATAATGTTTATTCCCTCCGAATAACTCACGCATTCACAAAAGACAACAATAAAATAAAGGTAACAGTTTTACATTTTTCGCGCAAATTAGCTCTGGATATAAAAATTAATAGAGAGATAAAGACATCAGTGCATTTTCTCGTTTTTCATTCCTACATTAATGATGTTGATTGCGCTCCCCCTACGCATCGCAGGATTCCCATACATAATGCATGTATGTATCCAGTTGTTTTAACGTTTTTCCCACGTATTCCTCTTTTTACAATTCCATTTAGCCCATATATATTAACCTTCGAATCAAGGTGTACCTATGTACTTTTGGCATGATACATTAAAATTCAGTAACACTTAAATTTATTTTACATTCCTGAAGTTTTGGGAGTAAAGAAATGAGTATCAGTTTGGTAGCAATTTGGATATTTTTCCTTTTTAAGTTCAACAAAAAGGAAGATACTTTTTTTTTTCAAGTAATGCAAAATTGGGATAAATAAAATATTTGTGCAGAATAACATACAACGGATGTATATTAATAATAATGAACTAGGGGCCATGAACGGATGTTATTTTGAATATTCCTCAATGTTTGATTTAAAAACTGTATTTTAAAATGTTATTCACACCATCTATTTTTGTCGTATGTTTTGCTTACCCAAGGGGGTGCAACAAAAGATGTAAAGCATGACCATAGCAAGGTAAACAAAGATATAACAGTTCTGATGAAAAAAAAAAAAAAAAAAAAAAAAAAAAAAAAAAAAAAAAAAAAAACCTGTAACTTGTCCACGTTCTTATATACAAAATTGTGTACCATTTTGCCTGTTTCCTATTAGGCAAATACAGTAAAGAATATTCATATCTTTTCACGCATGAACATTCTTTTGGTAACAAAATAAAAAGACGCATTTTATATTGAGGGAAACTGCATGCATGTATAATTTATCGATTTTTTTATTTTATTAATTAGTAGAAAATATGTATGCATATGCAGAATATTATATATTTATTTGTTATTATAATCGGTTATGAAATAGTTACAAGTGTTCCTTAATTGAGTTTAAAATATTTGCTCATGTTCCCTACTGATGAATTATCAGATTTTCGCATTCTGTTGAAAAAAAATTGAGCATTATAACTTAGGAGTAACGGTAACTAGAGTTTTACCGCGTTCATTATATGGCTACACAAAATACTATGTTAAAAAGGCACGTCTCTTCGAGAAAGAAAATTAATACATATATATATATATATATATATATATATATATATATATATATATATATATTTTTTTTCTTTTCTCTGTGTGCACACATGAAAACGGTTAATCGGCACACTAATTAAGGATTTACACATCATGTTCGTATGGTGAAGTGCCTAATTACGCTCTGTGAGAAGCACCCTTTGTTCTTAAAACGAGAAGAAGAAATAAAATGCGATAAGGAAAAACGAAATGGAAAATAAAATAAATAATAAACCGTGTTTTATGTTTATATGTTAATTTTTTACGCACCATCAATGTTGTAGCACTTTCGAAAATTTTACCTTGTTCATCTGATCTGAACAAATAAAGTACAACATTTTTTTCAGTATTATATATATTACGGATATTATCTAGTGAGTAAAACGAGACGAAAATATACCAAACTTTTGTATCATATAATTTCAAAAAAATGAGTGAATATTATTTGAGGTAAAACTCCGAACATACTATTCCCACAGAAAAAAGGGAGCATGGCAATTTTATATAGTCTCACGTGAGCATAAACATGAAAGAAAAAAAGTGTCACATTTTTTCCTCTTTTCGTTATAAGACATCATGTTCTTCGTTACACTCATTTTGTTTTTCTTTTGAGGAATTTTTATTAGCACACATCACACCCCACTATTACCGTGAGTCATAAATACACAATTCCTTACACAACGTTAAAAAAAAATATATAAAAAAATGCCAACTTTTACATTTTATTTTTTAGTTCATAATTCTTATAAGAAACATATATTATTTTAAAAAGTGCCAATTTTTTTTTTTTTTTTTTTTTTTTTTTTTTTTTTTGCAGAAAAAAATCAAAATTTGTAAAAAAAAAAAATTTCTTTAATAAAAACATTATTATGTTTGATCATTCCAAAAAAAAAAAAAAAAAAAAAAAAAACATGTATGATTTTGCATCACATCCAAGTACATGCATAATGAGCACATGTATGCATAAATACATACAATAAATATATGTATATCCCAATAATCATTCATAGCAGATTGGCACTACAATGGAAGGTATTACATGTGCTCTATTTGCTTCTCTCCCTTTCATATGTTCGTGCTCAAAAGAAGATGTATATGTGCTTCTGACTCCATAAAAAAAATGGAGAGGAAGGGGGAGAAAGAAACTTTTTTTTAAATCAAGCGGAGGTGTTATTATTTTCGAATTGTATTACTTTTTAAATTAAAGTAGGAAACGGATATATTAAATACATGGACACATATACATTTTAGTATATATGCCCATGTATGTATGTGTACATACACATCATGAGAACAAACATATGCATTTTTCCTCTTTATTGCATTAGCATTTAGTTAATTATGTTTTTACTTATTTTTTTTTTTTTTCTTCTATTCCAATAAGATATTTATGATTTTTCTTGCGTCTTCCCACAGAATGGGTAAAAATTTACTTCATTCATTGTTTAAAGATATATCAAGGTAAACGGGGGAATTTTTTTTTTTTTTTTTTTTTTCATATATATACTTTATGTTCCTTCAATTTTATGATTTTTTTCAATGTATTGCTAAATTGATAATCAGATAGTTTTTAATGTACAATTTGAACAATACATAAACGTGCCAATATGCCAATAAGCCAAAAGTAAATAGAAGTTTTGGATTCAAAAGGGAGGGGGGGAGGTTAATAATCTTTCATTATAGCCATATGGGTCCTCCCCTTCTGGATGTGAAATTATTAGCAATTACCCAAGCGAAAACAAGAGAAGTAATAGCAGATAATTTAATTAAAATGTTTAGTGATGGTCCTGAGGTGTCCTTTAATGGATCTCCAACGGTATCTCCAATAACTGAATTTTTGTGTGCACTCGATCCTTTGCAATGTTCTGTTCCTAAAGCACCTGACTCGATATATTTCTTTGCATTATCCCAAGCACCACCAGAATTGGTTGATGAAAAAGCTAGCTGAATACCAGATAAGATAATACCTACTAGCAATCCAGCAGTTGCATATTTTCCCATTAATGCACCAATGACTAGTGGTGAAAAAACAGAAATCAATCCTGGAACAATCATTTGTCTCAAAGAAGCATCAGTTGATATTTTAATACATTTCTCATAATTTGGTTTTTGTTTATCAGCTAGAATTAAAGGAAATTGTTCTAAACATTCATTCAAAACACTGTTAGCAGCTATAGCAACAGATTTCATCGTTAAGGCAGAAAATAAATATGGTAACATAGCTCCTACAAGTAATCCAATAATGACCCATGGATTTAATATATTAACATGACGTAGGTTGGCACTACTTGCATATGCTCCAAATAATGCAAAAGCAACCAAAGCAGCAGATCCAATAGCAAAACCTTTACCAATTGCTGCTGTTGTATTTCCTGCTGCATCAAGGATGTCTGTTCTAGCTCTAACTTCTGATGGAAGTCCAGCCATCTCAGCAATACCTCCAGCATTATCTGATATAGGCCCATAAGCATCTATTGTTAAACAAATACATAGCGTACTTAACATACCTACAGCTGCTAAGGCTATGCCATATATATCACATAAGCCATAAGAAATACCAAGCGTAGCACTTAAACAAATTATAGGAATAAAGGTACTTTTATATCCTAATGATAAACCATATATAATACCTGTAGCTGCTGAAATTTTCTGTGTGTTAGCTATTTCTTGAACAGGACTAAAGGAATAAGATGTATAAAATTCAGTTGTAAATCCAATTATTAATCCTGACCACAAACCAACTAATGCTGGAACAATAATTTTCCATCTTTGAATTTCCTTTAATAAATTATATTTAACAGAAACGGGTAGGGCGAAATATCCAATTGCAACTATGGCTAATGATTGTAATATTGTAGATACAAATAATAAATATTTTAAAGTTCTTTCCACATCTTTTTTTTCTACCACTTTAACCGAACGTGTAACTATAAAAAATGTTAACATACTAACAACAATACTAACACTTGAAAATACCAAGGGATACATGATACAATGATTTATATTTGCGTCAGTTCCTTCTTTTAAACTTAACACAGATGAACCGATAACTAATGCTGCACATAAACTTTCCGATAGCGATCCAAATAAATCTGCACCCATTCCTGCCATATCTCCAACATTATCTCCGACATTATCTGCTATACATGCTGGATTTCTTATATCATCTTCTGGAATTCCATATTCATTTTTACCTGACAAATCTGCACCTACATCTGCTGCTTTGGTATATATGCCTCCACCTACTCTTGAAAATAATGCTATTGATGAACCTCCAAGACCAAATCCGGCAATTACTTTATATAAATTAGATTCCACTGTAATATTTTTAAAAAAGAAAGTCTTATAAACATATATTAATAATCCTAATGATATAATACTACATGATACTAAGGAAAAACCCATAACTGTGCCAGCATTTAGAGTAACTTTAAATCCTTTATCTAAACTTTTCCATGTTTCATTTGTAGTCCTTACATTTGCATACACTGCAATTTTCATACCTATATAACCACAAAATATGGATGTTAAACAACCTAACACAAAACTTATTGCTGTGTATTGACTAACAAAAAAGGCTAACAAAGCAGAAAATACTATAATAAAAACTGTTAAATATTGGTATTCTTTTGTTAAAAAAGCATTTGCCCCTTCTGCAATGTACGATGCTATTTCTTTCATTTTATCCACTTGTGTCAATCCATCTTCGAGTTTATCTATCTTATCTTCAGGACCATTTATATTTATTCTGCTTATACATATGCACTGTATTATCGAGAAAAGCAATCCCAAAACAGGGGGGGTAAACAGTAGTAGGTTGCACAAATACATCTGCTCGAGGTGAGGGAAAGGGAAGGTAAGAGGAATTGTACCTATTAAACTACAGAGTAATGAAAATAATTTCTAATACATAAAAGTTAGTGCTTTATGCTTTTTCCACATATTCGTTTGCTTCAATTCATGAACGTGCACAAATTCATAAATAGTGTACATATATTCAATAAAAGGCGTACACTCATAGCATGCAACCTTAATGTGTCACGTTTAACAATGCAAAAAAAAAAAAAAAAAAAAAAAAAGGGAAAACTACATAACTAGGGAAAAACGAAAAAATATGTGTTGTCTTCAGATAGGCACAAAAAAAAAAAAAAAATGTTATATCTAAAAATACAAAATGTGTAATAAACCTCTTTTTATTTCACAAGATATCACATTCTGAATGTGTACATATGAAATGTTCGTGCAACAAAACTAAATGAACAAATCTGTGTTCCAAATTTCACATTTAAATGATGGATAAAAAAAAAAAAAAATATATGATTTACTACAATAAAGAAGTTGAAAAATACACTTTTACCATTTTCACGTTTAAAGAGTAAAAATAAACACATATATATGTATATATTTATATAACTTAAAAAGATATGTAAATTTTTTGTGAAAAAAGTGTTTTTTCATAAAAAATTAAATAATAGTTACGAAGAATGGGGTGATGATATACACTTTCGTTCCTGTAAACTGTTTACAACGCGTATATGCAAAAAGTGTACAATGGGCTTTGTCAGAGGTACATATATATAAGTATAAATTGAACGTGTACATGATACATATACTTGCTTTTTTCTCTCGTCAAATAAATTTTCCATACCTTTAAAAAATAATAGATTTAGCTAATAATATTTAAATACGGCATATTTTTATTTTTTATTTAAGAAGAGTGAAAAAATAACGAAATTTATGCGAAACTTTTTTTTCAGTCAAAGTGTATTTAATTTTTATAAATTTAGAATTGTTATATATACTTTAATATATATTTGTGTTGCCATATATATACATATGTATTTTTCTTAATGCATTTCATTGCATATATTTTTAACACATATATTTTAGTTAGAAGAATATAAATTGAATTAAAATATTTTTATCTAAGCAATACATCTGTTATGTTACCCATACATAATCACTCAAGCGTTTCGCCTACCATGTAAAAATATGTATATGTTAACTTATGTACTTACTAAATGAAATGTGTATATTATATGAGTACCCATGTATGATTGGAATATTTAATTAAGTTAAACTATTGCTTCATTACCAAAATAGTCGCCTTGTTTTACCTTTTTATTCCCAAAAAAAAATAAAAGGAAAAAACATTTTTTAACTCTCCTAAGGACATATATAAGAGCGTTACAATTTAAATAAATCAACGCGAAAGGGTGCCACATATTGCACCTCCAAATGTGCTAGAGCTACGATAAAAGGTATTGAATACGAAATGATAGTACGTTGTATATATATATGTATATATATAACACCATATATTTAATATGTAAATACAATATATATATGAACAGAATACGAAAAAAAAAAAAAAAAAAAAAAATTAAGAAAGGAAAGAGATAGGAAATGAACAGGGTAATAAGGAATGCATTATTTTTATTTTTACAGTTCAGTGAATGTATTTTTTTATTTCACTTTTCTCGAAAACTGAGATACAATTTTTCAAAATATTCCCATCAATTGAAAGTGCATTTAACCCACTTGTAATGCCATATTAAGAGAGAGTAAGGGTTTTATAGCCCATAGGTAGTTTTAAAGGCCGTCGTCAGAAAAAAGATCCTTGGAGTTTTATGAAACATATACTTATATACTGCATTATGCATGGTCATACACATCGTCACCGTTATAACAAAATAAATTAGCCATACTTCATGCTACACACACCTATATTTTATAAGTATATTTAAACTCAAGTTAAAAAATATAAAGTACAATTACAGAACGTGTAAATAATAATTACTTTCTTTTCAGTTCATTTTTCCTGAATCATAAATGTTCTATACTTGAAAATAATTATTTTTGTCACATTTCCTTCAATTAATAAACACCAAAATATATATATATATGTACATTTTCCCCAACTCATATATTTTAAAAAAGTCTACTAATCCTAAAATTCTTATCGGCGTTTCATGGGGGAAAAAAAGAAAACAGCAAGCATCCTCTTTGAAAAAATGTAATATTGAAGCATCGAAAAATGAATGCCTCCCTAGAGCATATACAAATATCAAATTAAAAATTTTATGTTAAAGTTCCCACAACTTATGAAAGAAATATAAAAAAAAAATAATAATAATAAAATAGAAGAAAAAAATGAGTTGTAGGATATAAGTTTGTATTGTATAAATCACTGATAATGCATAAGGAAGAATAGGACTGCTAAGCGTTTTACATTTTATCGGGTTGGATATGAAAACGAACGATGGTTTACGTGAGCAATAGCATATATAGAACTAAGAACATTCAATTTTCCACTATATATATGTGCATTTTTTTTTTTTTTTTAGTTATATTCAAATAAAGTAAATTGCAACTTATCTGCAAAAAGAAATAATACTTTCTAAGAGTTCAAAATTTAGAGTGTTAATTTTACATGTTATATTTGCACATTAATCGTGTTTTTTTTTTTTTTTTAAACTTAAATGAAGTTTCATTGCTTCACCTTGAAAAGGAAAATTTCACTTTTTTCTGAAAACGCACAAAATAAAAAAATTTGTATTGCACTATGCAAACATTTGTGGGTAGTCCATAAAAACTTACCTTTTTGTTTTTTCATACCTATAACTATAACTATACAAATTGATGGTTCATTTCTTTTACCTTAAAAATTTAAAGCTTACTGAATTATTAAGACTGCAAAAATGTATACATTTATATAATGTACACAAAATTATCAATATTGCATGTACATATTTACAAATATTTTAAACTAGCATGAAATTTTTGTTAAACAGCCTTTTAAGGAAAATGCCGAAAAATGTATCCAAAGAAACGGTTAAGAATGAAATAAATTGGGAATACAAATAATGATGAATTTATTTAAGCCATAGTTCACTGACAACTCTCGATTTTCAAACAAATTTATTTGTTTTATATTTTATTTATTTTTTCTTTTCTTCGAATAAATATTATTCTCCTTTTTCCTCTGATCGTTTAGGCAAAAAACGTAATTGAAAATATTCCCAGCTATATAAAAAAAAAGGATGAATATTTTTTAATAAATCTGCGTGTCAAGCCTAATTCTAAGAACACATCCATATGTAATTATTACACACTATATTGTTGATAGAAAAATGCACACCCATAATATAAACCGTGATAACTACTGCAGCAGTTGTATCATTACATATATATCACTATGTTTTACATCGTTTTATTTTTTATCTTTCCCATTCCAGATTTTAACTCAGACAAAGAAGTGCTGAACATTAACATACAAGAGCAACCAATAAACAACCAATCCAATGTTGCCATCATAGAATATTTTTCAGACATTCGTAAGTATAATTAGTAAGAGCATTATAGAATTTTTTTTTAAATTATGTACTTGTTCAGGTTATGTAGTTTTATTTTATATCATTTTTTATTTTATTTTATTTATTCTTTTTCATTCTCTCCTTTTGTGTAACATATTTTTAGTGCACGTGAAAAAAAGAGACATATCTATCGTTTCCGGATTAAAATCAAGGGACAAAGTAAAATTTAAATAATATGAACTTGTCTGGAGTAAAATATGTTGCCTTTTATGACTATTATTAAATTCATGTAACATAACAACATTTTTTAATTTATAGGTTTTAATGGTTTCAAATATATCCTTGGATGATTTAAATAGCAATATTATTGAAAATGTCGAATAATATTTTAAGCCATTTTTTTTTTTTTTTACAACTATAGAACAAATTGTGCACAAAAATGAAACGTCATAATCGACTCATTTTTTATTGCTTCATATTTTCTTTTTTTTTTGTGCCTATATAATATGGCTCGTTTAAGCAGTTTTTATTTTGTATATAAACAATTAAATATATGTCCATAATGGGTTGTTACAAAATTGTAATATATATGTAGATACATGTACGGCAAATACATTTGCACATATAGTTGCCAAGTAATTTCCAAATGTAAAAATTATGCATATTAAAAGATTACATAACAAAATTAACCAAATAAAAAATTAGGTCTTTCTTTGTGTGTATAGAAACCATTTAAAATGAACTGCTTACATTATATGTAAAACGAATTGCCGTCGACGTGTATAAGAAAATATAGAGTATAAGACCAGAAACAATGGATTTTCTTTAAACAATAAATTATCCTACATGGATATATACTTTAGATATATACATAATGACAACATCAAGCAAATGTCATAACTTTGTCTTCATAAAAAAAAGCATATTTTTAAATATATATATAACTGTGTTTTTTTTTTTTTTTTTTTTTTTTTTCAAAAACAATTCTATAACTCTAAAAAAAACATTAAAAAGGAAAAAAAATAAAGTAAAATAATACATACTAATGAGATCTATAAAAAAAAAAAAAAAAACTAAGAATGGAAGGAGAAGGAAGAGAATGCTGTAAATAAACACAGTAAAATATCTTATGCATTTAGATTTAAAAAAAATATATATTATTAACATAATTATATTATGTAATCTTGATAAAGTTATCCCTATTTTATACAAGACCACTACACAAATTTCACTTTTGATTAATTCTACATTTTTTGTTATTTTTCCTGCTCGTTGGAATTATTTTATTATGTTTTTGCATGACTATGCTTATTAAGTAGTACATTCCTTATCACAAAAAGGTTAAAATTCGTAAATGTAAAACTACATGCATGTGCACAAGCATCATCCTTGCAAGTATACGTGTATAAATATTATATATGCAAAGACACATATGAAAAAGTACATGGTCATACACAATATCATATTTACACACAAGGAAAAAGATTAACTATTAATCCAACTAGATTTGACCTATTTATTCGTGATTCTTTTTTTGGCATTGGACATAATGGATTCTTGGCTTCTAAATAGTTCATCCTTTTCACCAACTTTCTTTTTTCCATCATCAGAACCATTGCTTTTATCCGTAATTTCCTGATATTTAATCATAATTTTAAATTCTCTTTTGCATAATGAACATCCTACAATTGCCAATATACATGCTGGTACAAGATATAGCAAAGCTGGTTGTGCACGCTCAAAATAAAAAAGCATGCAGTAAGTTACTAATAACCCTATTTGATAAAAAATCGAAATGGTATAAAAATAATATTTCTTGAATGACTCATGTATTGATATGTCATTAAACATTTTTTTAAAATTTCCCTTGTGTATTTTATTTCTGTGTAAATAATAGTCAAAACGTAAGCATAGTGATATTACAATCCCAGGTATAATTATGTCACCTAATCCTAGCATACTATAATGTAATGGGTCCTTTGAAACTGGAAATAGCAATTTTACCGGTGCTTCAAATGACTACAGGAGACAAAAAAAGAAAAACATATGACAGATATATAGGGACATGATATGAAAAGTAGACAATTTGGATCAAGTCTGCTACACGTTATGCTATACATATATGGACACAAAATCTAAAAAAATAAAAATAAATAAGATACTATAAATGGTATATTTCTTTTCATCCTTACCTTTGCAACAGTTACCATAACGTCATTACCAAATACCCAGAAAATGTCATACACAAAGAGACCGGACTGTTAGCACATACATGCAAGGCAGGGATAAAGTAAAATATATATATGTACATAAAGGTGATGGCGGGGGATAATTCGATGTATATATATATGTACATATTAATGTGAGCAAAAACTGCACATATTGCTGCTACCACGGTTCACGTGATAACGGCATGGGGAAATTGTAAGAAGCAAAATTTGCTTTCCCTTATTCAGACATACAAGTAATATGAATCCTATTAAAAAATTGCTTAGAATAACTAAGGATATGGCCTTAAAATAGGAAGAGGAAAATATATAAAATGAAATAAAATTAAAATATTCGTATTCATTTGCTCATGTATACAACTATAAATCTTTTACAACTTGTATCGTTTTTTTTTTTTTTTTTTTTTTTTTTTTTTCCACAAAATTTTATACTTGAAAACAAAAGGACACAGCCAACACATTATGGGTGATAAAATCCTTATAATAAATCCATCGTGCACCAATAATGAAGCAAAACAAGAAACTTATTATTTCTCCTTTGTTTGTATTGAAAACAACGGGATCTACAAAAAGGGGAAAAAATGGTTAATATAATTTTGCACACTCTTTATTTTTTCTAAATGGAAAAAATTGGCCTGCATTAATAGTGTTTTTTTTTTTTTTTTTTTTTTTTTTTTTTCAAATAATACCCTTCGAAATGAACCCTGGTAATTTTAAGCTTTTAACATATTCATCTTTTTTAAAAAATTTTGGTAAAGCAGGTTCCTAGGAAAGGGAAAGGGGACAATCTCATGAGAATGTTTTACTAATGCAAAGACATGTGATATATATGTAAATATGATCTTTATATATATATGTATATTTCGTGTGTTATATTTTCCTATAAATTAACACTTTTTTTACATAGGTAAAACTGTTGTTCTCAATTTTTATATGTTCTTCATAGTACTATGTATAATGTAATTCACTTTTACCCAAAAAAATTTAAACACAGAAAAAATTTGATGGGATTGTTTTTCTCATTTACTTTGTCATGTTTTTTTAAACCATTTGCTATAATTTATTAAAAATTTTTATTTTTTTTTTTTTACACCGCATATATTCACAAACACTCTTTGAACATTTTATAACCATTCATATTGGGAAGTGGTATATATATTTCTCGCGAAAACAAACTAATTCTCATGTCTATATAATATTTACGTATGTATATATGTAACGTACCAAAATGTTTGCAACAACACCTTGTAGTGAGAAAACTCCGGCTAGAGTTAAGTAGACGGTTAGAAGCATATTGACATAATAAGGGTCTAAAAACTTATAAGCAAAATATCTGAAGGGGAGGACAAGTAAGGAAGTAATATATACATTTTCATATGACCTAATTTTTTTTCATTCGTAATATGTTTGAGAATGTTTCACTTCACTTGGAACTATTAAAAATGATGCGTTAGGAACCAAATAATGAACTCTATCATTTCATATTCATTACAGAGTTAGTAAGGCTCCAGAACCAATTATGGGGAACATAATCGCATCATATGCTGTAATATTATCGGCCTTCTTAACTCGATCATCAACCTATAGAAGTAAGAAAACAAAAAAAAATTCGTATATTATTTTGTGATGAAGACGATTAATGGCGACCTTCTCCAATTTACATAATTATCCTAGTGATATGTTTTTTTTTCTTTTCTTCATAAGGTTATCTACTTATTCGATAAATTCTGTACCTCTAATTGCTTCAGACTATCATGGCTCCCGATATAAATAGTTATAAATGTGTACAAAAACATTTGAGCTATTAATGGGATCACAAAAAACTTGGACAGCACGATGGTTAGGACTAATGAGTAGGTTGGTATGTAGGTGTGGGGAAAAAAAAAAAAAAGTGCAGAATGTGAAATTCATTAATATATTTTTTGAAACAACCAAAAAAAAAAAAAAAAAAAAAAAAACTCAAATATGGATGCAAATTTATATCTGTATATGCAAAACCGGTTGTCCTATCTTTAAGTTTTAAATCAGTATGTTCACATGCAAATATTTGACATGCATCATTACATACAAACTCTACAACTTCAAACATAGAAATAGGCAATAAAAAATAAGGAAAAAAATATATGTTGGCCTTTCTAAAATAACTATTTTCCACTTACGCATTATCACATAACTCCCATAATAAAATATGGAACATCCTAGATTATCGTTCTTCATTTTTTTGTTCTTGCTAATTAACTTTAGTAAATTCATGTAGCACAACAGAAATTTATATTTTCACGAAAAAAAAAAAAAAAAAATACACTATTTTAATGTATTCTTAAAATTTTTATAAATGTTATGAAAAAATATTTTTTCCTTTATACTTTTTCGTTCTTTCGTTATTTCTTTTTTTTGTTTTTCGTTATTTCGTTATTTCGTTATTTCGTTATTTCGCTTTTTTTTTGCTCTTTTTTGCGTCACTTCCCCTATTTTTTTTTTTTCTTGTTTCCTAACGTGTACAGTACTATCAATGTAACTTTTATAAATTTTGCAAATATTCATCAGTCTGTTAAGTAGCCGCAAACAATTTTTTCATTCAAAAATTGATTTCAATATAAATTTGCTTAGAGGCATACAAAAATGTGTGTTTAATAACACATGTTTATTTTTTCCCATAAACTAATATTTTGTATGGTACACATGCTTGCAAGAACATTCAGTATATTTTTACATAATTAAATATTTTTAAATTCAAATATCCACTTACTATTTTTTTGTACATAATAAAAAAACAACCATATTTTGAATACAATTCCTTAAATATTCATATATAGTATATATTATGTGCAAATTTTATCTGTTTGCTCTTATATTTCATTTGTAATATTTAAAGTGTAATTGAACTAATTTGATGTAATTTTTAGAACAATGTGTTTTTTTTTTTTTCTTTTCTTTTTTTTTTTTTTTTTTTTTCCGCTTTTTGTTGCTTCCATTTTGGTTGTATCTTTTTTATTTTTTTATTTTATTTTTTACAAACTTGTCAAAACAGCCTCATTGAATAACTTTTAAAATGGTATTTTAGAAAATTACCTAGGGGAGGGAAAATGAAAAAAAAAAAAAAAAAAAGATATATATGTATATATATAATGTGCACGTGCACATGGTGTTCAAATCCATGTACACATACACATATAAAATGAAAAAGAATTGAACACATAAACACTAATACACATGATATCAGATTTGAGTTAAATACACTAATGCTTGTTTCAAAAATTCCGCAAATATTGCTAATTCAAATGGTTTATTGTCCTACGCGGGAGTGTGAACTTTATAGACATGCTTTTTTTTTGGTTTTTTTCTCAGGTTTTTCTTTTTTTCTTCGATTTATTGCGCTTTTGACATTTTTGATTTTTGTTATTCTACTGAATGTTACCCTTTTTTTCCTTGCATTCGGGTATTTTTTATTTTTTACGAGGTCTCAGCACCTTCACTCTGAAAAATATTTTAATAATGCAAAAAAGAAAAAAGGGGAAAAAAAATACCATTTCTGTATTTGTCTTTTTAAAAAACATTTTGTGAGTTAAAGAAAAAAAAAAAAAGAAAAAAAAAAAGGGAAAAACATACTTGAAATATTCTTACTGAGGAAGAATATCCATCACTGTAATTTCCTTTGATGAATATAAATCATTATTATTCTGTTCTAATTAAAATATTTGCTTTTATTTCATTCTAATTAGTTACTGTTACTTGTAACCTGACAGCGTCCATGTTTTACGCAAAATATTTTGACGTGCCCTCCGTTGTTTTTGTGGTCGTCCTTTCTGTGACCTCTCCAATATTTGTTTTTTTGTTTATAATTAAAAAGACAACTTAGTCATGAATTTATCTTCAGCATATATCTAATTAACCAATGAGGACTTCTTAACACTTTAAAAAGAAAAATTCAAAATAAAGTTAAAAATTTTTAAGTGTATTCATTTAACAAGTTAACTCCATTTTATATCTCTTTTTTTTTTTTTTTTTTTTTTATTTTTAAGTGTGCATATGTGTATACCTACTCAGGCACATATGTATTCACTTATGCACATGTTTACACATGAACATATATACGGAATGAAAATTCTCCTATCTTGTTTTGTCAACATATGAATTAAAACCATTTAATTTAATAATTATTGTAAAAAAATAATCACTACATTATTGTATATATATATAAAAAAAAAATCCATGGAAGTACCACATTTCTACAAACGTAGCCATGGCGAAAATTTTCGAATGAACATAAGCCCCTATGTTAATTCACTGCATAAGGAAAGTATAAAATATGACGAGACATTAGGTAAAGCTGCCTGTGAGAATGCAAATGAAGGAGGAGCTTTTTTCCAAAATACAAAACTGATTGGAAAACGTTCAATAAATGAAAATTTAGAAAAAACCTACGCTTCGTCTCTAGAAGAGAAACAAAAGAAGAACCCAAGTGTAAAAATTATAAATAATGAACAGGACTGGGGAAGACAGAATAATCAAAGTGATAATAACCTGAACAGTGCGCATTATAATCGCTATTACAAAAATCTAGGAACAATTCATCAAATACAGGTACCAGAGAATAATAAAAACATACATAATAATCTTATATATTCGAGTCAGGACATTTATTCTGACAATAATTATGATGCAAAATTAGTGCAAAAGGAACAACCAAAAGGAATCAGAAATATGCCAACGGGTACAAAGCACAAATCTGAGATAATTTCCACAACAAAGTCGATACAACAAGTTAATAGAAAACATTTAATTGATAATTGTTCATATGATGGGCATTCTGATTGTGAAAAAACTACAACATACAATTCGGAGCAGAATTTACTAGAGGCTTCTCAAATAAATTCACATTTAAAGTCAGAGCAAAATGTTTTAAACACATTTCGGAATAATATATATGTGGATTCGGAGCAGACGTTATTTCTTGAGAATACTGATAATGACACACATAGTAGTAAAGAAGTGTTAAATAATATAAGCAGTTTAAATTGTTCCCATCAAGTGTATTCTCACAAGGGAGAACCATATGAATTTACAAATAATAACACACAAATTTTGTTCGATAAGGAGAATGGAAATAATCAAGTGGAAAATCAAAAACAGAAGGAGCAAAAAATATTAGCACATCTACCTAGTGAAAAAAGTGTATACCTAACGAATGAAGCACATATTAACTATGCATATAAAGGGAAAGATGTAAATATATGGGACCACAAAATTCCAGACGAAGAGCACAAAAATGGTAAGAATAGTAGTTATAAATATGAATCTAAGGGGAATGATGAAATGTATGATTCTTTAAATGGACATCAAAATAACCATTTTAACATGGCAAATGTCAATGCACAAATAGATATGGACAGTCATGAATCGTTTAATAAAAATTTGTCTCATAACCCAAGGGATGATCTGTTATATATAAATCATACATTTAGAGAGAATGAAAAATTTAATAAATATTTAAATCATAGTATGAATAATTATGTTTTTTCAAAAGGAAATGTAAACAATGATGAAACTGTTAAAAAATTATCTATCCCAAGAAAAAGAATGACACACAATTCAACTGGACAAAAATCTGTATCTGTGAAAGATGGATTTATGAGAGTTAATACATACAGCAAGAATAATGATTTTAAAAAAATTAAAATGTATCAGTCAAACGGCTTCCCAGGTATGCATTCCAGCATATGTTCACTGTCAACATCGAATTTATACCATAACCCTGATGATATCATAACTGGGAAGTTGTATTACCCTCCAAATCACAGTGATAATGCAAATGATCACACATTCAAGCGAATTAACGGCTCCGCTATGAAAAATGGCAATATGTGCAATGTTGATACACCCTCTTTCAAAAATGATGTATTTCGTGAAATGGGCTATGAAACACCGGGTACCCTAATTGACCAACTCACTATACCCAAGGAAATAAAGTGTAATGGAGAAGACAAATTGAATAATAATTTAAACAATCCAAGTCAAAAAATTAACCACATAATTAGAAATTTTGATGAAAGTCATAAATATACATGTGCGAAGAATTATCTTAATAGGTTTGTAGAAAACCACTACAATTTAGACGAAATAAAAAATTGTATTCCTGAAAGGGTTTTATATACAAATCATAAGTTCGATGTGCCCCAAATTATTCAAGGAATTACGACGAAACATAATAATGGCTTTGTATCCGAATGCAATCAAGACACTGTTATCGAATACAATAATAAATGGATATTGGTTAAGGGAAAACAATTTGGAATAAATCAAAAAGAAAATTTTAAGTCAGTTGAAGATTCAGCAAAATATTTTCAAAACTATTTAGATGAGCAGAATAATAATACAAAAAGAATACTTTCAAATAGCACCTTTAATTCATTGACTGGAAAATTGAACATAAATTCTTCATGTAATGATGAAAATTTAAGGGACCTTAGCAAAGTTTATGATTATAAAGACACGTTACGTTCCTACCCAGCCTATTATGGAATATCTCAACATATGAAAATTAGTGCAAATAAAAACAATAGGGATAACGAAATGGGAAAAGAAAAATTAGAAAATATGGAAGAAACTCCCACAATAAAATCTGAAAAAGATTACTATTATGATTGCAAAAATGGAAATAAGCAAACTCCGAAGAAAAAATCTATTGTAAAAAAGCAAAAACTTGCCTTATGTGGTGATTTTCAGTTAAAAAACCGAATTAAAGATTTCGTATCAGAAAAAATGAAAGATTGTTTTAGCATAAATTTTCTGTAATGCGGGCACATGTCACATTAGCGCTTATGGGAATGCTACTTTTTTTTGTTCTTCTTTTGATTGCTTCTTTTTTTTTATTATTGTTTTGATTGCTTCTTTTTTTTTTATTATTGTTTTGATTGCTTTTTTTTTTTTTGCTTCTTTTTTTTTATTATTGTTTTGATTGCTTCTTTTTTTTTTATTATTGTTTTGATTGCTTCTTTTTTTTTTTTTTTTTTTTTTTTTTTTTTTTTTTTTTTTTTTTTTTTTTTTTTTTTTTTTTTTTTTTTTTTTTTTTTTTTTTTTTTTTTTTTTTTTTTTTTTTTTTTTTTTTTTTTTTTTTTTTTTTTTTTTTTTTTTTTTTTTTTTTTTTTTTTTTTTTTTTTTGTTTGTTTCTTTTTTTTTTTTTTGTTATTGTTTTGTTTTTTTCTTTTTTTTTGTTATTTTTTTTTTTTTTTTTTTTTTTTTTTTTTTTTTTTTTTTTTTTTTTTTTTTTTTTTTTTTTGTTTGTTTTTTTTTTTTTGTTATTATTTTGATTTCTTTTTTTTTGTTACTGTTTTGATTGCTTCTTTTTTTTTTGTTATTATTTTGATTACTTCTTTTTTTTTGTTACTGCTTTGATTGCTTCTTTTTTTTAAATGTTTTTTTCGCACACATATCTAGATTATGTACGAATGCCCGAGACATTCGCATAAGTACACGTGTGACCGTTTTTCAAATTGTGAGATTTTAATATTACTGAGTTTTTGTTTTTGCAGCGCCTTTTCATTTTATGTAGTTGTCTTTCTCATGTCTCATTCGTTATTTAAGCGTGGCTAGTTGAATAGGGTTTTCTTTGTATCTGTGCAAACATGGGCATATAAATATATATATACATACACATGTGATAGATAAATGCAAATGTGTGCATGTTTCCTATTTTTCTTCCCTTTTTGGGAATTAAAATTAAAATAAAATGTTACACCCGTTCAACGTTTCGTTATAAAAGTCAGACTTTCAATTGCTTAATTGTGTTAAGACTATTTATATGGAGATATCTTCCTCTATATGTGTTGCATTTTCTTTTTTTTTTTTTCTTTCCTAACTTGTTTAGTACATAAACAAAAAATATATGAGTTCCCACATATATATAAACGTAAACAACACAATAACTAATTTTAGTAAACTTCTCATACATACTCACTTAAAATAATCAGAAAATTTCATGCATTTGTGAAAAAAAAAAAAAAAAAAAAATGCTTTTCAACAGGTCTATAATAAATAGGTAGAGATATAGGTAGAAAAATTAGATAACAAATTATTGCACACAAGGGAATGAATAAGTTTTTCATTTTGCATATCCATTTATTCCATTCATTAGTCATCTTCTTTTAACTTAGGATGCATGTTTCTCAATGAGCTGCTTCAACGCTGTGTCATTAGCTCCTAATAATGTATCCACAGCATTTCCATTTTTGTAAACCTTAAAGGTTGGCATGGATGTTATATTTTCCTTCTCCGTAACCTCGGACACTTCATCAACATCAACTTTTATGAAAACCATCTTGGTATATTTCTTTGAGCACTCTTCATAAAATGGTGCTATTCTTTTACAGGGCCCACACCATTCGGCAAAAAAGTCTACGATGACTAATTCATTCTGGGAAATGATTGCTTCGAAATCTGTGAGTTTAATGTGCAACAAAATGCAGAGCAGGGAGGAAAAAAGAATATGAGTACATATTAAGTATTCATACATGTATAATTATGTCTGTTTATTTGTTAATACGTTTTTATCCATACGACCATGTTTATACGCCTCCACATATGCGGATCATACCCAATAAAAGGTATAGCTGCGCGAACAAATTTCTCACCTGCTTGACTCCCAACAATTTTAACCATTTTCACGTTTCGAAAAAAAAAAAAAAAATTTCAAGTTGGAGGGACGTGTGTACACTTATGTTACCAGATAATGTCACAAAATTGTCGTAAAAAGCTATTCTGGAAAATGTTATAATAATAAACAGATTCTTATGTACAAGTTTTATAATGGGAAATATACATACTTACATGCTTATGGTACAGTGTTAATGTTTGAGATTTATTTTCATGGAAATTTTACGTTTTTAATTTTTTGTGAGTAAAGAGAAAATAGAAATGTATAAATATTTATGCACTTATATATATGCATATTAATATGCACATCCTTTTGTATTTATGCTTCTTCGTGCACAAAAGATAAATAAATTTCCTAGAGAAAATAAGGGTGGGAGACCAAAGGGTACTTTTTTTTTTTTTTTTTTTTAAATGGGGTATAAAAGCTTCTTTATTCGCTACCTCTCCATTTATGCTAGCTTGCATGCATCACCTTTTTTCATTCCATAAATTTAATTTTACGATTAAGATCAGTAAAAGAGAAGTGCGTCATTTGTTCAATGCTCGAAGTATAGTCTCAAAAAGTAACTTAAAAAATTGAATTAGAAACCTTTTACTGTGTAACATATACCCAGAAAATTCTGCGCTTAAAAACAAAAAAAAAAAAAAAAAATTCCAAGGCAGGAAAAGCATCCCTGTGACTTGAATCTTATGTGTACCACAAAGTTTGCATATGTTATATGAACACAAAAAGCACATTAAAGTGCGCATGGCTTAACATGAAACAAAGATTGGGACAGATATTACGTAAACTATAAACATACACACACTACGTATGATTGCATGCTCACTTACATTTCGAACTTCCATGAAGGAATATGGTCAAGTGAATAAGCACACAAGCACACTTATGTGCACAAAAAAGGGAATTCATTTTATGACGAGAGTACGGTTAAAGGCATAGACAGCTCTCGAAAAGCAAGTGTTTAAATGATAGATAGTCACTGTATATAAAGTGATAAAAGTAAATAAAAAAGAGGTACATAAAATAAGGTTATTTTCTAAATTATTTTTTTATATTTTTTATATTTTTTATATTTTTTTCCCACAATTTACCTTAAAAGGTTCCCATGACACTAGGATGAAAGTGTACCAGCATACCCATGAATCCCTATCAAGTGTAAAGATTTTTGAATGGTAATAGCAATATTATTCAATATGAATATAACACAAATGTGGAAGTGTATAATAACCCCCCATCCTCCTTTTTGTCAATCCCGCAATTTACCATTTTCAACTTAGCTTAATATGTTTTAAACTCTATATTTTTTTTTTTTTTTTTTTCAACGTCCGATTAAGCAGTATATAATTCAATAAAATGAATTCATAATGTATTTATCTTTTTTGTTTTATTTTTTTTACACAATTTTGAACGGACATTTATGTATTACAAAAAAGGTATGATGTGCATTTTGGGAAAGAAGAACACGAACAGAGTTTTGGTGTATCACTGTTCTACTAATATTGTTGGATATGCCTAAGATTGATATGCCAATGTGAGGCCCAATAATGTTTTGCAATCCGCTTCTCGCATAGACACATTCCTGTTCTACACAAATGTGCATACTCACAATCCCTCGCATAACACTGTATTATTTTCAAAAATGGACCTAAGGGTGTGGATATAATTTAACAAAAGCATAATTACCTTTATGTTAATTCATTTTTACAATTCCATTTTGTTCTCAGTTTTCTCTGTTTTGAAAAAATAAAATAAAATGAATTCGTTATAAATGTTTATTTAAATATAAAGTAAGTTCTCTATGGTTTTTTTTTTTTTATTTTTTGGCCATTTTATTTTTATTTTTTTATTTTTTTTGTCAAAATGCCAAGAGAAATAATATAACGATTGGAATAAGTTTAATTAAAAATGTCTAAGATTTCAAGGAGGGTGGAGAAAAAAAACTGCATTTCATAAGTTGTCCGTTTAAAGGCGATTCCTTATGGACTGTTCTTTAATGAAATGTGCTAATGGTGTATTCGATAATCATCACCCCACCCCAATTTATGCACAAGCATTTTGTCAACCTATACAAACCTTATATGTTGTGTGGGGGAATGATCTATATATATATATATATATATATATATATATATACATGCGCGGGCATAAATATACACATATACAGGAGTGGCATATACACACACATGATGCAAATTATACACGTGGAGAAAATGCTCGCTCACATGCCCAGTAAAATTTATACCATAATACACACACCCATTATTCAAATATAATATTCGAACTTACGCATCACGGTAAAAAAAAAAAAAAAAAAATAAAATAAAATTAAGAAAGAAAGAAATAACAAAATAAAGAAGTAACGAAATGACGAAATGACGAAATGACGAAATGACGAAATGACGAAATGACGAAATGACGAAATGACGAAATGACGAAATAACGAAATAACGAAATAAAGGAAAAGTTCATATATTAACATGATCACATGTATAAGTTAGCATATAAACCGTGATAATTTTTTAGTACAGTATTTGAACAAGTCGATTGCAAGTAGTAGCAAACTATTAGCATGCATGTATTTATATGGATTAAAATATGCACATGTCCCTCACAAATGATGTGTATAGGAGGGGTATACGAATAAATATGCAGACACACATATATACATATAAATATAAGGATTAATATTTACACTCGTATACATTAAAATTAAGCTATAAGCCCTTTTGCATAAATGCGTGTGCAATGAAGAGAAAATATATATATATATATGTGTGTAAACCAACTTTGCCCTTTGGCCCCTTTGACTCGATAAAGTGTTCACATATTTTCACCACTTTCACGTGGGAAAATTGCTAAATTGGCAAATACGCACACGGGCGGGTGAAACATACCTCCTGACGTGCAAAAATAATTGGTCTCTTACTTTCACACATAGCTCACAGGGAGACCTCCTCCCCCTTAAGGGAATTTATCTATTTAGCACGTCGTACATAAAACTAAGTTACACACTAAATTGTTCAATTTCCTTAGAGACAGCATCAAATGTATTTTTCCCTATGTATTTCTTTTGGAGCAGGTAATTCAAGATTTTAATGAACTCTTCAGGGTACTTTGGTATATCCAACATAATGTCCTTCAGGGAGTTCATAACTTCCATAACCCCTCCTTCAATATTTTTTTCAGTGATAAAATTTTTGCTTAATAAGTAATCGACAAGTTTGAAAGATAAATTCAGGTCATTGTTAATATCCACATTAAGCACAAACATTTTTTTAACAACATAATTACAAAGATCATGATATAAAGGTAGAAATTCATCAACGTGGAGATAAAATTCCTGTTCATCTATGTATGAATAAAAGTATTCTAATAGTGTATTATTAATTTTCCTTTTTAATTTCATTTTTTCATATGTATCATCTTCATCCCAAATGTAATTAATGTTATTTATATTTAATTTTTTCTTATTATGGATCCTTTGTTGTGTTTTGTTGCAAATCATCATACCAGTCATACCACCAATGTGTAATTTGTATATATCACTCAAAAAGGCAGGATATAACACATCGTCATATATACATCTTAATAAAAATTTACAAATCATTTCTTTTGCTTGAGGAAAATCAATTTCGTAATCATCAATATAACCTATAATTCTTATGAAGGCTATAATAATATCATTCTTGAAATAATAAGTTTCGCACAAATTATCCAATAAATATGATATATACTTTCGACAAATATTATTTTTGCTGAATGATTCTATTATACTTATTCTAATAAATTCATAATGAAATAAGCTATTTGTATTGCTCAAAAATTCGACTACTTCATTCGTGTCTCCATCATTGAAAAAGTCTACTAAAAAATCCCGTGATTTTTGTTTAAATTCTTTTTTTTCTTTCTGTATTTGCTTTATATTAAGATCCAGTACCCACAACATGGTGTCTTTCCACATCTCATCTTTCACTTTTTTTTTCTCCTCTACATTTTCCAGATTTTGTGCATACATGTCGTACTTCTCAAGCAAATTCGTGTTGGAAGAATCTTCGTTTGTAGATGAGCCCCCATTTGTGTGTTCTTCTGCGTTAGTAAGTAATTGTCTATTTGAGGTGTTCAGCTTATCTTCCATTTTATTCTCTTGATTATTCTCCGTAAGGTATGAATCCTCATCTGCAACTTGGTCATTTTCCTGTGAATTCAATAAGCCCAATTCATTTTCATCCCAGCTGTCTATATCCAAAGCATCGAAAAAACCAGTGGGTAATTTCAAAATATAATTTTTATCTATCACATTGTCCAGTGTACTAAATCTAACATACATTAAAAAAATTTCATAACATGTTGGACAATCCAACTTAATGTCATCTAAACTTAATAGAACTTTCTCAAAAGCTCTCTGTACTTGTTCAGGGATAATCAATTTCGTGATATTTAGAACGTTTAACAAACAGGACACATTAATTTGACACTCATCATCTTTGTCAAAAGATTTCTTTATTAATTGCAAAATTAAAAAATCGTTATATTTCTTAACATTTAACTCTTTTAGACCTTCAATAAATTCTTGAAAATTGTAGCTTACAAAAAAGTTGTTAATTAGTGTATCGCTATTCTTTTCAAAATCTTCAAAAGACAAAATATTCATATCTTCAAACATTTTATTTTTCATCTCGGATACTTTTTGAGAATATTCGATTTCTTCAGCATTGACCACTGTGTAGAAGCAATTCTCGTCTTCTATTTCGCTATCGTATATCGGATCATTCATGTCTACGTACTTTTTAGTGAGGAACATTTGATCCTTCAGCAAATTCAACTTTTTACTTTTCCGTTTGTTTGTCGACATTTTTATATATTTCTTATTCTTTACTATAGTGTTGTTCTATTCAATGAATTTTTCTATCCTTTGATTAGCTTTTTTGAGGTATGTGTAACTATTTTTGATTCTTTTACGGTTCGAGCAAAAAAAAAATATCGGAAAAATGTGGATAAAAACAGGCTACACACAAATGTAGAATAAACTGAACAGAAACTTTCTTGGAATATTTTCTTTTATATCAAGTAAATAAATTCGTTTATGCACATTCACGTTTGTGTAAATATTAACCTGTATTTATATGTATGTCAGTAGTGTGTATATGCAGAATATTTGTGTGTATTGAGGGGGAATAAAATTAAAATGTGCACAAAATAAAAATTAACTAAAAAGGTTTTGTTCACGTACTAATGAGAAAAAGTATAAAATTTTTTGCAAAATTTTAAAGAAAAACCAAAAAAAAAAAAAAAAAAAAAAAAGCATTTCCAACGTTTTCCAAAGTTGCAATGTAGTGAATTTCCTTTTTTTTTTTTTTTTTTTTTTTTTTTTTTCCTACATAGCAGTAAAAGCGTTGTTTAATTATTTCAATTTTAATTTTAACTAAATTTTAACTGAAATTTTTTTTTTTTTTTTTTTTTAAATTCTATTAAATGCTTTTGTGTACTTGTACATCTTCTGCATATATGCACGCAATTGGGTTAACGAGTATGGTGCAAATATACCAAGCATATACATGTAAAACGGAAAATGTTATATGTATATACATATACAAATGATAATTTGATATAATTCTTTCAATCAAAGCTTGACACATACACATACATGTAGGTATATATGTATATATATGTGCTCACTTGCACATACATGTAGATATGTATATATGTTTGTTCACTTTCACATACATGTAGATATGTATATATGTTTGTTCACTTTCACATACATGTAGATATGTATATATGTTTGTTCACTTTCACATACATGTAGATATGTATATATGTTTGTTCACTTTCACATACATGTAGATATGTATATATGTTTGTTCACTTTCACATACATGTAGATATGTATATATGTTTTTTCAATTGCACGTACATATAGGTATATGAACTCATTCATACATATATATACACACCTACATGTAAATTCTTTTGTCGCTTTAAACTTCAATTTAGGAAAAATTTTTTTTTTTTTTTTTTTTTTGTTTTTTTTGAAAACATAAAGAGCCACAAGTTCTTTTTAGTGCCATTGAAATTTTCTGACATTACAACTAACTTGCTTTTTTGGAAACTCATGAAAATAATTACGGTAAAAGGGGGAACGCTATTAGAAACTGTATGAAAGATGTTACATCACATCTTTATGCTTATCAACTATCTATCTCTTCCTATCTTTTTTTTTTTTATTTTTTGTTCTCTTTATTAAAATAAAATGCAGAGAAATATGTGATAATTTAAGAATTTAAATTTATCATAAGTAATCCTACTCTATATACACTTCGGGTTAGGTGGGGAATGATTTAATAGGGGTGAAATATCGCAAGAGTATTTTTGTAATGCTTTGGAATAATATGTAAAAGTAAAAATTGTTTCGATTATTTAAAAGTATTTAGTACATTGGATATTTGTTAATGAAATTTAAAATACAAAAATTTGGTTATAAAAATTCGGGAACAAAAATTTAGTGGAAAAAGTATTTTTTTTTTTTTTTTAAATCTTTTTATAATTCATCCAAAGTGTATTAAGCATAATATATACTTCTTTCCTACTAAAATATGTTATATGCGATGGCTCCGTTTTGTTGGTTTTAAATGGGTGATATGATACATGTCGTAAGCTCTTCAAGCAGATCGTACGTATATATATGTGCATAAGTATATATATACACCTTATTGCTGCTTTACACAATCTTTTCATTATACCATTTGCACCGTTTCTTACAGCATATAGTGTAGAGCGAAAAAAGCGAGTAATAAAGATATTACATCTTTAGTTACTGAGAGATAAAAAGGCGTAAGAAAGAAAAAAAATATATAGAATGAAGTAAAATAATAATAGTAATAATAATAATAGTAGTAGTAATAATAATAATAATAATAATAATAATAATAATAGTAGTAGTAATAATAATAATAGTAGTAGTAGTAGTAGTAGTAGTAGTAGTAGTAGTAGTAATAATAATAATAGTAAGAATAGCTGCAATAAAAATGATTGTAATGACTGTAGTAATAATGGTAATAATATAATTATGATTAAGATAACAAGAATAAAACTAATATTCATGCGCCACTGCCTTTGAATCTGAACACATTTTAAAGCGCGTAATATTTATGCGTGGTAGCATGCATACATACCCCCATATTAAGCATATCAAAAAATGGCTTATATTTATTTGTTCACATAATCATGAACCCCAGAACTATCTCTAACTATTCATGAGTGCTTAATCTCTTACGTTCTCTATGTGTAGCTATTTCCCATGGAGAGACAATGAAGAAAAAAATGCATTATCAATATCCAGATTAAGGCAAAGAGCCAAAAATAAAAAAAATTCTTAAAAAATGAAAAGGAAAAGGAGATCAACACCTATTTTGCTATAGTCTCATACACCCCCCTTCAGAACAAAAATGAATGCAAAGAAAAAAAAAAAAAAAAAAAAAAGAGAGAGAGAAAAAAAAAATGAAGTTATGATCACATATACATATAAATCATTGTGTATATTTTATGAGGAAATTCGAACACATTTTTTTTTTTATTTTTCCTATGTATTATAAAACATAATAAATGTTACCTTCCACACACACTGTAAGGGTCTCTTTTTTTTCTTTGTGTTTTTCTCCAAATTAAAGAAGCAAAAAAAAAAAAAAAAAAAAGGGAGAATAATTACAGAAAAAAGTATTATGTATCCAAACTCTGAGAAATTCTTGTTAGAACAAGCTGCTTCTATTTTAACAATTCCCCGAATACATTGACTGACACATGTGCACTTGAATTTGTTTGTTAGCACTAATACATATAGATAGGGAAGGTATAAACGAAAATGCTATGTTTAGATAAAGAAGATGAAATAAAAATTTGGAAAAAAACTTACGTGCCAAAAAATGAACACAAGGGAAATAATAGTCACATCGACGGAAAGTTCAAAGATGAAACAAAAGATTTATCTGATCACCAGAATGATCAAATTGGTAAAATTGGCAAAAATGTTCAAATTGACCAAACTGCCCAAAGAGGCCAAGATGATTCTCCTGTGGGAAGCAAAAATAAAAGTGATATCATCGATGAAAATTTCATTGATGAATCAATTTACATAAGTTCAAGCACATGTAATTCCTTTGTCTTTATAATAACAAAATTTTGTTTCTATTTGTTCGATAATTATGACTTTTCCTTCGTTAGCATATACGCTTTAAAGCATGAACATGTGCATAAATACGGGTATCACAACAAGGTGTTTTTATCACCGTTCGATAACACCATATATATAATAAGCTCAAATTTTAAATATGTATATGCTTATAATATAGATAATAAGAACAGCTTTGTTATGTTAGATTATGAAAAAAATGCACATTCGATAAACATCAACGAATATTCTGATGATGATTCTAGTGAAAATGAAAATGAATACTATGCATACATCACCTATATCAAGAAAATGTATAGAAAAAAAAAAATTCATAAATATGTGAGTATAAAGCTAATAACGGTTCTGCATATACCCATTCCTTCAAATTGTCTCGTTATAACGAAAAGTATTATTTTATTTTTTTCTCATAAAAATGATGAAATATTTATTTCTGATAATGCCAAAGCTGTTTTAGCTGCCTCTACACGTCAAGCAAGGGGGGACTCTCACAACAGAATTATCGAAAAAGAGAACAGAAATGTGGAAAATAATATGAATGCCAACAGAAATGGGAACAGGGATGGAAGAAATAATAATGTTAACAAACTTGTTATGAACACACACGTTGTAAGCCTTAAGAAAATTTATTTTAGGAAAGGAACAAGACATCGTACAAGTGCAGCCAAAACCTTGACAAGAAAAAAAAAAAAGGAAAAAAATATAACTTGTAGAAATGTACAAGTTCTCCCAGACACCAAGTACATTTTGAATCGACTCAAAAGAGCAAATAAAAAAAAAAAAATTCCCAAAAAAAAAAATTGCTATATTTATTATTCCCCAAAAAAAGGATGGAGAATTAGAATGCATGTGGGGAAGTTTACCCCCTGTCTGCATGTACGAGCGTGCTGCAACAAATTGAGACGTATTTTGCTCACATTGGGAAGGCACCAAAAGGGGACCCCAAAGAAAAGGAATACCACTAATAGTAACAGGAATAGTAACCGAAATGGTAACCGAAATGGTAACCGAAATGGTAACCGAAATGGTAACCGAAATGGTAACCGAAATGGTAACCGAAATGGTAACCGAAATGGTAACCGAAATGGTAACCGAAATGGTAACCGAAATGGTAACAGAAATGGTAACCGAAATGGTAACCGAAATGGTAACCGAAATGGTAACCGAAATGGTAACAGAAATGGTAACAGAAATGGTAACAGAAATAGTAATAGTGCTGCTTATAGCAGTAGTAATAGTAAATGTAACAACGATGACATTACCAAGCAAATGAAGATGAGCAAGGGTAGCTGCAAAATAATGTACCTGCACAGTGAAAACGGAGATAGCAACCTGTATAAGTTTATAAAAAATAAAAATCCAGATATCCGAAAGAATAGCAAATACAGGAAAAAAATTTCCATAAAAGGAATCGCAAAGGTAGAATTTAGCATGCACAATGATTATGTATTACTACTATGTCGTGAAGGAAACTTCTATATCTTTTCCTTTTACCACAAATTTTTTAACGTTCCTAAAAATGACTCTTGCTATTATTCGGGAAAAGATGTCCACGTGAGACACTTCAGTGGGGAGAAGGTGGAAGAGAAGAGAGGTCAAAATAGACAAAAAAAAAAAAAACAGAACGAACAGGTAGGAGAAGAAGTAGAAGAAGAAGTGGAAGAAGAAGTGGAAGAAGAAGTGGAAGAAGGCGAAGAAGGAGAAATGAAAAATGCCAGCAATAACTATTACAGTCGTGCTAATGGTGGATACGACCAAAATGATCAAAAAAATTATCACCGTCGCAAGAAGAAGATATGCAGTGATAGTAATTTAAAGTATAAGAAAAAGGAACCAATCATTGGTATATTTGTAGGTTCCTCCATATTAGACATAAGCATGAACATATATAGAAAAATTATTTTAGTGATAACCGAAGATTGTATCATAACAGCATATGCTACATATCCGTACATATGCAAACATACATTTAAAAAAAGTATATTCACAATAGATATGTTTAATGCATACAGCAATCCGCATAACTTCTACAATTTTGTACTATGGAATAAACAACAAAATTTTTTCCTCATATCTGTAAATAATAACAGTTATTATATTTTTAACACAAATGGAACTTTATATTATTCGATGAAGAATGGTTCTTATTCTTATCAGGAGTCGAAGGAACATGTATACGAACAAGAGAAGAATCATGAGGTCAGCTTACTTGAGTCAATTAATGATGAAAAAAATGTTATATCATCAGCAACTGATACAAGAATGGATGCAGAAAAACAATTGGGAGGTGACTCAAATTATTCCAGTGCACTATATGAAAACACCTTAACTTGGAATAGAAGAACAAAATATACATACATATTTAAGAAGAATAGGTTACATAATGGTGCAAGATGCAAAATGAAATACGCACATGTAAATGTAGCCTTTGTCTTTAACGATTTCAAACTGTTTTATGTTAAAATGGATGATAAAAAGTATTACTACATCAAAGTAAAAAATATTTTGTACCTAAATGACATATACAGCAATAATAAAATATTTCATTATAATAGTAATTATTACACAAATGATAAGTGCCAAAAAGTCTACATAGGTTTAAATAAGGCAGTTATGTTTGATACAAATATAAATAATTTTAATTTAAGTGATAATGAGAAGAATGTAGTAAATATAAATGAAATTATAACTCCTTTCAAATATCTAAAAAAGTCCTACTTAAACTTTAGTAATACATATATGTTAATTATTTTCAAATCAATATGTATTTATAGTTTTCAAAAAAAAACATTTTCTTATTTTGTTGATGATTATCTAAAATTTTTTTTTCATAACTATCCATCTGGATGGATTTTTGATGATGTTCTTTTCGTTTCCTGTTTACATAATAGATACGATGAAAACAATTTTAAACATTTCAAAAAGAAAAAAGATCAACCTCATAATAAGAATAGCATAATTTTCAGACGGACGATGACTAGGGAATCCAGCATCAACTTCGAGTTCTTCAACATGGATTATGGAAATTCGGAGGTTCGCACTCCTCCCTATGGGATACCTGAAGGTGGGCTTCATGAGGGAAAAATTGGAGAAGTGGGCAAATCGGATGAAGTGGACGAAGCAGATGAAGTGGATGAAGTGGACGAAGCAGATGAAGTGGATGAAGTGGACGAAGCAGATGAAGTGGACGAAGCAGATGAAGTAGACGAAGCAGATGAAGTAGACGAAGCGGACGTGAAGAGTCGGTTCAAAGAAGAATATATTCGACAACGCAAAAGATCAAGGCGAGTTAAAAAAACTTACGCAAAAACGGAAATAGCTCAATCGAACAAAGAACAATACATAGAGGAGGAGAAAATATTGAACTACCTCTTTAACTTTAACCACAGCGAATCCGATATGTATTACAAATATTTTGAAGAGTACTTTAATAACAACAAAGGGAACATATACAGAAAACCCTTTTCCACATTCTACAACAATTTCTTTCTGAAGGAAGAACCGAATGTGTTTTTAGACACTTATTTAATTGAAAGGTGCAAGGCGAAGGAGAGATCCATTTCCGTGAAGAACTCTCAAGTGGGAGAAGTTACCTTTGATAATTATGATGATAATTATGGCACTGATGAAAAAAAACAAAATGGAGAAACCATATATCCGAATGTGGATCATAAAAATGAGATACCATATAAACGCCCTGATTCTGAAGCACATTTTGATAGAAAAACGAAGTTTATACAAGACAACGGCGATTTGCAGTATAAAATGAATAACCATGAAGCATCGCGTAAAAGCATGCTTAACATAAAAAATGAACAAGATGTTCAGAAAGATAAAAATTGTTTGAATGATAGCAAACGAATCGACAATTACAATTTCTTATGCGAAAGTAGTACAACTCTAGAGAGTGATGTAAACATAAGTGAAAACGAAGAAAGAGAAGAAAAAAAAAAAAAAATTAAAAATAAAAACTTCTCCCATTATAATGATCCCATGTGCAATGATGTAAATTTTGCACAAATGAGGATAAGTCATGAAAAGAAAAATGAGTATCAGTATATAAACGAATTGACACACTGTTATGAAGAAATTTTGAACAAAAATAATTTTTACTATATCATATACTTTTATTACATAAATGATGTGCTACGTTTTAGTAATTATATTTTGTCCATTAAGATGTTGTATAGACCAATATTAACCCATGTTTACTATGACAAAAGTGACATAGAGGAAAAGAAAGAAGAAGAAGAAGAAGCAGAAATGGAAGAAAAAGGAGAGAAAAAAAGGTATTTCAATGAGTCCAACTTATCGTACATATCTAGTATGTCCCATACAACGAATAAGCATCATACATCTAGTGAAAGATTTTTAATAATACTTGATGCGTTTTATAATTTATTTTGCTTTAAGATTAGTAAAATAAAAGCTAATGATACAGAAAAATCAGAATATTTTTTAAAATCAGAAAATGTTTTCATTTTACCCCTGAATAAGGATAAAGCCTTTATTGAACCGATTTGCTTCTATGCATTGTTTGATATTTACAATTATGTATTTCTTAATTATGATAATTCTGTTTATTTTCTGCACATTTATCAGGACAATGATAATTGTTATGATTTTGAATTTACTCGTATTTTCAGCACTAATGTAGACTATTTAGAAGTTGTAAAAGGATATAAAAAATCCAGTTACTACTCCCTCCCAGCACCAATAAAATATTTGTGGCCAAAGCCTATGTATTACACCTATTTGTTTTACTATTATATGGTTTATGTAATGTATAGCATTAATTGGGTATGTGAGAAATCGAGTCGTGACAATTATTCCAATCCAATATTTTCAAGCGTTCACAGGGAGGAAGTAAATAAAGAGGAAGGGACAAATGGTGAGAAAAATCAACTGGAGAAAACGAAGGGAGAAAAAAAATTAAATGAACTGAAGGAGGTACAAAATAGGGATCTTATGCAAGTTAAAGAATTATTAAACAATGTAAAAACAGAATCTGGGAATAATGCGAAGCAATTTCATGAATTACCAAATTGCGAACCATTCGAATGTTCATTAGAATCATCCTCTTTTGATTTCTTCACTCCGAATCGATCGAAGGGTGTTACATTTAACAAGCAGTTCAACTGTTTTGAAAAAACTTTTAAGAACAAACTAAATAGACATTCTACCAATTATAGGAGTTTAATTCGATTAAAAAAGAAAATGAATAATGCAGACATGGAACGATGGGAGAAATCAAAAAATGAAGCACTTTTTTACATTAGTAATTTTAAGAACGTTTTAAAAAATAATTTTTTATATGATAAAATTATTATGAGGAGAAACAAAAGGAACAAAAATCATGCCTGCATGGATGTACACTTGTGCAAAAGGTGTAAGACGTGCAAGAGAGGCATGTTATGTCAGAGGAATGGCCAAACATTAGAGAAATTTTTTCTTTCAGCACTTTTCCATATGTTACATTCTGATAAAAAAGTTGTAAATAAATTGAACAAAAATGTGCTTAAATATAGTTTCCACTTCATTATTGAAGAGATAGAAAATAAGAGGAATGCATGCTATTTATACATAAGTAGTAACAAAACGATGAGTGTAATAAGTATAAGTAAATGTTCCAATCAATTTTGTCTATTCGATGCATTAAAAAATAATAACATGTTTTTTTACAACAATAGGTATGTTAATTGTCCATTGCTGATTTATAGATATTTAAAATTAAACGAATTTATTGATAGCCATAATTGCCATTTGCATCACTTGATACATCATATGGGATTATATGTACATATTGTGTGCAATCAAATATGGAATGGAGGAAAAAAAACTATTTTAAATGAAAAAGAGGGATATATATTAAAGAAAACAGCAGAACATGAACAATGGAGAGAAATTACAAGGGACATGGCAAAAACAAACAATGCAAATTCATATTCATCCTCTTCATCATACGATGTGATCAGCTTTAAAATAAATAATTATATTAATATAATTTTATTAAAATTTTTTAAATTATATAGTGATGTATATTCTTTTATAAAAAATAAGAACCAACCTATTTATGACAGAAAATCACGAAAAAAAAAAATTGGAAATATAATAATTAATATTATAAAAAAATATATCAATTCAAATATATTTTCAATAAATATATTAGATGTTGTTTTGTATAAATCTCTTAAAAAATTAACTGATTTTTACATTGCAGCATATAAAATTGTGTACAACTATATCACCAGGCTCAGAGAAACACCATATTATAATGTTTTAATTAAAAAAAATAGAGACGAATGCATTTTGAACATATCCCTAACACTTTTATATTCTCGATTTCTCTCCAAAACGTATAAAGAAAGGCATCATGTGAGTAGATTAAAAGAGATTCTATTTCTCCTCTTACATAGAACTGAGGGCATTAACCAGAATGTACGGTTTTTTGTCCAAAATGGGGAGAAACAAGTGGAAAAGTATAAATATGGAGAGAATTTGAACGATGGTAAGGAAAAATCTCATAACAGATGTGATAAACCATCTGTACAGTTACCTGAGCAAAGAACTGAGAAAAGATTAAGGGAGGAATTCTTTTCATTCTTGAACGAAATGGGCTCAAGTGTACCCCCAAGCGATATACCCAAAATTAACCTTTTAAAGAAAAATGTAAAGGATGAACACATCAACCACATGATTTTATATTTACTGAAGTTGAGAGAAGGAGTAGAAGCTTCGCATGGAAGCACGTATATGAAATCATCCCAAGAATTGCACATGGAAGAGAAAGAACTACAAAATCAGCCGTTCGATTTCAAAAGTGATTACGCTTACAAAATAAACTCTAACGTTTACTATGCTGCTTTATACCTGTTATGTGTGTTGAAAAGGAATGAGGTTTTCCACTTATTTGTTGTACTAAAGATACTACAAAAGTTTTGTAAATTTCACATTTCAGAAGTTGTAATAAATGTTATAAGGAAGACGGATCCTTACGTTAGTGCCATACTAATATATGCCCTAGGAAATTACACACCACATAATTTTATGCAGCTATGTTTACAATACCAGAGATATAACATATGTTCATTATACATAATTAATATACAAAATTATATTGGTATTTACAACGTTCGGAAGTATTATTGTATGTACTTTCTTTGTATGAGTTTGAGAAATAATATAAAATATTCAGCAAGTCTAATTCATTACATATCCATATTATTTTACATTCTATTTGAAAATAACAGAAATGATCGTGTATTTCATTGCAATTATTTTGGGTTAAAAGATGAAGTAAAAAAAAATATATATATAAATTTAAAAGTATCAAAAGGAACAAATAATTATGACAATTTTCTCTTCTACCTTTTGTGTGCAAATACTTTAAATAAAATTAAATTTAGAAAACAAAATGGTGGAGATTTTTTACACTTTTTACTTGAAAACGCTTCTATCGATAATGTCCAGCTTCTCAAAAAAAAAAATATTAATGCATATAACGAAATTTCAGCGCAGAGGAAATGCTCAAATCAGGATAATTACTACATCTCCAATGATGATTCAGAAGGAGAGGACAGAAATAAACTCGGTTTAAAAATTAAAAGTTTTTCTTTTAAAAAATTTAAAATGAACAAAATTGTGTACGAATTCTTTTACAATCAAGATATAATAAACTTTTCTCATAACAATTTATATTCATTTTCTAAATTACACTCTTGTAATATCAGTCTACTGGATTGTGCAATATTATCGGGAATATGTAACGATGGAGCAAGAGTCATAATGAATAATATCCCCAATCTGCAAGAATCTCATAACCAAATCCAGGAAGAGGAACACGATATGAGCCTAAAAGATGTACAAAATATATATGCAAGATTTATCCTGTTAATACAAAACATAGTATGCTATTATATACGTAACATGTTGTGGTTCGAGTTATACTATTTTCTAACAGGTCTAAAAATAGATGTTCTTTCTTTTTTTTCGCATTCTTATTTTTTTAAATCAAATTTATTTCAAAACACTTTTTGGGGAATATGCCCTATAGACGTGTCTCAATATAATTATACCAATATGGACATTTATTTTGTAAACTTGAATAACTCTGAAAGTTCTTTAAGGGATAAATCAACCTTCATGAATGATGTGAAATGTGAAAAAAAAAGAAGAAGCGCTGAAAATGAATATTCAGAGAACCAACATAAGGGTCATCTGAACCAAGAAACTTGTAAAAAAGAAATGAAAAAAATAATATTCGAGAACAGGGACTCCAGCATTTATAATGATAAATGTCATGAGGAAGATAGTCTTAGTGATGAGTATATCCAACCGGAAGTTGCACCACTTCAAAATAGATCGAACAGTTTTAAGGCGAATTATGAAGAACATATGAAATATATATATCACATGAAAAATCTCAAAATCATTTTTGATAAAATGGAAAAAGAAAACGAATCTATTAATAAATCTTTTTCACAGCAAGAATCTCCAAATTGCTTTCTTATTGATATTTACAAATCTTTTAAGAAACATTTTAATATAAATTTCTCTATAAGGAAGAGAGAAAACTTCAAAAGGAAAGGAACTTTCAACCTAAGGGAGGAAAACATTTGCAAATTGAGCAAACAAGAAATACAATATAAGCAAAACGAATATCGAAAAAATTTACATTCGTATAATATATATAATAAACTCACAAATTACACATTTTTGGAAACTTATTTTATGCCATCTGTGTATAAATACATACCTGTTTACAATACATTAAAGTATTTATGTTATTATTTTCGGGTTTGTAATATAGACAATAAGGAACATTCCAAGAGGTATTTAAAATATCAAATTAAAAAAAGAATTTACAACTATATTTGCAACACTATAATCGATTTTAAAAGAGAAATAATGGACAATGATAAATATTCTGGAATGAAAAGAGAAGAAAAAAAAAAAAAAAAAAGAAAGTTATCTTTTGTTGAAATATGCTGTATTCAAAAAAATGATATCATATGGTTTTTATTAAGAATTTTTTTATTATTAAAACTTCCATTGCATGCCCTGGCTTTAATATTATACTGTAAAAATTATGTAATGCTTAACATTTTATTAAGCTTATTTCCACGTTTTTATCACATTATTAATTATATTATAAATATGAATGGAAATCATTTTGCATATAAAAAAGAGGAAGGAAATAGAAACAACAAAAACAGCAGAATCACAAAATATGATCACAGTGCAAATGCTCAATTTATATTATCTAATGAAGAGTTCAATAAAAAATTTTGTGAATATTGCTACAAGTCTATTCTCCATTACAAGAGAAAAAATATAACACCTTTCTCAAATAAAATATGTGAACAAGTTTATAAAAAAAATTTCAGCACATGTCGAGAAGACAATACTACTATATATGATCATTATATGACCTGCGAATGTTTAAGTAACTTGATTTTCTTGCGAAAAAGGTTGCTTAATTTGAGAAAGAGTATATAATTTAGGGATCCACTCCACTTATAAGATGGTTGGTAGGATGCACTGTTTCCGCCCATAGTTCCATGTCTTTGTGCATTATTATGTGCTAATGTCCACATGTTTATATATTATGCATGGGTTTATCTGTTTCTTTTTTTGTTCGAATTGACCTTTAATATTTGAGTGTATGTCTATATTTTCTATTTGAACTTAATAATTTTTGGGGGTAGTTAGACTACCCTTGTGTGTTTTCGTATTTCTTTTCGCTCCTTCAAGTTTCCACTTTATATGTTCCTATTTCTTTTCACTCACCTTCAAGTTTCCACTTTATGTGTTACCCTTTTTTTTTCTTTTTTTTTGTCGTTCCGTTTAACGCCCAAAGAAAGGATACCTATACTAACGCATTGCCATCATCCTTTCAGTACTGATTTTGACCATGCAAAAAAAAATAAAAATAAAGAAGATTAATAGTTATTCCTCACACATAAGATACGTATTAATAACCCCAAAACATGATCATATTATTTGTTCTTCCAATTGGTCAAAAATAAATAAATAAAAAAAAAAAAAAAAAAAAAAAAAAAAGGGGCATTAATATTTCTCCATAAACGAAAAGATTATATATCCCATGTCACCCTTTTGAAAATAATGAAGATAACAAACGAATACAAAAATAAATAAACACAAATGTTAGAGGTGTTTACACAATGGTTTCTTTTCCGTTCCCGTCTTGGGATACAAAAAAGCTACGTGTTGCGAAAAATTCGAAGCATTCACGCTTCCTGAAAGCAAATATGAATTCGCCCCTATTGAAGCGTAACTTTTTAATTATGTCACAAAAAAAATGAAATAAAATAAAAAAATAAAAATAGATAAATTAACCAATCAATAAATAAAAGGCTTATAGTTCCATATATGTCCTTTTTTTCCTACCAAACTCCCCCCCCCCTTCCCCCTTTCACGTTCCATTCATCCCATATTGTTTGGTCCATTCATCATACCTTTTCAAATCATCGACAGATAATGACGGCTTAGCATTGGATATGGCTGTTTTGAAGTCTTGTACAGATAAGGGAGGCAATAATAATTCGTTTTCATTTAAACTCATTACGTTTTTCTCAACTTTTGTTAAGTCAGGGTCTCCAGGAGAACATGGAGTGTAAAAAATTTTGTTATTTTTTTTTACTTGTTTAAAAAATTTAGAAAGGAGACATTTTTTTACAGGCATATAAATGGCATCTCTGCATATAATGTCAATATCAGCACCTGTATAATTTTCAGTCAAGGTTGCAAAATACTTAATATCTTCTTTTCCTATGTTACTTGGACAGTCATTCGTACTTTCGTTCTTTCCATCTGAAAAACTTTCATTATTCTCGCTTTTATTTATATACTTTTGAAATATTTTCATCCTTGCATACAAGTTTGGAAGTGGGATGTATATTCTTTTTTCAAACCTCCTCCTAAAGCCACTATCTAATGACCAAGGGGTGTTAGTTGCCCCCATAACTATAATATTGTTATTATAATTACTTAAACCACTCATATTTATTAAAAATTCTGTTTTTATTCTTCTAGTTGATTCATTTTCTCCATCTGTTCTAGACCCACATAACGAATCAATCTCGTCTATAAAAATGATTGAAGGTGCATACTCTTTGGCAGTATCGAATAAGCATTTAATATATTTTTCACTTTCACCTTGATATTTACTAACTAAGTCAGATGATGATACATTAAAAAAATTCATGTTACATTCATTAGAACATGCTAATGCTAAGAATGTTTTTCCAGTACCGGGTGGCCCATATAATAAAATACCTTTATATGGCAAAGAAGACGAATTAAAAAGTTTCGGAAATTTTAAAGGGAATATGATAGCTTCTTTTAATATCTCTTTTGCTGTTTCTAACCCACATACATCTGACCACTTCACAGTTTTGTCTTTGTTCAAAATAAAATCTTTTACCTGTTTTTTCATATTTTCTTTAATTTCTTCTGTGCTTCCCCCTCCTCCACCTATTTTTTCCTTTGTTTCCATATTTTCCTTCTTATTGATTATCTCTTTTAAATTTTCAGCTCTTTCCATATATATTTCCATTTTTTTTAAAATTAATTCCCTGATATTTGAATTTTTTTCATACTTGCAGAAAAAATTAAAATATTGCAAACTCTGTATATATAAATTTAATGCAGCTTTGTAGTTTTTCTTCTCATCCTCTACAACAGCATCTTTAGCGAATTTAACGGCTTGATTAATTGTCTCTTCAGAATCCATCTTCCTTAACTTTTCCTAATGATGCTTTAAATATATGTTTCCAATTCTTTGTTGAACATAAATATGTGTATTACAGCTATTGGGGGTAAATGTACCGCTATGCATAAAGAAAAGGTGACTAACACATTATTTGAATTTTTTTTTTTTTTTTTCTTTTCTTTTTCTGATCTACGAGGAGGGGGAAGAAAAACAGTAATGTGTTTAATGTACAGGTAGGCTGCAGAATGAAAAGGTTCTTTAGATTATCCGAAAAGAATGATCCCCAGATAACGTTAGTACAAGTAGAAAGGAGAAGGGGGTTCACATAAAAATGTGTATATATGTATATAATTATGCACAATATTAAGTAATAAAATATGCGCTGAATTATACATATCGAAGATAGAATTTACATGAATGATTAATTTTTAGGAAATTACCATACAGAACTGTATAATAAAGAAAAAAGGAAAAAATAAATACATGTCCTTGGCACGCAACTCAGTGGGGGTTGAGAAAAAAGTTCTAAAGAAATGGATGAGCATATGTGTGCATAATTTTCTATTCAGATGAACGAAAAAAAAAAAAAAAAAAAAAAAAAGGCTTCCTTTTAAGTTATAGTATTTTTTGGTATAGAATTTTTTCCTATTTTTCCGTGTAATTAAGTTGCTAAAAATAAATACATTTTATGAATTTCACCAATTCCTGTATTTACAGCTGAGAATTATAATGGTTACTCATTTTATTCACTTTGAACATATGTGAAGATATGAAAATAACTACAATAATATTATTCTTCAAGTATTATGTATGCATATATATATATATATATATATATATATTCCTTCCTTTTGTATGTGTGCATCTGACTATTTGGAGTTAATAACAGTTTTTGTTATGTAGGTATAAAAAGGCTATCTTGTTTCGTTTCCCCGTGGTAACATTTTGTTCTATTTTTTTTTTTTTTTTTTTTTGCTCTTTTACACCTGACTACACTTTTTACCCTTTTCACGCTTTTTCACACGTTCACACTTTTTCATATTTTTGCAACTTTTGCCATATTTACAGTTTTTTAACTTCTTATTTTTAAATATTTTCCAACAACCTTTTCGTGTCTGTGGAAGCTAGTACTTGGATTAAACTTTAAAAAATCATGTTCACTATTTTAAAAGTGCACTGAGAAGTTCCGGTCATTGCAATTACTGCAACTCCAAATGAGAAAAAAAAAAAGAATAAAAAAAAAAAAAAATAAAATAATGTAAAAACACGACAAAACCATGATGCTGAAACGAAAGCTACACATGCATGCGAAACATTTTTATTTTAGAAAAATTTTCATATAAACAAACAGTTTGCGACACACTTTAATGCCTTATTCACAGAAAATAAGAAACAAAACAAGTCGGGGGAAAAAAAAAATTAAAATGTTGAAGAGGAAACAATACAATGGGGAGAACAAAATATCGCACGTAGTTTTAAATGCAGGCATGAAAACATGAGCAGGAAATTTCCTATAAAAACTTAAATTTTAAAGAATACTTTAATAGAAAAAAAGTAAAATATATAAAAAAAAAAAAAAAAAAAAAAAAAAAAAAAAAAAAAAAAAAAAAAAAAAAAAAAAAAAAAAAAAAAAAAAAAAAAAAAAAAAAAAAATGAAAAAAACCCAAAAAAAAAAAAAAAAAAAAAAAAAAAAAATAGAAAAATTAAATTGTATAACAAATGAAGAATATTGAATGAACAAATAACCCTGCTTCTCGTTATTGTATATGCGGGGATTTTTTTTTTTTTTTTATGCAAAAGCTCGTTGCAGTCACAGTAGAATATTGATAAAACATAAGGCACAGTGAACATAAATATATTATCCGAATAAACGTTACACGAAAGGGGAAGAGAATGGAAACGTAAGAAAGCAACATGCAGTATTATACCCAATACAAATGTTAATATCCCTTTCCCAGACATCGCAATTTGTGTAGTATGCGTGTCCATATTCATGTTCACATTATTATTTTTTTGTTTTATTGTTTTTTTTTTTTTTTGCGCTTAATAAACGTTCCTTTTCACATATTTTTGACAACATTTTACCCATTCGTTATTTGCTTCCCAACAAACTATCAAAAAAATGAGTAATCGGGATGAGGAGATAAAGCAAAGGGAAGAAAAATCTTCAAAAAAGAACATCGACATTGCATTCGACAGTGAGGAAATGGACATTCCGGTTAATAAGGACGTCTCCAAAAATCAAGGTGAGGTAGTGCATGAAAAATTACTTAGTGGTGTAAACATAAGGAACCATAAGGATAAAAAGAGTCTTGAAAGGAATAACGAAAATGTGGAAAAGGAAAAACTGCTAATTTTCAATAATTATATTAAAAAGGAGGGGCAGAATATTAGTAACGAGATAGAAGAGAAACAAGACAAAGATAAAAATAGCACGAAAAAGGAAGAGCACAAAAGCATAAACGAAGATGAATTCGAAATTCCAATACAAAGGAAAAAAAGAACTCATCACACCGATTTTTTAAGTAAAGGTTTTTTTAAAAGTAAAGATTATGAAGATTCTGAAGAAAATAAAAGATTGCACATTTTGGACATTTTTAATTATCACGATTTTCCTGTTGATTTATTTGAAAAAAAAAAAAGAAGAACAAAAAATAGAGAAAAAAAATTTGTCATCGAATTTGTAGATACATATAATGACGAATTTGTAAAAAAAAATATTAACAACAATCTTATTTTTGAGTCCATAGGTGTATGTAAAGGAATTTCCTTTTTGCATATAAATAAAAACATTAATGTAAATTGCTTAGGGTCAAAAGACAACAATGCATTTTATTTTTATAAAATTATACCATTCGATAAAATTTATTCGAAGGATACTATCAATAAAATATTAAGTAGCAAAAATATGTCGTCTAAAAATGACGAAATAAAACAGTACAACAATAGAAAAAAAGAACTCAACACTGACAATGCTATGCACAAAGAGAACAATGATCATGAGGAATATAATCCCTTTTTAAAAAATTATAATATGATAAAAAATTACCTTTTTAATAAAAGAAAAGAAAAAAAAACTTTATATAACGATTTGTATTTATCACCTTATGAAAAAAATTTAAAATCAAGTATATGTATAGGAACACATATATATTCAAAAGAAAGAGCTGTGAAGAAATGCTTCGGGTTGCTAATTGAGCAAAATGTATATTCCATAGACCAGACCCAGGATGAAAATACATCAGTGAATAAAAATTTGGAAAATTTATATTTTGATTTTCCATTTTATAAAAATAAAATAACATTTAAACCCATATATTACCCATATAAAAATATCCCAGTTGTAAGTGACTCATTTCAAAATTATTATAAAAATATTCAGTGGGAAGAAATGACAAAGTTGAAAGATCCTCAATTTTATTATGACATAAAAAACAGCTTCTTTAACTTTTCGAAGGATGTATATTTAACGACAAAAGGTGCGATTAAGCAGTTTGATTCACCAAAGTACGGAAAAAAAAAAAAATAAAATAAAATAATTTTTCCTTTTTTTTTTTTTTTTTTTTTTACATTCAAGTACATGTCACTTGTTTTTATTACTAATCTGAATGGTTATTTTGTCACACGCATGTTTACAAAAATGCAGCAACCCTTTTTTTTTTAAATTCACTATCCACTCACTTCTGTCTCGGCATTTCCCAATTTTCAGGGATTTCATCTTTCAAACAGCTAATCGAATGAAGGACATAAATTTCCAGATGATGAAGATTTGCGAAAGATCATTTGATATAATTCACGACTCCGTAATGAAGCTCAGCCAGGTGTCCAAAAGTTCTTAAGACAAATTGTGATATGCTTGTTTTAATATTATGCTTACATGTGTGTTCAGATTTTTATTATAATTATGAAAACACATGCTACTTATTTATGTTTTCCTTTCCTTTTTTTTTTCTTTTTTTTTTTTTGTGTAATTTTCATTCCGTGCTTATGCGCACAATGTGAAATGCGTTAAAGCTGTAGTGTATGCAATCCTGATATATATATTTTTTTTTTTTTTTTGACCCCCCTCATAAATATTTTTAAGCGAAAATTTAATTAACACTTTTTCTTTTTTTTTTTGAAATGATGGAAACATAATTAAAATCTTTTGGATGACCTTTTGTTCTTATAATATGCCTAAAAATTACATTAATGCATAAATTACTCTGAATCGTTAGTAAACTTTAAAAAAAAGATTAAAGAAAAAAAAAAAAAATAGGGTCATAAGTTATATCACGTCATAAGAAGTACCACGTTTTAAGTGTACGGAGGGGTATAAAAAAGGCAAAAATGAGAAAAAAAAAAAAAAATTCGTTTACTGTGTTAACTTTTTATGTAATATATGATATATCTCTTTTAAAAATATCTTTTCTCCAGCTTCGTCAAATATTTTAAAGAATTTGAGATGGATTAAAAACAAATTACCACAAAAGGGGGATATGTTCAAATGTCCTTAATATTGTTATTACCATTTTAAATGTGAACGAAATTTCTCAATAAAATAATGTTAAATAGGTTAAAATTTTTTATAAGGTCTGGGTCGGGTTTCCGTTTTATGATCTTAATTAGTTATGTAAAATAAAATAAAAATGAAAAAAAAAAAAAAAAAAACATTTACATGGCACTTCTTTTTTGATCTGTTTGGATAAATTTCCTGTTTTTTTTTTTTTTTTTCTTGTATTTTCTATTTTATTTTTTTTTTTCATATAATAGCTATTCAAATTACTCTTTTTTGATAAAGGGAGAAAAAAAAAAAAAAAAAAAAAAAAATAGAATAGACCCGAATTCACCCCCCTTTCCATCTTTCAAAGCATATAATAAAAAAAATTATTTGTATAAATGTAAGAAAAAATGTTCCGGACATTTTCTACAGTTAACACAGCATATAATTAGCACATGCTTGGATGGAAATTTTTTTTTAAGCTTTTAAGATCTACGTATGAATGGGTCAAAATGCTTTAAAATAAGATTAGTTATAAATACCACATAAACATGTTACATGCATACATGTTCTACATGTAGCAACAAGTGAAAATGCCATAGCAGTACTTCACCAGTACATTCTCCCATTATCTTCCAAAAAAAGTTCAAGCATTTCTGCCGTGGTCGCGAGAAGTAAATATTTTTTGGAAAAGCATACAAAAAAAAATAAAATAACGAATATACATTACCACGTCATATTTTTTTCATTCCATGTTTGGAACATAAATTTTGTTTTACTCACTCTTTATCATTATTTGTGTCGTCATTTGAATCGTCCCTTTCATCCATATTTCCGTCATTATTTGAACCATTTGCGTTACTGTAGTTTTCTCCCTATTTTTAAACTATTTTTTACATTCATTGAAATGAATTTATAACCAGCAAAAGGAGATGCTTTTAAAAATAATTAAAACAGTCGCCTGAACACGAAGAAAGCTGCATTCTCCCCCTTGGGTTTCCATTTACAATAGCAAAATATATGTACAGTAAATGTATGGATGTATACATACAGGTATGTACTTTTGCATAATGCATGTTAGTATTAAATAAAATGTTGCTACATGAGCCGGAAACAAAAGGAGGTCTTATAAATTAGGTCAACAGGCACAGCACACGCTGAAGCGCTTATATATATGTATGCATATATATACATACACATATACGTATGTATACATATACATAGTGTACTTGAACATTTCCTAGAGCGGCAGAATGCAATTTTGAACACATATCACATGTAACCTTTTTACTTGCCTAACGTGCTTGCAAGCTATTTCCATTAATTTTTTTTTTTTTTTTTTTCATGTACCAGTTAAAGTAAATAGCTAACTGACAATCCCTCGTAAATTTAAAAAAAAGAAAAAAAAAAGATATCAGATAACAGGGAACAGATAAGAGGCGACGGGTTAAAAGAAAGCGAATTTTTCCCGTTTTGTCAAAAATTCAGAAAATAAGGTACACAAAAGAAAAAAAAAAAAAAATTATAAGTATATAAAGAACACACTTCTTCCCCCCCCCCCTCTACGACACCCAATGTGCACTTTGAAACGTGCGCAAATAATATAGTACATAATAAAATATACATATATATCTGTAATATGTATAATAAATTCCACGATATGGACCAGCAGAAGAATAGAAGAAGCAAGCAGAGGGATGCGAGAAACTATGATTTCAAGAAGACTGGAAAAAGCTTCAAATACAAGAAGAACGAATTAAAGAAAAGGGGGTTTGGCATCAATAAGAGCTGGAAAAATAAAATCAACCACACATATGGAGGAGGGGAAAAAAAAGGAAATAGAAAAAGATTTAACAATAACAACAATGGAAACAAAGATTATATCAATAGGAGTGGTAGCAATGTTGCTACTGTTACTACCACTGGTACCATGAGCAATAGGAAACCCATATGTGATTTTGAGCATATGCTTGATAATGTTGTAGAAAATAAAATAAGCTTAAAAAAAACAGACGAGCATTTTATTCTAAATTTAAAAAAGTTATATGATATAAACCAATATTGGTTCTCCTTAAAAAAAAACATGGAACGTATTGTATCGAAATATGTTTTAAAAAAAAAAAAAAAAAATCTTCAATATGATAACATAAATTTCTATATTAAGAAACTGAAGAAAAGGCAGAAAAAAAAGGAAAAAACAAATGAAAATGATGAAACATTTGTAAATGAAGATCAAGAGCAGAAGTATCAACCCGAATCATCTCAACAGAAATTACTTTTCCTAAATCCAGAGGATATACTTTTCCAGTTTGATGAGGAGAACAAGGAAAATACATTAAACTGCAAAATATGGAAAAAAAAAATAAAACATTTATTAAAAAAGAGAATATCCTCATGTGAGGAAAAAAGTACTACAACTAGTCAAAGTGTGGACGAATATACGGAGAAACCTCGAATAATTGATATCTCCAACATACCCATTTGTCTGAAGCAGCTATACGATTTAGGGAATGAATACAAGGATAGTAACAACAACAGTATGGAAATGAATAATACTACTACTAATAATAATAACTACCATCGTGGTAATAAAATAAAGCTAAAACTATTGCTAAAAAGGAAATTAAATATGAGTAGTATATACAGTTTACTTTACGATATTGGATTAAATCTAATGTATGAATATTATACAATTTACATTAAAAAATATTCAGAAGATGATGAAAAAATTCATCTAGAAATTATTCACAATAAGAGCAATATCTTCAGTGATAGAATTAATAATATGGTTGTTTTGTTTAAAAAAAATCCGTTGGTGTATATTATGTATATAAAAGTATTACTTGATTTCTACAAAAAAAGAGAAGATGTATTTATCAAAAAGTCCATTTTGGAATGTCTGAAACATGTATTTATTTTTGTTTTGCCAAACGAAAATTTAGAAACCGTAGAAGAAAATAATAAGACAGTTATGAATTATATTTTAAACATACTATTTAACAGATTTAATTTTAAGGAATATAACTTTTCTTCTTATTATTTCTTTCTCAATTCGCTACTGTACATATATGCCTTCGAGAATTATACAAAGAAATTATTTTTGCAATACATTTACATTTTGAAGAATGGTATATACAGTTCAATACCTAGTGTCTTTTTTGTATCAGCTAATAATTTGAATGAATTTTGTTTAAAAAAAAAAGAGAATAAATTTGCAAACTTAAATATTCTACTGGATGGATACATAACTATTAATAAGGGAAACCCATTACTTTTAAATATTTTGAAACATATAATAACTATAGATTATATGAAACGTTATGTTATGTTTTACTGTTTTGAACAAATTTTATCAAATTTGAGATTATGTGTTGAACAGATTGTTCAGTCTTTAAAAATTGGTGACAAGGAAAATATTATAAATGAAAAATTGAAGAAAGAAATTGTAAGCATGAATAGATGTTTATACGTTTTATACAAAATGAAAACGAACTCATTTAATGATATTACGGAAAATATTATCTATTTTACTACATACATTTTTGAAATGTTTTCAAAAAATGTGTTTGAACTTAATGATAAAAAAAATATTCTTCTCAAAGAATGGAGCATAGAAAAAATGAGTTACATTAAATATGTCCCTATCGATACCGAAAATTGGGAAAATAAAAAAGAAGCGAAGAATGGAATAAGATGTGCAACCAATGTGAATTTAGGGACTGAAAATTCATGTCATGGAAATAAGGATTCAGGTGCTAACAAAATATGCACGAGAGAATTAGAAGAAAGAAGTCGAAATGGTGAATTATATAAAAAGGAGAATGCACCGAATTGTAGTAATGGAAATGCAACGAACCTTATGGGTATGCTCAGAAACTTCCAGACAGTGCCAAATGATAATTCTTGGTCTATGGGAAGTACGAAAGAGACAAATATGATTATCAGTGAGGACCTCCAAGAAGATAAAAATAAGAAACATAGCAAACGTCACTGCGATGAGGGCGAAATGAAACGTGAAACGGAAGAGAGAGTTGAAGATGGTGAGATGAGAGAACTAAAAGGGAGGGGAAGCAAAAATTGGCTCCAAAATGGGTACCTAAATGGGGTTCAAAATTGGCCCCAAAATGAGCGCCAAAATGAACCCCAAAATGAGCACCAAAATGGGCCCCAAAATGGAAGAAAACACGAAGATGGCAAAAAAAAGACAACAGAAGAAACGCTTCTGCATAAACAGTGCCTGTATGGATATTTGAGCAAAACAATCCTCAAGCTATTATCCAGTATTTTAGTGAATAACATATACTTCATAATTTACAATAGATGCATTTTACTTAAAAATAAGAACGGGAAAGAAACAGGGAGTGATGACCGACCATCAGAGGATAAATACTTACACAGCTTAAATTTTTTGTCCCTATTAAAAATTATAAAAAGCGTAGAGTCCTACAAAATTAAAATAAATTTTTTAACCATTATGTTTCTACTTTTGTATTCATCAAATCAAATAGATGACAATATATATTGCTATTTTTATAGTATTTTAAAAAATATGAATTATTACGAAAATGAACATACATATAATTTCTACGGCTTACTAACAGTACTAATCTTAACAGATAGAAATTTAATTAGAAACGTAAGCTTTATAAAGAGAATTTTTCAGCGTAGCATTCATTCAAAAGAATCTTGTACTCATTTATTTTCCCTAATGATGATTAGATATTTAGTTTTTAAAAAAAATATCCTAATGAAATTTTTGTACAATGATGAGAATATTTTATATACACACAATTTAGATTACGTAAAAAATTCATATATTGTAAAGTTCAATAAATATCATAAAGGAGAAAAAAATGTACTTGTGAATGATAAAATATTTCTCTATGACGAATCAGTAAATAATCCATTGGATGCTAATTCTGTGTTAACTCATTTTTATGAATTCTACAACTTTTCATCTATGTTAAATGATAATTTTAAGAATGTTCTGTTCGAATTTAGAAATATAACCATTTTTAATTATAATTTTATTCAAATGAAAAAATATAGTCAGCATAAAAACAGTTTGTCATATAATGGATTCTTGAATAGTAGACCACTTTTAAGAAATTCTTGTGAAAAAACAAACACAACTGATAACTCTGCTAAGGAAAATCTGAATGGAAGCGCAGGAAGTGGTGGATCGCTCTTGGTGGATGATAAACAACTTTCCAATAATGCAGATTTGTTTGAAAAAAATTGTAACGAAAGAATTTCAGGAGGGAGCATTCTTGGCATAAAGGACACAGACAAGCAAATAGATCAGCACATCATGGACAATGGAAACGGCATTGAAAGGGGCCATAATAATAACAGCTATGAGAAGGATCATGATGATGATATAGTAATTAATATAAGGAACAATAGACAATGGAGAAGGAAAAAACAAATCAATGACCATACGAATGAATTAAACGAGGGTGAAATAAATTCAGTTTTGCTACCGCCAACCAAAAATGAAGCAACGATTAATCATCAAGCAAATAATTTCACTCAACACTATCCAAATCAGTACCCACCAGAACCACCCATGAATTTGTATGATTGTTCTAATAGTTATTATCATATGTATGATTATCAAGCTAAGGACGTCATTAACATTCTGGATAAGTTATCGTTGGAATATAAAAATGCTCAGCAGCAAGTGAATATGCTTAACATTTTTAACAATTTTATACACGATTCATGCATTAATGAGAAGAGTGAGGGAAAGGAAGAAATAAAAAATCAACAAAGATTTAAACTAATGAACAACCCATATCAGAAATATTTTTATGATATACTAAATACCTACAATAATAACAGTTTTAAAAAATTTAAAGATAAGTATCAAATTAAAAGAAAAAAACAAGAGGCTGGTGAGAGAGAAGGTGCAAGCAAAAGTAACGATATTGACAATGATGATGATCATGACGATGATGGATCGGGGTCATTGATAGATGAAGAACAGGAAGAAGATGATTTTTTGGATGACTACATTGCCAAGAATTTTGACATAGGTAAAGATTTAGATGACGATATGGATTCGCCTAACAAAATGTCACACAAAAAGAAAAAAAGAAAAAAAAGTGAACAAGATAATTTTTCGAAAGATAAGAATTTTAAAAAAAATTCCAAAAAGAAAAAAGCGCAACCGTCCGATGCACCTACAGATGGTGTGATGGAATTTTCAGATTTTGCCAAGTTAAAAAGCAAGAAAAAGGGTAGAATAAGTTAGTTTATCCGTTTCAAGCACTCCAAATATATTTTTATCCCATGCCATCTGCATGGTTATGCATAAGGTATGTTATATAAAAATACATATACGCAGATATATCTATGTGTTCATGTACATGTACTCGTTTCGACTGTTTTGTCATGTTTTTTTTCGAAATGATTAATTTATGGAGAATGTTTGTTTACCTTTATTTTTTTTTTTTTTTTTTTTTTTTTTTTTACCACATCAGATAGAACATTTCAAATTTAAATTTGTTGACACTTCGTTTTGAGCGACGTATATAGATCCATTTGGTTCTTTTTTTTTATTATTTTTTACCTCAAGGTGTGACGTTTTGCTGCGATGTTTTTTCGCCTCTTTTTGTAGCCTTTTTTTTTTTTTTACTCCATTTTGTCCTTATAAATCCCATATCCAACAATTGCAAACCTTTTCATCACTCACACGCACAGTCACACTTTATGATACATAGGTGAAACGTCTTTTTACCAAAACTCTTTGTTTAAACCTTATTTTTAAAATTTTTGTATAAAAAAAAAAAAAAAAAAAAAAAAAAAAAAAAAACATAATACCAATTAACTTTTTAATTTTTTTTCAAAATAAGATATGTAATCATAATCTATTTGATTTATTTTGTCCATTAGGACGTTCATATTATCACTTAGTATTTTTTTATACATTTCCGAGGAAAAACTCTTTATATGCTTTTCTGCTTCGCTTAGTATTTTTATTTTTCCACATGTTTTGTATGTATACTTATTTTTGTTCCTTTCCACCTCTCCTCGTTCGTTCTGTTCCGACGTGCTGGATCTGTCTTTAAATTCTGCAAGTGTATTAAATGTTTTTTTTCCCTCAATGTGCTTGCTTGCTCTATACGCATCTTCGTCTACTTCATCTTTCTCGTTTACTTCATCTTTCTCGTTTACTTCATCTTCCTCGTCTGATTCATCTTCGTCTACTTCATCTTCCTCGTCTGATCCATCTTCCTCGTCTGATCCATCTCCCTCGTCTGATCCATCTCCCTCGTCTGATCCATCCTCCTCGTCTGATCCATCCTCCTCGTCTGATCCATCCTCCTCGTCTGATCCATCTTCCTCGTCTACTTCATCTTCTTCATCTTGCTCTTTCCCCATTCTGTTATCCTTCAAGCATCTTCTATTCCCTTCCACACTTCCGTTCGCATGATAATCATTCAATATTTCCCCCTGTTTTGTCTTGTTAGAGTACTTATTACCGTACCTCATGCTTTTATCTTTCACCATTTGAGCAATTTCACTAATGTTGCCCGGTTCTTTGTTCAAAATATTTCTTTCAATTTGAGGAATGTTCATAAGATGATAGTCTACCCCTGTATTACTTTCTCTCTCATGTGATAAGGTTTTCGATTGTTCATGAAAATCGTTTTTTCCCATAAACAATTTAAAATTGTAGACCTTTTTTTCATATTCATCCATAGAGTGATTTAATTTTTGTAAAAACACATCATTCTCTTTTTCCTGTACACCCTGCCTCTTCACATTTTCGTTACAGTATTGTGTAATATTCCCTTTCGGATGATTGTTTATTTTTACATGTGACTTTGAGATTTTCGCGAGATGTTGGATATTTAATTCCACGTTTATTTTATTTTTTAAAAATAAGTCCAAATTGTCAAACAGCTGCATTATTGCGTTATTTATATCCTGGTAGAAACATTTTGCCGTATCAATTTTTTGCTGAATAAAATATATTTCCTGATTTTTTCCCGAAATTACATTATCCATTGCTGTCTTTTCATTTTCAATTATATCATTATTTTGACTAATTATTTCGTTTGCAGTTTTTATGTATTTATTTAACTGATTTTTTTTTTCTTCACAGGATAGAACCAGTTCATTTAAAATTATATCGATTTTTTCTTTTTCATTTAATGTACTCTCTTCTTTGTTGCTATGCTCATTGGTTACTATGCAATGAATTTTATTTTCTTTTCCTAAAATTTGTTCAAAATCATCTTTCATAAAATTGAGGATTTGTATTTTGTCTTCTAGCGTGGCTAAGTTTATAGGAGGTTTAGTTTTTTTTTTTTTCTTTTGATTCATTTTCACAAATCAGAAATCCTTTTACCTTGGCATCAATTAGTATATGTATAGATAGACATGTGAATATACCCTTAGTGTATTTAATACCACACGTGTGTATATCTATTTGCACCATAACACACCGTTGAAGTATATAGATTCCTAATGTACAAAAGCTGAAAAGTAGAAATATCGCTTATGTTTACTTTTTAAACTACGTCCATCACCTCCCCCCCCCCTTTGTTTTTATGGACTAGTAAAAATTTATAGATAAAACTCATTACTTTGAAAAAATATATACATATATATATGTCCCCTTTGTAAGCTATAATTTGAAGGAGTTAAAAATTGTTCCTATCGAAATTGTCAAAATTATGTATGAGTAGGAGGACATGACAAGGTACAGGACTAATGTATATGTTAACACACAGAGAGAATAGTCTATCTAAATTATTGCCACTATAAATATATTTAATAAATACATAGAATGCTCAAACTATGCTTACATTTTCATTATACCATTTTTTGTTGCATATTTTTCGTAATGAGAAATATTTTACTGCATTTGACGAGTTGCTTAATGCTTGATTCGAGACTTTCTTACATTTACCTTTTTATGAATATATAGTTTAGTATCATGTACATATATTTGTGTTAACATGCCAATATAGCTAAAATGTTCTTTTCCATTTGAAGAACTAAAATGACTCTAAATTTCTCTAAAACCTAATTTTTTTTTTTTTTTTTTTTTTTTTTTTGATTTATAAATCCTACAATGCACATAAGATGAAAATAATCGAACAGAAAAAAACTTTAGACTTTAAAAGAGGTACCGTAATATTTTGTTAACCTAAAAGTGAATACTATTCAACTCCCTTTATCACTATTGCATTTGTGGTGGTTCAGATGATATTTTCCAAACATGCGTATGTGTAGACACAATGCGTAAAAAGGTGATGAGACGAGGATATAAAACAAACAAACAAAAAAAAAAAAAAAAAAAAAAAAAAAAAATACTTAAAATAAAATGAAATGAAATAAAAAATATAAAAAAATACTTTTTCTTCTCTGCAGGATTATGCCTTACTAATTATAGACTTTTTTTTTTTTTTTTTCTTTCCTTGTCTCATTCCATTTTATCATAATATTCGCATTCATTTTGAACACGCATATACACATTTCTTTGGAAACACCTCATAAATTTGGTTATATCATGTGATATTTATCATAATATGTGAATGTGCTAAGTGTATTGACATGTTAAAAACAAGGATAAATGGGATATTGTATGGGAGGAATAATAAAAAGATAATTTTCCTTTTTTTTTTTTTTATTTGAAATTAATAAAAAAAAAAAAAAAAGTGTAAAATATAGAGAGAAGTGAAGAGAAAACGAAATAGTAACCACCTTTTATTTTGCAATTTTTTTTTTTTTTGTAGGCCAAGGGTAGCTTATGAAAAATAAAAAAATATACACGGCATAAATTCTTCTCACACATGTAAAATTATTGGTACTTATAGGCATATGTATGTGTATGCCTATAAGTACCAATCTGTAATGCCACTTTCTTGTGTATGAAATAAACAAGGAAATGTGACACCATATTTGTGAAAAAATATTTGCCTCTACCAATAGTAATAAAAAATATTCCAAAAAATCGAAATAATTTAAATGAGCTAAAAAAAAAAAAAAAAAAAAAAAAAAAAAAAAAAAAAAAAAAAAAAAAAAAAAAAAAAAAAAAAAAAAAAAAAAAAAAAAAAAAAAAAATGAAAAAAAGGGAAAAAAAAAAAAAAAACAGAAAAAAAAAAAGGAAAATGTAAAATTTAATTCTAAATATTAGGAGACATATTAAAATATTGTAACGAAAAAGCGTTAAAATTGCAAAACAATGATATAAGTATTTAAGTTACTCAAGGGAAAACTTTCACATTGTGAATGCATTAACTTTATGGGTAAAGATTTAAAGCATTTATCTGTGTGCAATAATGCCAGAAAAAGAAAAAAGGAAATAAAAAGGGAAATAAAAAAGGGATGTAATACGAAAAAGATAAAGTGGAGAGAAAAGAAAAAAGAATAAAGGAAACTTAATCATTGGCCGGACAAAACCAGAACTCTAGAACAAATACAAAAAAAAAAAAAAAGAAAAAAAAGTGAAAATAGTGAAAAAAAAAAAAAAAAAATAAATAAATAAATGAACAAAAGAACTAATGAATAGTTAGGTAAATGAGCAGGCGAAAATATGAATAGGCGAACAAATGAGCAAACGAACAAATGAGCAAACGAATAAAGGAAAGAACGAACATACAGATAAAATAGCGGAGCAAAGGAATGAAGAATGACCAGAGTTGTGCCAAACGAAGGCCATTAAAAGCAGCATATTTCACCGCTTGTGGAAATGATGAAAATGCTGCTGTATGAAAGCATCAGAGGGGAACAGAAAAGAGAAGATAAAGACAAAACACTGAGTAAGAATGTAATAAATGAAAATAAAAAAAAATATGATAGGCATAAACTGAGAGCCATTTTGAGGAAATACATTCGCCATAACAATAGACTTCTGAACTACCACAAATATAAAGAAGTAATAGATAATTTTGAACCTTTTAAGAATGTTTTCATTATTTATAGCAATAGTTTTTTCAATAAAAATAAAATTTTTAATTATAGCTTTCGATATTCTAAAATTTTAAAGATACTATACTTGAACGAGAAGGGAAAAAGACTCATATATGGAGATAGCAATTATATGAAAGAAAATACCCTAACACGAAATAAGAAAGGTAGAAACAATGAAAAAATAGGATTATTACTAGATGAGAAGAAGATTTCACATGAAAATAATTCTAATGAAGATAAAAAATATGAAGTTATTAATTTTTTTTATAATTTAAAAAAAAGTGATTTTGAAAAATTAGACAAAGTTATTGATAATAGTCGAATAACTTTACCATTATTTAGCTATTTCGATATATATCTATTTAGTAATAACAAAAAATTAAAATATGAAATTAATAAAAATAATATTAAATATATTGATATAAATTCGATATTATATTACCTTTACATCCCTGTCATAATTTCATACATCCACCTTAAGGATTTTCATAATGCTAAAGTTAGATTCTATGAATACATTTACATGAAAAGGAAATTTAAACAAATAAATAAATACTGTTCTGAAAGTGAAAAAAGGAAATTAAAATTAACCACCTTAATTTCATCTCAGCTTAAAAATAAAATATATAATTACTATGACACATTGTTGTATGAAAAAAAAGCATCATCTCCCTTGTCTAAGGGAAATGATGAAAAGATGAAAAAAAGTCTTAACAAAACTAAAACGAAAAATGATAATAAAATTAAAATAAATAACGAAATTAGCAGAAAAAGTAAAAAAAAACAAATCACAACAATTAATTGTAATAATAGGGGCGACTCGCATAAGAAGGAGCGTCTATGGTATAGCAGCACTTTTGCATTTAAGAAAAGTAAAAGGAAAAATTCTTTTTTTTCACCAAGTGATTGTATCGTCGATTATGACAGCTCACCAATTAATCTCACAAACGGGTTAAAAGATACAAAGGAGAAAATCTACGTATCTTCCGTGAAAGATTTTAACAGAAAGGAAAGTAAAATAAAGCAAGATATATTTAAAGAAAGTACTATTTCTGAAGAGAGAATTGTCGAATGTATTACAAAAGATGAAATTGAAAAGAACGACATTGGTAAGTGTCATAGGAGGGATGGGTATGAAGAGGGAGATAAACAAGACGCGCACTCAGATTCTGGAGTGACCAAGGAGGAAAATCTTTGTTTTAAGAAGAGAAATATTCATTTCCATTACACATGTAAAAGGAGAATCCATAAACATGAAAAAAGAAAAAAAAAAAAAAAAAAAAGGAATGAATATGAATATGAATACTTAAGCATTGATGAATATTTACTATTCCTAAAAATAAAACATAAGGAGATATCACTAGAAAGGTTAGCAGATGTTGTAAAAAATAGTCCTTTAGAAGAAAAAATATGCAGAATAAAGAAATTCAGAAATATAATGAATATAGAACATAATGAAAAAAAAAATGTATATAAGAAAGAAAAAATTTTAAAGAATTTGATAAAAATTAAGGATAAAAAATATTATTTCTATAACTACTTTTTCGATGTCTTAATTTATTTTTCGTATTTTAAACAAATAAACATTATAGAGGGTATATTAATTATGGCTCTCATGTATAGCAAATTGAATTTTTTGAATATTTCCATTTATATATATAAGAATGTCTATTTGTACTTTTACTACATTTTCGATAGTTATCAAAGAAAGTGGAAAACCTTCGATATAAACCACAAAATGAATAAATTGAACTCGTTCAGCATAAGAGACAATGTACACGGAGATGTTGCATGTGCAAAGCACTCCAATGAAATAAAGGATGAAGTTGCAAAAATGAAAAAAGAGAGAAAAAAAAAAAAAAAAAAAAAAAAAAAAAAAAAACAAACCACATTGGTGACAAGCAGTGGAGAATTCCTTAAAAATTGTAAACAGGATAACATTGAAGAGGGGAAGCTTTGCCCGATCCGATCGTACATTAGCGGGGCTGCTACAAGTGCTAGCAAATGTTTTCATGAAAACGACAGTACCAATGTCCCCCATAGCAGTAACTGTATTGCTGGAGAAACGGGAAGATTAGATATTCAAGGTAAAGCTAATCAATTCAATGGGATGCATACACATTATATGAACAATGGAGATGATGACAATGATAATGATAACTATGGAACATGTAGCATGTACGACGAATCTGTGGTATACATATTTAACAATTTTGTGAATCAACTAAGAAACAATAGCAACTTTTATTTTATAACAGACTGGCAAGAGGAGAATTTTTACTCTAAATATCGAAATTATTCCTTCTTAAATAATTCATTTAACTCACCACACTTAAATTATATTAATGACATAGTTGTCGAAAGTATTATAAAGAATGCTATATGTTTTAGTTACAAGTATATTTTTAACGGAATAAAAAAACATATTTTAATTTACCTTAATTTAATAAATTATATAGAAACAAAATATATGTTTTATCAAAATAATTATAATATAAAAAATTTAATTTATCATTTATATTTGGATAAAATCATTAAATGTTATGACAGTAACCTTTTCACATATGAAAAAAACTTGTATGTACTAAAAAGAATTATTTTTTTAGATAATAACATAAATTTGTTTCACATAAATGAGAATTATTTAACGAATGAATATTGTCTAAAATCATTATTTTTTAAAATATATCTTAATCTTTATAAAAATGAATCCATACATTTCCAAGACAAAACTATAAAGGGGGTCTTTCGATGTTTACCCACAAATAATGAAATCTCCATTATTGATGAAAATAATTTAACATACTCAGAAATAATCTATCAATACAGAATTAACATACAGGGGGACAATGACCAAGACAACATACTACACTCTGAAATAAATTTAAAGAAGGAAAGAAATTGTGAACAACTGAAGCCAGAGGAAGATAAACTTGCTTTTCCTCACATAGGAATGTCTTATTCCTTGTCAGAGAATAAAACAAATGGAACAAATGTTACATCTAAAAGCAATTGTGTTGAAGGAAATTATCTGTTGAATTGCAACTCACTAAATGTCACTTTCGCTGATTCCAATTACAAATTGAACAGTAGACAGGAGCCTAATTACTGTGCACAAAAAAGTTATTTAACAAACAGTAGTATGCATATGCAGAAGAAGGAAGAATATAAAATTGAACATGCATATAATGTGAATAATAACAGCAATAGGGATGATCATAAATTGTTTATCAATTGTAATTATCAAAAGGGGGTGAATAATTGCCCTTATAGCCATACCTTATCATCTGATGGAGGAATATTTGATAATAAGAAAAGGTACAACTCCGATGTTATTTTAATGAGATCAGATCCGATTAACAACAATATCCTATCGATAGATAATTTGAACTCATACTTTTCTAATAATGTTAATGCAAAGAGAGAATGTGCTTATAACGAATTGAACAAGTACAAATCGGAAAAATTGAGACATGCCTCGTGCGATAATTTAGACATAAAGGAAAAAATGGTTAATACAAGTATCCAAAGAAAGAATGATAAATTTATTGAAACCATTTTTAAAAAAAATATTAATAAAAATTTATTTGGAATTAATAAAAGTATAAATGCAGATAATACGTACGATGATGCTAATGATGGTAGGAATAATTTTAAGAATTATACGTTAAAAAATTTTTTTAATTTTCCAAATAATGAATTAAAAATATTAATTTATAATTTTTTGTACTTGTACATTTTTGATGAATATATATACATCAATACACATAAAAAGGACATAAATGAATATTTCAATTTTGTAAATGTGTTAAAAAAGAAACAAAAACTAAGGTACAACTTTTACAATTTTTTATGCAAATCGTACAATGATATTGGAAATGAAATATCTTGCTACAAAAAATACCTGAAAGAAAAGTATTTAAATAAAAATAAAAAAAAGGATAATAACAAAATGACGTATAATTCCATGTTTGGAGAAAAGACAACCATTCCTGATAATATGAAAAAAGATATGAATGAGAAAAGTAAAATGAAAAGTTCCAAAAAATTGTCAAAGAAAGGGGAAGATTATAAAATTACTAGAGAACACAAAAAAGAACCCCCATCCCCAATGACCTCCATTATCCTATTAAATAATAAAAAAAAAAATTATAATTCTAAAATTATAAATTTGTTGAGAGATACATATAAAAAAAATTTCATTAATTATCATATGAAAATAAATATAGAAAAATATGAACACATTTATTTCCTTTTCATGATAACGGAAATGTTATCATTCATATTCTTACCATATATCAATATGCATTATGCGTTTACATACATCAAGTGTTATAAAAATGGGAATGATAATAAGTTTACCACTATTGAAAGATTTAGACAAGAAAATAGAAATCTATTATGTGAAGGAGATAGTCCGAATGACACTGAAGAAATGAACATAGTTATTAATCACCAACAGAATCGTACACATATACGAAGCCGCACAAACAAACGAAAGAGGTTTCTGAAAGATGAGAAGAAGGGAATTTCCACAAGTATTTATAACATGTTCAAACTGGATAAAGGAAAAAACTTATTTAATTTTTTAAATAAAGAGAAAAATAATTATTCCGATTCTGAAGATATTAGGAATAGAAAAATATTTTATAGAAAGAATACCCTAAGTAATATTAAAAATGAGACAGCTTATATGCAGAAATATTCTCTATTCAATGAGAAAAGAGAAAAATGGAAAGACACACTATTCATCAAATCTAACCCATTTGAACTGAAAAAAAAAAAATATAAAAAATATAGTCACCACATGGATGACAATAATTATTATATAACTTTATGCAATGTTCATCAAGTTGTACAGCAAATTAGAAGAAGCAAAAAACGATTAACTTTGCAAACAAAAAATTGTATTGAAAATTTTATCCTTTATAATGAATATTATCAAATTGATACATATGAATTGAATAAAAAATTTCATAATAAAGGAAAATATTTCCTTATAAAAAAATATGAAAAAATTATAGCCCTTGCCTTTTACACACGTTTTAATACTTATTTGATATTTTCCCTATATCAAAGGATAGCATTACTGAATTTTCTTTACTCAAATTATCATTTGGTCATTTCAATTTTAAGATATATTAACCATGTACACTGTAAATTGATGAACCAACATTCGAACAATCGTTTTTTGTCCACACAGAGATCAAGAATGAAGTGTGATAGGGAACTCAATTTATCTAATCAAGGTAATAAAATGAATACAGAGCAAGGTGAAAGGGAAAAAACATTTTTCATGGCAGATAAGCAAGACTATACAAATTATTATCATCCCTTCTTCTATATGAAAGATGAAGATATTCCCTATGATGATTACATAATTAATACATACAGTACGAATTATATATATGATAAAAATAATGCACAATATGATAAAAGTAACACAATGACATCCTTAAAAACATTTTATGAAAATTTAGGTTATATAAAATCCTTCCGATTTTCCATTTTCTTCGACATATTTTTTGAGCTAAAGGTAAATTTTAACCATCTTAGAAGTGCATATATATGCGTCCAAAATTCTTTGAAGTATTTATTCTTCTTTTTGAAGAATTCCCACAAATTTAACTTGATCCTAGATGTGCACCCGAGAAAGGGAAAACGTGGATTCAGATGTGAAATTGTTAATGAAACGACAAGTGACTTAAATAACCATTCTGATAAAAAAGAATATATTCCACATGTCAATCGAAACAATAGAAACCAAAACGAAACATGGAAAGTAAAAAATATAAATTTACAAAGGCTCCCCACGATAAATTGTACTAGTGGTGCGATGACTTCAGGAAAGTTTTCGCAAAATGAAAGGAGGAAAAGTACTATTGAACATTCAAATTTAACATGCAACGAATGGGATGCACAAGATAAAGAACCGTTTTATGATACAAAATATAGAAGGCCTGTGGATGAAAATTACGAATTTGCTAACAATAATATATGTCCAAATGAAAAATGGAATTCTGATAATGTTCATTATGATGATTGTTATTTAGAAAATAATAATTCGTCCAATATTTCTAGTCCATATTTCAAAAAGGAAATTTTTGGCACGAATAATGAAAATAAAAGAAATACCTTAACCAAATGGATAGATGAGGAATGCCATATGTTCGTTCCTAAAAATGATATAAATAAATTAAGAAGTAGTAAACTGTTTTATATTATTGGGATATCATTACTAAAGCAATTGAACACGAACTATTATTATGACAATATAAAAGAAATAAACCTAATTTATGAAAATGATTTGATAAATAAAAAAATAAATATAAGTAATCTTTTAAAAAATAATTACACAGATGTGTTAAATTTGAGTTACAAATATATTATTAAAAGTATTAAAACAGATTCTAATAGTCTCTTAAGTTATTACTATCTTTGTATCATTTACCTATACAAATTAAAAATTAAGAAATGTATATATATATGTAAAAATTTCTTGCTCAAAAATTCCCACAACTCTTATGCCTTCCCATTCTTTTTATTAAATATAATAGTAACCAGTTCGAGGTGCATTCAAATGGATATATATTCTGCACGAGCAAGGAAAAACATATACAATGATATTACTTATTTCCCAAAAATGTTTCAAAAAAGAAATACGCGTGATGATTATGCCAAGTCAGCTACCAGTTATAATCATAAAAATTATGACAAGGATGATTTGTTCATTAAAAATTCGAACATTTTTGACAGATACGACGAATATTATAAAGAATTTCTTAATCAGCTAAAATTCAGTGTCCCTAAATTTTACCATTCTATTTCAAGTCTGAACAATATGTTTGATGAAGATGATGATGCTGATAATAATAATGAAAATAATAATGATAATAATAATGATAATAATAATGATAATAATAATGATAATAATAATGATAATAATAATGATGATGATAATGATGATGAAAATAAAGGTGGATATATAAACCATTTTTGCAACTTTGGGAATTCTATTAATTGCAACGAGCCCTTGAAAAAAATGCACTATGCCAATTTGAAAAAAAATAAATATGTTTACGAAAGAGAATCTAATAACAAAAGTAAATATGCAAGTGATACAGAAGATGTACTCAAAAAGGAGCGTGTTGATCAGCATGATGAGAAACATATGGACAGGAATTTTAAAATAATAGAAAGAATATCTCCAAAGTCTAATAGTACATGTAACAAATTGAATGCACAAAGTATAACATACACGCCACATTATATGCACAGCGATGGTAATGCCCAAAGTAGATCACTTAATAATGAATGTTTTCTAATTCTTACCAAAGCTATTAACTTTTTTCCAAATAATTTTTTTTTTTTTTACATATATTTGTATTATTTAATTAATTTTTTTGTAATGTATGATGTTTTATTTTGTTGGGAAAAAAATACAGAAGACAAGAAGAAAAAAAAGACTTGTCCAAATACTCATTTGAACAATTCATTATTGAAAAGAATTTCACAAAAATGCAACTTACAATCCATCCCAGATACAAACCAAATAACTTTAGATTATTTCGATTCTTCGGGTGAAGGAAAAAAAGGAGATACAAATCTTAACCATTTGTATAACGCTATATTCGACTCAGACGAAATGAATAACGATGATAATGAAAAAATTTATTCAAGTGATGAAACTGAAAAAGGTAACTTTCTAAATGGAGATAGTAATTCGATTCGATTATTTTCTAATGTGCCATTTAATCTTAACAAGTTTACGAACTTGACTAAGGGGAAGAAAGCAGGAAACATAATTTTAACAAATACTATTAAGGAAGAAATTGACAAAATTCAAACTTCCTTAAAAATTTTGGGAAAAAAAAGCAACTCCATAGGTATGGAGTCTAGAAATAGAGACACCAAATATTCAGCTCATCGCAGGAGGAAAGACAAAGTATCTGAGATTACCCTGAATAGTGGAACTATGAACAATATGAATCTTACTACAGTAAATTGTAATTGTAATTCTGATGCAGTTTATGATAAAAAGGATGGAACAACTCACCATAAAAATTTCTTGGATAATCCACATCTTACTGAACGGACAGATTTTGATCAGCACAACGAATCGAGGGATGTGCATGTTAAGGTGAAAAACAAGAAAAATGAGAAAATTCAAAGTAAGGAGAAAAATGAAAGAACCCAAAGTAAGGAAAAAAATGAAAGAACCCAATGTAAGGAAAAAAATGAAAGAACCCAATGTAAGGAAAAAAATGAAAGAACCCAATGTAAGGAAAAAAATGAAAGAACCCAAAGTAAAGAGAAAAATGAAAGAACTGTAAATTATCAGATTCCTTATGATACCTGCTGTTCAATCGGAATGAAAAATAACATAAAAAGAAGTGAATATATTGACATTAGCAAAATAAATTTGCTACCCTGTGCAATACCCATATTACTGATATTATATAAATATATCAATCAAAAAATTCAAAAAAAAAAAAATTCTGACATGTGTATATATTTTTATCTAAACAATATTATGTCATCTATTGATTTGGATAAAATTAAGTGCGAATTGCATGAAAAGGATGATAGTGATCCGTTTTACACTGGCGAGATTGACAACTCTAATTGTTTCTTTAGCTACTCCAAAAGGAACAATAAACTGTATAGCAAGAATTACGACTTTTTGGAAAAAAATAAAAGTGGCACGATTAATAGAAGCTGCTCCATGAACATACCTAGAAGTGTCAACAATATTAGAACCCATAATTGGACGAGTGGTAATAATAATATGGAGGAAAACAATATCCCTCATAATAGTACGAATAGGAAGGGATTACGAAAAATTAGTCTGAAAAATGTGTACTTGGAAGCAATCACCTGGATTAGTTTGAGTGAAATTTTAATTTACTTGAAGGTAAGTGCAAAGTTAATTATTTATTTTTTTAACATTATAGACACATATATAAAACTTTATCTAAGTATAAATAATAACAACAATTATTACAATTATGAGAATATTAGTTTTTTTTACAATTTAACGCACCAATTTATGTGCTTGAAATGCTTATACTTATTTTATTTATATGCAAAATGTATAAAAAAAAGAAGAAAATATTCAGATAATCTTTTTATGAACAGAAAAAGAATCAGAATATATTATGTGCCTCAAATGATAATATCACCTTTTAAGAATGTGGAAAAAAAAAGGAAAAAGAACAAGTTATTACTACATAAAAAAAATTTATATACAAAAATTCTCTTTTTCGAAAATGAATACGAGTTGCATACTTCTAGAATGAAATTGTGTGATCACCCACAAGTCCGAGTAGATAACAACTACATCTACTTCAGTGATAAAATAAGTGACAATGATTTTAAGTTGCCATTTCATATCAATCATAAGAAGGAATTAAGGGGGAAATTCTGGCTCTTATGGAGAAAAACAGAAAAGGCAGACACACAAGGTAGAGGAGCAGAAAAAGGAGGAACAGAAAAATACGAAAAAAAAAACCTTCCAAGAAGGAACACTGAAAAGGGCAACTCTCCAAAACAGATCACAGATAACGGCGTTAAATGGAATATGATCAGCAAAGGAGAAGTAAACAGCAAAATGAACAAAAAAAGTATGAATAAACTGTATGCCGATGAAGAAAAATTATTTAATTCCTTTCACATTGATGATAAGAGTGACCAAAATAGACATAAAAAATATCAACTTGTAAAAAACATTAAAATTTATATATCTTTAATGAGTAAAATTTATTTTAACGATAGAAAAGTTAACATTTTGTATGCAAGGTATTATTTTTTAAAAAAAAAGTACCAAAAAGTTATCACCATATTATCATTACTAAATAAACATTACAAAAAAAAGGATTACTTCATTAGAGGAAATAAAAAACCCTATGTTCAGAGCGACAAGAAAAAAAATATTCATAATTCGACTGAGGAAAACACATACCCTAATGAGGGGTATCCGTTTCATTTAAATAACCAAACCGATTTCATCTATGAATATTTAAATATATATATGTATTACCAGTCCTTTGAAAAATTACAAAACTATAGGAAATCGAATTATTACAAGCATATTCTAAATGTCATTTTTTTAAACTGTCCCCTAATACCATTTTCTCTATTTCCGTTTATAAATTTGTGAGTGTCGCAGACTCCATATATTATATTCCCTCTTGCAATGCATACCCAGCGATTGCTATGGGTGGAGATAGTGAATTTCCATCGTCCATTTCTCCCATTTGCATTTCTCTCACCCGTATTTAATTCTCTCGCGAATGTTTATATGTACCCAACAGTCGGACAATCCAACAATCTTTATAAATAGGTGACACTTGCTATAACATGTTTTTCCAATGTTGGAACTTTTTATGGGAAATTCCCTTTTTATATGACTTTTATTTTTACAGTTTCTATCTTTTATTTTCAAACACATTCATTTTACGTTATGGTTCGTAAATTTTTCTTTGCCTGGCTTTTTTTCATGTCTTGTTTTCCCCTATTTTACTTTGTCACATTTTAATTTGCCTTTTTTTTTTTTTTTTTTTTTTTTCAACCTTTTTTATTTTTAATTTTTTTTTTTTGCAGCAAAAAAAAAAAAAAAAAAAAAAAAAAAAAAGGACGTAATTTGAACACATGACATTGTACTTGTGTATATTTTTCATTTGCACGTCCTTTATTACCAATCCATATATCCCCTCGTTTTCTTCACACTTTCACGATGCCTGTCGTACATCGAACAATATATATGTATATATATATATATATATATAGGCATTTTGATTCGTTCATGTCAATAATTGCTTTTTCAAATAATTTTAATATATTTTTTTTTTTCTTGTTTTGTAACAAAACTTTAAGTTTCACACCCATGTAAAAAATGGTGAAGAACTGCAAGGAAAAGAAACAAAAAAAAAGAAACCGTTGTATTTGGCACTATTTTATTTTATTAAATTTTATGTCACTTTTTTTTTTCTTCTTTTTGGCAACCCTTTTAAAGATTTTTTTTCATGGCTTTATAAAAATTACTTCTTCAATAAAATGATATTCTTGTTTTTGGAACGTTAGAATATTTCAAATGCAAAATTAAGCAAAAAAAAAAAAAAAAAAGAAAAAAAAAAAATAAGTATTAAATTGAAAGACATTCACCCATTATTTCACGTATGTTGTATGTATAATTATAAGAGACTTTTTCACAGTTTTGTAGTTTTCAAAAATGTGCAGATTATAAGCATTTTGGCTTTGTCTTTAATTTTGTGGGTTATATTTTATGTGGTTCGTGAGAATGATGGAAAAAAAATAGGGTGAATGGACACATGAGCACTTGTTATTTATTATTTGTATCTTTTTCTTTTTTTTGCATAGCAATATTTTTCCTGTGTTTGTAGTACTGCAACTCTGCAGCCTTAACACTACAACTACATGTATGCTTAAATTTTAGAGAAACCACAACAAAACAATGAGGTCAATTTCTTTCTTCCCCTTGTGCACAGCTTCATTTTTTTTTTTTTCCTTATTTAACATCTTCCGAAATTTCACAAGTCGAAATTAGTCACAGTTAATTGCTTATTTGCAACACTAGTTTTCAGCATTTTTTTTTTTTTTACCTATCGTTTAAGTGTCTCGACAAATTCAGAGACATTACGCTAAACTAAATATATGGGATTGTTCTTAAAATGCTTCCACTTTAGTTAAATGTGAAACGGGGGATTATTAGGCATGCTCTTTTCTCTTTTTTTTTTTTTTTTTTTTTTTTTTTTTTTATTTTTTTTTTTTTTTTTATTTTTTTTTTTTTTTTTCTTAATTTTATATTTTCTAGTTAAGCATTAATTGCATTTTGTTTTTCCTTTTTTATTTTTACATATTAGCATTTAATTTCAATTATTATTTATTTATTCATTCATTGAGTCAGTGAGTCAGTAATTTTTTTTTTTTTTTTTTTTATGAAAACATACAAACATACGGAAGCACAGTTTTATCCATAATTACCACAAAATAACTGCAGAGAATATAGCACATGTATAAGGAGAAACATATAGGTGCTCCTCAATCGCGCTGGTGAAATAAAACAAACTATAGGTCCCTTTGCCTCCTTAAAGTATAAGTTGTTTCTATAATTTTTTTCGGGTTTAAAGAAAAAAAATCAAATTATATAAAATAAAACAAGAAATTAATTTGCGGCTTGCTTTTTCTGATGATGATTTTTTTTTTCCCCCATCATTTCGTTTTACCATTGATGATATTTTTTTTGTATCCATACTAATATTATAATATACACGTATGCATATACATATATAATATATATATATTATATGCATATATATATATATACATATATTATTAGCATATATTTATATACGTATATTATTAGCATATATTTATATACATATATTATAAGCATATATTTATATACATATATTATAAGCATATATTTATATGCATATATTCCATCTTTATCATGTATCAAATGGGAGAATTTTTAAAAAAAACTGTTACGTCAAAGTTTTAATTTGGATGGCCACTATATATTTTTTTTTTTATATATATATATTTTGTAGTCTTATATAGGCCATATTATACATATATATGTATATATTATTATATGTGTACTTGTATTCATATGAATATAAAAAACAGGAGTAATAATATTTTTACCATTTTGAACCCTGTAAAGCTGCTATACCTCTTCCTGTGCTCCGATGATTTCCTTAGCTACTAATAACTTTACCACAAAAGGGTAATTAAAAACGCTTGCATATACAATTGTACATTTATATTCCATTTTTTTTTAAAATATTTTTCGTACTCTTATACAAAATGGTTAGAGATATAAAATTGATGAGGCTCACCAAATCGAGTTTAGAGGCCCTGAACAAAAATCAAATGCTTACCAAAAAAAGTGAAAGGAAAATGTTAAAATTATGCCTATATGCAATTCTAACGTTTATGATGTGTGGTATGTTTTTGTTATTCCTAACCACGACATCGAATAAAGAGTTAATTATTAATGAAAGTAGTAATTTAAATGATCTTTTAAGAAATACTAATGATGGAGATATACTGAATAAGGAAGAAATAGAAGCATTGAAATTTATTTTTTCAAAATATCCAAAGGAAAATAAGGACGCAATTGATGATGCTAACAAAATGAACGAAGGAAAAAATGCAGCAGGTAATAATATAAAACTGATGAAGAAATATAAAGATTTTATCTTCAATATAAATGATGAAAATAAAGAAGACTTTGCAAAAATGCTACATGTACTTTTAAAAAATAAAATAAATGAAAAGAAAAAAAAAAAAAAACAATCAGAAAACAATGATGAAGAGGGAAACAAATTGCTCAGTAATTTCCGAACGACTGGAGGTCTGAAAAGTATTAAGAACGATGATAAAATATTGAGTGAAGTAAATACAGAAAATATATTGTTCAATATGAAATATGCATCGAAATTTTTAAAGTTTATGAAAAAATATAACAGAAATTATAAAGACATAAATGAACAAATAGAAAAATACGAAAACTTCAAGGTGAATTATATAAAAATTAAAAATCACAATAAAATGAATCATACTTATAAAATGAAAATAAATCAATTCGGTGATTATTCAAAAAAAGATTTTGAAAAATACTTTAAAAAATTATTACCAATACCAAATCATTTGAAAGAAAAATATGTAACACCATTCAGTTTACATATGAAATATAAAAAAAATAAATTGACACTTGGGAACTCAAACCTTTTTGCTTCCGTACCAGAAAATTTAGATTATCGAGAAAAGGGAATCGTACATGAACCAAAAGATCAAGGATTATGTGGTTCCTGTTGGGCATTCGCTAGTGTAGGAAATGTTGAATGTATGTATGCAAAGGAACATAACAAAACTATTTTAACGCTAAGTGAACAAGAAGTTGTAGATTGCTCAAAATTAAATTTCGGGTGTGATGGTGGACATCCATTTTACTCTTTTATATATGCCATTGAAAATGGAATATGTTTAGGAGATGAATATAAATATAGAGCTATGGATAATTTATTTTGTTTAAATTATAGGTGTAAAAATAAAGTTACATTATCATCTGTTGGTGGGGTAATGGAAAATGAATTAATACGTGCTCTGAATGAAGTAGGTCCTGTATCTGTTAATGTTGGTGTGACAGATGATTTCAGTTTTTATGATGGAGGAATATTTAATGGTACTTGTACAGAAGAATTAAACCATTCTGTTCTTTTAGTTGGCTATGGCCAAGTACGTAGTAGCAAAATATTTCAAAAAAATGGTGCTATTGAAAGTTCCACAAGTGTCATGAAAGATGGAACAGATACCACACATAATAATGCCACTGATGATATCAAATACTATTGGATTATCAAAAACTCTTGGAGTAAAAATTGGGGAGAAAATGGATTCATGAGAATTAGCAGAAACAAAGAAGGAGACAATGTTTTTTGTGGTATCGGTATCGAAGTTTTCTATCCAATTTTGTAAAACTGCTCCGAAGGAAAACATTGATTCATTTTTCAAGGTTTTTTTGTAATCCAGTGTCGTGTTTCCCCTGATTAGAGCACTTTTCTATACATTATGTGTAAACCCGTTTTGGCCTAAACGATTTAATAAATCGCGTCTTAGTTAGACAAGCCTTTTTTTAAAGTGCATATACATGAAAAATATTTTACCGTGTGGTTTAACCCTGTAATAAATGCTTACAAAGTGTATACATATATATATATATATATGCGAGTGTCGTCCCTTCCGTGTTCAATTACTTTTTTCCTTTTTGGTACCTCTTTTGATTTGAGTCCAATATTTATATGCAATCATTGACATTTTATGTTTTTAAGTATTCAATTTATTTATTTTGTTAATTTATTTTGTTAATCTATTTTGTTAATTTATTTTGTTAATCTATTTTGTTAATTTATTTTGTTAATTTATTTTATTAATTTTTTTTTTTTTTTTTAACCCCTCATGAATTAGCTACATTTCCTTACGCCCCCCTATTATACATGTAAGGCTTTAGGCTTATGATAAAATAAAAATTTTAATCTGTACCATTTCTATTTTTTTTTTTTTTTCTTTTTAACAAGTTCGCTTAAAATAAATTTTTTTCTATACTATCCTTTAAAAGGTAAGAATTGGGAATGGGAGTTTTCTCATCTTTTGTGCAAAATATTTTTCACATGCATATAAGAGAAGTAAAACAAAGGCAAAAAAATTAAGCTATCTCTTATCAGGTATACCAGCCCCAGATGAGCAAAAAAAAATAAAAAAAAAAACATATTTTTCAATACTGAGTAGTGTATCTCTCTAGAGCGCATTAAGCAAATGTTACAAATGTGTTCGTGTTGTATATCAATAAAATGTGTCGGCATGTATAGTCAAGTCATGTTGTTCCGAATGTTCATTATGCATTATATGCTAGCGGATTTAAGATTTTTTTTTTTTTTTCGTAATTTTTTAATTTTGGAACATTTTAAATAGTACCCGGTTTGTGCAGAAAATCATACTGGTTATGTACAGTTGATACACCCATCAATGTTACAAAGCAGCCAGACCTCTTAAGGATGCGTAATCCATTCGTATAATAGGGAGAGAAAATATTAAATGAAATTCTGGCAAGAAAAAAAAAAAAAAAAAAAAATCTGCAAATAGGAAAAGTAATGAAAATATGAAAATATGAAAAATTGTGAAAATAAATAAATAAAGTTGCAGTACAAAAATGGTAAAATGAAATAATTAAAAAACGCAACAATGAATACATATATGTTAGGTTAAACAAATTCATGCTAGCATTCTTATATGCGTGCCAAAACAAAAGCAGTTTGGAAGTATAAGACCAAACCGTTTTTTACAATATTTTAGAGGATTTTTTTTTTTTTTCACTTTGTTCTGCTTCTTTCATTTTGTTACGCTTTCACGACATTTACCATTTGAAGAAGTTACAACAAATAATCATAGACATATAACATAATAGTACATCCGTAAGAAAGGCATGCACAACACCCTCATTTCCTGAAGCAAAAAAAAATATTATGAAAAAACGTACTGGGAAGTTTCTACTATTCTCGTCTTGCGTTTTAAGCCTTGGAATATATTACTACGTAAAAACAACAAAATACTCGGATTATAGAAGAAGATATGAGGGTGTATTAAAAGACATAGAAAGACAAAAGGCAAATTTTAAAAAATGGAAAGCTGATAATTTATAGGACAATAAGGGACAAAAAAAAAAAAAAAAAATGTATCAGAAATATAAGAAAATGAATAATGTTGATAATAATTACGTAAATTGTTTTCTGCACAAACATATTTTTATTTTATTTTTAATGCCACAAAAAGGAAAAGCTAATTTTAGAGGAAATTTTACTCTCCTTCGCCTTATGTGTTGTATAAACCCCATTAGTGTGATAGCATTTTTGATATTTGTTGTACTACTACCCCAAAGGGAAATAAAAATATAAAATTATTCCATTTTATTTTAAAAATTGAAGAAAAAATGAAAAATATGAATTCATTCATGAGGGAATTAAAGCGTGTGTTTAAAAAGGAAAGTGATAATTCGTATCAGTCTATATTAAAAAATATCAAAATACAAAGCATATACACAAATGATAAAATTAATAAAAAGGAGCATTATGTTTATTTTAAAGAATATGACATAAAAACAAATGGTATGCAAAGTAACTAGGTGGAGAGAGAATGAGGGAAAATATGCGTGCCTGTTGGCATGCATAGCATTGTCACCTCCTATTTGTTACACTAAAAATATATATATACTAGTGCACCCTCCTCCTTTGCGTTTTAACTACTCCTATACACAACTTTTCACACCTTTTAATGCATGTTTCCTACACGCAGATTTGAATTACTCACATATTTCAAAAACAAAAAGATTGTTCAGTATCGAAAGACGTAAATACAAAAATGCTATTCTGTTTGCTACAATCGGTTCCACCATTGGGATAGTTTCTTTCGTCTTTTTTGTATCACCACAATGGAATTATTATACCTAGAAGGGAAAAAAAAGGGATTTTTCCCAAATGTTTGGAGAAATACATGTAAAGTAATTGCTTTGCATTGTTTCGCCTTTTTTTGTTCCCATATTTTCTTCTTTCCATTTCGTTTTTTTTTTTTTTTTTTTTTTTTTTTTTTCTTTCTTTTTACGAACCTAACTTATATGTACTCTTTTAGATAGAAATCCAGGCAAAGACCAAAAAAGTCTAGATTTTCCTTGTTCATACTTCCGTTATGTCCACAGTTTACGAGCAAAGGACAACCCAAAACTCTGCAAGGGGAGGTGGGAGTAAGGATTTTTTTTTTATGTAAAATATAGTAACATCCTCTAGATATGTGCAGTATGCTAGTGCCAAAAAGACGATCATGCTTCGCTTAATCAAAATTTCTTACTTGGGAGAGTAAACCTTATAAGCTTCCCTATAGGAAACATCAAAGCGAGATATGGGGACCAGGGTAGTTAGGTCTATGTTTGTGCTATGATAATCGTGACAGTTCACGTTCACATCCAACGACTTTGTTAAACGTTCAAAAAAAGTGTAAATAATATACGTATGAGTTAACAACTTTTTAAAAATTAATATACGATAAATCAAAAAAATGATAAAATGTATACTTGTGTTTTGGTTAATGGAAGTATACTCAGTAGCTAAACTTTTGGAATAATTTTTCATTTTTTGTAATTCATTTTTTAAAGTAAGGTAAATTTTACACACACTCATTCTATTGTTTAATCGCATCCAGCTTACATATTTTTCTAGTTCATTCGATAAATTAGCATTATTTATATTAATTCCAACATCGTTTGAAAATATATGAAGAAAATTCCTACTTTTTAGGAGAATCGTATTATCCTTGTTTTTTTCCTCTAAAGCATGATATAGCTGTTTTATATCTATTATGTATGTATTCTCTTCTAGTTTATAAAATACATTCAAAGATCCAAAAGAGGAACCACCATCTTTCTTAAAATAATTCAAACATATAATTAAATCGTGCAAAAACATGGACTTTTTTACTATCACATAGGGAGGAAACATACTGCAGTTAAAATCTTGTGTACACTTGTTATTCAATTGAAAATCGTCTTTATTTCGTTTTCCTTTAATTTTGATTGTTCTCTTTTCCAAATTAGTACGTAAGAAATATACATTTTCACAATCGCTGTTCGAATATTCCCCATCAGACAAGGGTTCGTCAGATCCTTCTTTATTGATAAAACAATGTTTATCATTTTTCATTTTTGTCCTCCCGTTTAGATCACCTTGATCAAAGCATTGTGATAAAATAAAAGGAATTTGATAAATAGAATTACAATATTGTTGTTCATAGGATGAAAGGAAACATTGAGAAGGGTACGATCCATATACCTTCATTCTAAAAATAAAAGATTTTAAAAAACATATTTTCTCCTTTTCTAGTACATTATTCAATTCGCTAAATAATTGTCCACATGAATTCAAATTATAATTTACTGTATTTACAATTTCAGTTATAGAATCACTAAACTCATTTAAAAAATTTATAATATCCATATCTTCTATATTAAAAGCAGGATCATCCTTTTTTCTATTTTTTGTATTTATGTAATTATATAAGTAATCATTTTTTAAAAAGAACCCACTATATGTAAAATGAACCTTTTCAACTTCTTTCCTTTTGGACATGTATAAATCTTTCAATATTTTATCAAGCTTATCCATTTCAAATATAAAATCTTCATTTTCCTGTAGCATATCATATATATTATCTTTGGTAGAACACCTTTCTTTATACATAGACTCTGACATTAAAAAATCTTCATAGTTACAGTTTACTTTTTTAAATTTATTCATGAAACTTATATTATCATTATAAATACAATATATAGCATTGTGCGTCTGCTTTTCTAAATTATGCTCCTTATAATTATATAAAGACATAATAAATTTATATGTCTCTAAACCTATGGAAATGAAAGAATTATTCGTAGTAGAAGATTTATTCAAAAACAAAATGCAATCGTTTAGTACTTTCCAGCTTTGCAAAAACAGCTCCATATCTAGTTTTTTCAGTTTATTATCAAACCAGCATTTGTCCACATTTTCATCAATAATTAGATGATCAACAAAAGTCATATTTTCATTTGGACTCTTGAAAAAGATTCGTTTTTTATAGTGCTCCGTTTCTTCCTCCACTTCCTGTCCATTCCGTTTATGCAATTCCGTCTGCTTCTTCTCATCCTGATTCTTCTCATTAGTGCATAAATTGTGATAAATCATTTTCTGTGCCATAGCTAAGTCATCCCTTTCTGCATCCATCTCATCATCACAACAGCTAGTTATCAAGGGCAATAGATTTTCTTCATTTTCACTAAAATCCTTGGTACAACCTACTTTCCCCTGATCACTTTTATACAATTTAGATATTCCTTTTGACACACCTGTAACTACATTTGACATATAATGAATTATTTCGTCATTATTATCATAAATTAATATTTTGGGCACATTGGAACTCATATAATATTTTGTTATATCTAGTTTATACGAGGTAAACTGCAAAATGTTGTAGGCGTATTCCCCTAGCATGTATTTTGCCACCTCTTCGAAATTGTAAAACGATTTGTCAATACATACAAAGGATATCTTTGGCTTTTGTACATTTTCACAGTTATTACTATTATTACAATAATTACTGTCGTTATTATTGTTCCTATTGTTATCATCACTTCCATTATTGAGCTTATCACCATTGATTCGAAGTTTTTTTTTTTTTCTGTTGTTCATATTAATCTTTCTCTTTATCCTTATGTTGGTTACTTTTAGCTTGCATAATATAATGAAGTGTAACAGTAATATAATATATTTAAATGGGATTAATAGAATATTTAGAATTTTGTCTTTTTTCCTATTCATCAATCTTACCGTTTTGTTTATTTGTTTGTTAGTGATTTTCATGTGTGCTTCATTTTTATATAGTTTTCCCAAAATTTCGGAGTTCTTATTTTGTTCATTAAAATTGCATAAATGATACGACACGTATGAACATAAGGGGCCCCCGATAGATGTTCCATGTAACCCTAAATGTTTTATTTTTTTTGATAAAAGATATTCTGCAATTTTTAAAGCATCTAAATTATTTCTGTTCAAATTTGGGTAACCGCTTGATTTACTGTAACCTCGATAATTATAAACAAAAACGTTCATATTGTTTTCTATATAAAATTTAAGTGATTCAGAATAACAAGCATTTAATTCATAATATGCTGCATTTGGATTAAAATATAACACTACTGGTATATCATGTAAATAATCATCATGATAAATGAAATTGTAGAAATCATTATTGAAGGCATTTAAATAAATGTAACTATTACAGTGAGTATTCATATTATACATATCGTATAACCCCTTTTTTCCTATCGTTTTTATCAACTTCATATATTTTTGCATCTTATCACTTAGAAATTTCTTACATGGTATAAACATACAATCTAGTTTTTCCTTATTAATCACCAAATATTCCTGCTTTCCATAATATTTATAAATCAATTCATATTTAAATAAATCCAATGTTCCTGCTATGTGATTTTTTATGTAATTATTAATGTATATGGGAAGTTTTTTTATGTCTATACTTTCTTTTAATGAGTTTAGTTTAAAAAGCTCACCTAGTTTATTCAAAAAAAATGTTAAATCATCTAACAATTTCAAAACATTCTCGCATTGTATAATCATGAAAAAGTTTTTATAATTGACATGAGTAATTGATTTTTCATAATTTTCATGATGAAATAGGCTCAAAATATTTATATCGACGTAATTAGAATGCATTTCATTTGTAGAATTCTCTTTATTTTTCAAATTATGATCTTCACTTTTTATGTTGTAATTGGAAATGTTACACATTTTTTTATACTCCTCAGAATAGCTGCTTATTAATCCTTCTTCCTTCCTATTACCGTTCCTTCTATGGAATAAATTGTTATATGTGCTGCTCAGGTCGCTATGAATTTTCTCATTCACCTTTTCTGATATCAATTTCATACGTTCCTCCGGGATCTTACATTCATTTTCATTTTTCTTGTTAGATATATACTTCCATACGTTGAATATCCATCTTGGGTATTGCAAATTTGTATCTCTTTCCTTTTCTATGATATTCTCATAAAATTGTCTATATGTAGTGTTTTTCTTACTTATAAACTCATGTACTGTTTTGTTGATATCCTTGTGTATTGATATTTCTGTAAGCATTTCCGGATATAGTATGTCATCTTGATGTATATATATTTTCAATTCATTTATTTTTATCATGAAAATTTTTAAATAGTAATAAAAATTTAATTGTTCATCAGTGAAGTCTACATTTTCTTCTAAATTCACATACAGATAATAACTAATGTATAGGGTGTAGAATATGTATAAACTACTAAAAAAATTAAAATAGTTATCTTTGTTATTACTACTTGAAAACAGCTGCTCTAATTTAATTTTAAGATTTCTATTAGGTTCATTTTCACATTTAAGTATTTCCTTAACATTTATTCGAAGCTCACTTATAATAAGTGACAATTTTACGGATTCCTTCATATAAAATTTGCATAGTTCAACTTTATTGTCATAATTTGTCTACATGCAGGATGGGTAGTAAGGGGGGCGATGGTGAAGGGAAATTGTATATAAAAATGTGACGTTTTCATTTAAACATTTTTGTTTACACGTTTATGTTTATGCGTTTTTTTTATTCTTTTTTAATTTTCCGTTTTTTCCCCTGTTTACCTTGTGGAAGTATATAAACAGACTCCCGGGGTATGTCAAAGCCCTTACAACAAAATTGAAACATATGTAGAACAATAAAATGTTCACAAACAGGTAGAATAAGGTATTGTTTAACACAGACAAAAACAAGGAGATATATGTGTAATATAAATAGAGTACTGTTAAGAAGAAAACGATACACGAACTATTTTTTTTTAAAGATTTAAACATTTTTTTGCAAAACATAATTGTAGACATGACTTGTAATGAAAACTATATGGGCTTTTTTTAGTTTTTATTCGATTTTGTTAGTAAACATATATTATCATGCATTTTGCAGCAGGAAGGCTGTTTATGCAATGGGGTTCCCTTGGGTACTGCATAAAGGTTATCAGAAAATATGTATATGTATTTGTAAACAAATACATGTATATATATTTTCATATAAATCCATATGTAATATATATTTTACCTCTAAATAAAACTGAATGTAATCTCGATGAGAACAATTTTAAATTACATTTTCTTAAGTGTCAATTATAAGTTATCAATTTAAGCTTTCTTAAATTGTGTTAAATTGCGTGAAGTAATTTTTGTAGTTTTTCTGAACACATTCAAGAAAACTCATTTTGTGTAATTCACATTTAAAAAAAAAAAAAAAAAAAAAAGTATTGTAAATATATGTATACATATATTCAGATAAGTAAACAAGTTTAAAAACATGTACACATACAATATCACAGACAAAAAATGTTCATAAAAGCAAGAATGTGATGTAAATTCGGATTTATTGGGGGATGTTGAAATTGCATGCTTTTAAAGAATTTTTAAAAACGTTAATTTTATAAAGTTTTAAAACATTAAAAAGGGAAAATGTATTTTTTATGCTATAATTGTATGAGCTCTTAAAAATAGAAATAGATAAATAAAAGAATGATCATATAATTAAATCTCACATAATTCAATCATTTAAGCATTTCCTTATTTTTTTTTTTCAAGCAACGTAATTGGTGTTATGTGTAGTGAAGTAGTGAAATAAAAAGAAAAGAACAAAATGTGAGACATGAACGGAATGAACGAAATGAACGGAATGAACGAACTGAACGGAATGAACGAAATGAACGGAATGAACGAAATGAACGGAATGAACGAAATGAACGAAATGAACGGAATGAAAGAAATGAACGAATTGAACGGAATGAACGGAATGAATACACTGAAATGAGGAACTCAAATGATGCATCGAGCTGGTGTATCAAAATAAAATGAGCTCATGAGCCTTCTGAAAATATAAAAAATAAGGTAAGAAATTAACATATTCGCCATACAAACCGAAAGAAAAATATGGGTTAATTTTATAACACATAAAACTCAAGGCATATTTCAAAAATACTCACAAGTCAGACGTTCGAAACAAAAAAAAAAAAAAAAAAAAAAAAAAAAAAGGGGGATGAGATGGGAAACAACTGCTTTCACAAATGGTATAAGATTCATACATATGTAGAGGTGTGTACAGAATAAACATATATATAAAGATTGTGTATATACTTTTTCATATCACACATTTCCCTCTAGCAGATGTATGCATCATATTTTTCTTTCTTTTTTTCGATTGCTTCCTTTAATTTTTGTTGTAATTTAAGTAAAACGGGGTGATTGACATCCTTTTCAAATGTTTTTTTATTTTCCGAATATAGTATTATTTTTTTAACGGGTAAAATATTTCTAGTTGTTGAGCATATGAAGCAGAATTCAAAAAGCTCAACATCTCTTATGTTGATAGATTCCCTTTTTAATTTAATCCCCTCTTTTTCGCACAAGTCTATTATTTGTTCTCGTGTGGTCCCTTTAAGAACATATTCATCATTTGCTGTATACAAAATATTTTCAAAAAAACAAAAAAAATTACAAGTTAACCCTTCCGTTATTTCACCCTTTTCGTTATATAGAACAACATCGTTACTATCTTCATTTTTTAATTTTAATAATTTTTCTCGAATATCAAACACATTTGAGTATTTTATATTTGGCAGTTTTCTTTCCCCACACATGATATCAATTTGCACATTACTGTTATGTCTTGGTAGACATTTTATATAACACAAAATTGAAAATGGCACATTTAAAGAATACTTTTTATTATTGACTATATCCCATGTTATCGTAACCATTACCATATAATTAGAATTTTCACTAAAATGTTTTTTTTTTGAGTCATCATTTAATGCATTTAAAAATTCAAAACCTGTCTTGATGTTTCTGCTACTATATTTACATATATTCTCTAATGTTAAACTCTGTAAAATGTTCGTTATACATTCTTTGTTATTGTCATTTATTTGTAACTTGAGAAAGTTCGTAGCATACATATGCAAATTTTTCATGTGTAAGGTAAAGTTAAAAATATATTCATACGATGTTACTGTTTTCATGGTAGTGTACACTCCATGTATTCCCAATTTAATGAATTCCAGGGCTGGCATATCGACTAGCGATGGCACATTATTCTTTATGAAAATTGCCATTCTTTTTTATTCTGTATAATGTGGGCAAATTAAAATATTCACAAAAACAAAAGCAGAAACAGAAACAATAGGAAAAAATTTTCTACATTTGCGTATAAACAGGATAATACAAATTCTTTGGTAAGTATGTTTTATTTGACTAATTCATCAATTTTATGGAGAGAATCATATGGGTCTCCTTATTTTGTGCTTAAATCAAGTTCATGGAAATAAACCAAATCCATTAGTCTTGTACGTAAATTCGGATAAATCATGAAAGGACAAGTATGTAAGAACGTGGGAATATACGAATGTAAAAATGCAAGAAATACACACAATCAGAATGTAGTGAAAGTCAATTCTCGCAATTTTATGTAAACATATTTTCCATTATTGGAGTGAATTTCTTTTTCATATTTACAGAAGAAGCTAAAGCTTAAACATACATATGTTCACAAGCACTTGCATTCATACCATCATAGTACATTTGTTGTCATCGTGAATTCATTCTATGTATAAAAACACGTGTATGTGAGCCCACATCAAGGGATTATAAAGGTGGTAAAATGCAACAATGTGGATTTAGTTAATCTTCTAATCTTTGTTAAACTTAATGCTACAAAAAAGAAGAAAAAAAAAAAAAAAGCTCAGTAGTACAGTTTTGAAAATATAAAAATGGTAACAAAAGAAAGTTAGCATAATTTATTATTTTTTTTTTTTAATTAATTAAATGATATTCCCTCAACATACTAGGTCTTTGAAGGAACAACGATAGTCTATTTCTCCAATTTAAAAGTAAAATTATGCATTGAAGAGAACTATAAAATTTCTTTTTATTTTTGTATAGATTTAATTTTTATGCATATAGATTTTACTCTTTGTTTCGTAACGCTTTTATGTTCGTGAAAAAACTGAACACAAATAATTCCCTAGAAGGAAAAAAAAATAAAATTAAAATAAAAATAAAATAATATAAAATTTAAACAGGAACAAAATGTTGACTTTTTTTCCTTTTCTTGCATTTAAAACATATTTGCGGAATATGCCCTTACCCAAGGCAAGAAAAAAAGTCAAATGCATTATTTAATATTCAATTATTTACACCACATTTATATATTAAAACTGAGCTCATGTATTTTTACATGTGCATATATATTTTTTTTTTTTCCACATTTTTTCTTTTTCCACATTTTTAATTTTTTCCACGTTTTTTCTTTTTTCCACGTTTTTTCTTTTTTCCACACTTTTTCTTTTTTCCACGTTTTTTCTTTTTTCCACACTTTTTCTTTTTTCCACGCTTTTTCTTTTTTGCAACATCTTTTAAAATTTACGAAGATGTATTTTATTCCAAATTTAATTAATTATAGCCTTTTTCGCAATGGTAAAAAGGAAAAAGACATATGACCCTGAAATGTCCATCACAGGGTTTATTGGCCTTTTTTTTTTTTTTTTTTTTTAATCCTAATGTATATTGAAATTTATATTATATTATTTTTGTAAGATATTTTTGTCGTCTATTTTGATTAATCTTGTCTCTGTTATGAAAAGAAGGAAAAAAGTTCTGTATTACTATTTTGTGACATATTTAACGAATATAAAAAAATATATACACATATATGTATATATATATATATATATATATATATATATATATATAATGTAAAATGAAACGAAAGGGAGGCATAGAAAAAAGATGAAGAGCTAGTTAAACAAAGTGTAAGAAACAAAACAAATTGAAACATAAAGAAGAAAAAATAAAATAAAATACAACCCAACACTACAAAGCTGAATAATGAGTTAAGGAGAAACTTGTAAAATTACCTGGAATAAAATATGTATCCTCTTAAAGTATTTGTTAAAAAGGATTAAGAATAAGAAAAGGGTCCATGAAAAAGGAAAACATTATTGAATAGTTTCTTATCTTTTGAATGTTTGTACTTGTAGCTAACACTTTACACATGCGTATCCATATGTTTTAAGCAGCACAAGTGTACACACACCACCCCTGGTTGAGTCTACAGTTAAACATACAAGGAGAAAAAAATATAAAATAAAAAAAAAATGCGAAAACGTAATGAAGATTTCGATGACTATTATGATGTACATGAGGAGAATTGGACACATGATACATTTGAGGAACTAGAATATACCCAGAGCCTAGAGAAAAATATAAAAAAAAAACTAAGTAAAGAAGAGTCAAAACAGAGTATATTTTTCTGCACAGATGATAAATCAAAAATTATTAATTCTGAACAAGTACAATCAAACAGCAGCGATGTGTATGTAATAAATAATCTAAAACCATACAAGGAAGACAAAGATAGCATCAATTTAAACATTAATGAAGCAATTGAGGAGGGGGGAAATCATCAAAATGAACCTAAAGAGTTGTTAAAGAATCTAGCTGATGAAATGGATGATGAACACACTGATGGTCAAATTAGCAACAAATTAAGAGAAAGCAAAAAAACAGACCAAGAACTATATTTATTTAAAGATATTTATAAAGAGTTAGAAAATTCCCCAAATGATGAAAAGGATGACAATTACTCATATGAAGGAAACCTTTGCAAAAGAAGTGATAATGAAGAATTTTTGCAAAAATTAGAATTCATGAGTAGTAACAACGAATCAGACAATATGGAAGATCCTTCAGGTAATTTATTTAATTTGAACAAATCATCTATGGAATTGTGGGATAAAATAAATAGCAACGATGGCGATTATGGAGATTATGACGATCATGCCCATTATGGTGATTATGACAATTTTACAAATGAATGTGGTACTAGTCATCAGGATAGTAGCACATTTCACCATAGTAAACATAGCAACTATAAAGATTATAAAGAAACATTCGAAAATGAAAAATATGACAACTTTGCTTATAATAACAGCAATGGAAATAGCTCTATTATGAAGAGTCGAAATGATGATAGCGAAAAGGAGTATGATTTAAAAGGAGATAGCCATTTTTCTACCTTTTTAAAAGAACAACTGGATATTAGCGAATCTGAAAAAAGTAGCAAAGGCGTGCATTATTTTAAAAGACATGATAACTTAGAGGATGGGGTAGCAAGTAGAAATGCAAAATATAAAATGAGAAGAAAAATTGAAGATATAAATGATGAAATAAATTGCTCGTATGGAAAGGAAGATGCATGTGTTAATGCAGTAAAAATTGGGACTAATAAGAACATAATGCAAAATGATAAATTTATAGATAATAATAGCAATATCATTGGTGAGGCGTCCTTAAACAACTCACACAATTACAATTTTTCAAATGATAATAGCAACATTAGTTTAAATACTCCTAACATTCATGTGAAAAAAAAAAAAACAATTGTTCTTCATAGTAAGGATGACAATGTTATTAATAAAAATATATGTGAAGATAGTTTAAAAACCAGCGCGTACGGTTACCTCTCCCGTGATAGTAACCAAATCGGAAAAATTAATAAAATGGATAGTCATAACACATCTGCGAAATGCAGTTATCAGAGCAGCAAGGAAAACGGTAAAGATGACCATGGCAAGGATTCAATCAAAAGGTCAGTAGACAATGAAAACAAGAACAATGACATGACATATGAACAAATAAATACTACTGTGAGATCAATAAATAACATTAAGAAAAACGCAAGAGGACAGAATGGTCAAATGAAGCAACTACCGAAAGGTGACAACACAACAGGGTTTCGAAAAAGGAAAGTCGATAACAAAAATGACAGGGATGGAAGTGGTAGAAGTGGTAGAAGTGGTAGAAGTGATAGAAGTGATAGAAGTGGTAGAAGTGATAGAAGTGGTAGAAGTGGTAGAAGTGGTAGAAGTGGTAGAAGTGGTAGAAGTGGTAGAAGTGGTAGAAGTGGTAGAAGTGGTAGAAGTGGTAGAAGTGGTAGAAGCGATAGGAGCGATAGTAATAATGACAGCAAATCTTTTAAAAGCATGCTTGTAGACCAAAAAAATACTCAGAGATATTCCCAAAAGAAGCAAATAAAAAATGAGGATTTTGTGAATAGCAGCTCAGATAGCGATTTTATTTCGATAAGTAAGGAAAGAGTTAAGGATAATGCAAATACGCATGCTACATGTAACAGTAATGACAGCACCGATATATGCATTGATCTAAATGATGAAGACTCGTGGGAAGAAACTGACAAATCAAAGGGAAAAAAGGGAGTTGCAAGCAAAAAGGTTGTAGTAAATAAAAAGGGCGTTGTAAGCAAAAATGGAGTTATAAGCAAAAATGGAATCGTTCCAACTATAAAAGATAAAATCAAAAAATCAAATAAGAAGAATGAAGAAGAGGGAAGTAGTACAGGGAGGATGAAGTATATGAACAAAGAAGAAAGAGAGAAAAGAGACCCTTCAATTGAGCAGGATGACCACAAGAGCAATGATAGACTAAAGGAGTTGGGGAAGGAACTAACTAACCAAATTTACAAACTAGAAAAAGAACAAGATAAAGTTAAAAAATTAGAATACGAATTAATTGCTAAAAGTGCAGAAATGGAACTAGAGCGAGAAGAAATGAAAAACAAAATAGATGAAGAAAAAAAAATAATGAAGAAAACTATAGAAGAAGAAAAAAAAAAATGGAACAAGGAAAAGAAGAGAATAGAAAATGAGATAGATAAACAGAGAAATATTATAATGAATAAAAGAAAGCTAACAAACGAAATTGCAATGTTTAAAAATAAAATTAAAGAACTTGAAGAGAAAATTACAGCAGAAAAAAGACAACATAAAATAGTTGTCGACAAATTAAAAAAACAAGTGGAATCTTTACAAATTGAAAATGAAAAGCTTAAAACCGAGTTAAAAATATCAGATGAGTATAGAAGCAAATTAGAAAATTATCAGCAAAAAACTATTATGAAATTAGCAACAAATGTAATTCAAGAGAAGACAACAAAAAATGAGGATATGAAAAATTCTTTGCATTTTTCTGATTGCTCAGAAAATTCTAACAAAGTAAAGAAAATATCAAATATTCAAAATAAAAATACGCTAAATAATATAGACCTAATTGATCAAAGCTCAAGTAGCAATAATAACAAAATATACAAACATGTCCAAAGGGGAAGCGATCCATGTGTAGAAAAATGGAAAGACATAAAAAAAAAAGAAAAAAAAAGTACTCTTGATAATTTATTTGTTCATAAAAATGATATGAAAAATGCACGATCTAACGAAAATAACAACACATTTATAGATAAAAATTTGAAAAAAATGAAGTCCATAATTCAGAGAAATAGAAACCTACAGTGTAAGGACAAAATATATAATGAGGAAGACATTTATAGCAATACTACGAATGAACATAATAAACATTACAAAGAGTATTTTTTTGATAACTCCCCTAAAATAAATGAGAATTTGTCATACAATAGTGGTTTCATGTTCGATGAGAAAGGAAAGAATGACCTTCATGAAGAGCTAATCAGTTCCACCTTTTTAAATGACTACACAAAGTACTACACTAAGAATGAGAAGAATAAAAAGGAATTAGATTTAGGAACAATGGTGGACAAATTGAATGGAGAAATACCCATCGAAAATTCAATCATAAGATATGGCGAACCAAATAGAGCCACGGTAAATTCTCACAGTGGTAAAGCATCAAGCAAAATGCATGATCTCATAGATAACGAAACCGTAGTGTATAAAACAAACAACAAGATAATTAATTGCTATTCAAACATGTTGGCAACAACCAAGATAGGTATAAATATAAAAGATGATTATCCAGCAAATTTTTCAAAAAATGGGAAGGAAGATACATCAAATAATAGGGCTAAAAATGGTACTAATAATAATAACCACGCTGAGAAGAAAAATACATTGTTAGAATGCCATGAGAAAGATGGCACATATGTTTCTAACAAACAGAATGATGATATGAAGGGGAACATAATAATAGGAAAAAAGAATAAGTACGATAATGATTGTGCAAAAAAAAATAATTTAGAACCGAGATCCTGCTCGGAGAGACCTATAACTAATAATGTTAACAACCTAAACCCTTTTGGCAAAAATTGGGATTTCATAATAAACTTTAATTTTGATGAATTATTTAACAGTTGTGAAAATGTAATCGAATCAATGTTTTCATCAACCAAGATAATGAAATATAGACAGGCATTCATCGATGGAAAGGTGGAAACGTTATTTGAAGATGGCTTAAGAATAATTGAAAAAAATAAAAACAAAAAAATTGTCGATCCCTCAAATTTAACTATTTACCTTTACCCCAGTAAGGATTACAGAGCACAGCTCCCCAATTCATACACGGTATTAATTTTTGATGCACTCGCACTCATTTATGTGCAATATGGAAAAATGCCATATGCATACATTCATATGTGTCTATTAATTTGTTCACGTCGTGTTGGTGACGTGTGAGATTTTTGTGCACGCCTCTATACATTAATGCAAAGGAATACATTTCCAAACTGCATTTATTACAATATCTCCCCCCTTTTTTTAGCTATTTCGATTTGTCAATAAAGGCATATATCAAGTGAACATACCTAATAAGTGTCAGCTGAATAAGTATAAACAGAGAGAAAGGAATTTATTAACTGAGTTTTTGTGCATCCATCTGTTGTTCTAAGAATTAGCCCATGTATCAGTTTCTCCTCTCATGCTTTATTTTCTCCTACGATGTGTTGCTTTATTTCAATTTATTTTTTTGTTTGTTTTTTTTTTTTGGCAGGTTTCCAAATGGCCAAATAGATTGCAAATACATCGATGGTCACACACAAATTTTATTTTGCGATGGAAAAAGGAAGGAAATCCTACCAAACAAGGAGGAATATGCCATATTACGTAACGGTACTTTATTAAAAGTGGGAATATGTACTATTAAATGAATACATGTGAAGAGTTTCTGAACTCGCACTTATGTGTAGTAACGAAAATTTAAATGACAACGTTCTTCTGTTACCAAAAAAAAAAAAAAAAAAAAAAAAAAAAAGGGTGAGAGTAGTAAATTCGCGACGAAACAAGAACCCTGCAAATGATACAACAAAATTTTGAAGAAACATTTTTTTTTTTTTTTTTTTTTTCGTTCCCCTTCTTTTTATCCATTACACAGGAACAATAAAAAAGATTAATTAGATCCTTCACTTCCAAGAGAAATATAATATGTGTATATTTTCTTCGACCATCACACTCCAATATCCCTTTCCTTATTTGTGACCGTTGTCAACTGTAGGAAACAAATTTGTTTTTTGTTACGATGCAGTTTATATTTGTGTTACATTCTGTTCTTTTTTTTTTTTTTTTTTTTTTTTATTTTTTTTTAAAGCCGAATGGGAAAAAAACAACACACCCGGTTATTTGTTAAGCTCACATTTTTTTTTCTTTTTCCTCATACATTTCCCAATTGTATAAGATCTTATCAATTCAATCTTTTTTTTAATTTTGAACAATTTATTAATGTTTTCTTTTTTTTTCTTTTTTTCGTATTCATAAGTATTCATAAATTGGTTTTCCATTTTTTTTCAAAATGCCATAGGCTAATTCATTATCGTCATCATCAACTTTATCATCTCAACATTATTTTTATTTTATTTTTTTTTTTTAAAAAACTTTTCATTTTAACGGTTTGTTTACGTCTCTTAAAGGTCTTTAATTTTTTGGAGTTCCTGTGTTTTTCCCATCCCATATATGTGAAAATAAAAAACATGGTCTCCCCATTTTTACATAATGGAGAAAAATAAAAACGTTTTTTTTTTTATTTGTTTTACTTTTTATTTTTGTTCTAAAGTGCATACATTTTCTGTGAAAAAAAAATATTGTTTAAAATGCAAACCGAAAGTTCAGTGACAAATGATAAATAAACATTTTTAGGCAAACCTTTCTTTACAATAATGGCAAATTTTTTGAAAGCACTGTTGAAGAAACGATGCTTTTTTTTTTTTTTTTTTTTTTTTTTTTTTTTCTCTTACTTTTCCTATGTTATTACAAATAAAATATACATGAGTGTAATGGTTGTAGCAAAATGTATAAATTAATACTTTTTTATGGACCTTCCTTTTTCACATATGGCAGCATCCATTTTTTTTTTTCTTTTTTTTGTCATCTCATTAAAGCATTTTACATTTCTGATGCATATATCTACTTTTGTGTACGATATATACCATTTACACATACAAATGTTAGGAAACGTTCTATGTCCTTTTAAGTACCCCTTTTTGTGCTCCCATAATATATATAATACCTACTTTTAAATTAAGCATATTTGAAAATGTTCTCTATATCTGAGTTATGTACATTTCTGTAGAATTTTTTTTTTTTTTTTGCATGTACGCCAAAGCGAAGGGGAAAAATTTAAAGAGAAGAAAAAATTCGCAATTTTCCAGGATTACATTTAAAGATAATCCAAATTTTGTAGATTAAACATATAAGCCATGTTTCTAAGAACTATATAATGGCAACGAAATCTATGGGGGAACTCCCAAAATATATTTTTCTTTGTACAGTTTTGAAGAAATCTTCGTTTTTTCCCATCTCTTTTTCCCCATATAATATCTTAACATAACAGTTATACAAAATGGATGAAGGAATATTGAGCAAATGCTCCACAAAGAATAGCATAAACAACATACCATATAGTAATTTCTTAATGGCAGAAAAAAGAAAACTGATGGAAGATGATAATAACATTAGTAGGTATAATAATATATATATGAACAAAAGGGTTAAAGTATCATTATTTGAAAATTTCGAATCTTTGAAGAAACAAAGACTAAGTGAAAATGATATATGTATAGATCATTTTAAAGATATGGACAAGTATATTAATCAAGTAAAAGAATTAAAAGATTTATATAACTCCCTCTTTACTGATAATTTAAAGGATGAACATGATCTCTTATATGTGAATAAAAAATTCTGTAGCATTCAGTGTAATGACATTATAGATAGAAATATCTTTTTTGAAAATTCGACAGAACGGTCGAATAGTGGCCTATACAATTATGGAAAAAGTGTAGTTACTCTTCCCAATGATGCTTTGATAAAGAAAAAACAGATAAATGAAGTGAACATAGATGAAGTAACTAGTAATGAAATAGACACCAGTGAAGTAGATACCGATGAAGCAGATTTTCGTTGCATAGAGATGTATGAAGGAGACAGGTGGAAGAATCTCAAAATGGAACGAAAGAACGCAAAAATTAAAGGAACTATTTTTCCCAAAGGAAGGAGAAATGTGAATAATACACAGAAAATAAATGAAGAAAATTTATGTAGCTATCTTCGATATAATAAAAGAATGAGAACTTTAGGAAAAAGAGTACTAAATTGTGTTTCAAACCAAATATTATACATTGACGACTTGTCAATGTATGATATTTTGTTATTAGTTTCATTTGTTACACAGTTACAAAATGAACAAAAAGAAAATGAAAAAGAAGAAAAAAATTTAGAAGTCATGGCAAACATTGATGATTTTCGAGTCAATGCACATTCGTTAAAGGAAATTTTTAGAAGTTATTATAAGGAAAAATGTTTTCAATGTTTTACATGTGGAATAAGATTTAGTACAAGTTTAGAAAAGTTAAATCATTTAGAGAATCATTATAAAAAAAATAAATACTACACAAGTAGTACTATGGAAAAAGCAGGTGTAAATAGAAATAAAAAGAAAATTATTTACCTTGATCATATGAGTATACCTATAGAATTTTTTATATGTAAAGATTATTCCATTTTTGAGGATGTATATGAAAATAATGTTACAAAAAATTGTAACTCCTTCTATTACAACTCCAATTTTGATACTGAACTGAAGACCATAAATGTGAATAATAATTATGAAAATGTGAATGATTTTCCGTTTTTAAAAAGTTCTAAAGGTGAGAAGAAGGCTGAATCAAATTTTGTAAACCAAGCAGTTGGATTAACAGCTGATTGGGCCTACGACGCTGCCGAACATGCAGGTGCCAGACATTCCTTTGTTGAAGATTCCAATTTGGAAGCACATTTGAATAAGGTAGATAAATTCGTTCGTAATAAAAAAGAAAGAAGCCAAGATAGATGCCAAGAAGAAACCCTTGATTTTTACATTTCATCAAAGATACACAAAATGAAGGAAATAAGGGACACTTGTTTTGACAACAATGCACAAAACCTATTCCATTTTAGAAAGAACTCCAGTGAAATCGACCATTTTTTTTGGTCAAAATGGAATAATGATACACAAAGGAGGAAAAATGAAAAAAAAAGCAAAAAAAAATTTAACAATATAGAAAATGATGAAAATGATACATCCGCTGATAATGATAATATGAATAATGATAAATACAAGGAAAACGAAGATGAGATGAACTTTTTTGATTTTATATATGGAAATCAAAACACGTATGATGTGAATCTGTCGAATTATTACATCGTGACAGAGGATAATAGTGTCCACATAAATTATATTGATGGAGAAGTAATGTATAAAAACATTATGAAATGCTTAGAGATAAATGATATAAACAATTATGAATTTCCCTCTTGGATACCTAGGAGAAGCATACATAATTTTCTTATTAAACCTGTTACAGAAATATATCGACAGCATGCCAATAGTAGCAATTCTTATGGAAATATTTCAGTTACCAAAGGGATGGGTAATATTTTTATGAACCAGTATGCTACGAGTAATTCCAAATTGGCGGAAAAACAGGAGGTGCAAAACAATATCTGGAACTTGTGTACAAATGGTGATTTTTACCTAAGTAAGCATTTGACTCCTATGAAGGTTTTTTTCCCCTTATCTCTTGGAGAAATTGAGAGTACCAGATATGAAAAGCACAATAACAAATGTGTTATGCATACTGGAGGAGTGGGAAAAGAAGCAGACCAAATGGGAACGCTCCTCAAAATAACAAGAACCAGCACGCATAAAGACATCCATGACATTGATACAAAAGTTATCAATGAGGAAAGAACCATATCCTACGAATTAAATCCATTCCCGGATGAAATCAACCAACGCAAAGGTATTATCGAGAAAAGGATCCTAAGAGAGGAGGATCAGGATCCGTTGGATGAAAATGAGAGAGCAAATTATTCCATGGAAGATTGTGCAAATAATGAAACCTGTGAATCATATAAAAACAAAGAAAAAAACTTAATAATACAGAAAAACATAATGCAATCATTTCTTCACATCTTCGATGAAAAGTTCTTTCTACAAACGAGTGCCTTTATAGAAGTATTTCTGTACTACTTAAGGGATAAATATTTTAAAATAAGTCATAATTTCAAAAACGACAAATATTTTAATGATACACAAGATAGGTTATTTAGTTATATATTAAATAACTATACACAGAAAAAACCAATATTTGATATTAATAATTATGAAGCAAATAAATGTTTTTTATGTAAAGAAAATCTTCTATTTGATTATTCATATGAATACAATGACTTCTACTATACAGATGCGCTATCAGTGGATTTGAATAATCTATTTGATGCTCAGGTTCAGGTTGATGGTTGTCACAATGACAATGATAATGTCAATGATCAAGAGAACAGTTATAGTTTCAATTTTTATACCAGAAGAATTGATGAATTAAGTGATAAATTTATATATAGTGAACTAAGTTACGACATACTAGACGAGGGAATGAAGGAAGCGGAAAATTTTTTTAAAAAAATAGAAAATTATAGCACACATTTGGATATTGGAATGAGTCAACATAATGAAGAAAAAAATGCCACTACTACTATGACAACTACTACTACTACAACTACAAGTGATGATCGTCTTGATAGAAAGGACGAGGAGGAGGAGGCACCAGCCTACAGTTCAATAAGCATGAACGATCTTTTGGAAAATGTAAAAAAAATAATTGTTGATAAATGTATGATCAAAAGAACTGTCATAGAGCCCTCGTTAAGCAACAGTCAGCAATTAAAGAATAAAAACAACAAAAAAAAAGATGATCACATTCATCATTACAGGAATTTATTTAAAAATTTATGCATTCCATATGAAACTTTAAGAATTTTGCATAATATACAGAAAGAGGAAAATAATAAAAACTCTACCATTAGCACATCTCAATTTGATATTAACCAAGAATATGCAAATGAAGAAATTGACAAATTTGTAAATTATTTTGAAAATGTTACTCAACAAGTAACAAATTCGATAAGCGAAAGTGCATACAAGGACAAAAAAAAAGACAAACATATTTTTAACCACATCACAAGTTGCTATATAAATGATGATGATGAAAAAAAAGAGAATTTTATTCATACCTTTTTTCCCTCCAAAAATTATTTGCACACAAATTTTACTTGTTTTCACAATCAATGTTTTAAAATGTATGTGCATTATTATTTTTTCCCTTATTATTTCTTAACCAAATTGGATGATCATGTTTTCAAAAAAATTGTAATATCTGCTATTACGAATTTTTTTAAAGCATACCAACGTATTTGTGTATTTAAAAATTCAAACATGAAACAAACAAGAAGTCTTTGTGTAAAACGAAAGTTATCATCCAAGGAGAAGCAGTTCCAAAGGAGAAAATACTTTTAGCTATTTCTCCAATGTACACCAGTCCTATATTTTTTTTTTTTTTTTTTTTTTTCCTTGTCTAAATTATTTTTATTTTAACAGATCAGTTTGTTGTTCCTCGTGGGATAAACAAGTGGAGACCCATTTTGGAATGCCCATACCAACATATATTCAATTCTTTTTTTCTTTTTTTTTTTAATTCATTTCCGTGCTTCACACGTATAGCACCTTTTTTTTTTTTCGTTGCTTGAATACACTATTGAAAAAAATAAAACAAATAAAAATTAAAATAAAAAATTAATGTTTTCAAAATGTTTGCACATGACGCAGGAATTATTTTATTTTATTATTTTTTTTTTATTATCTATTTATTTAATTTTTTTTTTTTTTTTTCCGTAGATGATTAAACAAAAACACGATTTCTATTATAAACACTTTAATTTTCAAAATGTATATTTCATGTATTTTTTTTTTTTTTTTTTTTTTTTTGTTTTTACCTGCAAAGAGGTCAAAATCGGGTTTGTGTTGAAAAAATGTTTATTGGGGTTAAATACAGTTATAGAGAAGGGAGTAAGATGGAATGCTGATATAAATTCTTATTATATTATGGACAAGGTGTGACCATAAATCCGAGTCCAATATGTGAAAATAAAACACACACCCCAGGGAAGATGACTACAAGGGTGTATGTGTGTAGGGGATATGTTTGATTGGCAACTCGCTAACTATTTATTGTCTATTTGCTGATTACACATCAATTATTCACTTCTGATTCATGAATTATTGGCGGCTTCTGTGGTCAGGTATCGAGCGGACATCTGACGCAATTTTTGACGAAATCACAGAACTTGCATTTCCACTTGTCCGAATTTTCTACAACATCAGAAGAACGCTTGCCATCCCAGTAGTCCAACAAAATATTAATAGTATATAATGTAGAATGGTAAAAATATGGGATGTGATTTCTAGAAAATTCCACGCCTTGGTGTTCATAAACTATTTCCATTTCTTCCTTAATCTTTGGTAATCTAAGAAAAAGACTATTAACAGCTTTTCCTAAATTTTCTAAGTTTTTATATTTTAACAAATCAATAGCAGTAAATTCAAACATGGGATCACATTCATATATTTCAAATAGCTTTTTAAAATCAGCTTTTCCATTTCTTAAATATTGTAATAATAAACAATATGTTTGTACTTGTATAGCAGATGTTCTTTTCTGAGCTAAACTTGGTTCTTTTTTTTCTTTTCTAGTTTTTGTATCAGAAATTATTAAAAATTCTCTCCTGGATACGTTATCATATTCAATTCTTAATTCATCAATTATTCCTCTTAATACATAACCTCTGATAACACCAAAAACCCATACTTCTCTTGCCTTTTTATATTCAAATAACTGACCCAACAATGTTATTGTATTTAGTAGACGATATCCTAATGATTCTTCTCTCGTATTTACCTCTACGTCAATTATTAGATGATCTGCTTTTTCTAAAACTTCATGTCTTTCTATACCTAATCTCATTGCTTCTGTTTCTCTTCTTTTCCCTGTAGTTAATACTAATTCTAATTGTTGTTCACACCATAGTTGAGCAGATAAATCCGTTATGCTTAGTTTATTTTTTTTATTAAATTTTTCGTTTGGTGATTTAGATTCTTTATATAACTTTTCTGTTTCGTTAATTTGCTCTTCTTCTAATAAATCTTCTACGTCATTTATTAATTCTTCAAAGTCTGAAATGGGGGATACTACTCTATCATTTTGTTCGTTCCCAATTTCTCGTTCATTCAGAGTTTCACTTTTCTTTTCACTTTTTATATTTGCATTCTCTTCCTTTTTCCAGATTATATTGTATGTAGTGAGCATTGTTCCTGTACAAGCAGAGGTAACGTAGGAAAAAAAAAAAATGACAATGAAAGTAATATTGAAATGGGTTCACCGTGCACTCTACTTTTAGTCGATCCAGTAGATATTGCAGCCAAAATGCACCGTCTCAGCGAATATAAATCGAAATTCCCCAGAATTGTCTTTAACACAAAAATTATTCCAAATGATATATATGAAATGCTGATCAGTATTCCCACATAGACAAATGCGTCACGTTACCTGTTCATGTACCTAACACCTATAAATATCAGGCGTGTTTGTAGTTTTAGAAAGGGTACAAGTTTTAGCTCTGTTAGAAGCGTTAGACGTATTAAGAGTCAGTGAACTGAACCAAAAGGGTTAGAAAAGAGTGGCTTTGTCATTTCCTAGCTGCGTGTCTGTATTTGTGTGTGTGAGGGGCAACTACACGTAGGTATGAAAAATTTAAAGAGCTTGAAAAAAAGAGTAAAACTTAATTTCAAAAAAAAAAAAAAAAAAAAAAAAAAAAAAATAGTTAAAGCATATATATGTATACAAATTAAAAAATGCCCTCGTATACATACAAAGCCAAAAATGGACTTGTGACAAAACATAAAAATAGCATTCCTGTATTTTATGGAAACAAAAGATTTTACATATTCATGTTAAGCAAAGCATACGGAATATTTTTCAATTGTATATGACACTTTTGTACCCTCCACAAAAAAAAAAAAAAAGAGGTGTGTGATTTTAAGGAGGAAAAAAAAAAAAAAAAACCCTCGATCATGTTTTAATACACATATAAAATAAAATAACACAAACTAGTCAATAATAAAATAAAGAATACATATATATATTTTACCCCTAAGTAATAAGTCAATTGGATTAATAAGGAGAATCTGTTTTGTGCACTTGTATATTCATTAAAAGCGTAAGGGATTTGCACAGAAAAAGAAAATTTCCTGCCCTAAGAAATGTGTCATAACAGGGGATAAAAAAAAAAAAAAATAATAATAATAAATAAAATAAAATAAAAGACGCTCATAACAATTACGAAGGACACTTTAAATTTTTCTCATATGACACACGGTTTTATTACGAGGAGTATGTTATTAATGTTATTATAACTGTTGACTGGATTTCCTTTGTAAATTACCTGAATATTGTTTTTGAAAAAATGCAAAAAGACGACAAACTGTTTTTTTTTTTTTGCAAAATCATATATATATAATCCGCATGCACTTATATAAACATATACATGGATGAGTTTTACTCGAATGCAAATTATTCAGCATATTGCAACTACTTCCACAAAAGCATGAAGGGATGATGTATAATAATATATATGCAGCACGACATGTAGACATACGAAGGTTTACAAACAGTTGATACTCCTCCTTGACAAGAAAAATATCGCACATCACAGATTTTTGTACTTCCAAGCAAGGGTAATAATACACCATAATTATAGCTCTTATATTGATAGAAACTCAGAAAATGGTTAAAAAAAGCGCGTTGCAATATTAAGACACAACGGTTATGAAGATCTCACAACGTGTGGTAACAGGGGGAGAGATCTTCTAAAGGAATAATATTCGATTCGTTCATGCGTATATATATATATCTACATGAGTACATAAATGGATGTCCACATATTTTTGTAACCTCATGGGAAATGTGCTTCTTGTGTGCCTTACGCTTTAACTGTTCAGCATTGTGGCAAAAAAAAAAAAAAAAAAAAAAATTTATGTATAAAAATTTGACAAAAATGGTAACCCAATCTTTCATGATTTTTAAAAAAAATGCTTTGTAAATACCAAAAAAAAAAAAAAAATGGAAACGTGGAAAATTATAAAACATGTATATATATGTATATGTATGCTTTTTTTTTTTTTTTAAATTTCCTGCATCTCCATTTTGCACATGTGATGCTAGGTATATATTGATCTATATTCAATAAATATATATACACACAAATGTTCATAATTATTAAGTTAATTCAATGTGTAACTTCTCAATAGAGCTGTATAAATGACGGGAAGAAAATTGAGACAAAACAAAGCCGTGCAAATAGTGCACTCTATAAATGTTTAATCATATGTGGGATGGGAAAAAGTGTTAAAAAAAAAAAGGAGAAATAATCTTTTTCTGACCCCAAAAAAAATAAAACAAAACAATTATGTTGAGTTTGCAAAAAAAAAAAATAAAAAAGAAGAAGAAGAAGAAGAAGAAGTCACCACAGATTACATCACATTCTCGTGATGTCCAATTGGGGGTCCTTGAAAAATAAAATAAATAAATAATATGAAATTTAACTTTTTTTTTTGTGTGTGGTATTTTATCAGGTTTTGCCAATCTCGATTTAGTCACAACGCTCCTCTTTGAACTGGTCATTTCCCTTAAACATATACTTTCCATTTATGTGAACACAAAACTCTTTTAAGATATTCCTAAAATAAATATCTGGAATTGTTAGGGGGCACTGGATATTCATTTCGACAAGCTGAATAATTTCATTTTTTGAAAAGACCGAATTATGGTTTTTTTGGAAAATATTAATAACAGCGTTTCTACATTTATTAAATTCACTCTGATTATCTATTCGTAGGAACCACATATTATTAATGTGAAGTGCAATGTTCTTTAGGGCTTGTACAAATACAGGTAAATCTACATTTGTATTTTTACTTTCTTTTTTTATTTTATTATATATATCATCAAATGACATACAATTATTATACAACAAATCTGTAATGTTCTTTTCTAATGTTCTTATATCTAATTTATAATCATTAATGATAATTTTACTACTTTTATACGTTTGAATAATTTTTGCAATTTTTACCATTTTTTTTTTCCATTTTTCGTTGTTTAAAAGACACAACTTTGTGTTATTATTTACAAATTCTTCATCCATTTTGTGTTTAAAAAAATATCCTGTATATTTGTATTCACACAACGGAGCAAACATTTCTGTGAGTGTGTTATTGGGTAGGTTTGTTGCCTTTTCAAAGTTTTCCATCAGTATGGATGTAGAAGAGTTGATTTTTTTTGAATCTGCCCCTTCTTCGTCTCTAGTTCTGATAAAGTTGTTATTATTATCACTATCACTGTGATTATCATTTTCCCTTTTATTCCTTGCGTCATCGGAACCCTTCTTTCCAACTCTCAATTCATACAAGTGCTTTAATAAAATAGGTTCAACTTGTTTAAATATAATAACAAGCAATAAATCCCGAACACGTATTTTGTAATCTACATGGGAAAAATTTTCTAAATTTTTTTTTTTTTCATCCTCGCTTTTTTTTTCTTTTCCTTTTAAAAATTTATATAAATATTTAGATTTTATTATCCATAACCCTAATACATTAACACAATATTTTTGAATAGTGTTTAACAAAATTTCATAATCAATATTTTTTTTTATAATTTTCTGAATTTCATTAAACCTCTGAACATTTTTCAACCTCATTATGGTTAATATTTGTTCATCTAAATTTAGTGAAAAGAAATAAAGCATATTCAGATTTGTACATACATCATCGTCATTTTTGTGTAAATTGTTACTATTCTTATTTCCATCTTTTGATTTACGATCTTTTACATTTCCATCTGATGGCAGATGACTACTGTTGTCTTCTTTTGCTTTCTTGCACAAATGATTTAGGTACAAATATCCATCGTTGTTGAACTGTATTTCGAGGGATTTTTCATTTGGCTTTTCTCCACGGCTGTTCATATTCGTTTTTGTGTCCTCAGAATTACTCATGAGGTCGAAATTATTATAGCTTCCTGTGTAAATCTCCATACCTGTGTTACCACTTGCGTCATTCCTGCAATTGAGAATGTCATTCTTGATACTGAGATTGGTGAAGAGTTCTAACATTTCGTGAGCTTCAAAAGAATCAGGTTCATAAATATTTACAATGCTTGTCCAAGTATGGTCTACATTATTAGGTGGTGGGTTCGCGTCACTTGCATGTTTCTTGCTTTCACTTGCCTCTACATTCTCGTTTAAATTATTTCCTTGAATCAATTCATCGGGTTTATTTTTTTCTTCCTCATTTACATCCAATTTCAAGTTATCATGATATGGTTTAAATTGATATATATGCTTTAATGGGATCATATATATTTCTTTTTTTTTTTTAATTTCATTGTATTGAAATACACCAACACAATTGCTTATATATTCACACGAAACACTAGTACTGATTAATCTACTTATGTTCTTATCATTTTCCACGTCCTTATAAACAGAATTGGACTCATGAGTTTCTTCTTTCATATATTCATGCAACTTATATTCAAATACGTATGTTTCTTCATTAGTATTGCCTTTATTTTTTATTTGTTTTAATTTATTGTAATTTTTACATGTATAAATTTTTTGAATATTATTAGTGTAATTATAGGGTCTATACTTTGGTCTCAGTGGGTACTGGATCAGGTACGTGTTTATATTGTTTAGGTTATTTTCATTAATGTTGTTCAGATAAATGTCAATTTCTTCTTCAATTTCATTGTCATCATCCGAATTCGAAGTCAATGAATTGTCCTCAGACTCTTCTTCATATTTGTAGTTGCTTAATTCTTTTAGGTCTTCGTTCATTTTTCTTTTTTTTCTTTAAAAGTTGGTAGCTCTTGTGGTGTCACACAAGTTGTGTATACATGTATCGGCATATAGATATATGCCCATGTAATGGAGGTATGTTCTGTGGGTACAATATGCTGAAGTGAGTATTACCCCTTCCTCCTATGTTTCCATGCAGGAGATACATCAATCCAAAAAATGAAAATTGTGATGTGACGTAAGTTGTTCTGTGTGTTGTAATGTAAAAAGGTACGTTCATATATATATATATATATATATATGCTTTTATGGGAATAAGATATACTGCACGAATGTGATTCACCAAAAAAAAAAAAAAAAAAAAAAACCTTTCGGAATAGAAGTTAGATATTATTCTACAATGAAATCTGTCGAATTCATGTTTAGTCATTTAAATAAAAATAATATATTGAGAGATGGGGTGGGCCATTAGAACATGCCCCTTTTAGCAACTGCAAAAAAAAAAAAAAAAAAAAAATATGCTATAAAAAGGAAATTTCCCTCTTTTAGGATTATGCTGTCCTTTGAAGAATTTTTTGAGTTTCTTCTTTAAATGCTGAATTCTTCTATTTGGGTTCGGTTTTATTTTATTATCTTACATTTTATTTATATAATTATATATATATATTTATTCATATTTATGCATATTTATGTTGTATCTTTTTAATGAACTTTTTTGCACCTTTTTGGGAACCATTTTTATAGTTTCATCCATTGTGTCCCTTGCCTGTGATGCAAGTAACTTTTCACCACAACTGCCTTTTTTCTTTTTTTAAAATTATACGTATTATGAATAATTTACCTGGGGAGAAAATGTTTCATGTTACTAGTATTTTAAAAAAAAAAAAAAAGAAAAAAGGCGAAAAAAGGAAAAAATGTAAGCAAAAAAACTACGTAAGTGTTTTTGTAAAAGGTGTCACATAATATAACATAAGCACATTTTACAATTGTTTCTCGGTACCTATCTTATGTGAGGAAAAAAAAAATTACCTAGGTTGGGGGATAGGAAATTTTAAAATGGTGAAATTGTAAGCAGTGAATAAGCAAATTTTGTGAGCATAAATGTTAGGCTTGCATAATGTTTCTTTTTTCTTTTTTCTTTTTTTCTTTTTCTTTTTTTTTACGTGTTCCATTGTTACATCGTGGATATGATCAACATCTTGCGCAAGTGTGGCATATCCATTTTTCAGTAAAAGTTGTCTCACAAAAATAGGAAGCAAGAGTATTATGAAAAAGTCTCTCTGGAAAAAAATAATTTTTTTGATATAATTTTTATACCACTTGTTTAAAAAAAAAAAAAAAATTGTGTATCACATGCTTGTGTGCGAAAAATAACGTAAGGCCCATACACCTTAACATACGATAGTTCATACCGTCCAATTAGGATATAAAACAGAACAAGTTAAAGAAAGGACACTGAAATGGAGACTTAAAAAAAGGACAATCTTATGTATTCTTATATATATATTTTTTTATATTTCACGTTTTCATGTTTTCACGTTTATTTATTTTATTCTTTTAAATGGGAAAAATGCATTTTAATTAAGACAAATGCACTGATCTGAACTAAGGGGCCCAATTTTTTCTCAAATTTTAAACTATAAATTGGTTTCCACAATTTATATGTTTACTATGTGTCTCTATTATGTTTCTATATGTTTATATATGCATGTACATATATATATGTACATGTACACATAAATAATTATAAGCCCTTTTCTCTACAAAAAGCACACGCGTATTTTCATACGTGTAACATTCCTTAATCAGTTATTTTCATAATTTCTATATTATCACAAATCCCAGAACTGCAAAATGGACAGAAAATCGTTTGCAAATGAAAAAAATGAGCAAAATCATTCACAATTCCCAAACAATTTAGGAAGCCCAATGAATATTAACAACTCCTTAAATTTGAATAATAATTTATCATTTGATAAAAATGATCTGACCATTTATTTTAGCAGTTTTCTTAATAAAACAAACCACCCATATGTATGTTTTGCCCATGTTTTTTTTAAGTCCCTTTCCCTATCAATGTAATAAATTTGAACTTTATGTACATGCAAATTGGTCATGATATGGACATGAATGATATTTTAATGAACTTGAATTAAACACTGCATTTGTATGTTTTTATCAAGGATTATATGTACCTGTGGAAGACCCATAAACAGATAAAATATACAATGCACATATACATTGAAAAGACATCCTATGCATATTTAATAATATCCAATTTGTATCACTTGTTTAATGTATATTATGAGATGAATTATGTCTTACATTTATAGTTTAAAGAAAAAAAAAAAAAAAATTTCTTTTTTTTTTTTTTTTCTTTTTTTTTTCCCTTCTCCTATTTTTTATCCCTTTTGCAGATACTTCATAGGACCCTTCCTATTTAGAAATGAAAAATCGCATGAACATGATTTTATTATCACATTTGCAATTACCTTATTTTTAGTTTCATTGGATTTTTATTTAGTTAAAAATATAACTGGAAGGTGAGCAAAATATTCTCAATGGGGTTATGTTTCAGAATGGAGACAACCATTTACTCACCACACTGTGCTTTCCATGGTTTTTCACAAGTATGCATATAAGTATTTTCCTACCCCCTCGCCTTTTCCATTCCTTTTTTTTTTTTTTTTTTTTTTTTTTAAGATTCCTTGTGAAGATGATATGGTGGATCGATTCAAACGAAGATTACTCCAGCAAAATAATTTTCAGATCATCCGAAGAAAACTTGCTAAATAGTACAGATAAAAATATTTTTTGGTATACACTATATGCAAATTTTTTGATATGGTTAATACAGACAATACAGATGTTAATATCATTTCAATTTTGTTGGCTTTTGTTATGTCTTCTTTGTTTATTTTTGTCTTTTTACAACATATATAATTTTTGGAAATGTTCCAAAGAGCAGCATAAAATTGTTGGTAGTCTTTTAAGCAATGTAAATATAAATTATCTCTATAATAAGATATTTAGTGGCTAGAGTGCTTCCTCTTTTCATTTTTTCAAAGTTGTGTAGAAGTTGTGACAAAGTTGCGTTAAGGTAGTTCACAATTTGATGAAGAGTTGTCTACTCGTGCTTGTATGCCCCTTGAGAATACCACAGTCGATTCATTACTTATGCATGAACAGCTGACCATTATTGACAAATATAGGCCATTCGTAGGCATGTGAAAAAATAATAAGGGTCTACTCGTAGGAGGAGAAACTACATAGGTGATACATAAGGACTTACAGTGCATGTCCTTTTGGCCAACTTTTCAGACCAAGCGTTCCTTTTTTTGTTTTTGTAAGTTGAAGCACTCAAGAGGAATGAACACAACCACAGCGCACAGATATAAATCTCACCCATGTCAAACACATCATATATATATGTATGTGTATGTATATAACATATGCACGGGTATCCGATTTAAAGTGTACTCAAATAGTGTGATGCCCAATAAATGAACTTCCCTGCGAAGGTAACATCGTAGCTTACTTTATTATTTTTTTAGAAAAATTAAAGTGAAAAGAACGTAGAAAGAAAATTTGAACTTCCTTTTTAAAATAGGAGAATTTAAAATGTTCATGTAATGCTTAGGTAAATAACTCTCACTTCCCTAGCCTTCTTACAAAATGTAGCCATATCAGTTCATATATATATTAGAGAAAAGGAAAAAAAAAAAAAAAAATATACATATATATATATATATATATATATAATAAAATAAGGTTCATTCCATTAAAAAAATGAAACTCAGTACGTAAATTTTTCCCTTGGTTGCGTTCTTCACATTTTTGTGTATTCTGAGCGATATGCTATTTTTGTTTGGTTTAATTCTTTTTTTTTATCTCGGCTTTCATACCATTAGATGTACAAAAGGTGATTGCTTATTATTGATTACTGATTGGATTACTGATTGGATTACTGATTGGATTACTGATTGGATTACAGATTGAATTACTGATTGATGCGATCATTTTTTTTTTTTCTTTTTTAAACACCTGGGTGTGAAGCTATTTATTTTTAATCATATTTTTATAGTAAAAAGTGTGATGTGTGAAAAATGAGCTTCTTTGCTTATTTGTATTTCAGCGTGAATGATCCATTTATGTATGACATTTTACACAAAAAAAAAGGAAAAAAAAAAAAAATCTCTTACAAACACAACTTCATTTTCGCATACCGTAAAATAAATAAATGCTTATCTTGGTAACTATAAATCTCAGCACAAATTCCCATCATAGCACTTTTTTTTTCTTTTCTCTTTTGAATAATCTATTTCGTTGTCATTATATTGTATATTTGTATAGCAATATATGCAACACAACATTTTATAGTATATGGGTTGTAATAGCTATTTACATTTAAATGATGTATATGGCGGAAAAAAAAAAAAAAAAAAAAAAAAAAAAAAAAGCACATCAATGAGAAATCATTAATAAGTAATAAATAATCATTAATAATTAATCATAAATAATTAATCAGTAATAATTATTCATCTTTTGTACTTTATCCAGTAAAAGCCGAGAAAAAAAAAAAAAAAAAAAAAAAAATTTTATGATATTTTCCACTGGGATACTCATTGTGAGATCCGTAGGTACATAACCCTAACGCTACATAAATGCTGAATAATTGCAAATTACAAATGAGGCTTTATTCTCACTTCCAAAGAGTAATATGCATATATATACAATATATTTATTTATCTACATAATTTTTCTGGCGTTAATTTATAAATATAATGCAGCTCCGTACTCTCCAAATTTTCAAAATTGCTCCTTTTTTTTATATATTTTTTTATTTTATGCATTTTTAATCTTCTTCCATTTTTTGAGAGCGAGTAAAATAAGCCAAAAGAGGGGAAATGTGTTCAACATCATAAATTGACATTTTTAACCTATGTTTTTTTTTTTTTTTGGTTTTGTTATCTAAAAAAAAAAAAAAAAAAAAAAACAGCCTTGTATAATAGCTGAACCAAGTGAGTAAATCCATAATATATCATACAAAAAAATGTCATAAGAAAAATCATGACTCTATGTATTATATACACCTACAATTTGCACATGTAGTACAAAAAGAATACATAAAATATATAAGGAGAATATAATATGCTAGTCACGCAGATGCAAGGAAATATAAAGAAAAAATTAAAAAAAAAGTTAAAACGAATGTTAAAAAGTAACAAAAAAGTTAAAGCTATACTGAAAAAAATGTGGTATTGTGTTTAACCGGAAGTGTTAAAAACACAGACCCGTTTGAATGTACGAATTTGCCATAGGGAAAAAAGATTATATCTACAAGTTTTCCTTAATATTAGCACATAAGTGCATACTGATACGTGCTTACGTAAAACTACCAAAGGAAAATTTGCAAACCATAATTTGAAATATATATAACTTGAAAAGTAGAACTTTAAAACTAGAACTTGAAGGAAGAGTAACTTTCAAAAACGGTAGAAAAAAAATAAGCATAACAAAAATATACACGAAAACACAGCTGCTATCGTCCCCTCTGAACTATGCATTTGAATGATTACCACGTCTAAGTGAATAAAAGTTCATTAAGAAAAAAAAAAAAAAAATCCATAAAGATACTCATTAAAAGTATTCACTAAAGTATTCCCAATTTCCACCAAAGGAATTTACAAAATGAATGTACAAGGAGAAACCCCCAATGTAGAAAAGAAGGATGAAAAAAATAATGACAGCGCGAAAGAAGAGAACCTGAAGGAAGATTTATTTGTCAAGAAGGTCGAATCAACTGTGAAGGATACATCAGTGGAAGAAAAAAAAGAAAACTCGAAAGAAGAAAAGAAAACCGAATCGATGGACAAAAAAAATGTAGAAACGATGGAAAAAAAAAATGTAGAAACGATGGAAAAAAAAAATGCAGAAACGACGGAAAAAAAAAATGTAGAAACGACGGAAAAAAAAAATGTAGAAACGAAAGCCGAATCGATGGAAGATAAGGGAGGTGATGATGTCATGAACATGCTTCTAACGTATTTGCAAAAAAATAAAGATGATCCCAAAATCATGCAAACTGTGCTAAGCATGATGAATGGACAAGGAAAGGAAGATGTAGGACTCGGTCAGATTCAGCAAGTCGCAAACATGATGAAGGGATCTGCAGGTGGAGACAAAGGCACGTCTGCACAAGGAACAACTGCAACGGATGAGAAGAAGAAAGGTAGAGAAGAAGATGAAGAAGAAGGAGAAAAAAATAAAAATGATAATAAAGCGAAGGAAGAGAGGGAAAAGGAAAACAAAATACGAAATATTTTTAGTAGGAAAAGTGAAAAAAGCAATTTTTCCAATTTTAGCTTATCATCCGAAATGAAGAGCACAGAAAATAGCGAAAAGAAAAATTCATCCACCATAACTAACCATTTTGGAGATACGAAAAAAAACATTTTTAGTGGGTTTAGTGAAAAGGAAAAAAGTAACAGCGGCAGTAGCAATGGGAAGTTTGGATTTATGGGGTTTGGAGGATTTGGTGGATTTGGAAAAGGAAAGATGAACGGAGATAATAAGACCAATGCAGGGGAGATGGGGAATATAGATGAGAGTTCATCATCCATAGGAAAAGTAACGAATAGTAATACAAACAATACACAGACAGAAAGTGCTGAGAATAATAAAGATGATGGTGCAAAGAAAAAACATGCGGAGTTGGTAGATGATAATGATGATTACATAATTGAAAATGCAGACACAAAAGAACCATTGGAAGAAGAAGCAATATCATTAATCGAGAATATGGACATATTAAATAACGATAAAAAGAAAGAAAAAAAGTTAAATAACTTTGATTTTAGTAAAGCAATAAACAGTAGTAGTAATACCACCGAAACAGTAGATTTCAAATTATATCATTCGAAAAATACATGGGAAGAATTAAACATAGATAATGATTTAATACAAATCCTTACATACTTAAAATTTTTTGGGCCATCAAAAATTCAAGCATTTGCTCTTCCAATTATACTAAGCAGTAATAAAAATTTAATAGCACAAGCACAAAATGGTTCAGGAAAAACCCTAACTTTTGTTATTGCAATGTTATCAAAAATTAATAGAAGTGTAGGATCGTTACAAGCTATGTGTATATGTCCAACAAGAGAATTATCTCAACAGAATTATGAAGTTGTTGGAAAATTTACAAAATATTTAACTGTGAAAGTATTTTTAGCTGTACCATTATGTGAAAAATATAATAAGTCTAATGGGTTTCAAATATATGTAGGAACACCAGGAAAAACTTTAGACTTTTTAAAAAGAAGATTTATCGATACAAATGATATAAAGATATTTGTTTTAGATGAAGCTGATGATTTAATTGATATCAAGAACAATATGTCTTCACAAGTTGAAAGTATAAAAAGATTTTTACCTAAGAAATGTCAAATCCTTTTATTTTCTGCTACTTACAACAATGAAGTACGATTATTTGCTGATCAGTTTGCTCCAAATGCTACTAAAATAAGTGTCAAACAGGAAGATTTAACATTAAAGTGTGTTAAGCAATATTATTTAATTACAGAAAATGAAGAGCAGAAATATTATTATTTGTCTGAACTGTATTGTTCAATGACAATATCTCAGTGTGTTATTTTTGTAAATTCCAAAAAATCTGCTTATAATTTATATCAATTTATGACAAACAATAATCACAATGTAACTCTAATTTGTGCTGATAGTGTTATAAGTCGATTTACAAAAAATCAAGTTCAAAGAGCAAATGTTTTAGGTATGGATCCCAAAACGAGGGATACTTTAATGTCCGATTTTAAGAACGGGATTTCAAAAGTTTTAATTTGCACTGATTTGCTATCAAGAGGTATAGATGTACCCACCATCAGTCTTGTAATCAATTTTGATTTACCTTATTCTTATCAAGGAAGAATAGAAGAAAGTGCTGTAAATAATTTTTCAAACAGAAAAGTTAATATGGAAACGTACATTCATCGTATTGGACGTACGGGTAGATTTGGTACCAAAGGGATGGCAATAAATTTCATAAGTAAAAATCAAATGATTCATATTAAACAAATTGAAAAATTTTACAAATGTGTTATATCCGACTTGGAATTTGATTCTGAGCTTATGATAACATCACTCTCCAAGATCAACAGCTGATTTTATGTTTTCTCCTTTCTGTCAATGTAAAAACTATGATTTTATATCATCCAACAAAATAGAGCTGCCAGTACTCGAATAGAGTAAATTGCGCTCTCGCATGTGTGTTGAAACAGTCCTTTTTGAGTGTAAAAATGGGTCTCAAAGAAGATGGAGATGAGGAGAAAGCGATAGAGAAAGTGATAAAGAAAGTGATAGAGAAAGTGATAAAGAAAGTGATAGAGAAAGTGATAAAGAAAGTGATAGAGAAAGTGATAGAGAAAGAATAAAAAAAAAAAAAAAAAAAAAAAAAAAAAAAAAAAAAAAAAACCAAACTCCCCCCTCTTCCACCTCAAAGGAGAAGATTTAAAAAAAAATCAATACAATCCAACCCACACTACCATTTTAGATCATATGTGTGTACATGGATATTTTGTTTTTCCCCATTTATCACTCCAACGTTTTGTCTAAAAGTAAATTTTGTTATTTTTTGGAATATTTCAAATAACCCAATTAGTACATACAATTTAAAATTTTATTATTATTTTTTTTTTTTTTTTTCGAGCCCCCTTCTACACCTTTTATTTGTTCCCCTTTTCAAATCTGTTATCTTAAAATGTGTCCATTATTTATACAAGTGGCTTTTTTTTTTTTCTGCTCTTCCTATTTTTTTTCTTCCTATTTTTCTCTGCTGTTGAATGTGTATTCAAACAGTTATACCTTTTTCCTTCTTATGCGCAAATCCATCATCATATCATATATAATGCACAGCTTCGTTTCAGCAAAGTGTTGTGCTTATAGAACTTTTATCCCAACAATGGGAAAAGTCATTTCAAGAGGCAAAATAAAAATTTTGCTAACACATCCAAAGTGTACCATTCCCATTACGTATAAATATATAAATATAAATATATATATATGTACATACATATAGGTAAATAAATTGGCTATGAAGTATACTTTTTTTTTTTTTTTTTTTCTGAGAAATAAGATGAATTCAGAATCTGCATGGGTTAACTCTACGCATCTCCTGAGGTTATCATGTAGAGTTTACTAATCCAAGATGAAAAAATTAAAACATATATATATATATATGTTATTTAGTTCAAATTGAGATTCACTATGTGCAGGTTCAAAATCCTTTGCCAGTAGTAATGGTTGCCTACATTTGCAGTAAGTGTAAAAGTGACACGAAATTATATACTCGATCCTATAGGAGAGGTCTTACACTTTATTATATGTGAGACTATGTAAATATGTTCCAATTTTTCGTGTGCTATATCTAACCAATACGTACCCTCGCACATTTTTAGTGCCCCTTTTCTTACGATATGTCAGATGACACTATTCTCCATTTTTAAAGAGAGCTAATTTTTATAGAAATATATAAAAAATGGAAAAAAAATAGAAATTGAAGTGTGTCAATTGTAAGGAGTATGTTTATATTCAAACATGTATGTAAATTGTTCATAAACTGACGTGGCAATCTTCAAAATTTTTCACGAGCATGAAGAGGCACAAAAAAAAAAGAAAAAAAAAAAAAAAAAAATGCTCAGTTTAAACTTTATATATAGTCATGAAAGGAGCACATTATTTAGAATGGTACGATTTCCATATGAAACATTTTAAGAGTTAAAACTTTTTTGTGAATTGCACCTCTTGCTAAAAATGATAGGTTGGAATGTTAAGAGAGGGTTACAACACAATACTTCAACAGCGGCCGAGACGTAGGAAGAAAAAAAAAAAAATACATACATACAAACATACGTACAAACATACATACAAACATACGTACAAACATACATACAAACATACATACAAACATACGTACAAACATACGTACAAACATACATACAAACATACATACAAACATACATACAAACATACATACAAACATACATACAAACATACGTACAAACATACATAAGTAGTAAAATAAGAAGATACAAATGTAGATACTTTGAACACCTCGCGTTCCACAAAGAAAATCCACCAAATGGTTCAAGACTGAAGTGTATGACGATTCAGCATAGAAACAGATGAAACTCGTGTTCTTTACTCACGCAAATATTTTAACGCCCTGCCATATAAAGTACCCTTTTAAATAAATGCCAAAAAAAAAAAATAAAATAAAATAAAATAATAAAAAGTAGAACAATAGCTGGATATTTCCTACCCCTTCAGAGAGACACCCACATCATAAATGTTTTCAGTTATTCTTAAAAACGCTTTTCAAAAAACGAGGTATAAAATAACTTCCCATTTGAATAGTCTAAATTTAAAGGTGACTCATATTAGCAGCCAAAACTGTAACAATTTGAATATCGAGAAAGACTATTTTTACATTAACCCGTTAAGAAAATTAACATGTATTGGATGTGGGGAATTTTTACAAACTACAAATGAAAAGAAAAGTGGTTACATTCCTTTTAATGTGTATGAAAAATATAGCAATGGCAGAATCAAGTTTTATACAAAGGTCAAGGGAGAAGAAGTAAGTTCAGTACCAGATGGAGTAAAGGTTGATGTAAATAATTTCCCAAATTTTCGCATTAAAACGAAAATTGTTTTATGTAAAAGGTGCTACAGATTACAGCATTATAAAACGTCCGATACACAATGTGAAGTGGACACCAACAGAATTGAAAATATTTTCAAGTGCAGGAAACAGTTACAGGAGGAGGTAAAGCATTGTAAAATCTCTAAAGTGAATCAAGGAGAAAAAAAAAAAAACACGTTGAATATGAACACTAGCAATACCAAACACTCAAACGGAAGTTTTGACGAAAAGGAAAATTTTGACCAAAACCGAGATCTTCAATATGATACAAACGATCATCTAATTTGTCATAAAAAAAATAACCCTTTCGTTAAAAGAAAGCTAAATAAATATTTTGGACAACTCACGAAAAACAGAATACATAAAGAAGGGGAAGATGAGTACATGGATGAAACGGAAAAAATGACACGGGATGTGGAAAAAAATGCTAAATGTGAAGAGAATGAGAATAGCACAAGTACGCAAGAAAATAATGACGCAAAAGAAGATTGCATGAAAAAAGAAGAAGAGAGAGTAAAAAAAAATATTCTGATTAACGAAATAGAGAAGAAAGAAGGAAAAATGGGTGAGACCATAGATGCAATGCCATGCAAAGAGAGATATTATCAGGACCCGTCATACAACATTGACCAAAGGAGCGTGAACATTTACGAAAAGAAAGATATACTAAAAAAACGAAATGATATGAAAAAATTAGATGTAGAAAAAATGCAAGTAAGCACAGCAAAATATGTACAAGGGGACAGAAATCATATAATGAACAATTTAATAAAAAAAATGAAAAGAAAATCGCTAGTATTGTACCTAATCGATATAACAAATATAGAAAATACAATACTTCCAGAATTGTACATAGGATGTAAAAATAAAGATATTAATATCATATGGCTAGTAAATAAAGTTGACTGTTTACCTAAATCAACGAATCTAGAAATAGTAAAGATTTGGTTTCGTAATTTAGTAAGACAAATAAAAAATGCTCATATAAATGATTTAATATTTATATCAGCATTAAAATTTTATAATTATAATATGTTAGAAGAAAGAATGAAGTATTATGTTGATTTAGAAAAAGGGACAGATATATACATTGTTGGTTGTGTAAATGTAGGAAAATCATCCTTTGTTAATTCTTTTTTAAAATATATAAATTATAAGCATATAGGAGACATATATAATAAGAGAAAAAAAGGAGGAGTTACTACATCTAATATTCCATATACTACTTTAAATTATAACATATTTCAATTAAAAAAAAATATTAAAATTATCGATACAGTTGGGATACCAACAAAATATCAGTATTCTTCTATACTTTATAAAGATATTGATTTAAATAGTATTTGTATAAACAAAAGAATTCAACCATTTACATACAAATTAAAAGAAGATTCATCTATTATATTAGGTAGTTTATGTTATATAAACTTAATATATGGAGATTTTTCTCTTTTAACATTTTATATCTCTAATAAGGTTACTATTCATATGTGTAAAAGTGAAAAGGTTGAAGAATTCTTAAATAAAAAAAAATGCTCTTTTTTATACCCACCACATATTAAAACAGATTTTGATTTGTTAAAACCATTTGTAAAACATACTGTTAAAATGTATGGAAAAGATTTTGAAAGTGTCGATGATATTGTTATATCTGATTTATGTTGGTTTTCTCTAACTGGAAGAGGTGTAAAGATACTCGAAATATATGCTCCTAAAAATATTAAAATTTATAGACGACCATCAATGATTAATGATGCAATTAAGCATACCCAAGTGGACGTATTCAAATATAAATCTTATAGAGGAAGAACTGCTAAAGTTTTACGAAAAAAAAAGAAACTCATTGAGCAGCTAGATCGGATAAATCCAAGTAGACGACAAGAAATGAAAAATATTACCTTACAGAGTGAAAACGAACAACTACACAATTTGCACATGTTTAACGACTCATGTTTGGACTCCACTACTTCACCCACATCTACCACAAGCACTACATCGGCTTCTCTCATTGAAGATAAAAAAGATCTGGAAAGCATTATCCATTACTTGTGACTTCCGGTTTAGGTTTCCTATGAAAACCGTTTACTCTTTTTGCAAGCCTCTATTTTGGAGCTCTGCTATTTTGTTCCTTCCCTGCTTTGCTATTTTGTTCCTTCCCTGTTTTGCTATTTTGTTCCTTCCCTGCTTTGCTATTTTGTTCCTTCCCTGCTTTGCTATTTTGTTCCTCTACTGCTTTTCTGATTTGCTCCTTCCCTGCTTTGCTATTTTGTTCCTCTACTGCTTTTCTGATTTGCCCTTTGCACCCACTATCGGAACGTAAAGCCATTTTACACGACAACAATTGACCTCTTTTTCCAAAACTTACTTCCACTCCTAAGTGTATCATATCCCTCATATTTGTAAAACAGGGGAAAAGCATCATATAAACACAATGGATTCAACAAAAGGTCATTTGGTCAGTTCGCTACTCTGGGTGGGAGTGGTATGCCTCAATGGGAACCTTTCGTTTGCACTTGCTGTTCCCACAGAACCCGTTAAAATGAGTAACTTTTTCCAAATTATACATATTTTGAAGGAACGTTTTTTTTTTTTTTTTCTCTTTTTGTGCATGGGTTGACGGGGGATATGGTAGATGGATTGGATGCTCCTTAACGTTTCTTTTACTACGACTTGTGGGGTTTTTCCATTTTGTTCATAAAAACTGGCACTTGCAATTTTATCACTTTTATCGTATGAGTCACTGCAGGAGTCACTGCAGCATGTCCACTCTGACACTCACACATACAGAGACGTTTTCACATGTTTCACATTCTACTCACCCTTGAAGTTATCCTGGAGGTATAAGTCCAAATCACTCTTGTATATCTGATCTGGAAGAGTAAATAAGATGAGAATGTTATTCTTGTCTACAGAAACAAAGTTATTAATTTTGAAGGGGTTGAATTTGAAAAGCTTAATGTACTTGCAACCATAGGTGAAAACACAGTGATGCTTATTCTTGTTAACATCAAACAAGTTGATAATCCCTTTATTATTTAAAGAACCGATATAATTAAAACCTTCAATGTTACACCAAAAAAGTGAATGAATAAAAGTATCTGAATTGAAAAAATCTTCATTATAATAATTATTATATGAATGATCATAAAAATAGTTTACATTTGTTGTGTTACTATACTCCCCATTTTGTAAAGATGTTTGGTAAGGTTCAAAATAAGATTCATTAATGCTATAGTTATTATACGAATTATCATGCATTATTTTATATGGCAAATTATTATTAATAAACCTTAAATCAAAAATGAATATATTATTTAGCGAACTCATACATATCAAGTTATTATCATCGTTATTGTACTTATCAATATCTGAAATTTCATATTTTGTTATTTTCTTATGAACCGAGTGTATATCTACATTACCGTTCATGTATATACTACCTCCCTGACTTCTATAACTTATCCTATTCATGTTTTTCATACATTTTTTTCTAGAATTTATGCTGCTTACACTATTTTTACCACTTTCTGAACTTCCATTACTGCTGCAAATGCTGTTATTAATACTAGTAATCCCTTTTGTCCAATTTTTCTGAAAAGGAAAACATTCATTCGTTCCAACTGAGTCTTCAGTGCAAATACCACGATGAACATTTTTATTTTTCATTCTAATATCAAAAAGGGAAAAATAACCACTGTATGTAGAACCTATAATTAATGAGTCATACAACCACCTCACATTGCTATACAATTCATTTGTCTTAATGGAGATGTAAGGATTCATTTTAGATACATTAACATGATCATTTCCATATCTGTTATCACTAGAACTTGTAGTGTTACCGTTAATATCATATATGAATATGTTTTTATCATCTCCATTGCTCAGCAGGTAATTATTTCTAAAAAAAAGTCCCTTTCCTGTTTTGTTATGACCCATCAGTTCTAGTAACAATTCCCCATCACATATTTTTCTGTCATGTATTTTTTTTTTATAATTTTCTAACGACACCTTTTTACCATCATCATCATTATCATCATCATCATCCATATTTTGTTGGTACACATTTTTGTTATCACTTACTTCCAAGTTGTTCCTAAAACGATTTTCCATTATTTCACCATCTTCATCCACACGTTCGATATGGCAATGATCTTGTCTTTCCTCACATTCATCCTGTTTGTTACTACCATTACTCTTGCGATTCCGACTCACAGTGTTATTACGACTTCTGTTGCTGTTACGACTTCTGTTGCTGTTACGACTTCTGTTGCTGTTGGGACTTCCACTGCTGCTGGGACTTCCGCTACTGTTGGGACTTCCACGGCTGTTGACACTTCCATTTCTCTTGACACTTCCATTTCTCTTGACACTTCCATTTCTCTTGACACTTCCATTTCTCTTGATACTTCCATTTCCATTACGGCTGACACTGGTGTTACCACTTCCATAGCTGTTGCAACTACTATAGCTGTTACGACTCGCATTGTTGTTACGATTGCTACTGTTGTTACGATTGCTACTGTTACGATTGCTGCTGTTACGATTACTGCTATTGTTACGATTGCTGCTGTTACGATTGCTGCTGTTACGATTGCTACTGTTACGATTGCTACTGTTACGATTACTGCTGTTACGATTACTGCTATTGTTACGGCTACCACTTGTGTTGTTTCTTGTGGCCCCGCTGCTAACATCGAGGGTGATGCAATTTTTGTAGGATTCATTTTGAACTGGCCCCGAGTGATCCTCTTCTTTGTTGAGTCTGTTATTCAATAGCTCGTCATCTTCCATTGTGTTAATTCGATGAATTGTTTTGCTAATATTATATAAATATATATTTCCCCTTATAGACTTATTTGCTATAATAACATTGCCATGAGTAGTACATGGATAATTTGTGTGAATTTCGTTGTTCATGTCTCTATCACAATAGAGGATATTCGAATTTGTCGTATAATATGGAAGATTTAAACAATTGTATCTTTTTATAATTGGAATATTTTTGTATTTTTGTTTGTAATATTTCTTAAAAGAATCATCAATGATATTATCCTTAAGAGATGAAGAATAGAAGAATTCATTTTCATCTACCTTATTCATTTCATCTTTTGTTATTACTCGTAATATGCTCATTTTATAATTTTCTCTCTTATTTGAATTGTGAAAAAGAACTATCCCTTCATTTAAGTATTGATAATTTTCTCTTTTTTTACAGTTCATATTTAGTATATCAATATTACTTACATTGCTACATACATTTGTTATTAAAATATCAGAATATAAATCTATCATATTTTTCCACCACAAACTTAGTAAGATATCTTTCTTTTTATAATGTTCATATGCCAGACTTTGCTTCGTAAAAAATGGACCCTTCCCACAAAAATTATTGTGTTCATCTTCTCCTTCTACTTTCTTGTAGCATCCATTTATCAAATCTCCATTTTCCTCACAACAGGTTCTTCTCATTCGATTTACAATCTTATTATGCACATTGTTCATAACCCTCGAATCCTCTACGTTTTCTTCTCTCATCATATACTTGGATGAACACGATAGCGAAGAGTCGCTAAAATAGTTTGAAGCTTCATCTAATTTGTTTTCATTTTTATACATTTCGTTCTTCTTGCACCTCAATTGGTATTTATTTCTTTCCATTGAATTTATGCCCCCCCCCGGAGGGCACTCCTGGGATTGACTTCCCCTCCTCTGCCTCATCCTTCCACACTATTGACGGATGTTGGGTCTGTTGGCAGCTATTGGGTCTGTTGGCAGCTATTGGGACTATTTGACTATTTTGGATTAGTTAACTCTATATCTTGATCTATTTTTGGTAGCCCCCTTTTGCGGCCCCTTTAGGCCCCTTTTTGCAAACTCTAGTTGGGCTTATATTTTAACCCTGAAAAACATCTTAAAATCTTTTTTGTTTTTGATAGTATATATGAAACGATTTTTCTTTTCTATTCCTTTCTATTCTTTTTTATTCTTTTCTATTCTTTACTTCTCTCTTCTCTTTTCTTTTTTCTTTCTTTTTTTTTTTTTTTTTTCATATTTGAAAACGCAAAAATCGATTGAGTTCGTTTTCTCCTTTTCGTTTTGGGTTAATCCTCCGTCATGATATATTTCTGGATAATTTCCATTCGCCACTTTTTAAAGGCATCGAAATTTTATCACCCCCTAATGCTGCTACTTCTGCTGCTACTACTGCTGCTACTTCTGCTGCTACTTCTGCTACCACTATTATTATTTTATTTTTTATGAGGCAAATTTTAACTTAAGAATTGGAGGTAATCTGTTTCGTATGGACTATAGTGGGAAAGCAAGTCCACACCGGATATACAAAAATTCTAAAATGTGTTAGGGCTTTATATAATTTTGAAAATTCCAAACAAAATGAACAAAATGAAGAAAGTGGTATAAATAACTACTGCATGAGCGTAGAAACAAAGATGGGACTTTCTTCATTACCCTATTAGGGACAGAAATACCAGAAGCTACGAATATATAACAAATTTGTATTGTAGAATTTTACACCAAAAAAAAAAAAAAAAAAAAAAAGAAAGATATGCATATATTTTGTTACATATGGAAATGTTGAATACATATATTTTCCACATATAAAAACTGTTAATTTTTTTTTTCTTTTTTGTGTTACCGTGTTAGGGAGGGTTATAATGATAAAAAAAAAAGGGAGAAAAAATGAAAAATTAAAAACAAAATATGTTCTTCTACTTTTGATGAACCTTATTATTTTTTTTTTTTTTTTTTCCTCAACTATAAACAGCGTTATGGAGATATAGCCAAAATGTGGGAAAAAAAAAAAAAAAAAAAAAAATTAAAGTTTATATGTTAACTATGAGTAATGATAAAAATATACTGAAGTAATGGCAACGATTATGACGAAAATTGGGACATCTATTTTGGGATGCAATAAAATAGAGAGCAGATATTTGCAGAACAAAATTTCCATAGGAATGTGGAAATGAAAAATGAGCTTTTATAAGGGTTTATATTCTAAAAAATAAACAAATAAATAAATAAAAATAAAATAATAATAAAAATAATCGGGCCAGTTATCCAGAAAGCGATCGAATGAACAAACAAGTAAACTAATCTTGAAAAATGCAAATTGGGTAATTTTATATAACTTCCAGATTTGCTAGAGGAGCGAACAAAGGTAGTGAAACTTATTTTATGCATAGAGAATATTGCACATGCACAGAATCAAAAAAACATTTTTTGCAGAAAGACGATTAAGAAACGTTTTTCTCCCCAACTTCCCATGAACAAGCAGAAAAAAAAAAAAAAAAAAGAAAAGAAAGTTCAAGTACTAAACATAAATGTGAAAAAAGAAGAAAGAAAAAAAAAAAAAATCACAACAGTTAATGTGTGATATGGCAAGCATTGTGTACGCACTTACACATAACTCGAAAAAGGGGTGGAGCAAAAAATAAATACAAACCTTGTATATTTTTCCACTTTTTTTTTTTTTTTTTCATTTCGTGAATTTTTACAGAAAGGGGAAATTAACAAAAAAAGGGATAATATGTCTTCTTATCACACTTTGCTAAAACGTGCATAGTTCTGCGTCCCAGCTTTTCGACGGAAAAAAATAAAAAATAACAAAATAAAACGAAACTAAATGAAGGTAAACGAAACTAAATGAAGGTAAACGAAACTAAATGAAGGTAAACGAAACTAAATGAAGATAAACGAAGGTAAACGAAGGTAAACGAAGCTATATGAAGGTAAACGAAGCAAAAAAGAGAAAAATAAAAATAGCATACTATGTACCAACACAGCTAACTTCCGTTAAGAAGCATAACTGTGCCGTAAGAAAGTAAAATTACAAGCCTAACGAAAGAGCAACTGCAATTAAGTACACATTTTTGTATACTTCGAAGTATATACGGAATTTTATTTAATCAGGTCAGTAAAAAAAAAAAAAAAAAAAAAAAAAAAAAAAAAAAAAATTAAAAAAAAAAAAAAAAAAAAAAAAAAAAAAAAAAAAAAAAAAAAACTTGAATAAACGTTTTTTCACACTGTTTAAAAATTTAAGTGAAAATATAAATGTAGAAACTTGTAAAAGTTAAATCAAGACGAAAGGATAAAACATGATAAAGGAATGTCTAATGTGGGGAAAGGAAGAGGAGTTATAGAACGAATTGGATTTTATCATTTAAAAAAAAAAAAATGATTCCATTTTTCAAAATTGGAATTGTTTTAATAAGACAAGTAAGCAAGCCCATATCAGGTTATATAAAAAAAAAAGCTATAGAAAATAAAAAATTTAAAAGTATATGTATATATTGTGGCAAGAAATATTACTTCTTTGAACAATATATACAGAAAAAATTTTACAATTCAAATGCAACAAATGTTAACTACAGCTCATATATAAGTGAAAACAAATCAGTTAATGTAGGAAGTGAAATACTTGGAGAAACCATTATCTTCTTAGTAGCAGCATTAATTATTATAGCTGAATACAAAAGGAATAGCTTAAAAGAAGCCAAAAAAGAAATGATACTAAACCATAAATTAGAAACGTTAAAACTACAAGTCATGGAATTACAAAAAGAAAATGATGAAATTATGAAAATAGTTTTACCAAATAAAAAAAATGTTAGAGATAGTAGAACATTCGATGTTAATCATTCAAATTTTTTTAAAGATATTTACAACCGAATTTTCACCAAATCTAATGATAATACAACATATGAAGATGATGGGGGGGAATAAGGACAAAATGGAAGAGTGATAAAAAGATCTATGATGGATTGTAGAACAGATGTACTTTTCATTCCAGAATTATGCTCTGCCTAATGAATTCGTGTTTTATAGGGAAAGCTATTAGTTTGTGTGACGCAGTGTGGGGATAGTAGATGTGCTTCTTTCTTTCATTCATTCTTTCGTTCTTTCTTTTTTTTTTGTTAAATGTGAACCGGGGTAAACATATATTTCTTACGTCTGGATTATGTGTTCTTGGAGTGAATATACCCTTTGCCTCAAAGATGCATATTCTAAGCACCGCAGTTTTTTTTTTTTTTTTTTTTTTTTTTTTTTTTTGGTCTATGTGTGTGTAACCCTGATGTTACTGATGAAACGTTTATATTTAGCATTTCTCTTTTTGCATTTTTCCCTTTTTTAAAAAAATTGCAACTAAAAGACATTTACATTTCAGTTGAATAATGTAAAAAAATATGTAAAGTTGTTGAAAAATGAATATCCTTAAGTAATCAAAAAGGTTTTTCGGATGGCCATAACGATGAAGGCTCAAAAAGGTATAGCCTTCCAAAATGAGCGAAAGAGTTTTAGCTAACCGATAGGATAAAAACTCGACAATGTTTGAGCTTAGGAGTGTGGAGTATATATGTAGCATCGGTTTAAAGAGACGCAAAATATGCATTTACAGAAAAAAAAAAAAATTAAAAAAGTTGAACAAAATAAAAGATATTAAAAAAGCTGATCAAAATAAAAGATATTAAAAAAGTTGAACAAAATAAAAGATATTAAAAAAGCTGATCAAAATAAAAGAAATTAAAAACGTTGAAAAAATACAAAACGTTAAATTTCAAATTGCATGAAAAACTAAATTCAAATCACAAATGTAATGGTGGTATGCGCAAGGAGTAATAGATTTACCAAAACCTGCACGCAGTTGTCACACCAAAATATAGCTTGCATGTAACGTATATACGAAAAAGAACTGTGCGAATTATGACCCAAATTGATTTACCCTAGGTGATAAATGTAGGAAAAAGGAAAAAAAAAAAAAAAAAAAAGGAAGTAAAACCCATCCTATCGTCTCGATTGATTTTTGTCTAAATTTTTTATATTAGTACACATATTCACACAATAAATTGAGTTTTTTTTTTTTTTTTTTTTTTCCCCCCCGCTGTGAATGAAAAAAATAAAAAAAAAGCTTTGCACATTCATATGCGTTGTATATGTTTTGCTGTTCCTCTCAACACCCAATTTGTCATACATGCTTTGTTATCTTCCTTTTCATTCATTTAAAGTAGCACTTGGCGTCTTTACTTCTTCTTACTAGTTCGATATTTAATTTGTGGAACGGCCGATAGTTTGATTGCTTCATTGGTTTTATTGGTAGCTTTGATGCAATTTGCCACAAAGGATGAGAGTTTTGTAAAATCTTCAAAATCGTGCTTGTAAAAATATCCATAGTAATTATCTACGCCTGCTTCGTTATGATTGAAAAGGCAAAGAACATGAATGTCTCTTTTTTTTGAATAGGATGTAAATACCTCATCACTTAATTTAAGTAAAAATTTTCTATTATCAAGAATCATGGGGCTTACATCAAAATATTTATTATTAACAAAAATATCGTTAATGTAATTATATTTGTTACTTCTATTAGTCATGTGAATTCCGCTTATAAATAAAATACATTTTTTATTTTTATTTAAACATTTGGTTTGAAATTGGGGAAATTTTGTAAAAAATGGAACACTAAATACTAATGCCTCTTGTACAAATGATACAAATTTTTTTTTATTATTTAACATATTAAGTGTAATTGGTTTCGGTTTTCTTCCATAACATACAACAAATGCTTTCGTTTTGGGGTCCATATTAAAACGTTCATATACATTTTGATTACTTGGTAACAAGCTTTTGCAATTA